GATCGTATTGCCTACTTCAATTGGTCACCTAGTGACATAAATAACCTTGTTGATATCATCTACAATAATGATCATTACCAATGTGTTCTATTGCCAGGACATTTGACTGCAGAACAGGAAAAGGGTCTGAAGACAAACAAAGATGTTATCTGCAGGCAGATATGGCAGGAGCTGTTCCCAGATGAGTCTACTGTTGGTGGTGCTGGTTGAGTAAAGACTAAGATTCGCTGGCTCACTGAACAATACAACAACATCAAGAAAACCATCTCACAGCAGACCAGTGCTGGAGTACTTCTTCAAGACATGGATCACAACAGCTCGGTAAGTACAACTTAGTTGATTCATGTTAAGTGTGCCAACATTCTTATACTTTATATCTCTGTCTATGCTTCTTTATCAACTTGCAGGACTATGCCACATGCGAATCAATTGCTCGAAGCTGCCCTTGGTTTGAGCACTGGCACAAGATGATGACCAACCATGCACAGACTGGTCCAGTTGTTCTTCTCACTGGTCACCCATATGATGCCACCCCTGCCTCCTCTCAGAATAACTTGGTTGATGCTGATGTGAACATGGATGATGCCAGTGATGCTCACTACCCTCAGTGATGCAACATTCCTGGCATGGAATCCATTCTTGAGGAGTCACAAAATGATCCCATTGGAGCAAGAGTTATCTCATCTTTTTCTTCTTCAGTTGCAGCCACCCCAGCTGCTGCTTCATCTTCATCCCACTCGCCCTTCTCTTCCTCATCCAACCCATCTTCGATTGGCCCCACCCCCTTCACCATTACCCCTATAGACACTCCAACCTGCCAGCACTCATCCAGCACTGCTTTTGAGGCTGATGAAGTGGATGATGGTGATGGTGACTCTGTTTACCATTCTCCAGCCACAGGTACAACACCCAAGAAGTCTTGACCCTTCACTTCCAAGAGCAAGCGAGAAGAGCTGTTGGAAATTGTGCAGGCTTGCACCCAAGACATGCTTCAGGCACAAATCAAGGTTGAGGAGGAATGCACGAAGAGGGAGGAAATGCACATTCAATTTGCCAGGGAAGAAAGTGAGAGACAAGAGCACATGCAAACTGAAGAGCATGGTTGGCTCATGGAGATGGTGCAGATGATGAACCCTAATCTACCCTTTGGCAACATCGCTGGAAGTAGTCAAAGCAATCTTGATCTTGACCCACTGGTTCTTGCCATGGATCAGCAGGACAATAGTGATTCAGCTCATGAGTAGACCATTTGGCAAGAATGGTGTTCCTTTTGAGTTCTCCAAGTTCTGTTCCTGTGTTTCCGACTTGTTGTACCATTGCTCTCTGTAAAGCTAGCTCTCAATATGTATGACTAGCATACCCCATACCCAGTCTTCCATGTAATCTCTCAAATGTAGATTGCTTCAATGTGATGAATTGTTCCACATACAAGATGCTGATTGGTGTAGCCCCAGTTCCAAGCATGCATGTTGCACAGAAATCAGCTGCACAGAACCCAGCTGTGCAGAACTCAGCTGCGTTGTGTTTGTAGCTTTGGACTCTCTTTCGGACCACATCATCCTCTCCTATTTCTGGCCCTCTACTTCAACCATGGTGTGCACTTCCAACAAACAGCACCTCCTGGACGACATTGAGACCACCATCATGCACTCATTGATGGTGGAATCCAAGATGCAACTTGATCTGGTGGATGTCGATGCCACTTGGCACCCTAATGATGACCTTGAAGATTCTGATGATGACATGTTCAATCATGCTATCTCATTCATGCTCATCAGGACTTATGACATCATCAGCCAGTCTCGATACACAGTTGAACACCTTCAACTGCTGCAACGAAAGGATCCCCTCATCAACATGCTTGATCGATATGCTGTCATCAACCACAAGCTCTTTTGAGGGGCTGTTTGCATGACCCCAGATGCATTCCAAGCTCTCACTTACAGACTCAGCACAACCAATGCCTTCAGATCAATATCAAGCTTTTGGCATGTTCAGCAGCAAGTGGCAGTTGGTCTATATCGGCTTGGACAGTCAGGAAATGGTGGTGGAGTTCATGATGTTGCATTTGCCTGCAGTTGCAGTTGGGGCTCAGTTCATGTGTGGACAGATAGGACTATTGCAGGCCTATACAAGCTGAACAGTGAGGTAGTAACCTTTGCAACTGAAGACGAGTGTGCTAAGGCAAAAGCATGGGTTGCTGATAAGAGTGGAGTTGAGGAATGGTCTAGAGGATGGTTGGTGGTAGATGGTACACACATCAATCTTGCTTGGAAGCCAGCACTCAATGCTCACAAGCATTACTCATACAAGGGTGATTATACATTCAACATTGCCCTTGTCTTCCTCCCTCATTCCTTGCGCATTGTCGAGTTGGTGGTTGGACATCCTGGGTCATCACATGATGCGTGAGTCTGGGCTTCAGGCAGTGGTATTGTTGTGAAGCCTTGTTTGCATCTTGATGAAGGTGAGTTTGTCTGGGTTGATGCTGGTTATGGCTACTCCAGCTACACAGTTGGACCATACAGCAACACTGCAGCTGCAAAGAGCAGAGATCTCCACTACTTCAACTATTCACTCTCCTGCATTTGTGTCAAGGCTGAACATGGCATTGCCTACCTCAAGAACCACTTCCAATGTCTCATGGGATTTTGAGGCAACCTGTATCGAGAAGAGGACCACGAGAAAGCTGCACATATGGTCCAGGCTTGTATCATTGCACATACATTTGCAAGCCATTATGATTGACCAGATGAGGTGGCAGAATACCTTAAGGCATCAGAAACACTATCTGAAGCTGAGGTGCTGGAGACCACATCAGGGATGGAAGCATATCAGCAGGCTACCGAAGATGCAAGGATACAACGAAGGGAAAACCAGCAGCAATACAAACAGGAACAGGCTGCTGCCATGGAGGGCATGTCTCAGAACTGAGTCCAGAAGTTCAGGCAGGAGAAAGCACTGGATCTTAGGGAGGAGATGCTCACTGCACTCTTTGCTTCTCATGGCTGCCCTTTTGAGGACACAACAGCAGAATCTCAAAGGATGGGAATGACAACATTGGCCTTTGCCGAATGGCAGGAGAGACAAAACCAACAGCATGAGGCTCACAGAAGACAGCAATCAGAACAGGTGTGATGTAAGCTATTTGCTTTAGCTTTTCAATCAAAGGTTTTGGCATTGTTCAGTATAGTGTTCAACAATGTCCAATATGATCACTTTGATCTTGACCTGGTGTAGGGAATCAGAGATTGTTTTTACTGGGTGAGTCAAGTGAAACTCCAAGTTGCACGTGTCACAGGCCTGTGCAGTTTCTTGGGGTGTCAAAAATTGGGCCCAAACATATTTTCAAAGTATTGTGTTTTCAAAACTCAGAGATAACTGAAACCCCCTAATGAGTGCATTGTGTGAAGAGGAAAGCAAGATATAAGCAAGCAATGGGTGATAGCAACAAGAGCAGGATAAGTAACATATGCTCCCTGTTAGGTTATGTCTCTTATTGGCCATAAGACTTCATTGTGTTTTTGGAAACCCGCATTTTCTTGGGGGGGGTTCAAATTCCCTCCAAAAACGCGCTTTTCAAAAAACCCGCGTTTTTAAAAACGCAAAAACTTTGATACCCCCTTTAGTTCGTGTTATTATAGTCGGTTTTTAGTTTCGTTTCGTGCGACTGAGTCCAGACGGGACAATGATGAACGCTCTCGACTGCGTTCCCGAGCTCGGATCGACTGATAGCAGGAAAAGCACCAGGAAAAGAAAAGAAGGAGTGGCTGAAGGAAGATTTCTCCTCTTTCTTGCCTCGGGGATTTTAATCAGGAAATCATTGTTGCGCTGCTCTCACGCTGCTCGATGCATTTCGTGCAACCAAACGTTGACCCTAAATTTAGATTCCTGCTCTCGCTGTCAGGAGAGTGGTGCATCACGTGATCGTCAAGAAGGCCTGCGCGTCTAGGCTGGACTCAACAATCGAATTGTTCCACTTCTCCACTCCTCTCTTCGCAACATCATCATTACCAGGAGCCAGGCATACCATTAGCAGCCTGGTTCGTCCTTAATTTGCCCTCCCTTTACACCCTCCCTTGCCGCTCGTCTCTGCGCTCAACCAGCCCTCTGTCACGGCGGGCCGGAGCCTCCTTGTCGAGCTTCGAGGACTTCACGGGTCTTTGCCTGCAATCCACTCAAGTTTTCGTGCTATGTATATACAATTTAGTTATGTTTTTTCGTGCGATTGAGTCCAGACGGGACAGCAATTATTGATGGGAGGACCCTGTGTCCACGACCCTGGATCCGACTCCACTCCTCTAGCTCCGGCTAGGCGACACCCTCCCTCATTCATCTGTGCTTCTTCTTGTGCCTCTTCCTGTGCAGCCACAATCAGCGCTCTTTCCACCCAACAGCGCCCCCGAAAACCTTCCGCTCCGTTTCACCAGTGATCTAGGCTATCGCTTCGCCTCGCATTGCCTCGCCTCGTTGACATTGACCGCCACTATCTTCCCTCAATGCCACCTTATCCCCCTTCTGCCTCCATCTGTCTAGCTCCACCCTCGCTTAACCCTATCCAGTCTTTACTATTCGACCTTTTCAAGCCACATTCCGCATCGATACCGGCAGTCGTCTATTTCCCACCTGCACAGTATAAGCCAGCCCCGCCAACGGAGACGCCCATATCAGCTCTCGACAACACCCGCCTAATAGCCCACGCCTATTTGGTTCTCGAGCACGTCTTGACAAGCCTTGCGTGTGAACACAACGGCATTCCACGCACATCTTCCTACCAAAAATCAGCGATCCGCCATCGATGTGCTGAGCACCTTACCTCCTCTTTACAAATCCTCTCGATCCATCTAATTACCCGCTACCAACCCAGACACCAGATACCATCGCATCTCATTCCGCCCCTGACAACTTAGAAAAGCGCACTTACGACGCCCGCCTGGGCATAGTGCTTCGCTCGCCCCTCTCCCCAGCACCATCTTTCTGCCCTCGCTACAGCTGGAGAGATGGACTTGATACGTCCCCTTGAAGACAGGGTCAAGGCCGCGAGGTCGGGTTCGCGGCTCCAGAATCGTGCTTGCGATCAGTGTCGTCGATCCAAGAGGAGATGTGACCTCGCAGAAGCTGGACCTGATGGTCTTCCAATCCAGCATGCAGGTTCTTGCAAGCTCTGTGTGCGTAAGAGCCTTCAGTGTACGATCCACTGGAGCGCGTTGCAGCAGACCGTCAGCTCGAGTCAACAGGAGCTTCGACACATTTCGCAGACTTCGTCGAGCTACACTGCCCTCCAGGATCAGCTCTCGACCCATCAGTATCTCCCTGCCGGCCTTTCAACCACATCAAAGAGCTTGAGTGACAAAATTGATGGTCTCTACATCTCCACAAAGCAGCTCTTCACCTATGTCGCGGCATGGGAATGGGTATGGCAGCATTTCCTTGGCCCTGGCGCCACACCTGCAGGCGTTGGACTGGGTGCAGCGGTCCATCCTCGGCGCGGCCTGCTGAGCGCCAGTGCAGCACGCGCATGGGATGACATGATGGTCGTCAACAATGTTCCGCACATCTCTCCCAATTTCTTCTACAGTACTTTCGTATGCGACGAAGCATACAGACCTAGCGGACGCTTCAAGCGTCTTCCGAAGAGGGCAGACGAGATCTCGATGCAAGCTTTAAAATATGCCATCGTTGCATATGCAAGCCAGTATGGTTCCCAAAGCCCGGGCGAATGGCGTGGGGACGAGAGCGAAAGGCTGCGAAGGCACAAAGACACCCAGATCGCCGAGGCTACATGGATGCGGGCGCGTGACTTCCTCATGGCCCACTCCGTCACCACTTTCCGCATGGCGTACGCTCTCCACCTCTTCAGCAACACTTGCCCTCCACTGCGCAGCGCCAAAGCCAACTCGGATGTCGTGCAAGAAACCGTCTTCATGCTGCAGACCGGACTTCGTATGATGGACGACCTCGCAACTGACTTACTGAGACAGCAGGATGAAGATCTCTTCGAAATCGGCTATCACAATACGGACGGCGCCAGGATCGACGATAATACGTACTTGAGGTCGGATCCAAGTTATAGAGCGTGCGTCGATCGTGCTCATGCCCTCAAGGACGTTGCCGAGAATCTGCTGTGGTATTCGGCCATTTGCGACTCGGCATCGACGAGCGGCTTTGGCATGCCTCCGGTCGTACGCGGCAGCACATCCGACAAGGTTGACATTGACGCTATGCAATTGACCGCTGCTATGCCCGCTGCATCCATTTCGGCGTCCAGACACGGTGTGTTGGACGGCTCTTGCTTCCCATCTTCGAGCTCTATGGGGTCCATCCCCGACGTCTCGGCGTCGTTCGATCAGGATGGGTTCGGACCGTCGCCTAGCATCTCTCCCAATCCAAACCCGACGGGCTACCACGATCCAGCAATGTTGGGGCTTGAGCCTGATTTCATGATGCCAGCTGCTGCGATGGATGGGGACTTTGGCTCGCTCCATCGGGACTGGCAGCAACGAGCGGATCCAAATGCTTCTACAGTGCACAATGTCCAAACGTCGTCGAATAACCATCATGGCTCCTCCAGCGCGCTCTCCTCTCCGTTGGACGCAGCAGCGGACAACCCAAAAACGTGGGTTCGGATTGCGCGGCGAGCGCTTCAGGCTTCGAAAGAGATCCCATACATCCTGTCGAAGTTCGCTGCCGCACCAGGCGATCCTGCTCGTGTCAAAGAGTTCTTGAACCTGTCGCAAACCGGTGCGTCCACGCAGATCATGGTCTGGCAGCGCAATGGTAACTTCCGTGCCTGCCTCGACGACCCGAACAGTTCGGCTGCCGACCTTGCAGAGAAGTTCCAGCGAACATGGAGTGCGATCCTTTTCGTAGAGCAGGTCTTCCATCCGCTTCTCAACCTTGATCCGCATCTATACGCGCAAATGCCGGCTTCAGCGCAGTCGATGGCCAATCATTTGATCGACCAGGTGAGCATGGGTGCGCTCCTCTTCTTGGAGCTGTGCTGCTTCCTTGAAGGCACACTGTGGCTCCAGAGCTCCAGCGACCCTTCATGGCCAAGAGCTGCGAGCATGCTTTGTGCCAAGCTGGATCAATCGCGAGAGCTGCGCCACGTAATCCGTCGCAGGAGTGCACTCCGTATTGCCAAGTTGCACAACATGGTCGACAAGCAGGTCGGACGAATACTGCGCTACGGAGGGTCGCCGCCCCGCGAGACCTACGGTAGCGAGCATCCATCTCCAAGTGGATCAGGCTATTCGGGACACCGCAATAGCGACGCTGGCAACAGTGAGGCACCCGATGCACGCAGCAGCTCTGCTCGTATTGTGATTCCCTTACCGCAAGACGATATGATCGTGCCCGCATTGCAGATCCATAGCAGTCGTCATCCGGTACCGACTCACCTTGCCTGCGCATTACACATCTCGTTCTGCGCACTTGTGCCAGATGCGCTTCAAGAGATCAGTCAGCAGGGAGCTGCTTCGTCCGTCACCCTTGATGCACTCGATTCGGATCTGCATGGTTTGCAAGGCATCCTCGACAGCGTGCTGAGCTTTGGACCTTTCTTTCACCGCGAGCCGAGTCTCGAGACACTATTCTCGACGAGGAACTGGCTGGCTCCAGACCGTCAGCCGCTCGTCATGACGCTGCGTTGATTGAGCTGTCCTTTACTGGCGCTCAGAGCGTGCGCGTGGGGTGCCATCGATCGCTGACTTACCCCGTTCAATGAGCCATACGTGCTGAGATGGCGGACGAGAGAAGCATCGAAAACAAGATCGCCCCCTCATCCTAGTGATCACCACAGTGGTCAGGTTGTGCCCTCGCCGCACTGCCTCTTCATCCTCCTTTCTCGTGCCGTCCAGATCCAATCCTGTATTTTTAAGCATTAACGTCTTACCCAAAGCTGTTTCGATAATCACAATTCGGTCACCTGTTCATTCTTCAATGTTGTGGCGGTCCACGGAAGAACTCCTTCTCTCTCTCTCTGGGCACGCGTAAGAACTTCTGATTGAGCCTGTTCGGCGTTGCCGTCAGAGAATGTCGCAAGTCTGTGATCGGTGGTGATCACTTCCCCGCACACTCGTTCCGCGCACGCTCCCATTGTGCGAGAAGCAAGAGACGGAGTACTAGACAGCTCGACGAATACAAGCCTGCGTCGCAATGCTGCTCTTCGTCCGTACTCGCACCTCACAGCCTGACTGCTTGAGGCTGTGTACGGGTTTGCCGACGAGATGAGTGGACAGCGTGAGAATTCTTTCAAGTTCCGGAGTTTGACGTGGCGTGCGTTCTTCCGGGCGTCTCATGCCATACCGGATGTGCCGAACATTGAACTGATGTTTCCTAGGGCCTTCAAGTACGTTAGAAGGGAAGCTTGAATTAAGACGTGAAGGGGGGGGGGGGGGGAATCCCCTCTATATATACCTTACATATCTGGCTATGTTCTAACTGTGTTCTGCTGAGCGCCCGAGGGGCGCTCCTAAATACAAAGGGAAGTGATAGTGATCAAAGGGTGATAACGAACAAAAGGTAGTGAGGATTCGTGCGAGAGAATCAAAGGGTCCGTAGGGGCTTCCGACACGTGCTCAGACAGGCCGTCTGGAACACTGATTGCTTCTATTTTTCCTACCGTCACTCGCTGATGTGATCTGCAGAAAGAGGGCGCTCGTTGAATAGTCACCAGAAACAGGGTTCCGAGCATCGGCAGAGCCGCTCACTTCGCCTTGAACCAGCACAAGTCTGTGATCGGAGACAAAGTAGGTGGCGTAGCAAAGAGTCGAAGGTTCTCGTTCCGACCATGTTGATCTGTTGCAAGGTCGACAGCGACGGAATGACATAGTTAGCCCTCTTCGCAAAACGCTTGGGTCTAAGAAGCTTTTCGTCGCCACACTTGCACTGCCTCCAAATGGTGCTCTCGAGAGGAGCCATCGGATCATCTGACCAATCATGGCTTTGCGGAGTCTTTGTTTGGCTCGACCGCACTTCTCGCAACTTGATCAACCACCAAAAGCTCAAGGTCTCTGTTGACGTGGTGCGAAGGCGGCTTGGCCAACTGACAGAGGAACAATGGATCGATGAACGTACAGGGAAATACTCGAGGACCTCGGAGGCCCTGCCTTCGGGACAACCAGCGGCTCTTTCTCAAGGATCGGCTCAGAAGGCTCATAGCGACACGGTAGCTGACGCTGCATGCTGGAGGTAGTCCGGCTCGAAGGGATAAAAAGGGTCGACTGGGACGACCAACAGAACCTATTCTCCTCAACCTCATCCACAACCACACACTCTCTCGAACACACTCAAACACACACATGCAGCAGAGTCCCACTCGCACGGTAGTTTCCCGCTAAGTTTCCCCCCGTCATGCTCCGCTCCACTGTGTAGATATATAAGAAGTGGCAGTTAGTCAATAGCCCCTGTAGAAAGGACCATCCATCTGTACTTACGTTCATCGTCGTCGCCATACGTAATCAAACCGCGTCCTACCATCCAAGCCTGTCAACCTTCAACAGTAACTACCTGAAGTGTTAGTGCCATGAATGCATCAGAGTCGATGTGCTCTTATGTCCAATGTCGATTTGCGTTTCTTCTTTCTCATTTCAGAAGCAGTCATTGTGAAACTTGTCCAAGTACGTTCTGAGACTCTTAACTGTGGCCACAAACGTTTTCAATGCCGATATTATAAGTGGATAACATTGTCCAAACATGCATGGCGACGAACAAAGGGGAATGAGAAAGGGTCGTTACAGTACATTATAAGAGAGTGGCCTCTGCCGACAGCCGCAATAGTATATCCGTGTCCGCTGACTGCACAGCCCGATGGGCCGGGTGAGGGAAAAGTATCAGCAGTCGAGACATCGAGACATGGGCCGTCAAGAGCCCAGCAAGCGGGCCTTAGTTGGACATCACTTCCAAGTCCCGCTATGTCGACGACTTGGGATCACCCTTGACTTGCTTACCCCACCAGCTCTGGAAGGAACCATCCTCAGGCTGAGCTGGTGGCGAGGCAGCACGGGTTGTGGCGTTACCAGCCGAATGCTTTGCAACAGGCTTGATCTTGCTCTTCTGCTGTGGAAGCTCTTGCTTCAGTCCAGAAGATGCCGGCTTTGCAGAAGTGGAGTCCTGATCCTCACGAGTTTCGTACCAAGCCTTGGCTTGAGCTTGAGCTGCCTGAATACGAGCGATTGCGTTGACCAACGATGGTGTCGCAGGGAACGATGGCGTCAAAGGTGTAGCTGGTTGGCTGTCTCCTGTTGGGAACGGCGGCGGGGGCGACTTGGTCGTGTGGCGCGAGAAAGATGGATGGGTGGGCGAGGACAAAGCATCACGGTCCCGATAAACTCCCAACGACTTCTCGGCAGGGGCAACTGAACTAGATAAACGAGAAGCTTCACTTGCGGAGTTGACCGTTGTTCCGCTGAGACCGCTACCGTTGGAGCCACGACTGTTGCTACTGTTGGTGCGGTAGCTCGGTGGTCGAGGCAAGACAAGAGCTCCGCTGTTGTCGGATTTGGTGTCACCACTGGCACTGAGAGGCTTCAATTCATCTGCAAGCTCATCAGCGTCAGCTTTCGACAGGATGCTCTTAGCCGAAACAACCTTGCTACGAGGATTGAGCTTGTGCAGAGTAGAGTCACTGTCGTAGTCGGTTGCATCGGAATCGGTGCCGGCGAGTTCAAGGTCTTTACTGAGAGCTTCGAATTTGGCGGGACCGCCACGGATCTTGGCTGTACGAGAGCGACGAGCCTGTCGTCGCTTCTTTGCGCCAGGGAGATGGGTGAGAGGGCTCTTCTCCGGATCGTAAGGATCTGAGATGTTGCCATAAGCGGCCGGGCGTACGGGAGTAGCGAAGGCGCGAGAGAACTTGTGCCAGGCGCTGGGAGCAGGTTCGAAGGACCCTGCCCGGTCATGAGGCTCGGAGGAGTCGTGGTTCTCAAGACGTTGAGTGAAGGTGCCAAGGTAGTTGTTCCACTCCATGTCAGGATCCTCAGCTGCGTGCTTGTGGAAGAAGAACTCGAAGAGGAAGCCGACAGCAGCGCTTAGCACAGCGCCTGCAATGAAGCCCTTGAACGCCGACGTGCCCCACTTCTTAGATGCGCTTGCTTCGGAAGCTGAGCCATCGATAGCAAAGAGTAAGACCCAAAGGTCGATCCAAGAACCAGAGCTGGTGCGGGAGGGAGCAAAGAGTGCCACACCGTCCAAGAAAGTGACGGCGCCGATGATGGATGTGCATATGTTGAGCAGGTGGAAGTGAATGGCGTTTCGTCTTGGGAGTAGGAGAGGAGCGGTGATGAGACTGGTGCAAATACCGATAAAGACGGCTCGGATTATCAATGTGTGAATGCCGAACATTGCTGTCGCGATGAGTGTCAAGCAAGCGCCTGAGAGAAGGCCGGCGAATGCTCGGGCGAACAGAAACCAATGACCTGCGAAGAAAGCTCCCAAGAGACCAGGGAGAAGCCAGATGAGGAAGAGCCAGGTGGATGTGACTGACTTGGCTTGTGAAACGCAGATGGCCGCAGTCACGACGATGGAGAGGAAAGAAAAGGAGAGAAAGCCGACAAGGATGCCACCAACACCGCCTGCGATGGGTGGGCCTGCGAAAAGAGGACCGAAGCGGGCAGGCTTCTTGGCCTTGGCCTTGGCATCGATTCTGTTTGCACTCATGCCGAGGTTGCAGCCCCAAAAGAAAGAGGCCCAGCCAAAGAAGAGCATGAAGAGACCCGAGAGGATCCAGATGATGCAGAGGAAGACGCTCATCCAGTAGTGGTCGTGTACCAAGGCTGAAATCGAGAAGGCCGGAGTGAGCATTGAGGAAGAGTCTAGATTAGATGAAGATGCTGTGACGGCCATCATACTGGTCTCGATGTTGGATGCTGGCTGGCCTGTACTGGCAACACTCGCGGCTGGCTGGGCAAGGTTCTGAGACCATGGACTGTCCTGATGGCTTACGACGTAGCTCTGAATGGCTTGGGTAATCTCGGATGAGTGGTGGCCTTGATAGGAAGACGAGCCGATGTCGGATGAGGCTGAAGACTCTTTGGCTAGCTCTGCCATCTTGTGTGCGTGGACGGCCAGAGCATTTGCAATCTGTTCTGGGTCGTGGCCTTGGAAGGTATGATCCGGGTCGGAATCACGGATGGCGAGGTTAGGCGTAGGTGTTCGTGATAGTAGTCGTGGAGCCATGATGTGCGATGGCGATGGCGACGCTGCTGCGTCCAGCAAGTCGAAAGATCAGCAGAGGAGAAGAGGAGATGGTGGCGGTGATGAACAGGAAAGAAGATATAATGAAGGCAGATAGCTATCAAAAGCTACTCATGACTGCAGATGTCAAAGGTCATTCGATTTGCATACGTTTAGTGCGGTCTCACGCTAAGGTACAGCAGGTAGAAGTGATACTTCTCGACGCCCCGCTTTTGGGCTCGAAAAGGAAGGTTGAGCTATCTTGGGTCCGAGGGGCCCAAGACACGACAAGATCCGACACTCTGCCACGCTTCAGCAATGAGGTCACGGCTCTCTGTTCTCTGTCGATGTAGAAGAACACTGAAACGAGACAGATAAACAAGAGACACAGGGGCTCGTGAGAATGATAAACTTTACCGAAGGCTCTCAGAGCGGAGTATGATCAACTTGAACTCTAACTATCCTGCAAGAAGCGGCAACTGCAGTTTTCGACAAGACTGTGTGCGCGTGTGCGCGTGTGCGCGTGTGCGCGTGTGCGCGCGTGTGTGTGTGTGTGTGTGTGTGTGTGTGCTCTAGTGCCGGAAAAGGGTCGGGTCAGGGGCTGTTTGCAGATCGGCGGTCTGTGTGTTGGCTCCTGTCAAAATGCAATTGGTGTTGCAAATCGCGATACCAACGAGATGCGACCCGATTCCCACACCAATACTTTTCTTCTTGGCATACACTTTTCAAAGATCTAACATCACAGGAAAACTGTCCCGAATTCGCCGCATTTACCGACGGTACGACGTCAAGAGACTACACAGCAAAGTTTTTGCTCAGAGGGTTCATTTGTATAACTTTGTGCAGTGCATCGGGAAGTTTTCTGTTGCTTGGACCCTCGACATGGGCTGATACTCGTTTAGTGGCTCAGTTCAAAGGCAAATCTCATCGGCAAAGATGCACGCTTTCCCAGGGATTTCCTTCGGTTCAGGCCTGACCGACGCAGGAAAAGAGAAGAGAGGAAAGTGTTGTGACTGGGCTTCCAACAGCGCACGGTCACTGGCAACTTTCATTCCTTCGATTTCTTCTTCCTTTTCTACCCTCTCTTCCACCATCAACATCGTGGTGATCGCATTTACATAACAGCTTCAGAACCAAAACCTCCTCGTTTGCTCGGAAAGCGAGGTCTTTGTCCATCAGCACCACTTGGGCCCTAAGATCCGTCGGCTAAGGTACTCGCAATATCAAGGAGCGAAGCGCTGTCAAGGAACAAGCACGATTCCCCCTCCCCACCCTCTCGTACGCCGTCACCTCTCCGGATGCTTCTGTAATTTGCTCTTCTGCACTCCTCGCCCAAAGAATCAGGAGCAATCCGACCCAACGAATTACGTCGATCAAGATATCACTGACGGACCAATTCGCTGCCAGCACCGCAAGCTGGGGCACGTAGCACGAAATGTTCTCCACCTTCTTCCAGCCCTGTGAGCTGAAGCTCCACCTACTTCAAAATGCAGTCTTCTTACATCCACCCGACCGTCCCTTACCTGACACCCATGTGAGACCGCCCATGGCCAACGACGAGATCATCCGTGGACTCGTCGAGCTCTACGTCCCTTCAACCCGACACATCTCCGGCATTCGAGTCCGATTGAAAGCAGTTCAAACCATCGCCATACTCGACCCCGCTTCTGGTCTCACTCCTATCAGCTGGGAAGACTCTACAGTGTTCGAAAAGCACGTCGAAATCGGTATCCAGAGCGACAAGGAAAAGCATCATCACAACCACCATCACCTCCTATCGTTCAATCATCGATCTGCTTCTGCTGGACCTGCTCATAATGGTGCTTCGTCTTCATACTCTCAGGCACGCGGTCGGAGCTCGGCCGCACCGGATCATCAGGGTCGATCTGGTTCGGCTTTCGGCATGCGATCGCATAGTCCCGGAGGGAGCATCCCTGCGTCTATGGCTCGTGCTGTCTCGAGAGGACGCAAGCTCGCGTCGGGGATGAGTCGAGTCAGTCACAGCCCTTCACCGTCAAACAGTCAACCTGCTAGTAGAGCCTCTTCACCCAGCGCACCCGCTCTTTCGGAACGAGGTCGTCCAGCGACACGCGCACCACCCACCTACGCCTACGCCATCTCGGAAGCATGTCAGAACGGCGGCACTCCAACCGCATCGTTCGGCCAGCAAGTTGTAGACCATAGTCTACCAGCCAGTCGAGTTGGCACCCCTCAGAGATCTCGCAGACCTAGCCTGTCCAATGGCCATACACCACCAGACGAGCGTGGTGGGCAGCCGCCGGCAGAAACAGATGCGCTTGCAGCTCAACTCCAAAGATCGCTTGCCGTGCACGCTCGGAATGACCGCAGAAGCGCTAGTGCTACTCCCCTCGAACAGTCTTCTTCTTCGAGCAGCTTGTCTGGGTTGCATGCGCATCATGCGGAGGAAGATAAAGGGAAAGCCAAGTCGAGGAGTGCGTCGATTGGGTTCTTTGGTTCTCGTAAAGCGCGGAGCAAGTCTAGAGCACAGGCTACACGGCGGGCCTCAGGGCATTTGAGCGATCTTTTGCAAGTGGACGAGGAAGGCGGGCGTGGTCGAAGTGCTGCTGAGCGTCCACCACTGGAACCGTCGGGATCGTCAGGAGGGATCGTTGTCACCCCTGGATCAGAGAATGATAGTGGATGGGAGTACGAACCGGCCCAAGACGGGTTAGAGCTTCAAAAAGGAGTCCATGGATTCGAATTTGCCTTTATCATTCCCTGCGATGCTCCTCCCTACGAACGCTCACCCTACGGTCGGGTTCGTTACATCATCAAAGCGACCGCCATTGGTGCCGGTCGTGCAAAATCGAACGTCGAATGCTGGCGCGATCTCTATCCCATGGTCAATCCCTCGCCTGACTCCGGTCCCACGCCGCTGACGGTGCTGTACAACGACATGCACCCCACCGTAGGGCTCGTGTCAATCGCTTGCACCTCTAACAACATCTCGGTTGGTGGAGTGTTCAACATTGACGTAAACTCGCCGAATCCACCGAACGACCTCATCGTCTACCTGGTCAGGGTCTCTTTAGAAACGACCATCGAACTCACAACGAAGCGAAAAGGGAAGCAAACGGTGCCAGTGCAAAGGCATAAGTTGTTCGAAAAAGGTTGGGTTCCACCCAAGAATAACGATGGGAGTCACGGAGATGGGAAGAAAACAGATGGGTTTGTGAGGAATTCGGGGACAGATCATGCTTGGACTGTGCAAGGGATTGCCAGGATGCCGGATGATAATCATATTCGGGCTTCTACTGTTGCTGCATCTAAGGCTGCTATTAACTTTAGTCATGTTATGGTTGTCGAGATCGTACACAGCCGCAAACCTGCAGGAAGTACGGCCAGTACGCCGGAAGAAGAGGCCAAGGAGAGACGGCTGAAAGTATTCGCGCTGCGACAACCGGTGTTGATACCTTCGTGCTGTTGTGCTTACGATGCGGTCACACTCCCAGCCTACTCTGCAGATCCTGATCCCGGTGCAAGAAGAGCAGAAATGCCATACGATCTAAGCAACTTCGCACACCACCCACCTAGCGCTAATGATGAAGGCAACGCAGTCGTTGCTGCCGCTGCAGCCGGTACTAGTGGGCTAAAGACGTTTACGAGCGGGGGGTTGAACGGAGCAAACACGGCAACACCTGTCTCTGGACAATCGCAATTGTTCTGCGTCTGTGGAATGTCACTACAGGATCTAAGTGCGCAGGAGAGGGCGTTGATTCCCAGCCAGCCGCTGGATGTTATGGATGGGGAATTGTTTAGGCATCAGGGTAAGATTGGAGAGTTGCCGCCAAGGTTGGATGCGACTGGGGGTGGGAGTAGGAGGAGGAGTCCATCGACGAGTTCTACTGCTGCGGGGATTGCGGCTAGTTTGAAGGGTAGGAGAAGAAGTACCTCCAGTACCCGAACTACTACTTCAGGCGCGAACGCTGTTGCTGGCTCAAGTAGTGGCAGTGCTCTAGCAGAGAGAAGAGGTTCAATTACAGCGAGTATCAAAGGTCGAAGTCCATCAATTGCCTCGGCGCTCAGAGCTAGGAGACCATCTAATTCGAGTAGCAGTAGCTACGCAGGTGGAATTGGGCTCGGAAGAGGGGAGAGTGCTAGTAGAGGTAGTGCCGTTAGTCGAATTTCGGCTAGTAGTAACATTATGGCTGCTCAAGCCGTTCAGCAGCAACAGCAGAGGGAAGGGTCGATTCCTCCACAGGCTGCATCGGCTGGTGCTGCGGGTACAACGAGTACTGGTGATGATGTGCGCAGGATTCCCGAGTAGCCCTCACATGTGATTCAAGAGGGAGAAAGGGGAGATGAAATGCTCAAAACCTCTTGTCACCGTCTCATTGAATTTGTGAGTTTGTCAAGTGTGAGGAGTACGAGTGTGATACAGACGAACAGTGTGCGTTGTCCTCAAGCAGCACCAAGGCTTGAGTGAAGTTTGATTGCAATGCTTGAAAGTGTCCATGACGGAGTCTGGGAGATGTGAGACAGAGATTGCAGGGATGCAAGCATGAGGTGGTATAGAAGCAATCTTAAAAGTAACCACCGCGATACTTGCTACCCCCACCACGAACTTTCTCTCCACCTCCGCCGCCATTCTGCTTGGATTTGCTACCTCCGCCGCCTCCTCCACGACTACCGTTATCACCATTACCATTACCATGACCGCCACCTCCACCATTGCCTCTTCCACGCCTCCTCTTTCCACCACTGCCACTGTTACGACTGCTAGCACCATCAGTGTCCCGTTCATAAGGCTTTGATCTGGCTTTTTGATTCTTCCTCGAGAACTTTCCACGTTTGGGTCCGCCGCCTTTGCTGCCACTATCGCCAGAATGACCCCACCCAGTATGAGGAGCTGCTTTGTCTTTCTGTCCTCTACCTCTTCGGTTATTCTTTTCGTCACCTCTTCGTTTCTTTCTTCTACTGCCATTGTCGTCGGAATCCGAACCGCTGTCGGTGTCGCTAAACGTGCCATAATTGTGATAGACATCAGCAGCGTCGTCGTCACTCTCAACTACGACAGGATCATTAAATGAGTCACCTTTGCGCTTCTTACTCGGGCGAGAGTCTGTATTAGTGGACCGCCTACTACCTCGTTTGCCAGCAAGATCTCCAACGATATCTCTCGTGCTGGGGACACTTTTAGTGTCAAGACCTTTCGATTGGAGCTCAGCACGCTTCTCAAGCGCAGCTCGGATCTCCTCTGCGTGTTCAGGATAGTCGTGACGATCTCGAACCCATTGTCGGAAGAGGTGCTCGGGAAGGGGTACCTTGCCCTTCTTCTTCTCTTTGCGCGTGAGGAAGCCTCCTTCGCACTCAATAGCTTTGGTGCGGTCAAACGAGACTAAGCGTTCATTGTCACCTCCACGCGAGCGTGAAGAAGGACCTGCATGTGCAGAGGCTGGCGAGGAGGTGCGACTTGAGCTGCGGGATGACAAGATGTGCTTGCCAATCGTCAGAGGCGCACCGCTGCTGCCGCCGCCACCGCGGTGGTCACGAATGGACTGACCGTGTCGAGAGCTGTTTGCCCCATTTGCTGCATTCCTTCCCCTTGGACTAGGCACAACATCTCCTGCAACATGCATCGTTGCACCGCTACCCACATTGAACGTGAACTGTGAAGGCGGCATATTGAATCCAGCTAGCGGTGGTGCGCCTGGCAAGAGCTTCGCAAATGGTCCTAATCGAGACACGAACTCGGAGAATGCTGACGGCTCGCCTGTGTCTCTTGTCGGGTTGACTCGTGGTTCTGGACAGTCATCTCCCCAATGATTCCCAGCAGTCGAACAGTTGTAACACCACCTTGTTGCCGGATCAAACTGCGACTCTCCCGCTCCACTTGGCGCTTCAGGTTCTCCTGCTCTTGTGAATTCATCTTCTGAGTCTAAAAGCTCAGCCGGATCAGGTTCCAGATCTTTCCTCGGATCTCGTGCGCCTTTTCCATGCTGCAGCTTGAAGAACGCTTTTGCTCGATGACGATCAAAGTCTTCTGATGTGCTGTATGTGTATACGCGCCATAGTGTTGGACAGAGCGCTTTGACATGGCTGTAGGATCCGCATCGCTCGCATTCTTCGCTGCGGGGCCCACGTCGTGGCTTGGGACAGGTTCTTGTCTGGTGACCCATTCCACCACATCGGAAGCAACTTGTCGACAATGGACAAAAGCGTGTCAGATGCTCGTCCATCGCTCCACATGCTAGGCAATGTTGATGTGGGCAGTGACGTCGATCGTGACCAAACTCTCCACAGCCAAGGCATTGCTCCTTGGCTCTGCGTTCGGCTTTCTCTTCTACTCCGTAGTAGCGATTCGCTGTTGACGGGTCCATGTCGAGCTGTTCAAAGTCTCCCATGTCGCCCTCGAAGTCTTCTTCCAGACCTTGGTTATCGCTCGTGTTGTCGGCAGATGCTTTTTGTGATGGCCCGGCAGAGCTGCTGCCAGCCTTAGAAGCCGGGTGGTCTGCTCGTGGGATCACATTGACGTGTGATGGGAGCAGCAGGCCTGCCTCGACATGCGTTTCGACTTTGTCTGTCTTGCTTTCGTTGTCCATTGAAATTTCTTGGTCGACGTCCATGTCACCTGCTGTATCGATGACGAAGCTCATCTCGCCGGCATCACCTTCTGGCATGTAGTCATCGGCCTCCAGTGCATCATGGTTGTTGTCATCCTGCTTGGCTGATTTATCTGGTCTGCTGCTGCTGATCTCGCCTTCATCGCGAGCGTTGTCTTTCCTTTCAGTGGAAGATTCGTCTGCCGTGTAATCCTTGCTTGTTCCGTTCGTCCGACTGCCCTTCTTCGGGCTAGATGGTCCACCTTTGCTAGAGTCGTCATTTCGTATTGAACACGCTTCCTCCTGGGAAGTCTGAGTTGATGATGCTGTTCCCTTTGACGGCGCGACCCCATTCTCTGACGACGTCTGGTCGGCCGAAGACAGGACAGCTTGCTGGGCTGTGGCGACCACGTCGGTCGGATTCATGATTGCTATGAAAGGCCCTGCAGCCATCGTTGATTACCGATGGTCGTGGTCGAATGCTAAACCTGCCTCGCTGGTATCAGCGCATCGCAATGTATCCCTTTCCTGCGAGCGAGCGTGAATGCGTGATGGAGCGACTTGGTCGGCGTAGCCAGAAGCTGGTGATGGTGATATTTGAGACAAGATAAGATTTGCAGAGGCTGAGCTGTGATTAATGTGATTAATGTAGTGGAAGCAAGCGTGCATCAGGTTTCAGGAGAAAAGCCCGATACGAACCATAATGAATCGGCAGCTAGGCTTCTAGGCGAGGTTTTCTTTTTTTTTTTTTTTTTTTTTTTTTTTTTTTCCTTCTTCCCAGGTCAAACTTTTCTTCTTCTTGCACTTCAACTGAAGTGGAGGAAAAGCGGCGTTTCGCACTTAGTCGGCTATCGTAACGCGTCTTCTCGTGGCCAGCTCTGAAAGCTGTGATACACACACTGCAGTCAGCGGTCAACAACCACAGTTGAGTGTCTCGATATCATTATCGCATTCAGGTCATTAGTAAATGTTCTATGAGAAGGGCGTACGCTATCGTGTCCGCATGCATGAAGAAGAAGCAGAGTCTACTCGCCAGAAAAGAGCCTCTTGATGAGGTAGACAGTCGAACCCAACATCCTGAACGCTGCCAAGCCAGCCACCGAATACAGCAAGAAAGCCATGTATGTCACTCGTGTCCCGTTGGAGCTAATGTTGAGAATGCCGACAACAAGCGCGGCGTTACTCAAACTCCAACACAATACCACGTTGGTTCGCACAGTGGCGTAGTAGTCTGCTTGCTTCTGGTCCCTGTCCACCTGCGCAGGACCTTCTCTTGGCGGCTTGTTACTAAGCACATGAATAGCGTCGTCATAAGCATCGTTGATATCCTTCGACTCGGTTGGAATAGCCACTTCGACTTGGTTGTTGCCTGCACCTCCGACTACACCCAAATCCGTCATCACCTTGTCCGATCCCTTGGTGCCCCATGAAATGTCGTTGATGTTGGCAAACGCATAGATGCTAATCACGTTGACGAACGTCGGTGCCATAAGCAGATACTGAATAATCGAGGTAAACATGTGCCAAGGTTCGAGAAACATGAGACTCGCCAGCATCCAAACACCGAATGTCGCCGCTAATGAAATCACGATATTGACAAAGATCTCGTTGGTGATCAGCGCTTCGGCTCCGCCGCCACCAGTGGCTGTCGCGTTGGTAATCGAGTCAACCGCCAAATAGACAGCAGCACCTGTCATGTAGAGCGTCAGAAGCGCGAAGACCACCATGGCGAGCGTATATCCGAACTTGCTTCCCGCAGGCCTGTTACCCATGGAGAGCAAGAAGCAGAAGATGATGAAAGCAATGTAGACGTACGAGAGTACCTGGTTCGGTACCTTGAGTGCGTTGACTTTTTCGCTCATAGCAGTGGTTAAGATCCAAAAGGCGATGAAGAAGTTAGCCATACCGAACCAAGAGAAGATGAGCTGGATGGTCTGGTAGATGATCTCGATGTGCAAGGCAAACTTGCGTCCGAAGGAGTGAGAAGAGCGATAAATGTAGCCAAACTTGATGATCGAGTGAATACCGGCGAAGAAGGATCCGTTGAGCCAACGTCGACGCTGCGAGATGAGCTCAGGCACCTGATCAGGCACATCTGTGACGGCTTGTGCCGACTTGACGTAGTGCAAGATCCATGCGCTGTCACGTTTCGACACCAGCTCCCAACACAAGATGCGGTCCTCGGCAAGGTACATGTTCGAGGTAAACACATCGGCATCGGACTGACCGCCGTGAAGTGTTTCACCCTTGAAGTACGAGCACAGCGGACCCTGCCCCGTGGCGTCGTTTTGCAAGGCGATGTAGCGGTAGGCTGAAAAAGCACCTGGAAGCACAGTGATGTAGCCAAAGACGGATTCGAGAGGCTTGTCGAGGATGTTGGACATCTTGTACTCGAAGTTCTGTGCAGCGACGAGCGGGTTCACCAATGCACTCCAGTACTTGCCCTTGAGCGCAACAATCTCACCACAAGCACCGCCGACGTTGGAGTTGATGTCAAATGCCTTCCAGAGGTGGTAGATGGAGCGTGGCCTGGGCATGGTACCGACATCGAGCAGCACACAGATGTTGGGCTGCAAGATCTGGCCGAATGCGTTGAAGAACCATCGATGTGAGTTGATCTTCTTCTGATTGCGTTCCTTGAGGCAGAACAGGATCTGAACTGGCATGATCCCCTTCTCGCGACCCTTAAAGTGCATGCTGGGATCGATCGACAGCTGAGCCGTGTACTCGTAGATATGGGCTGTGACAGGCTTGCCATTGACGACATTCTTACCAACACCCTCCTGGTAGACTCCCATGGCGGCGAGACAGGCCAAGGTGCGAGAGTTAATCTTGAGACGACCATCCGAGACGATACAGACGACCACCTTCTTCCAGCCTTCCTTGCCCCAAGTCTTGGAGCGTTCGCGAGTGCATAGATGGGCAATGTTGGTCATGACACCGTGCATGGTGCGTGTGAAGAGCTGCTCGTCCTCGTTGTACATGGTGAGCACGATGAAGAGCTCAGTTCGGCGGGGGGGATCGAAAAGCACCTGGCGCAGAGTGTATCGCTCGTCCTTGAAGTTGTCGGGGTCGCATGTAGCGGCTGTGTAACGCATGTGAGTGAACTCGCGCGATTCTCGGTCGTTCAGCTTGTCGAGCAGCTTGGAAGGTACGGGACAGTCGAGGACAAGGTTTCCGTGGTAGAGCTCGACTCTTTTGAGAGTCTTGTATCGTCTTGGCACACGTTGTGGGATTTTTCCGTAACGCACACCGTTCGCTTGGCCGTTCTCGAGCACGTTAGGATCGAATCCTCCGGGCATATAGTCATCGGGGTCTGCGCCGTTGGGGCGAAGCAGGCGACCGTGTGCAGGTCCATTGACAGCATCCTCGTCCATAACATCGTCATCGCCATCCGCATACTTGTCAATGGGGCCTATGTGGTTGCCATGCTCGTCAAAGTGCGAAGCGGGTGCATACGAGTAATTGTTGCCATCCCTTGGCAAGAGGGGAACATTATTTTCGTGGTCGTCGAAAGGGTCGGCAGCGCCACGATGGGGCTGCGAGTGCGAGTATGGGTTGGACATGTGAGGCGAGCCGACAGGAGGAGGATAGGATACACGGTCGTCGTTGTAGTAGTTGGCCGATGGCATCTCGTAGCCAGTGTGATCTCGGGAGGTGGATGTTGGCATGTATGGATCGTAGGAGACGTGAGGAGGCGATGTAGGCTCTGCGCCCATATCGTAGGTGGGATATGCGTTTTGATCGTGGGAGAGAGGTTGCATTTGTGCCTCTGCAGTCTGAGGATGAGCTTCATCGGACCGACGCCCACCACCATACGGATAGCGAGGAGGCATGATTGGCCAAGGTGTGATGCAACGACGATCGAAGTGGGTCCCAAGCTAAGACAGCCTGGTTCGATGCTCTGCTGTTTAAGGAGAACCGTTGCTGCGATCTGTGTCGATAAACGTGCTTTTATGTGCAGATGAAGGCGAGCGAGCAAACGTTGCGGGTGTGAGTAGTGGTGGTGATGAGGTCAGTGAAGGAAGGTGGAAGAAGCAAAATTCGCTTCGAGTTGGTGTGATCAGGGAGATGAAGGGGCGGTAAAGTGGTCAGAAAGAAGATTGATGCAAGAGGCGTTGTGGGAGCCTGAACGAGGACAGACGGCAAGGGCAGGAGCAATGGCTTGTAAGAGGCAGTGCGCATGGCAATCGTAGCGTTGCGGGATTCAGTGGAAAGGGCTTGACAGGCGATGCTGTGAGAACAGGGAGCAAGCAACACAACAGGCGACAGAGTGCAGTAAAAAGTTCACATGAGTGTTGGTCTTCGGATCTATGTGACACTTTGCTCTTGCCTCTTTTATCGTGTGTTTTTCTCTTTTATATTATTGTTTGTTTGTTTGTTTGTTTTTTTTTTTTAAATTCAAAGCTCCCCCTGTCAATTTTCGCAATTTTCGCAATTTTCGCAATTTTCGCTTGCTCATGAAGAGAAAAGGTCCAAGAAATTTAATCGGCCGCATCTCTCTTGGCGAGGCTCCTTTTGCGCTCTGCCCTTCTACTGGAATGGCTGTGAGCGGATCCGCCTTTCGCTTTTGCATTACCGCGTGTTTTCAACGGCACAGCGCTTGCTGCCGAATCGACAATCCAAGCCAAGGGCTGTGTAACGCTAGGCTTAACATACCATCATCGTCTCGCTTGCCTCCGAGCTTGGCGTCCTCATCAAAGTTCACATGCTCCGTTCCGCCGCTATGTACCTCTGTTTATCTCGGAACCGGGAACCTGCCTTCAGCCATTCGCGCACGGAACAGGCAGTCGACAACACGGATCGCCAGAAAGATGAGTGGTATTGGGCATCGGACAACGTGGGCTGAAACTAACAATAATAATGACACAATGGATTCCTTAGCTTCGAGAAGATGGATCCAGCGGCTGATAGGCGGGTAACTGATCTTCCTCGTTCGATGGTGCTTCAGCGGCACTCTCCTGCACACCCGCAAGTGGCTGCGTTCGACCGGCGGCCGAGCCAGATGACTGGATCTCAGTGCCGTACAGCTCTGCCTGCTGCGGCTGTCGTTGCAATCGTGCTTGGTCCGCGTGTCTCTGCACCTCGGCATCTTCCTGCCTAGCTTCCATTTCCTTTCGCTCCCTCTCTGTCAAGTGCACGTATGGATCTGCTGAGCTGTGTGCCACGTTCGAGCTGGACGAGGCAGGGAACTGCGTCGCTGCACTGTGACCCGGCGTGTACGAGCTTCCAGAGACTGGCAGTGACCCAGCACCCACATCCGCGCCCTTCATCGGCTCACCGCGCAGAGTGGCGCCATCGACTAACCAGCTGCCGAGGTAGCTGATAGGAGCTGCAGCACTCATAGTGGTACTGGCAGAGCTTCCTACCGAAAGATCAGTGACCAGCTGTCGGATCTTGGCTTCAGCACTTCTGGCTGATGCGGTAGAGTATTGAAGCTCAAATACGTAGCTACCCCTCCAGATGCTGCCTGCGACTGCGGTCGCCGTGATAGATGCGGGTCGACGATCGACCTTGCGGATCGAGATGTCGTCCAGCTTGCGAAGCTCTGAAACCAGCCTGTCGAGCACACTGGGGCTATCGAGGTAGTTGCCCGCCTCCGACGACAGGTCCGAAGTAAGTGCGTCATTGACGCTGATCAAACAACGACCCGTCATGCCTGCCGGAGCTGACGAGCTATACAGCCACGACAGCGACGAAGGGAGCGCGTTGATGGCCAGCAAGCCCTGAAGCGGCTCACTCGCTAGCACCAGGAAACGTGTGCGGTTGTCGTTGACGTCTTGGATTTTAGAGCGCAGGACTCTCACGCCAACAGCGGTTGCTGCAGCCTCTGCACCAACAGCTGCGATGAGCGAGTGGGATGAGAAGCCAAGCGATTCGTAAGCATGGCTGATCGATGTGGACGGCATGCCAGGTGCGGTGCCGTTCTCGAACTCCAGAGCGGTGACTGCGGCTGCAGCTGTCGACTCGACAGCCTTCTTCTTGGCTTGAGGCAGGTATCGTGTGAGATAGTGCGAGCATTGGCCCAGCGCTTGCTCGTGAGAAATGACGTTGGTGATGTTGGACAGTGTGTCGTCTCGGATCGGTGCATTCGCATCCGTGTCACCTTGCAAGTACAACAGGTGATGGTACGTCTTGGGCCCGCAGAGCAAGACATGGTCGATGTTGAGACATGCTTCACCAACGACGTGCACTCGAGTGCCATCGGAAGGCTTGAAGGCGTGACGATCGCCATTGCTGATGCCCAAGAGGTTGTCAAAGGTTTCGCGGACTGGACCAAAGGTGCTGTTCTCGACAGGCACGATCGCGATCTTGGCGTTGCCTGGTGTGCCTCGGCGCACAAAGTCGATAGCACCGGTGATGCTCTGCATTGGGATGAGGTTGGTGCCTGCCTCGCCGAACACCTTGAGTGCAGCTTGGTGGCTGTAGGTGCCAGTTGGACCGAGGTAGGCGACAGCACCTGCCGAGATGGATGCAGAGCGCTGGCTGGCCGAAGATCTACGAGGACGAAGAGTACCCGACTTGGGGCCGCCAGGGCCTGTAGGAATGACGCCCGTTTCGGCGACAGTAGGGCCAGGGGGCCCGGCAGCCTCCTCGTCTTGGGCTACAGCGCTGCCTCCTGCTGCAGCCGCGGAACTAAGGTCAGCAAACGGATTAGCGATTGGCGATCGCAGCGTGTCGGAAGTTCCGGCTGAGGGACTGCGTTGAGGTCGAGGCGGCAGCAATGGAGCTGGCAAGGTCGATGGACTCAAATTCAGCTTCTGGTTGGATCCGCTGCCAGCTGCATCAGGCTGAAGACGATCTCCTCGATCCGACGAGATGCTGCTACGTCGAGGCGATGGTGGGGTGGCTACAGCGGCAGGCGTGGGAGGAATTGCCTGAGACGCTTGGCCGGTCTGGGCCGTTTGATCCTCCTGAAACTCAGCGCGGTGAGAGACGCCGTATGATACCGTCTCGGCACGACCGATATTTGCAGTTGACGAAAGTGCTGGGTTGGAGGGCAAAGTAGGGAGTGAAAGATCCAGCTTGAAGCCAGCAAGAGCAGCAGCAAGAGCTGCATGAACCTCGGCAGTCTTGGAAGCGCCATCCCAAAGCGGGATGCTCTCGCCACGAGTCTTGACTGAGGCAGGGAAGGACGACTTGTCTGTGGGGATGACGGTGGTGAGCAGCTTGCCGTAACGAGCAACGAGGGTCATCTTCTCGCCAAACTCGATGAGACTGTCGAACATGGCAGCATAGCCTTCCTTGAAACTTTCACGCTTGACGTGACTGAGATACTCTTCGTCCGCCTGGTCGTCGTTGATGAGATTCTGGAGGCGACCTTCGGCCTCCTGAGCTCGCGCGCTTCCAGAAGCAATAGCACGTTCGGGAACGAGAGCGTGCAGTTCCTTCTTGAGTTTGCTGCGGTTGGCTCTGCGGATGCCAAGCTCCATTTCGCTCTTTTCGAATTGCTTGAGACGGCTGCGTGCCTGCTCGGATCGTTGGCTGTGAGCGGTTTCAAGCTGGCCGATTTCGTGCCATACGTAGGCAAGACGGTCGGTGACATCTACCAACACCTCATCCCCGACGCTGTCATCACGTTTCTCCGGCAGATGATGCTGACCCCAGGTGAAGGTGGCCTTGGCAAGACTCTTGGCCTCTCGACCAGCGGCCTCGTGGTCGATGTTGAATCCCTTGATGGCTTGGCTGAGAAGATGGAACTGGCGAGTAGATTCGTAGCGAGGATCTACGGATGCAATGCCGTGTCGAAGCAGATGAGGAACGGAGCCAGTGTAGGTGAAGCCGGAGCCAGTTCCTGAGGAGGTGGTGGTCGACGATGTTTCGCCGGCACCCGAAGCATCACCTATCTTGTTGGCGGAGGAAGCGGCATGATGAGCTTGCAACTGCTGAGCAGCCGCTTCGGCACGTTCCCTCGCTTTGGCAAAGAACGAAGCCATCTTGATGTCGAGTTGGATAAAGGCAGAAGAGAAGGTTGGAGGGCTAGGATGCTATCTGTATATACTTTGCTCTCTTGCGCTTAATCGCAAGTGCCGTCTGAAAACTGAGCAGAGTTACAGAAAGGAGCGTGAGTGTGTCTCGTGGTCGGGCCAACTGAGAGCGCATGACACGAGGAAGAGAGAGAGAGTAAGTGCAAGCGAGCAAGCAAAAGCAATTTCAGAAAATGACGTTGCCGAGAGCTTTGAGAGCTTGAGCTTCGTCTTGGCTGCGCATACTTTTTCGCACGAGCCAGCTGGCTGGCTGGTTGCAATTCTCGACTCTCAACTGTCAAAAAGAGCCCACGCGCCACTGGCTCACACCGGCTCACAGAATGATCAGCCACCTTCGGCAGACTCCGCTTTCCCCCTACAGCCTCCCAGAATCCCTTGCCTTCCATCTCTGTACACTATAGAGTTGCCAAGGCTCTGCGTGCACATGTGGGCTCTGCAAGACAGCGGGCTGAAGCGCTCGGTCAAGGGAGATGCTACGTGCGTTGCAGTCAGCTTTTTAGCGCCATCATTTTATCCAAATTAAATTTCAGAGATGAATGGTAACCAATTTGACAATTGTGCAGAGCAGCGATGAAGCGACAAAGTCTCTCCCTGGTCAGCAGGAATAGGCGGTCTGCCTTTGCAGGTAGGTACCAATATGCGCCCGGGCTTCTCCGTTCGGTTGCGGTGGCCTTGAGTGTCAGAAAATCGGGAACGACATGACCCAACGTACCAAATGAAAGCCTGTTCAAGCAACGTCGAGCAATCGCGTGCTGGACTCAAACCTTGCCGTGAAGATCGAACTGCCTGAAGCAGCCACATCATATCCTCGATTCGGTGGCCCGTGCGCGGATCAGCTCAAAAGTGATGGCCACTTCAGTGCAAGACTGTATTGTCGATAGGGTTTGGTTGTATCAAGCCACATAGCCTGGTCTCTCTGCAAGGATCCTTTTCGTTCTAAACAGGTGGCTTGGGAACACGCCCGAGACAGCTCAAGCAAGGTCTGTTGGGTCAAGATGATGTGTTTTCTATGCTAACGTTAGAAGTACAAAGATGCTGTAGACAAATGTGAGAAGTGGTAGAGCGTCTGTAAGACGGTATGCAGAGACGCTACTGAAAAGGCGGAGTCGGCATCGACTACCCCAGCTCGATGTCGCTTGCCAGTGGAAGTCGCGGTCTAGAGTGGCTTGCGTCTCTTGCAGTAATTGCACTCAATGGTAAGCTCGATCAGTCACGACCAGAATGGGTTTCATGCGTCTACTTCCATCGAACCCGGCGCTGAAGCTTGAACTTGTTCGTCTTGGATGGCCTCATCTGCATCCTCTTCCTCGTCAAGCCCACTGGATCTTGCAAGCTGGTTCAAGAGTGCATCGGCCATCCTTGCAGCTTGGAGACTTCCTATGCGAATGGCCTCGCTGACACGCTTGAACGAGATCTCTTCTGTGCCTTCGGTTCGTACCGAAAGCACCTTCGATGAGCGTGTTGCGAGCACCTGTACTCGTGAGCCAACACATGCCTCCTCGTCCACATCCGCATCGAGCAGATAGCTGTTGGGCAAGATGTTGACTGTGATGCAAAGCGGCAAGTCGTGTCGGCCATCTAGTGCTGCACCGTCCTCTCCACTGTGCTCAAGCTCGAAGTCGACGACTTTGGAAGACGAACCCGCACCTTTACGTTGTGAGCCAGATGCAGTGTTCTTGGGTTTCTTCTTGAGCAAACCTTTGATACCCATCTGATCGAGATCACCTGTCGAGTTGTAAAAAGCGCCTTGGACAGCGTTGCCTTCTTGGTCGAGTGTTGCTGGTGCTTCAAAAGCGACACCACGAGTGGCAGGGACGCGTGTGTCGTAGAATGCGGCAAATATAGACGCAAAAGCTGCATCGAACAGGTTACCGCCGGAGAGGGAGTTGACGAGAAGGTCGATGTATATTGTCCAGTACTTTTCGTTGGCAATGATGAGTAGCTGATGTAATGGCAAGGGACATGATCTCGGCGAGAAGGCGGCATTGACCATGGAAGATAGTGATATTGACAGTGCATCTAGCAGCTTGTTGTCAAAGGAATGCACTAGTGATCGAGAGCTGCAGTAGAGGTGTGAAAGGGGGCAATGCAAGGTCAGCGGCTGTTGTCACTTGATAGTATGAAACAGCAACGTTATGTGATATGGGTTTGGAACACTCACTAGTCAACCGAGCACTTGATCCTCCCTGTCTTCCTGCTCTCTGAAGCGAGCTCTTGGTCATCCTGCGTTTGGAACTCGGCCTCTTCGTCCTCGTCGTCGCTGTCATCACCGAAGCTCCTGACTTCTGCTTTGATACCGCAGAAAATTTCTGTGCCTCCTAGTGTGATCTGTGAAGAGCCGTTCGCTTGCGCAGCGATGCCGGTGTCGATCTGAAGAGAGCGAAAGGCGAGAAGATGGCGCCCGTCGGATCGTTGTGGTGGATCCGCTGTGAGACCTCTGAGGAAGAAGTCGCCCTGCGACCGTGAAAGGAGGTGTGGCGCCATAACAGGCTTCGTGTACCGTGAGAGACGTAGACGTGATGCTGTTGTAGATGCTGTTGATGATGAGAAGCTATGGCTCGAAGGTGTCCGAGAAGATTGCGATTCCGTAGAGAAAGCATGCATGCTTCGCAGCAAAAAAATGGACAAATTCCCTAAAAAGTGGAGGCACGTGACGTCCTTTGGTCTCGACACGCTCCAGCACAATTTTGGTCAGACCAACACACACACGCACGCTTGGGCATGCCGAAGGCTTTCAAGCTGGGACGCGTCGTAAAAGTCACAAAGTCACAAAGGCACACACACACACACACACACACAAAGCATTCGCTGCCACCCTTTTGGCATCCGCACAGCGAAGGGCAAAGTCAAAGACGGAGGCAGACAATTGTGCGCTGAGCTTGATCAATCGCTATTTGGGCCGAAAGCAACACTCCAACCACCATCGCCTTCTCGTAGCTACGCATCGTGTCGTTCAGGGAGCAACCCCCTCATAAACGATCGCCATCTTTCGAGCGTAACCCTCCCTCCTCACCGTACTGAGCGATCCGCTTCCGACCCGGCTACTTTCGACTCAATTAACACTCCAACTGGCAGCTTAGCCGATCCGCTGCTATCCCCCTCGGCGACACCAACATGCCCGTCGCCGTTCTGTCGAGATCATCGGGCGGCCGAGCTTCGCGTGAAGCTGTAGAGAAGCCGCGCCAAGAGATCACACATCCAGCGCTTCTAGTCCTGCACACCTCGATCCCACCTCACTTTCAGCAAGCCCAGCAAAGTCTCGCAAATCACCGAAAAAACATCGTCTCTCTCCACCGCATCCACCAGAAAGTCGCAAGCATCATCGAGCCTGCTTCGGATGGCCGCGTACGACCCATCGGCGAGAAAGTCTTCAATCAGGTCTTCTTTGGTTGTCTTGACCGCGTCCTTCCCATCAAGAAGGGTGTACCTAACGCAGACCGTGTTTGCAAGTTTGTCGCAGGCTATGTCATCTATGCCCAGGAGCAATTCCGTCTTCAAGCTCGCGCTGACAAGGCTGAGGCACGCAAAGCAGCCGGCGAAGCAGAGGAGGATGATGATGAAGACGAAGATGAAGAGGACACCACCGCAACTCGCTTCACCATGCTGCTGCTCAAGCATTTGCTCAAGGGCTTCGGTTCCAAGAACAAGAACGTCAGACTGCGATGTTGTGGCTGTATCGCCCTTCTCATCAACGGTCTCGAGGCTGTCGATGAAGACTTTTTCCAGAAATTGAAGAAGTTCCTTCTCGACCGTGCCAAGGACAAAGAATCAGCCGTCCGTGTCCAAGCAGTCATCGCACTCACCAAGCTCCAGTCCACCGAAGATGACGACGACGAGGACTCCGAGCAGATCCGGCAATCCCTTATCGAGACGCTCCGTTTCGATCCTAGCGCAGAGGTGCGTCGAGCTGCACTTTTCAACCTGACTCCCAACGATGAAAACTCTTCTCTACTGCTCGAACGTCTCCGAGACATTGACCCGATCAATCGCCGTTGCGTCTACCTCGGCAGTCTAGCAATGATGTTGAAGGCACAAAGCAACGCTCTGCAAGGCGCTGATTCTGCTCAGGCAGGCCCTTCCCGTCTTGGTCTCGATATCGATGCAGCAGGCGAGGTCATCCGCATCGGAATGGGCGAGCGTGAGCCCAGCGTCAAGCGTGCCGCACAGAAGCTCGTCACTTCGTGGTTCGATGCCTGCGGATCTGACCTTGTCGTCTTCCTCAACCAGTTCGACGTCGTAGCGTCCAAGCACATTGAAGCGGCGCTCCTCACTATCTTCGAGAGTCGCCCAGCCATTGTCGCTCAAGTCTCCTTTGACGCCGATGAGTTCTGGGCCAACTTGTCGCCCTCCACCGCTTTCCTTGCCCGCGTCTTTGTCGACTACTTCAAGCGCACCAAGAACGACCGTCGCCTCGAAGAGTGTCTGCCCATGGTCACTGCCCTTGCCTTCCGCATCGAGAAGGAATACGTAGAGCTGGTCGAGCTCATCGAGCAATACAACGCCAAGGCCAACAGCGCCTTGGCACCGGAGGACGAGCTCGAGATTGCGCTCTTCGTCATCCGTAACAAGACCTTTGTCGTCTCTCAGTTGCTTGGTATCGCGCTTGCGTCCGACTACGGCGATGAGATCGGTCGACGAAAGATGTTTGGACTTGTGCGAGACATGATCTCGGATGTCCAGCTCCCCGAGGACTTGGTCCCTACTTGTCTCGATGTGCTTCTCAAACTCTCCAGCGGCCAGAAGGACTTTATGCGCGTTATTGTTGAGACTGTCCAAGTATTGGGTGCCGAGGACGAAGATGAGATGCCTGGCTTCGACGATGGGGAGGCCGACGATACTATGAGCGTCGAAGGCACTCCCTTGGCTCGTAAGGCTCCCCGCAAATCCATCAAGAACAAAGACTCTGCCCCGCCAGCACCCAACGCGCTTGCACTCGAACACCGACGCCTCACCATCGTCCGAGCCATGCTTGAGCGAGTCGTCGGTGCCCTTCAGGAGAACACGGCCTTCCACGGTTTAATTCCTCAACTCATCGCCCCTGCTGTCCGATCAAAGGATGGAACCGTTCGCGAGCTGGGTCTCACGTGTCTTACTCTCTGCTGTCTGCTCGATCGTAAGCTGGCGCTTGACTCGTTCCCTCTGTTCATCGATCAAGTTCAACGAGCCGAAGGCACCATCAAGCTGCGTGCTGTCCAGGCTGTCTTTGATCTGCTGATCAACCACACCATTCCCTACCTTTGCTCGCGCAACCCAGCGGGCGAAGAGATGGCCAAACGTCAAATCATCTCTTACTTGCTTAGCTTGCTCGAGGACGACGAGCCTGCCGTCCAGAGCGCAGCATGTGAAGGAATGGCCAAGTTGATGTTGACCGGAATGGTTGAGGACGACGAGGCGCTCAAGAGTCTAGTGCTCATCTACATGTCTCCAGAGACGATGGAGAACCAAGAGCTGCGACAGTGTCTCTCGTACTTCCTTCCGGTCTATTGCGGCTCGTCTAGCTGGAACCAGCGTCGTCTGCAGCGCGTCTTCATCTCGGTGCTTCAAGTGCTTACTGAGGTATACGAGGAGAAGGACGAGGACCAGGAGATGGTGACGCCCACTCAAGTCGGTCTTCAACTTCTTGATTGGACTGATCCGGACAAGATTATGATGGGACCTGGTCGGACGCGCGACGAGACGGTTCATGTCGACGTGGCCATCGAGTTGATCAAGGCGATGTACACTATCGATGAGAAGGATCGGCGCAAGGTTATGTGCCAACTGCTTGGCAAGGTCTTGCTCCCCGAGGAACTCGAAGATGCCAAGGTCCAAGAGGTTCTTATCTTGCTCACAGGTCTCAAGGAGCTCAACCCGGTCGAGGATACGGTTTCGAAGAACGCAATCGGTCGCTTCGAGAGTTCGTTCGTCAAGGCATACGCTGCTCAGGTCGAGGCAGGTTTGGACGGTCTTGACCTGGACTCGACAAAGGCATTCGACGGCATGAAGGCTTTCTTTGACGCTATCCGCATCGACCCGCAAGATGTCATTTCGGCGTATGCCAAGTCTTCGGCCAAGACGAGCAAGTCTAGCCGCAAGTCGACACCTAAGGGTTCTTGTCCAGCTCGCTCGTCAGCTGCAGCTGGCAGTAAGAAGAGTCGCAAGCGTCATGACGACAGCGAGGAGGAAAAGGAAGATGATGAGGAGCAGGACGATGGCGAGGACGAGGATGATGACGAGTAGAGTCGGTCGCTATATCTTTAATGTATGTTTTCGTTTCCAAGTACGCTAGTGTTACCTGTCCCTGAAAAGAGCTCAGACCAGCCAAGACTGTGATCAGACTGTGTGGCGTGTGTGTAGGATTGAAAGTGGTATAGAGATGGTGATGGTGCAGGTGGACTATGTTGAGCGTTGAACACCCCTTGCCAAGAAGACTGCAGACGAGACTGCAGCGCCCAACAGCAGACCTGAAAAACCTGTCAAGTACGGACTTGGGTAGCCTACCACAGGACATGTTCCGAACAAGGCCTTCTTCATCCTTACATCTGATGGCAAGAAGGGCAATCCACCTTTCACCTCCTTGTAACTTGGCACGTAACCTGTCTCCCACCCGTCCAAAATCTTGTTCATATCCCCCTCTGTCATTGTACAGATCTCATCCAGATTCCACTTGTCACAAACCTCGATCATCCATCTCATCCTCCTAGCACCAATTTCCGCACTTGGTGCGCGCTTTCTCAGCATCGCTCTGAGTTTGCCGACGTTTGTGATTGCCTGGCCGACGTTCTTTGGGATAGCTGCTTGGATTTTTTGACGAGTCTGTGAGGCGATTTTGGGGCCTTGACCACCGGTGGAGACCATTACTTGGAGAGGACCGTTGCGGATGAGGGAGCCAAAGTAGAAGTCACATTCGGGCGGGACGTCTGCGACGTTGACTGGGATACGCCGCGATCTGCATTCACAGCAGATCTTTTTGGAGAGTTCGACGTCGTCGATTGCGGTAAGGACCATGTCGTATCGGTCGAGGATTTCGGGATGAGCTTGGTCGTAGGATCCATCGATGTAGTTGGTGACCACCTTTTCGGTGTAGATGCGATAACGCATTTCGTCGCATAGGCCGGAGGAGGGACACATGACGTCGAGAATGGCGTCCGCGTCGAGGACGTTGACGAGTCGGCCTGCGAGCGTTTCAGCAGAAGTGAAGCGTAAGGAAGGGATATAGGTAAGGATTTTTGCTCCCAAAACCAAGGTATGTGAGCTTGGTGCACTTACCTGCTGCTACGGGCCCTCCACCAACGATGAGGACCTTCTTGCCTTTGAGTTGCCACGCTATCAAGAGACCGCCGCCTGGGCAAAGCTTTGGATACTTTTGGGCCTCATCGCTGAAGGGGCGCTTTGACGGATTGCGTGATGCCATGATTGCTGTGTAGTTTGTGTGGTTTGAGATGGCTTCTTCACAAAGTGCAATCGGGCTCGAGAGAGAGGTGAGGGAGGAGGATGAAAAGCGAAAGCCTTATCGGAAGATTAAGTGAAACAGCACGAAATCTAACTTAGGTGTGCATCAACCTGCAGCTTCCGACGTCACGTGACGTGACTAGCCGTGACGGTTCTTAGCGGCTCTTGTAGGTCTTCCATCCTGTGAGATCAGCTAGGATAGCATCTCAGGGCCGATAAGAAGGAAAGTAACTCATCGGGTGACCGGCTGATGTGACGAAAGAAAAGTGGAGGCTTTTCCGCGTGTCCAAGAAGGAATCACAAAAACCCCACTTCCGACGCTTTGACAGCACTGAGTTGAAGTCCTTCGTCAGTGCGTTGAAGTCATTCGTCAGTGCGTTGGAGTCAGTCGTCAGTGGTTGGAGTTGAGGCGTCTAGTTGATGATGATAGTAGGAGAGAGAGAGAGCGAGAGAGCTAGAAGTCTATATATACAAAAAAGAGCGGCGGAGAGCCGCATTGACTGCGGAGCATAACAAAGCATTTGCCTTGAGTAGGTTGTGACACATGTGGTCCGTGCTAAGAAGTTCAGGCCTTTTACTCAGCCGTAAGCACTACCTTCACTGTCTCCATGCTTTGTGCGGCTTTATCTACTTCAACTCCCCCCCTCAACAGCATATGTACCCTGTTCATTATGCTGTTGCTTCAAGGTGTGACCTCCGTTCTTCAACACTGTCGCATAGCTCGGGGACCCCATTCTGTACACTGCTGCCGGTATTTGCAGGTGTAGCCCAGATCTTGCTTGCTGCATTGCCTGCCTCCCAATGGGCTTCGTGAGTACGTCTGCCAAGTTTCTTGTGGTGTCTACGTACTTGATCTGCACCCTTCCCTCTTGTACGTTGTTATGGACGAAGTGATACTTGGTGTCGATGTGCTTAAGCTTCCAGTGCTGTGCTGGGTCCTTACTAACCTGTATGCAACCAGTGTTGTCCGAGTAGACCGTCGGTGTGCCTGTGGCAATGCCAATTGAGCGTAGCAGCTGCTTGAGGAAGAGCACCTCATGTGTTGCTTCCGTGGCTGCAATGAACTCTGCCTCGACAGCAGACAATGACATGCATTTTTGTGTCGCTGACTTCCAGGCTACTGGGTTCCCGTACACTAACGCCACTGACCCTGATGTGCTTCTTCTCTGTATGGTGGCATCGCTTGCCCAGTTTGCATCGCTGTGTGCAACCAGTGGCTCTTGCGACTCACTTGCCCTATAAACCAATCCAACCTGCCTTGTGCTTTCGAGGTAGCGTAAGACCCTTTGTGCTGCCTGATAATGCTCCTGCGATGGTTCATGCATGTGCCTAGCGAGAACACCCACAGTGAGACTAAGATCGGGCCGGGTGCTGTTGGCAACCCAGAGCAGCTTGCCAACAATCACCAGATACTCCTTCTGTTGTGCTGCGCTTGCGACAAGGGTTCCCTCCGGTATGCTCTGCATTGGAACCATGGTCGGCTTCGTACGTTTGTCCAGGTGCTTTGCCAGCACTTGGTCGATGTACCCTGACTGACCAATCATCATGGTGCGCATCGCACAGTCTCGACTGATTTTGATGCCCAAGAAGTGAGAGACCTCACCACTATCTTCCATCTTCCATCTCTGACCAATCTGCTTCTTAACCTTTAGGACCGTTTCCAGCCGTGGTGCTATGACTAATGTATCATCGACGTAGATGACCACAATGGCCATATCTTCACCCTGTCCCTTGGTGTAGATGCAGGGAGCACACTCTACCTGGAAGAATCCCATGCGTCGCAAAGACCTGTCGAACTCCTGATTCCATTCTCGCCCAGACTGCTTTAGGCCATATAGGCCCTTGACTACCTTGTACACTTTGCCGGGTGCTACTCCTGATCCTTCTGGCGGCTTCATGTAGATTGCTTCCTTTAACGTGGAGTTCAAGTAAGCCATAGTGATGTCCAGAGCATGTACCTCCCAATTGTTCTGCACCGCTAGTGCTAAGATGGCTCTGATCACTCCGAGGGGTGCTACTGGAGAGAAGGTTTCTTGGTAGTCGATCCCCTCTCTCTGTGTGAAGCCCCTTGCAACCAGTCGCGCTTTGTGCTTAACAGGTACACCATGTCAGGGGTCTCGCGCCTGAAACCCAGGTCGGTCTGTCGAGATACTCGGTGACTATCAAACTGTGCGACAGCTATTGTCTCGAGATACTCAGTGACTATCAAGTTGTGCAGTGACAGCAGGTGGCGTTTGTTGTATATACTATCGTAGGTTTCGGCTGACCTCTGTGGACACTCCGTTCAGGGGTAGCTCGGCACGATCAATATCAATGTTATGATGACACCAAGGTCTGGTGTGAGTGTTGATGATGATGAGGTTGATGGTGTTGATGATGAGATTGGTGATGTCGATGATAATGAGGTTGATGGTGTTGGTGATAAGGTTGGTGGCGTCAACACGAGTGTCCAGTGTGTTGACTTGATGCTTGAAGTGATCCCCGGACCGCAGTGGACTACTGCCTTCGGTTCTATCTATATCCGGACCGCTAACCTGCTATGGGCGCCTTCGGACGTCAGGTAGTGGTGATACAACACACACACTACGATGAGGAGCAACCTTGATAGATTGCTGCTATGCTGACTGAAACTAATGTATACTTATGCTGAAGTGATAACTAGTTATGGTGAGTAGAGTGGATGGGGATCCACTCGACCTATGATGATGAGAAAGCATGGTTATATACCTCTTCACAGCATTGCCAGCGATGCTGCTCCTGCTCTCTCTCCAGAGAGTACCTTCTTCATCGAGTACTGCTCAGGGGCCTCTCCTGCTTGGCATCCCTGTGCCTCTTGAGTGGTGTCGACTCCTTCGACACTGCTCCTCCTCCTCATGACCTGTGTCGACTCCTTCGACACTGCTCCTCCTCCTCATGACCTGTGTCGACTTCCTGTCTCTCGAGCCCCTGAGTGGTAACCATCTGAGCTTGGTCCTCCTCGTGGCTGCGCCTGCTCTTTGAGCTTGGTCCTCCTCGTGGCTGTGCCTGGTCCTCCTCGCATATGGGCTCAGTGCTCCTTTGCATGTGAATCCATAGGAGTCCATGGTCTCCATGGAGACTGCACTACGACCATGCTCTCTACTGGTATCGACTAGGTCTTCGATACCTGTGCTCCGTCCATATGAACCAGTGACCCTCCTGCTTCTTGAGCATCCAGGCCCATGACACACCATCAGTGTCAAGCTTCAGCCGAAGCACAACCTTAGAGTCCACAAGTGGTACTCCTGGTGGTTGGTGCACCACCTCCCAAGTCCCCATTGCCTCAAGTCCTTCTAGCTCCTTTCATATTGCCTCCTTCCAGAGCTGGGCATCCTCACCATTCATTGCTTCCCCAAGTGTTGGGTCCAGGTTCAGTATTGCTGTGTTGGCGGCACCCACTGTGCTGTCTACGGCTGGTAGGAGATCCTCCACTGTGGCCTCTGATCTGGTCTCCTCCTCTACTATGGCTGGCGTGACACCCTCCTCCTCGACCTCCACGGTCACCACGGGCCTGACTGCCTCTTGTTGGCGATCACTCCATCCTTTGTCCTCATGGAACATTGCTGAGTTGCTCCATTGAATTGACGCAGGCTGGTCCGGGTTGCAAAACTTCCATGCTTTGTGTTCGTCGTCATACCCAATCATGATGGCTGGCTTTGCTCTAGCTCCGTGCTTGCCTTGCTGGTCCTTCTGTTGAACATGAACCCATGCCAAGCATCCGAAGACTCGCAGTTGCTGGGCCAGCTTGTGCATGGTGGTTCCATAAAAGGCCTCGTGGGGAATGGTTTTGGTGGCTGACGGGGTAAGGTTCATCACGTGTGCTGCTGCTGTGATTGCGTACGGCCACAACTCTCTGGGGCAAGCTCGACCAATCAGCATCGAGCGCATCTTTTCTTGGACCGATCTGATTGCTCTCTCCGCCCGTCCATTTTGGACGCTGATCCCTGGGACGCTCTTTTGCCACTTAAAACCCTCTTGAGTTTGCCAGTCTTCGGCTGCTATGCTGCACCATTCTCCTCCATTGTCGCTGCAGAGTGTTTTGAGTTTCCTGTCCGTTGCCTGTTCCATCCTGGCTATCCACCTTCTCAGCGCCATGAGTGCAGCACTCTTTGTGCAGAGTGGTTCCATGTAGATCAGAGAGGAGAAGTCGTCCACAGCAACTAGTGCATAGTGGTAGTTGGCATGTCCTTTGAAATCTGTCATCAGGTCTACGTGTACCAGCTCTAATGGTGCCTCCATTCTTTCTGACTCTGATTGGCTCATCCGTGCTCGAGTCTGTTTTCCTTGACTGCACGCGTTGCAGTGCTTCGACTCATGTTCCATTTCCTCGTCGGTACCTAGGTAATGGGCCCGGATTTGTCTTGTTTTGTCTCGTCCTGGGTGTCCGAACCTCTCATGCCATAGGTAGCTGTCTCGATGCTTCGTGTCCTTATTGCCCTCCGGGGCATTATCTAGTTTTCCTGTGTTCTGGTTGTCCTCTGGGACACCATCTCGTGTTTCCTCCAGTTCCAAAGCCAGTGCTTGTCCTCGCACTTTGAAGTGGCCCTGTCTTCTGTCCCTTTTGAATTGTACTTGGGTACCATCATTCTGCTTTATGGTAGTTCCAAACTCATCAAAGATTACTTGTGCACCATTCTCGATCAAGCCTTGTACGGACAATAAGTTAGCATTCAGTTTCGGTACATAAAGCACATCCAATAGTTGGATGGTGGCCTCACCGACCCGAAGGGAGGCATCTCCTATAGCCTTCACCTGAAGCTTTTCGTCCCCTGCCGTACTGATTTGGCCGACCTTGTTCGTTGAGGTGAGCAGCATTCTCTCATCATTTACCATATGATGGGTTGCACCTGAATCGATGATCCAGGTGTCGCATGCTGATCGCTCGCCCCTGTCGACTGCTAGAAAGGTGCACCCGAGTTCCTAGTGGTTCACCTCTTGTGTTGTACGAGCGACAGGTTCGCTTGTGCCTCGTGCGTTTGTGCAATTTCGAGCAATGTGATTTGGTCCTCCGCAAGTGTAGCACTTTGGAGGGGCCAAGGGATTGCGAGGATCGCGCCTCCCCCTGGGTCCTTGCTCCGCCTGGTTGGCACTCCCCTGTTCCGTGTTTGTGGCGACCCTTGCTGCTCCTCTAATACGACCAGTGATCTCACCATCCTGCTGTTTCTTGGCCAGTGCATGGTAGGCTTCGTCATACTTGCAGTCTGGTCTGGCCATTTTCAGTGCATCGACGGTGTTGGCGTAGAACCAATCTTGAGCCGTGCAGTGGTAGAGAGTTGATTTCTTGAGGTCCTCGTCGAAACGCTTTCCGAGGCGTGCTGCATCGTTCCAGATTGAATCAAGTTCCTTGCCTAGTCTGACAACGTCTCGATTGTGCAAGCGCACTGTGTGGATACGATCCTGCAGTCCTGCTCGCTTTACAGCGTCGTTTAGTGTTAGTGCCTTCTTGAGTTTGGCATAGAGTGTGCTACCAAGTTGAACTTCTTCATCCACCCCTCTGACGGTGTAGGTGTCGATGCGGCTATCCAGGCTGTTATCGCAGCAGGCGTGGATGAGGCCCACGAGTGCCTTGTCTAGGTCTTCATCGTATTCCTTGCTCCCGGGTACAACGGTACCATACAGGATTTCCTTCGCGTTGTGCACTCTCTGGAGGCAGTCGATAAAGGTGGGTTCCCAGGTGTGCCAATTGCTATCGCTGAGCTTCTTGATGTGAGCAATGGAGCTCGATACGTCCTTGGGGATCTTTTCGGTCTCCCCGTGTGGAGCTTGGTTGCTAATGTTGACCAGACCCATGGCCCGTACTATTGCTTCCTCTGCTGATAGTGCCGGGTTCGCCAGCTGGAGGATCCTGACTACCTGCGTGAGCCATCCTTCCTCCTGTCCATTGCTTGTGGTCATTTGATCATCATCACCCCTTCCCGTCTGTCCAGCTCTTGTTGATGGCGGCATTGCATTGAGTGTCAGACTCTTAATCAGTTGAAGTCCTTCGTCAGTGCGTTGAAGTCATTCGTCAGTGCGTTGGAGTCAGTCGTCAGTGGTTGGAGTTGAGGCGTCTAGTTGATGATGATAGTAGGAGAGAGAGAGAGCGAGAGAGCTAGGAGTCTATATATACAAAAAAGAGCGGTGGAGAGCCGCATTGACTGCGGAGCATAACAAAGCATTTGCCTTGAGTAGGTTGTGACACATGTGGTCCGTGCTAAGAAGTTCAGGCCTTTTACTCGGCCGTAAGCACTACCTTCACTGTCTCCATGCTTTGTGCGGCTTTATCTACTTCAACTCACTGTGACAAGTTCGCACGTTCCATCATGCCACTCCATCACATTGCATCTCATCAACGGCTCTCATATCGCCTCTTCGGAACCTTCTTTTCATCATCACCGAGGCACGGAAGGTTTGCGAGACGTCCATCCTGAACCGAGGTGAAGCCGTCCGTCATGTCATCTGCATACGCAAAGCAAAAGCTGAAGCTGTCACGCGATGCCTTGGCGAAAAAGGACTGGTCAGCAGCTGCCGAAGCTGCAAATAGCGTTCTCGAGCAAGAGAGCGACAACTACAATGCAAACGTCTTCCTCGGACTTGCACTCTTGAATCAAGAAAAGTTCGACGAGTCAGAAGCAGCTTACATCAAAGCCACACGCGATCAACCAACACAGCTTCTAGCCTGGCAAGGACTGCAGAAGTTCTACGACCAACGAAAGAGCTGGGATAAGCTTCGAGACGTACTGTACAAGCTGATGCATCTCTACAATGATGCTGGAGATGCTACCAAGTGCGCAGAGGCCTTTCAACGGCTGCTAGCCTTGGAAAGGGAGGAGGGCGGGCGAAGGAGGCTTATCGATGCGTTGGCTTTTCTTCTGCCCGACTCCAAGTACTATACATGCCTATCCTCGCTCGAGCTTCCAGATCAGACACAACCGGACAAGACTTCAACTTTTGACACGCAGATGGCCATCCACGCCAAGAGCTTAGACACATTGCTCGAGATGACGGATCTATCGGAAAAGTGGGAAGCAGATACGATACAAAAACAGGTGGACAAGCGCAGATTGCGTCTCGATGGAGCCAACAAGGGCAAGGAGGCTTTGACCAATCAAGTGCGTCTCGAAGTCTACTCCGCCTCGCAGTTACCCAGCCTTTACGAACAGATCTTGTCACATCCGAACGCGGAGGATGAGCTGCGAATCGATGTTGAAGCCAAACTACTGCGACACCGACTCGGCCTACTCACCTCGTATCCGACAAAGCAGCTCGGCAGAGGTTCAGCGCCAACTGGCACAGCAGCAGTCGACCGTCAAGAAGAGGACAAAAAAGAGCAAGCTGAACTGGCACAAGACGAGAAAAAGCTCAGTCTCAGGCACGAAATTCTCAAACTCGCTTCGGGTATGGTCATCATCGGCTTGCTCGACGAGTTGGCGTGGGAGATCGATCTCGAGTGGCGTCCTGTCCGATCGCTTGCTAATTTACCTTTGGAACAGATTCGAAAGTTCATCACTCTCTTCCCAAGGTCTGGCCGCACGAAAGCTTTCCGATCATATTTGCTTCTGATCAAGGACGAGCAGTATCTGCACGAAACCAAGGAGGCAGAAAAGCAATCCGATGTCGAGATCGAACAGCCAAAGACTCAGGATGACTTGCTCAATCTGGCTATTGACGGTCTTGAAGAGTGCCCAGACTCGATTTTGGCGCATCGTATCGCTGCAACCTTCTACCTGCTTGATCGCGACTACCAGTCAGCATCTGAGGTAGCCAGTTCGGCGCTTCATGTCGTCAGTCGCATCGAGGCGGATACTGCTGTTGATCTCGAGCAGACTCGTATTGGCATTTCACGAACGCTTCTGACGGCTCTCACTCACCTTCATCCGCCGCAGCACCATGCTCGAGCATCTCGTCTGGTCGATACCGCCCTTCAAGTCGATCCTTCTGACATCGACACTCTTCTCTGCAAAGCCTACATCGAGCAGAACGCCGGTCGCTGGTACTTAGCCCGTTCCGTCTTCGAAAAAGTCCGCAGCATTGTCTCCTCCCTCGACACCACCGCATATAGAAATCGCATCGAACGCCTTCTCTCCCTCAGCTCAGACTCGGACCAAGAGGCATGGATCGAAATCGCCTGGTGCGATTTAAATCTCTTTAACCTCGACCAAGCTAAATCCGAGATGGAAGCAATCCTCGAACGCATCGATCCCATCACATGCGAAGGCGCTACTGCGGAACTGCGTGCCAAGCTCTGGTGGCGTCTCGGCCGATGTCTTTGGCTCATGGACGGAGTGTATCGTACAAACCCGGAACATGCTTTCACTGCATTCATCACTGCTTTGAAGCGCAACCCAGCATTTGCGCCTGCGTATACTTCGCTCGGTTTCTACTATGAAGATGTCCTTCAGCCGCCGGATCTGGTAAGGTCGAGTAAGTGCTTTCAAAAAGCCTTCGAGTTGGACGCGTGTGAGGATGAGGCAGCAAGAAGGTTGGCTGTTGGTTTTGCGGAGGAGCAGGAGTGGGATTTGGTAGAAGTGGTGGCGAGAAGGACTATCGAAGGTGAAGGTGGTGCTGATGCGATCGGAGGCAACACTGCTGCTGCTGTTCAAGCTTCGAGAAGACATCTTTCGAGGAATGCATGGGCTTGGAAGGCGATTGGAAACGTCGAAGTCGCAAAGAAGCGATTTGAAGATGCTATTCTTGCATTCCAGATCGCTTTACGAGCTGAACCAGAAGATCAAGTTTCATGGCAACGGCTCGGTCAAGCTTACGCTCTAGCCGGTAGACACGTCGCAGCGCTCAAATGCTTCGCTAAGTGTCTCGAACTCGTCAAAGCCACTGCCGACCCCAAAGAAGACGGTTGGCAAGCAGAATACAGCATCGGAGACGTCCACCTCGATTTGGGCAACTTCGACACTGCTATCGAGACATTCTCCTGGATCCTTTGCCGTCATGTTGACGAACTTGGCGTCAGGATAGCGCTTAGCAACGCATACTTGCTATCGTCAAGGAAGGAATTAATGACGGGGTATGCGGAACGTGCGGAGTTGTCGGCACGACGTGCGATCAAGGAAGCTGCCCATGCGCTGTTGAAGCACGATAAGCATTTGAGGTCGGCTTGGAAGATCGTTGCGGATGCCGTGTTTCACCTTAGCAAGTTTGGGAGGCTGCAGAAGGATGACGCTTTTCATGATCTCAGTGTCAGTGGAGAGTTGGGACCATTGCTGAAGTTGGCGAAGGAGCTGGATACTGATGCCAAGCTGCCCTCGATTAGCGTTATTACTCATGACAAGCTGGGGTTGAAAGCCGGAAACGAGATCTCGCCTTTCCGTCTCCTCCAAACCTCTGTTTATCTGTATAAGCTGCGAGTAGTGCTTAACGCGACAGACGACAAGGTCGCAGGTAGTGCATGGGCCGATCTCGCCACATCTCTCTACTGTCTTTCCCGTGCACTCCTCCTTCTGTCTTCTCAAGCCCAACTCTCAGCCCCCGAATCAACTCCTCTCACAGAGTACGCCCAAACCCAGTCGGACTCAGCACGCCTGCAAGCAATCGGAAGCATCAAAGAAGCCCTCCGCCACGAACCCGGTCAAGAATCGTACTGGCTTCTCCTGGGAAACCTCACCTTCCACTCCTCTGTTAAGCTCGCACAGCACTGTTTTGTCCGAGCAATCGAAAACGCCCCGAAATCCGCCATTGGATGGACCAATCTCGGCCTACTGTACCTTCACCACGGAGATGTTGAACTGGCAAATGAAAGTCTGATCAAAGCTCAAACCGTAGACCCAGACTATGGAGCCGCTTGGGTAGGTCAAGCGCTCATAGCTAAGCATTTTGGAGACGAGCGTGCCTCTCGGGTGCTTTTCGAACACGCGGTTATACTGACGGAGGGCAGTGTGGGCGAAGCGGATTATGGGTTAGGTCAAGCTGTGTTTGATTCACTTCGCTCCGGTGGTGGCGGTGTGGGAGTAACGGAGGGAACGTTGAGCGGGGCAAGTTTTGCCATGAGTGCGTATATAATGGGTACTCCGGATGATGTAGATGCGTTACATCTTTCTGCGCTGATTTGTGAGAGGTTGGGACAGGTAGATTTGGCGAAAGAGCGAATTGAAAAGGCGGCGGGATTGTTGGAGGAGAGATATGAGAAGACGGAGGAGGTGGGTGTTGCGCGGCAGTATGCGGTTGCGGAGGCGAATCTGGGTAGGATAAGATTGGCGGGCGGTGACCATATAGGCGCAGCGGAAGCGTTTCAGGCTGCGGTCGGTTTGCTTGATGGCGGAGATGGGGAAGAGGAGGAGGTGGGTGAAGGAGGGGATGGGAAGATTGAGAACGAGTTGATCCGGGATGCGAAAGTTCAGGCTCGAATGGGACTCGCTCTCGCACGTTACTTCTCTGATGAGAAGGAGAAGGCTCTTTCGACGATTCAAGAAGCTATCGCCAGTGCCTCAGAGTCTGACTCTCGCGCAACTCAACTGGACCTCACATTGCATCACGCAAAACTTCTATTCGCAATCCAAGGCAAATCTGGCATCGAAGGAGTCAAATCGCATCTCCTCTCGAACATCGAATCGTCTCCTGAAGGCTCTCCCGTTCATGTCCCATCCATTCTCGCACTCGCAGTCCTCGCCCTAGCCAGCGACGACGCGGATCTTCTGGACGCAGCACAGAGCGAACTCGAATCCCATCTCTCCACCTCTTCTTCCTCGACCAGCATCGACGAAGTAATCCGCCTCCTCATCGCCATTAAATCCCTCACCTCACCCAACAATCCCGCAGCACTGGAATTGGTACACAACACAATCCAATCCATGATCTCAAGCCGGGAGAAGGATCAAAGATCTCTCTTCCGTCTCCATCTCGTTTATCTCTCCCATGCAGCTCACCTGCTGGAGACTGGAGTGGATCTGGGTGAGGAAGTAAGGTCGCAGGTGGTAGCATACACAAGTTTGGCCCAAGACTTGTTCCAATCTTGTGCACCTTTGTTTACCGAGGTGGAGAAGGAGAAGCCAAAGCTACTGGTGTTGCTGGCGAGGTTGAAGAAGAAGTTAGGCGAGGAATTGGGGAGAGGGGTGCAACAGGATCCGGAAACGTTGAGGAAGTTGGCTGTTTTGGATTCGCCTTGGAGTCTTGTTGCTCCCACCTCATCATGGTTCTCCACACTTCATTCCGAGCAATAGACTGTTGAAGTTTGTCGTCGTTTGTGTCCCGATACTGGCGATCGGGGATAGTCTAAGTACGATGTCACTACTCTTTTAAGGCAGAAACAAATATACTCAATTGACTAAGTGAACATGGCAAAAGCCTAGCACTCCCAGCTTGATATACAGCTCACACATAAACTGTCCCACAAATTTACATGTCACCATACATCACTCTAATGCTCAATAGCCATAAGTTGTATTGCCACACTGTCTGATATTGTCTGAAAGCCCTGCTTCTTCTCTCCAAGACTGTGTAAATGATATTGACATTGACTGAGAAAATTGTGCTATGAAGAAATGCCAAGATTTTTTTTTATTGTGGGACAGTTTATGGAGCACTCCTCAAGAACACCTTAGTACTTTGTATTCCCTCCTTTGGCCTTCAGAACTGCCTTGATGCAGTCTGGCATGCTCTCTATTAGTGTCCTACATGTCTCTGGAGTGATCGCTGTCCATTCAGCTTCACATCTCTTGAGCAGTTCATCCCTGGACTTTGCAATTGTACTATACTGTGAAAGTTGCATTTTGAGATGGTGCCAGAGGTGTTCAATCAGGTTTAAGTCCAGCAACTGCACTGGCCATTGCATAACCTTAATACTATTGCTTTCCAACCATGTTGTTGTCTTCTTTGACATGTGTTTCAGGTCATTGTCTTGCTGAAATGTGATGTCAGTGTATGCATGCTGAAGCTGCAAATCTGAGATTGTTTTCACAAGCTTGTCATTCAAGATATCAATGTATTGGTCTGAATTCATTGAACCCAGCACCAAGCGCATACCTCCCACCCCTTCCCATTGTAAGCGGTCGCGCGCCAGAGACTTAGTTTTGGGGTGTTATATTGAGTTTGATTGAGTAAGGTCTACTCAGTATGTTTTGCCTAAACATAACCAAACATTGCCACCTGGTAAGTCTCAACTGACCACCTTGAACACTCCATTCAGAGGTTGCATGGCATGGACACTGGTCATTGGTGAGTGAGTGAAACACCCTCTCCTACAGTATGAGTGTTTGTAGTACTGTTGATAATGCTCTTGGATGTCATCTGGACCATGATATGCTAATTGCCTACAGAGGACAGGAGTTACTGGACTGCAGGTGTGAGTCACCACCTACAATAACTGACTGGACTGCAGGTGTCAAGCAACACTGCCTACAGTAAGGGACTGGACTGCAAGTGTTGAAGAATACCACCTACAGTTGTCGACTAATGGTGATATGACACACACATTGAGAGTTGTTGCAAAAGCACTGCTATTGCAATGGTACATAACTGAGTAAGTAAAGTAGATAGAGTAAGTGTAGAGTGGATGGGGATCCACTTGTATGCTATGGTAGAGTGAGAGTATTTATGCATTCGATTGGTGTTGCCCACAACACCTATCCTGCTCCTCCTGAGGGGCCTTTGTCCCCTGTTCGACACTGTCTTGTCCTGCTGGCATCAATCCCATTGATACTGCGCCCCTACCATTTGCACAGCATAAGGGTTATGCAACACTGCCCTCTCGCCTTCATGCTCTCCTTCTGCCTGATGATGTGTGATGACCCCTTTCGACACAACTCCTTCTCAACCTTGTCTTGTGAATCCCTTTAGCCACTTGTTGAACCTCATGACAAAACCCCTTGGTCATGTGGTCACTTCGACACAGCTCCTTCTCGACCTTATCTTGTGAATCCCTTTAGTCACTTGTTGAACCTTGTGACCAAACCCCTTGGTCATGTGGTCACCCTTGTGCTTGGGCCTGTGTGACTTTATGCATGCACCCCTCGAGCAGTAACCATCTGCATGATACTGAGTCTCCTAGTACTTGCTCATATCGGCCGACTTGTTGAGGCATGCTGATCTGACTGATTCCAACTGATCCCCATGAGTTTAATCTGGAACCCAGGGTTCGATCGATCTCATAATTCATATGCACTGCCAGCCCAATTAATCTCGTTGATCCCTGATGGTTTGGCACCAATCAATCTGGTGCACCCTCCATATATTGATCCATTGTGCACCCTTCATACATTGCTCCATTGCATGACATTCGCATGACTGCCATTGATCAATTTGGCGCACTCTCTTGCGCTGGCCTGCTGACCCTGTGACACCCATGTCATACAGCCCCAGATCATGATGGAGCCACTGCCGAACTTGACCATCAGCCTGACAAGCTTGCTGTTGAAGCTGGCATTCTTAATCCAACAGAACTGCTTACCATCTGGTCCAAAGAAGTTGATCTTCATCTCATTGGACCATACCACATTCTTCCAATCCTCAACAGTCATGTCCTTGTGCTCATTAGCAAATTTGCAACAGGCTTTGTAATGTCTCTTGAGTAGCTTTGGTTTTTTCACTAACCTCTGTGCTTTGTAACTACAGTAATGAAGTGCTTTTCTTACTGTGGTTGGGCATGCTTTGACTTGAAATGTCTCCTGCAGTGCATGACATGCTTTCCTGACTGTGGAGGTGGAATTGAGCTTGAAATAGTGGTCCAGGAAGTGAACATGATGAGGCTGGAGTTTTCTCAGCTGGCCCCCCTTTGACTTTGGAACATCAGTGGAGGTGCTTTTGCTGATGCAATTCACAGTAGACTTGCTCAAACTGAGTTGCTTGGCAACTGAACAGGTAGATTCCCCATTTTGGAGGTGAAAGATTGCTGATCAGTGCTTCTCTGGGGTGGTTTTTGGCATGATGGTATAGATATGATGGTGTCAGACTGGAAGTGCTGCTGGATCGCTCACAGTCATCTGATTGAGCTGAAACTTTCCACATCACTACTTTCGATGTGTATGAAGGCATCCACCAAGTTACATTGCAAGTTTCATTGTAGTCAAAAGCCCACAAGGTCAGGAATGGAGCAGTGTCGCTATTTGGGAGCATGCTCCATAAACTGTCCCACAATAAAAAAAATCTTGGCTCTTCTTCATAGCACAATTTTCTCAGTCAATGTCAATATCATTTACACAGTCTTGGAGAGAAGAAGCAGGGCTTTCAGACAATATCAGACAGTGTGGCAATACAACTTATGGCTATTGAGCATTAGAGTGATGTATGGTGACATGTAAATTTGTGGGACAGTTCATGTGCAAGCTGTACATGTGAGCAGCACATGCTGAAGGTGGGAGTACTCCAACTTAATGATCTACCATGACAACGAGTGGGACTGTGTTGCACCCAATCTCTGGTGAGATCGGCTCGCCTCGATCTCTGATCAGATCGGTCATCTAACTGGATCGGCTCCACCTGATCTCTGATCAGATCTGCCCCGCTTCATCCTTTGGCGTCGCACTGGATCGTAATCTTCAACATAGACACACACAAATTCATCCAGATTCGTCCACAGCAGCGATCGAGTGAGAGGTGACGACGGCATGAAGCATGGGCTTTCGATTGTTTAACAGCAGCTGAAGTGTGACCACTCTAGAAAGCGAGTATGACACTCCTCCCTGTAGACTTTACAAAATCGAACCAATCGACCGTATGACCACTTGAATCCAGCTTAGCCCAATAATCTCTCACAACCTGTACGTTGTCTCTGTTCGCCTTTTCTAGTCCCAAACTCTCCAAATGATGAATGCAGAATTGCCTATCTTGCCTCGTCAGCGCTACTGTCGAGCACAAGAACCAGACAGTGCACATTTCCCAACTTGCCACGTCGAGCCACATTTGGAATGGTGCTGGACCTTCCTCCTCCGCCGCCTCCGGGTCTTCTTCCGTGGGTAGATCAGGGGCAATGAGGGAATGGGAAAGGTCTTCCATACCGATAGTGGCGTTGATGAGCGGGTCGGGATGGTTGGCGTCGCGAAGGTCGTCTGTGGAAGTGTCGGAGGATCGGAGACCGCCGATGTAGTTCGAGGGTGCAGGACGAGGTTGTGCTGGTGCACTGACAGAAGGTTTACGGTGCGAAGAGGCGCTAGTGAAGATGGGTGCAGTGGGGGAGAAGGATTGGATCTTCATCATTTTAGCTAGTCGGATGATTTCGTGCAAGATGTTCTGCAGCTCGGGATGCAAGGATCCACGTCGATGAACTGCTTGGAGCAAGTACAATCGAGCAGTTTGGCGCCAGATCTCTTGCAAAGCAAAGGCTCTAACGCGCAAAGATGAGGAGGTATTGGGATCAGACCAAGGTGGAAGAGACATGACTTTGCGTTCAATCTCGCGTGATCGCTCAGCAACCTCATCTTCGCTAGGTCGGGTTGGGTGAGCAACAGTACTACTTATAGGCCCCCACACATCGGCAGCAAGATCTGAGATCATTTTGAAACACGTCAACAGCTCCAAAGAGATGAGTGAGATACGACCAAAGAACGGCTCGTCTTTGTCGGGCGAACCTGGTGTGATGGCGTCTGCCATACTATTTGCGCGTCGTTGTTTTGTGAGTTGAAGAGGCTTGTGTGCGCCGGGCTCACGGATCGCGACGTGTGTCCGCTTGCCTCGATCCGAGACAGTGTCGAGCACATCGGTGTAGACTGCAGTCAAGAGCATGACCGAGACAAAGGAGCCCTTCTTCTCCTCCTCTCTCGCATGATCGAGATCGATGCCTTCTCGCTGCATGACCTTGCCCAATTCCTCTGTGAGCTGTCGAGCCCTCTCCGCACCAGCGAAGCAAAGACAAGCCCAACGCAAATTGATAATTGCACACAGCTCCTGGTCCAAAGTCAACTCGTCTCTGCTGCGCTGCAGCTCGGCCTGAGCAATGTCAAACCAGAGCTCGACCGTGTACTCTTCAACCTTGTGACCCTTGAAAGCGTCTCGCTCAGGGTCATCCATCTCCTGAATGTTGTCTTCGACCGTCGAAAGCTTGCCAATCAGGTTGCGACCGGGAGTCAAGCCAGAGCGCTGGATGGTCTCGTTGCGTCGAGATTGGGTTCCATACCGCTCTGCGCTGACTTTGACTGAAGTGGAGGTAGGAGGTCTGTCACCACTACGACGGTGGGTTTCGACGATGCTGACGTCTTCCTCAGGCTCCATCTCTTCATCCTCGTCGTCTTCTTCACTCTCTGTGTTACTGTGCGATCGGCGGCTGCGTCCATTGTTTGCTCTGTCGGCAGCACCACCTTGTTCCATTCGGACACTTTCTTCTGTCTCGTTGGGGAACATATCCATCAGAGTTTGCGACTTTGCATGTTCCGACGTGGTATCAGTTTTGCTCTTCTGTAGAACATCAGTTGCAACGGATGTCCAACTTGGCGGAGGCGCGCCCTGTTGACCTTGCTGCTTCGCGTCCGTCTTTTGCGCGGTCTTGCGGACACGCTGAACCAACTCGTGGTACGCCAGACAGACGACAACGACGGAAGCTCGACAGGCCTTGTTGGATCGGATGACACTCATGAGATAGTCGACGGCGGCCTGACGCTTCTTGTTCGACAGCAGCATCAGGGTGGCATGCCAGAAGCGTTCGTAGATCGGGCTGTATTTGCTGAGAAGCGACTCGATGGCGTCCGAGTCAAGCAACTTGCGGTATCGATTGGAAGCTCGAGCTGGAGTGGCTGCTTTGCCCTTGCCAGACTTTGACGACGTATTCGGTGAAGGGGCATTGTCAGCTCCCCGAGCATATTTCGAGTGCGAATGTGCCGATGAAGCTGAGGGTTGAGTGTCGTGCCTGTGAGAGCTGCTGGTCGCCGAGGACGATGCTCGAGAGGGCTCATGAACGGAACGGGATGCAGGTTGTGCATCGAGAGGCGAAGAGGCGTGTTGCGCACCGGCTGAAGGCGTGTTGTCCGAGGTAGGAGGGATTGATGCACCACCTTGTTCACCAACAAGAGGACCTGTCAGTTTCATGAGCTCAGTGACAAAATCATCGAGCATGATGTTGTCCATGCTGTTCGAGTAACCTTGATTCCATTGCGATGCATTTGGCGTGGCTGCACCGTTGCTGCCATTGATGAGATTGAATAGAGTGTTGGTGTCGACAGCGTTGCTCTGCCTGGCAACGTTGACTGCGGGATGCTGGATAACAGGGGCCGAGGTGTCCGCCAAGCCATTCGAGTTGGCTATGGGCCAGATATTGGGACGATTGTATCGGACGGCGGATCGATTGAGTGCTGCGGCGTTCTGATTCATCCAAGCCAACTGATTCGCTACAGCTGAATTCTGAAGTCCCGGGAAGACGGCAGCATTTTGAAATTGTTGCTGCTGCTGTGCAAAGTGCTGTGCAAAATGCTGTGAGGGGAAATGGGCAGAGTTATTCCACGAAGAGGTCGAAGCTGTCGGCGCTTCCGCTGCCGAGTTTGTCGGAACAGCCGAACTGGATGCCAAGACGGGAAAGTTGGCGTGGTAAGCAGCAGGAGTGGCACTTGGCCCACGAACAGCACGACAAGGCGCTTTGGCTGCGCTGCAAGGCGTAGCGGAAGGGGTCGGATAAGGCGTAGCTCTCTGTTGGCTTGGCTCACGCTGAGGTGTTGCACTGCTGCTGAATTGGCAGTGAATGCCACGGTCTGCGCATCGGTTGCACGACATTGCGCCATTGTGACGGACACGAAAGTCTTCATCACATTTCTTGCGTCGTTGCTTGCAAGTGACGCATCCGCTTCGTGAACGGACCTCGCCAGGCTTTCTTGTGCGGGGTGGAGGAGGCGAGCTTGGCCCAGCTGCATCGTTCTTCGGCGGCATGGTGGTGGTGGTCCAGGATCACGATTGAGACTTTGAGCGGACCCGAGATGCGAATGTGATGATTGTTGAAAAGGTGAGACAGTTGAGTTGCTCGTCCTGTCGGAGGAATCCGATGGTTTGCTGTGCATGATCTCAAGTCGGAAAGAGTTGCAGACCAACAAGACCCTGTTGCACAGCCAAAATTGGTCAGTCAAATCAAGCTTCGCGTTGCAGCAACCAACCAAGATTCCAGCGCGGCGGAAGCAGGCTCATGCCGCTGGAGAGATCGTTCGAAATCGGGGCTCCCGATGCTTGACACATCGGGACATGGCAGTTGACTATCCCTGCAAGGATCAAACTTTGCCAACACCTCTCCGTGATGAGCTCGTGCATTGTTCAATGGTCATGACAGTGCACACAAGCGACTCGGATAGTTTGTGGTGCAATTTCGAACCCTGAGCTCGCTTCCGTTGCAATCCGCTATCGGAAAAGCCGTCCCGAGGTCATCTTTCAGTTCCTCAGGAGACGTGACTACAAGAATCTGCAGAGTCAGAATGTGTGACTAGTGCTGCGGTGCCAGTTGAAGTTTGAAGTGCAATACACCGCTTCGTCCGGGCTACATTCTAGCTCCTTTCGCACAGCTGAATGATGACAACAATGCTTGAGATTTCATGAACTAAAGCTACAAAACATGAATATATATATCTTTGCTTTATCTATGAGGATGTCAAACTCTCTCCTATGAACTAGGTGTATTCTAAGGAGCCTGTGTGCTATTCTCCATGAGGAGCTCCTGATTTGACCAGCATGCATGCATGATCCTTGGTCACAATCCTCAGTCTATCTGCACCTCTGGCCATTTGCATATTGGGTAAACCTCTGGTAATTCCAGTGTATCTTCAACTCCCCCCTTGCCGGTGTTCCCAGACCTATCAATTGTGCTAGTTGTGATGTATCTAGTCCTTTCAATGGCTTTATGAGTATATCTGCCACATTCTTGGCCATTCTGACATACTTGATCACTATATCTCCATCTTGTACATGGTCCCTGTCATAGGGCTGGATGCGCAGGAGCAGGAAGAATAGATGTCATATGAGGAAGAGCACAGGAATCGCAGAATCGGGCGAAATAAGGGGTACAGCAGAGTTCATCAAGATCTGTAGTAGAGAGGCTCTATGACAGATCTCACCCAAATTGGCACAAGCAGGATTGTATGAATCCTGCCAAATTTGGTAGTACCTTGATCATAAGATAGATCTTGCAGGAGCTGGCAAGAGGGCACCAATTCTCACATGTCTCACAGCAGGATAAGACATTGTAGGCATTGGGTCCATCATCCTGATGAAGCAGGGGGCCAACCCAATGGTGAGCTCAGAGCAGGAGGGTGGGCAAGATGAATAAGGAAGGTGAGTCACCACCCAGATGAAGTGGGTAATGGCCCTGTGCCGCGTCACGCTCATCTTGCTCTCACGGCCGGGATGTTTGTGGCTGCGACGAGATATAACTCTCGTCGCTGTCGGTCCCTTTAGCTTCAGGAATACCATCAATTCACTACCTCATCTTGCGACTGCGCAGCAGCACATGGTGACAAGATTTGTTCAAACCACACGCCATCCGATCCATCCATCTTCAATTTCCATCTGCCTTCAAGATACTTCTGTCATGGGACAGGATGCGCAGGAAGTAAGAAGATCCAAAGTCATATGAAGAGGAGTGTAAGTGGTTGCACACCAGAGACTAGTTTTGGGTGTTATCCAATTGGTATAGGTGGGATTGATTGAGTAAGATCTACTTGGTATGTTTCAACTAAACATAACCAGACAACTTCATACTGTTAGGTCTCAGCTGACTGCCTTGAACACTCTGTTCAGAGGTTGCACAGCACATTCGTTGTTCATTGGAGAGTGAGTGATACACTCTCCTTACAGTATGAGTGTTTGTAGTACTGTTGTTAATACTCTCGGACATTGTCTGGACTGCAATATTCTTATCACCTACAGAGGATGGAAGTTACTGGACCACAGGTGTGAGACACCACCTACAATAACTGACTGGACTGCAGGTGTCGAGCAACACTGCCTACAGTGAGGGACTGGACTGCAAGTGTTGAAGAACCAATACCACCCATCTTGCTTGTCTGCCAGTGATATGACATTGTGACTTGAAGTACTTGAGCGCTTCATGATCTGTGAGAATGACTAACTGACTTGGAAGTCCTGCTAGCATGTGTCACCACTGAGTGAGGCAAGTGACCACTGCTAGGAGCTCCTTGTCATGGTTCTTGTAGTTTTTCTCAGCTGACAACATCTTCCTTGAATAAAATGCTACCAGGTGCCAATGTCCTTTGTGCTCTTGTTTGAGCACTCCAGTGATGGCAAAGTCACTTGCATCTGTTTCCAGCCTTGTAGGAAGGTGGTAATTGAAGTGTCGAAGTACTCCAGCCATCGTGAATGCTTGGATGAGTTTGTGGAAAGCTTGTCAAGCTTCTTCTGGCAACCCAAACTTCTTGAAACATTCAGTTGGTTTCACCAGTGATGTTAGTGGCTTGGCGATTCAAGCAAAGTGAGCAATGAATTGCCTGTAGAAGTTGGCAAAGCCAAGGAATCTTTGGATATCATGGATTGATTCTGGCATTGGCCACTCCTTGACTGTCCATACTTTCTCAGGATCCATCTCTACCCCTGTGGGTTTGATGATGTACCCTAGAAACTCTACTGTCATGGTGTGGAACTCACACTTCAACAGTTTAGCAAACAGCCAATTGTTTCTCAAATGGGTGAGAACTTCAGTGACATGTTGCATGTGTGCTTCCTCCATGTCACTGAAGATGAGGAAGTCATCCAAGTATACAACAACATATACTCTGATGATGTCTTGGAAGATGATATTGATGAATGATTGGAAATGAGCTGGTGCATTCGCTAATCTGAATGGCAACACAAGGTACTCATATAGTCCCAATTGTGTACCAAACACTGTTTTCCATTTGTCTCCTTTTGCAATGCAAATGAGGTTGTATGCTGCTTGGAGATCTAGTTTGGAGTAGATCTTTGCCTTTCAGAGCAGGAACAATTGCTCCTCAATGAGGGGCAATGGAGCCCTGTTCTTGACAGTAATCTCATTGAGTCCCCGATAATCCACACAAAGTCTGAGACCTCCATCTTTCTTAGGTATGAAGAGCACAGGTGACCTTGCTGGACTCTTCGATGGTTGTATGAACCCCTTTGCAAGGTTCTCGTCCAGATACTTCCTCAATTCAGACATTTCTTTAGGCCCTTTGAGATACAATGGGCCTTGAGGCAGTCAACTTCCTTCCATTAATTCAAGGTGGAGATCATGCTTGGTATGCTGTGGAAGCCTGTCTGCTTCCACCTTGTTGAACACATCATGAAGATGTTGGTATGGCTTTGGTATATCTGCCACCATCACCTTCTTCTCGATCTCAACCTCCATCTCTACTCCTTTATCAGCACTGGTAGGAACAAAACCAAAGGCCAGGAGTGATGAGGGTGGTACTTCCAATAACATGAACCCTATGGGTCTGTCCTCTAAGGCTGCCTGAAGTAATTGCTTCACTGAGACAAACTCATTCCCATGCATGGTTGGTCATACCATTTTCTCTTCATAGGAGCCCATTACCACAGATTTCATTGAAATTGGTGATAAGCTGTCTCTTATGGTGAGCTCCTGTTTTTGCTCACCTGTTGCAGTGGCTTTCGTCAAATTTTGTGACAGTTCCACTACTATGACCGATTTTGACACTTTTGATTGTAAACCCCTAGTTGCAGCTGCCTCAGGGGGCTGCTTCGGGGGTCGTTTATGGTCCTGGGACTTGAACTCTAGTTGGCCTGTGTCCCATCGTATGGTGGGCTTGAGCCTTCTGAGCTTGGTGAATCCCAATATAAGATCATAGTCAGTGGTATCGGCTACTGATACTTCGACTACACCTAGGCTGTGCTTGCCAATAACCACCTGTATGGTCACAGCACTATTGATAACAAGCTGGTGTCCAGTGACACCATGAATCGATCTTGTTTTTGAGGGTTTTGTGGGTATTAGGTACTTACTGATAAAGGAATCTGAAACTATGGACAAGCCAGTGCCAGTGTTGGTGAGTATATGAGCAGGATGGTCTTGGACTGTTCCTGTAAGCTCTAATACCACTTTTCTTTTGCTGGTGGAGAAACATATTTGGCAATCTTGATATATACACAATGATGGTGAGGAGGTTTGTAGAGCCATGCATGCCATCAGTGCATCCACCCACTGTCATTTCCCTCATTGTTGTCATCTTGAGGTTCCTCATGATTAGCATCATTAGGAACTTGGTATTGACTGAAGTCTAGGTCATCAGGGTCGCTCATTTCAGCACTGCCTGTATGCCCATCCCCTGAGTTGGTGGCCCCTTCTTCAAAGGGGTCTTCTGTGGTTACCATGACTCTTGGACCCAAAGGTCATGGGCCCAGAGGGTCTGCCTTCTTGTTTGGGCAGTCTCTGGCCCAATGTCCAACACCTTTGCAAATATGGCAAGTGCTATTGCCTGGTACTGTGGGGCTTCCTTGTTTCGGACCTGGTATGTACTGCTGAGGCAGCAACCAATTAGTTGGTCTGCTCAGGTTTCCTGCCATTGTTTGTGCCAGCATTTGAGTGGAGTTTCTTTGTGTCAGTTGCCAAACAGGGAATGAGCTCTGAGCGGGTGGCGTTGGTCAGAATCCCAGGTTCAATTATCTTTGACCTCTCAGTACCATTCCCACTTCTTTGCAGGCAGGTTATGCTCAAACTTTTCTTGCAGACTATGTGTGAGACTGCCTCTGAACAAGTCAATGATGAGTTCATTATCATCCAGATTGACTTTTCCTTCCAAGTCTCTGAAACATTCCACATGGTGTGTGGCAGAACCAGGTGCATTGCTAGTGAGTTTGAGAGCCAACAGCTTGTTGTAGGCTTCCATTCTAGCATTCTGGGGATTGAATTGTTCCAACAGCCACTCTGTGAAGTAGTGCCAGTCATTGAATAACCTTCCTTCACAAGCCCTGTCAATATGGAGCTTGGAGGTCCACCACTCCCATGCATTCCCTTCCAATTGAGAGCCCATGTGATTGATCATTCTTGTTTGCTCATATACCTGGTTAAACTTAAACCAGGCTTCGGCTTCGAGAATGAATATCTCCACATCTTGTGGATTGAACTTAGGAAAGGGTGTGGCAATTGGCTTTGATTGAGAGAGATCTGCCAATACACTAGGATCCTCCTCCGAGTCTAGGACATAAGGTTCCATCCTAGTCCTACTATACAGATCCACCCTGGGTTTGAAGTGTCATGGGCCTGGATGCTCAGGAAGCAGGAGGGTCATGGGTTCATATGGAAGGAGCACAGGTATCGAAGATCTAGTCGATACCAGTAGAGAGCATGGTCATAGTGCAGTCTCCATGGAGACTATGGACTCCTATGGACTCACATGCAAAGGAGGACACGAGCCACATGTGAGGAGGGCCAGGCACAGCCATGAGGAGGACCAAGCTCAAGGAGCAGGCACAGCCACGAAGAGGACCAAGCTCAGATGGTTACCACTCAGGGGCTCAAGAGACAAGAGTCAAAGGAACTGTCACCAGTCAAAGGAGAAGGAGCAGTGTATAGGACACTAGCAGGCAGGTCCTGAGGAAGAGGAGCAGTGTCGAAGGAGTCGACACCAGGTCATGAGGAGGAGGAGCAGTGTTGAAGGAGTCGACACCACTCAAGAGGCACAGGGGTGCCAAGCAGGAGAGGCCCCTGAGCAGTACTCGATGAAGAAGGTACTCTCTGGAGAGAGTGCAGGAGCAGCATCGCTGGCAATGCTGTGAAGAGGTATATAACCATGCTTTCTCATCATCATAGGTCGAGTGGATCCTCATCCACTCTACTCACCATACAACTAGTCAATACTTTAGAAACACAAGTACTCATTAGTTACAGTCAGCATAGCAGCAATCTATCAAGGTTGCTCCTCATCGTAGTGTGTGTGTTGTATCACCACTACCTGATGTCTGTAGGTGCCCCATAGCAGGTTAGCAGTCCAGATATAGATAAAACCGAAGGCAGTAGTCCACTGCGGTCCAGGGATCACTTCAAGCGTCAAAGTCAACACACTGGACACTCGTGTTGATGCCACCAACCTTATCACCAACACCATCAACCTCATTATCATCAATACTCACCAACCTTATCACCAATGTCATCAACCTCATCATCATCAACACTCACACCAGACCTTGGTGTCATCATAACCAAAGCATTGATATTGATCATGCCAAGCTACCCCTGAATGGAGTGTCCACAGAGGTCAGCCGAAACCTATGATAGTATATACAATGAACACCACCTGCTGTCACTGCACAACTTGATAGTCACTGATACCGAGACAATAGCTGTCACACAGTTTGATAGTCACCGAGTATCTCGACAGACCGACCTGGGTTTCAGGCGCGAGACCCCTGACATGAAGTACTTTGGCCCGGTGGGTGAGGTGTACTTTTCATAATTGACATCATCCTGCTCTTCTACATCAGCAAACGAGACAGATCATCCTGGTCATGGTGCTGGTGTAGGAGTTTGAGGATCTCCTATCATGGATTTGTCACCTCCTACCCACTCTTCTGATGGTGAGAACTCCATTGTCTCTTCTCTGCTTAGGTGAGCATGGCAAAGTCATTCTTCTTGTTGGCCTTGCCTGGTGAGCTCAAGCTGGGCTTCTAGTAGTGCTAGAAGCCAGTCGAGCTTATTGTTGAGGCCTTGGTCCATCATCGTGATTGTGGGGTGCTGCTTGAATGATCCACTCTAATGTCAGAGGTCATGCGCCTGAAACCTGAGATCGGTAGTTGTATCAATACTATTACCAATTCTGTTGAGTTATGCAACAGCACTTGTGGTATTGCGATTCTTCACGAGATATGCAGCAGAGCTGTCTCTATTACTTTCCTCACTCAAATCTGTAGTTGTGATGATGCTATTGCAGATTTCAACTGACCACTGTCAGACACTCCATCCAGAGGTAGCTTGGCACAATCAATAACTATGTGAACTTGCTGATGACACCAAAGGTCTGGTGTGAATATGGATTGGTGGTGTCGACATGAGTGTCCAGTGTGTCAACTATGCTTGAGGTGATCCCCAGACTGCAGTGGACGACTGCCTTCGGTTCTATTGATATCTGGACCACTGGTTTGCTATGAACCGCCTTCAGATGTCAGGAAATGGTGATACAACACACACACTTTGATGAGGAGCAATCTATTGATTGCAACTTATGCTGACTGAAAACTAATGAGTACTTATGTTTCTAAAGTATTGACTAGTTATATGGTGAGTGTAGAGTGGATGGGGATCCACTCGACCATTTGTGACAAGAAGGTATGGTTATATACCCCTTTGCAGTGTCGCCAGCAACGCTGCTCCTGCTCCCTCTCCAGAGAGTACCTCCTGCATCAAGTACTACACAGGAGTCTTCGATGAGACTCCTCCTTGTCATGATGCTATCCCATCTATCTTCCTTGAGCTGTGTCGACTCCATCAACACTGCTCTTTCTCCTCATGTTCTCTTTGCTGGTGTCTGTTGCACAGCTCTACTTCCTTTGACCAGCAATGGTCCTCCTCTATCTCTACCTTGTGTGCCCCTGAGTGGTAACCCACTGCATGTCATTGGGCTCAGTCCCCCTCTTGGCAAGACTGGGTCCTTGGCCCAGTGGAGCTTGGTCCCCTTCCCTGTATAAGTGTGGTGCTTCCTGCATGTGAATCATTGTATGTATGTTCTTGTCACTGATCTCTGCGGAATCTGCTCCAAGATCATGCTTCCTGCAGATTCTGGCAAGAATCATGATACCAATGTCATTCGTGCCAATTTCGCTGAGATCTGCCATAGAGCTGATTCTACTGCCGATCTTGGTGAGCCCTGCTGCAAACCTTATGATCTGCCCAATCCCACGATTCCTGTGCTACCTGTCAGGGGTCTCGCGCCTGAAACCCAGGTTGGTCTGTCGAGATACTTGGTGACTATCAAACTGTGCAACAGCTATTGTCTTGGTATCGGTCTCGATGAGCTAGTTGTTCAGCAACTATCAAGTTGCACAATGACAGCAGGTGGCATTTGTGGTATATACTATCATAGGTTTTGGCTGACCTCTGTGGACACTCCATTCAGGGGTAGCTCGGCATGATCAATATCAATACAAAGGTTATGATGACACCAAGGTCTGGTGTGAGTGTTGATGATGATGAGGTTGATGGTGTCGGTGATAAGGTTGGTGAGTGTTGATGGTAATGAGGTTGATAGTGTTGTTGATAGGGTTGGTGGCATCAACACGAGTGTCCAGTGTGTTGACTTGATGCTTGAAGTGATCCCCAGACCGCAGTGGACTACTGCCTTTGGTTCTATCTATATCCAGACTGCTGACCTACTATGGGTCGCCTTCGGATGTCAGGTAGTGGTGATACAACACATGCACTATGATGAGGAGCAACCTTGATAGATTGCTGCTATGCTGACTGAAACTAATATATACTTATGCTGAAGTGATAACTAGTTATGTTGGGTGTAGAGTGGATGAGGATCCACTCGACCTTTGATGATGAGAAAGCATGGTTATATACCTCTTTACAGCATCGCCAGCGACGCTGCTCCTGCTCTCTCTCCAGAGAGTACCTTCTTCATCGAGTATTGTACAGGGGCCCCTCTAGCACTGCTCCTCCTCCTTGCTATCCTGCTTGCTTGGTGTCATGGGCCTGGATGCTCAAGAAGCAGGAGGGTCACTGGTTCATATGGACGGAGCACAGGTATCGAAGACCTAGTCGATACCAGTAGAGAGCATGGTCGTAGTGCAGTCTCCATGGAGACCATGGACTCCTATGGATTCACATGCAAAGGAGCACTGAGCCCATATGCGAGGAGGACCAGGCACAGCCACGAGGAGGACCAAGCTCAAAGAGCAGGCGCAGCCACGAGGAGGACCAAGCTCAGATGGTTACCACTCAGGGGCTCGAGAGACAGGAAGTCGACACAGGTCATGAGGAGGAGGAGCAGTGTCGAAGAAGTCGACACAGGTCATGAGGAGGAGGAGCAGTGTCGAAGGAGTCGACACCACTCAAGAGGCACAGGGATGCCAAGCAGGAGAGGCCCCTGAGCAGTACTCGATGAAGAAGGTACTCTCTGGAGAGAGAGCAGGAGCAGCATCGCTGGCAATGCTGTGAAGAGGTATATAACCATGCTTTCTCATCATCATAGGTCGAGTGGATCCCCATCCACTCTACTCACCATAACTAGTTATCACTTCAGCATAAGTATACATTAGTTTCAGTCAGCATAGCAGCAATCTATCAAGGTTGCTCCTCATCGTAGTGTGTGTGTTGTATCACCACTACCTGACGTCCGAAGGCGCCCATAGCAGGTTAGCGGTCCGGATATAGATAGAACCGAAGGCAGTAGTCCACTGCGGTCCGGGGATCACTTCAAGCATCAAGTCAACACACTGGACACTCGTGTTGACGCCACCAACCTTATCACCAACACCATCAACCTCATTATCATCGACATCACCAATCTCATCATCAACACCATCAACCTCATCATCATCAACACTCACACCAGACCTTGGTGTCATCATAACATTGATATTGATCGTGCCGAGCTACCCCTGAACGGAGTGTCCACAGAGGTCAGCCGAAACCTACGATAGTATATACAACAAACGCCACCTGCTGTCACTGCACAACTTGATAGTCACTGAGTATCTCGAGACAATAGCTGTCGCACAGTTTGATAGTCACCGAGTATCTCGACAGACCGACCTGGGTTTCAGGCGCGAGACCCCTGACATTAGAGTGGATCGTTCAAGCAGCTCCTCACGATCACCATGACGGACCCAGACCTCAACAATAAGCTCGATAGACTACTCACTCTATTGGAAGCTCAGCTAGAGCTTACTAGGCAGGGTCATCGAGAGGAACGACTACAACGAGCTCAGCTGGGTAGGGAGGAGACAATGGACCTCTCTCACTCGGAAGACCAAGCAGGAGGAGGAGATGAGTCTATGATAGGAGACCCACATACTCCTACTCCTGCTCCACGATCAAGACGATCAGTCTCATTCAACCTGGATGAGCAGGAGGACATCAACTATGAGAAGTATGCTTCACCTACTGGGCCAAGATATGTCAAGACTAAGCTGGACCCCTACAGCAGGACTAGGACGGACCCTTACCCCCTGGACCACGAGGAGGATACCAGCATCATGGCAGAGCTTAACCGGTCAAAGCCCATCGCCACCCCCTTTCCAAAGTTCAATCCCCGAGACATGGAGATCTTCATTCTAGAAGCCGAAGCATGGTTTAAGTTCAACCAGGTGTATGAGCAGTCTAGGATGATCAATCACATGGGTGCTCAACTGGAAGGGACAGCAAGAGAGTGGTGGACCTCCAAGCTCCGTATTGATAGAGCTAGAGAAGGAAGGTTGTTCAATGATTGGCACTACTTCACAGAGCGACTGTCAGAGCAGTTCAACCCACGCAATGCTAGGATGGAGGCATACAACAAGCTGTTGGCTCTCAGACTCACAAGTGATGCTCCTGGTGCCGCCACATGTCATGTAGAGCGGTTCAGAGACTTGGAAGGACAGGTCAACCTAGATGACAATGAGCTAGTGATTGATCTCTTCAGAGGTAGTCTCACTCGTAGCATACAGGAGAAGTTCGAGAGGAATCCACCTGGGAAGAGATGGGAGTGGTATCGAGAGGTCGAGGAGATCGATCGACAGAGGATGCTACTACAGCAGTCCTCGGCTAGACACTCACTTCCAAATGCCACGTCACCTCCACTAAGAACTGGGTCTCAGCCAAATCAAAGTTCAATCCCCATCCGACAACCCACTCAACCTTATCCAGCTCGATCACCATCACAAGCAACTACACAAGCAACTATACAAAACCTAAACCGACCCCTTCCTCATCATCCCACCCAACCCTCGAAGCAAGGAAGCCCTGCTCCATCAGGTATCAACACCTGTCATGTATGCAAGGGTATCGGCCATTGGGCCAGAGACTGCCCCAGCAGGAGGGTAAACCCTCTTAGCTCTCGACCCATGGGACCAAAGGTTATGGTCACCACAGCAGACCCCTTCGAGGAGGCCACCGACTCAGGAGATGGCCACACAGGCAGCACTGAGACGGGTGACCCCGAGGCCATGGACCTCAGCTCATACCAGCAACCCATGGACCCCGATCACGAGGAGGAGCACGATGATGATGACGACGAGGGAAACATCAGTGGGGTGATGCACTGATGGCATGCATTGCTCTACAAACCTCCTCGCCATCACTCTGTATATATCAAGATTGTCAAGTATGTTTCTCTACCAGTGGAGGCAAAGCAGTACTGGAGCTCTCTGGAATGGTTCAAGACCATCCTGCTCGGATACTAGCTGATACCGGTGCTGGTTTGTCCATAGTCTCAGATTCTTTCATTAGTAAGTACCAAATACCCACAAAACCCATAAAAACAAGATCGATCCATGGTGTCACCGGGCACCAACTCTCCATCAATAGTTCTGCGAGCATGCAGGTATCTATTGGTACACACAATCTGGGTGTGGTCGAAGCTTCAGTGGCCGACACTGCGGACTATGACCTCATCCTGGGGTTCACTGAGCTACGGAGGCTCAAACCCACCATACAATGGGATACGGGCCAGCTGGAGTTCAAGACTCAGGAGCAGGACCGACCCCCTAGTAGACCCCCTGAAGCAGCAAGAGCAGGGGACCTAACCATGAGGAGACCAACCCTTCATGGTAACGAGTTTGTCTCAGCAGAGCGCATACTACGAGCAGCTCTGGAAGATGGACCCATAGGGTTCATGCTGTTAGAGGAGCCACCATCATCACTCCCAGCCTTTGGTTTTGTACCTACAGGTGCAGACAAAGGAGTCGAGATGGAGGTGGAGGTAGATAAGGTGGTGACGGCTGCAGACATACCAAAGCCATACCAACACCTGCGAGATGTGTTTGATGAGGTGGAAGCAGACAAGCTGCCCCATCATACCGAGCATGATCTCCACCTCGAGTTGATAGAAGGAGGTAAGCCACCTCAAGGGCCCCTATACCTTAAGGGACCCAAGGAGATGTCCGAGTTGAGGAGGTACTTGGATGAGAACCTCGAGAAGGGGTTCATAAGACCATCGAAGAGCCCGGCACGATCACCGGTGCTCTTCGTACCAAAGAAGGATGGAGGTCTCAGACTCTGTGTGGACTACAGAGGTCTCAACGAGATCACTGTCAAGAACAGGGCACCATTGCCCCTCATCGAAGAGCAGCTGTTCTTACTCAGGAAGGCAAGGATCTATACCAAGCTAGACCTTAGAGCAGCATACAACCTCATCCGGATTGCTAAAGGAGATGAATGGAAGACAGCTTTTGGCACTCAGTTGGGACTCTATGAGTACCTAGTGATGCCCTTTGGCCTAGCCAATGCTCCGGCTCACTTCCAGTCATTCATCAATGACATCTTCCGAGACATCATTGGGATATATGTGGTAGTATACCTAGATGACTTCCTGATCTTCAGTGACACTGAAGAAGCACATGTGAAGCATGTCACTGAGGTCCTCACTCGCTTAAGGAGCAACAGGCTCTTTGCTAAGCTGTCAAAGTGTGAGTTCCACACCAAGACAGTTGAGTTCCTGGGGTACATCATCAAGCCAACGGGCATAGAGATGGACCCAGAAAAGGTGCGCACTGTTAAGGAGTGGCCAATGCCGGAGTCAATCCATGACATCCAGAGGTTCCTGGGTTTTGCCAACTTCTATCGAAGGTTCATAGCCCACTTTGCTCGCATAGCCAAGCCCTTGACAGCACTGGTAAAGCCTATAGAACGGTTCAAGAAGTTCGAGCTACCAGAGGAGGCCCAACAGGCCTTCCACAAGCTCATCCAGGCCTTCACATCAGCAGGAGTGCTTCAGCACTTCGACTACCACCTTCCAACAAGGTTGGAGACTGATGCAAGTGACTTTGCTATAGCAGGAGTACTCAAGCAGGAGCATGAAGGACGATGGCATCCAGTGGCCTTCTACTCTAGGAAGATGTCTTCTGCCGAGAAGAACTATGAGATCCATGATAAGGAGCTCCTAGCTGTGGTCGCTTGCCTCACTCAGTGGCGACACATGCTAGCTGGACTACCGAACCAACTGGTCATCCTCACTGACCATGAAGCCCTCAAGTACTTCAAGTCACAGAGACGCATCACAGGTCGACAAGCTCGATGGGCAATACTACTAGCAGACTTCGACTTCATATTGCAGTATCGACCAGGAGACAAAGGTGGTGAACCCGATGCTCTCACCAGAAGGACAGACATGCAACCAGCTGGTGAAGAGCAGGATCACAATGTGAGGCAACTACTGCCTCCTCGAGTGTTCAAGGAGACAGCAGACCATGACTCGCTTCTAGTGGCCCCCATGATCTCGATGGAGTCCATAGCATCAAAAGGTCTCAAAGACCTGGTCAAGATCTTCCAGCCTTTAGACCAAGAGCTACAGGAGATACATAGGAAGAAGCCTTTCGAACTCAAGGATGACCTATGGTACAGTGGAGGAAGGTTGGTTATCCCCAAGGTGATCATGCCAGGGAGGACCAACAACCGACACTCAAGGAGTGCCAAAGAGGTAGATGGACAGTCTCTCTCTGTAGAGCATCTGCGATTCATGGTGATGACCCAATGCCATGATGGTATCACTGCTGGACACGTAGGAAGAGATGCTACCATCAAGGCAGCTCAATGACATTACTGGTGGCCAAACATGACAGCTTGGATTGCAGACTATGTAGCAAGTTGTCCTGTATGTGCTAGGTACAAAGCTCCTCGTCATCGTCCATATGGTTTGCTACAGCCACTAGCAACCCCAGACAGGCCCTGGGGCTCCATATCCCTCGACTTCATCGAAGGACTACCAACATCGAAGAAGTATGACTCCAAGACCTATGACTCTATCTTAGTCATTGTCGACAGGCTAACCAAGTTTGCCATACTAGCTCCAACCCATAAGACAGTCACGGCCAAACAGACTGCAGTATTGCTATATGGACACATGGTTAGACTCTTTGGATATCCAGATCACATGGTCTCGGACCGAGGCAGGCAGTTCATATCAGGAGCATGGAAGGCATTTGCAGAGCAAATGGGTGTGAAGCACTCACTTAGCACGGCTTACCATCCTCAAACTGATGGTCAGACAGAGAGAGTCAATCAGGTCATAGAGCAATATCTCAGGATGTACTGCAACTATGAGCAGAATGACTGGGCCAACCTGCTGGACACTGCGGCCTTTGTATACAACAACACGGTCCACAACAGCATTGGTGTCTCACCATTCTTTGCATGCTATGGATGGAACCCCAAAGCTCATCCTGACATCCCTCAACGACTAGGAGTCAATGATCCAGGTCGCTTCGAGTACCTCATGGATGGAAAGGAGCGTTGCAAGTACCTCCAGGAGCAGATCAGAGAGGCACAACGTAGATCAGTAGACCAGTATAACAGGAAGCACAAGGACATTGAGTTTAAGGTGGGTGATATGGTCTATATCAACCGCCGAAACTGGAAGACACGGAGACCCACACCCAAGTTGGATACCCGGTTTGCAGGACCCTACCCAGTTCAGGAACGGGTAGGACGCCGAGCTTACCGAATCACATTGCCAGCAAACCTTAGGGTGCATGATGTGTTCCATGTCTCCATGCTCGAGCCAGCAAGAACAAGTTCTCTTCCTCAACGTGCTGAACAGCCCACCATGCCACCACTTCCAGATGAGGACCTCGACTTCGAAGTCGAAGCACTCATCGACAAGCGTTCATACAATGGGACTACAGAGTACAAGGTGTTGTGGAGAGGGTACTCAGAAGAAGCTGCTTCATGGGAACCAGTAGAGAACCTCAACTGTCCCGACCTCATCCAGGAGTATGAGGTGTCGGAGGGGGGACGAGTGAGTAGACAAAGTAGAGAAAGGAGGAGAGAACAGGAGGAGTAGAGAGAGGAGGATGACATTGAGAGAAGGAGGAAGGATGACGGGGGCGATGTTGTCAAGGAAGAGGAGGAGTCAGCATGAACCAGACCAGAGCATGCCTCGACGGAGCTCGGCTCTTAAGAGGGGGGTAGTGTCATGGGCCTGGATGCTCAAGAAGCAGGAGGGTCACTGGTTCATATGGACGGAGCACAGGTATCGAAGACCTAGTCGATACCAGTAGAGAGCATGGTCGTAGTGCAGTCTCCATGGAGACCATGGACTCCTATGGATTCACATGCAAAGGAGCACTGAGCCCATATGCGAGGAGGACCAGGCACAGCCACGAGGAGGACCAAGCTCAAAGAGCAGGCGCAGCCACGAGGAGGACCAAGCTCAGATGGTTACCACTCAGGGGCTCGAGAGACAGGAAGTCGACACAGGTCATGAGGAGGAGGAGCAGTGTCGAAGAAGTCGACACAGGTCATGAGGAGGAGGAGCAGTGTCGAAGGAGTCGACACCACTCAAGAGGCACAGGGATGCCAAGCAGGAGAGGCCCCTGAGCAGTACTCGATGAAGAAGGTACTCTCTGGAGAGAGAGCAGGAGCAGCATCGCTGGCAATGCTGTGAAGAGGTATATAACCATGCTTTCTCATCATCATAGGTCGAGTGGATCCCCATCCACTCTACTCACCATAACTAGTTATCACTTCAGCATAAGTATACATTAGTTTCAGTCAGCATAGCAGCAATCTATCAAGGTTGCTCCTCATCGTAGTGTGTGTGTTGTATCACCACTACCTGACGTCCGAAGGCGCCCATAGCAGGTTAGCGGTCCGGATATAGATAGAACCGAAGGCAGTAGTCCACTGCGGTCCGGGGATCACTTCAAGCATCAAGTCAACACACTGGACACTCGTGTTGATGCCACCAACCTTATCACCAACACCATCAACCTCATTATCATCGACATCACCAATCTCATCATCAACACCATCAACCTCATCATCATCAACACTCACACCAGACCTTGGTGTCATCATAACATTGATATTGATCGTGCCGAGCTACCCCTGAACGGAGTGTCCACAGAGGTCAGCCGAAACCTACGATAGTATATACAACAAACGCCACCTGCTGTCACTGCACAACTTGATAGTCACCGAGTATCTCGAGACAATAGCTGTCGCACAGTTTGATAGTCACCGAGTATCTCGACAGACCGACCTGGGTTTCAGGCGCGAGACCCCTGACACTTGGCACCCCTGTGCCTCTTGAGCTGTGTCAACTCCTTCGACACTGCTCCTCCTCCTCAGGACCTGCTTGCCAGTTCCCTATTCACTACTCCTTCTCCTTTGACTGGTGACAGTTCCTTTGACTCTTGTCTCTCGAGCCCCCTGAGTGGTAACCATCTGCATGCTCCTTGAGCTTGGTCCTCCTCGTGGCTGTGCCTGCCCCTCCTCGCATATGGGCTCAGTCCTCCTTTGCATGTGAGTCCATAGGAGTCCATGGTCTCCATGGAGACTGCACTACAACCATGCTCTCTAATGGTATCGACTAGATCTTTGATACCTGTGCTCCTTCCATATGAACCAGTGGCCCTCCTGCTTCTTGAGCATCCAGGCCCATGACACTACCTTCATATCATTTCGGCCTTCCCTCGCTCTGCGCAGCTTAGGCCCGTGACAAGCTCCTTCTCTCCTAACCAGCGACCACCTTCTCGAGCTTATCTTGTGAATCCCCTTAGCCACTTGTTGGACCTTGTGACCAAACCCCTTGGTCATGTGGTCACCCCTGTGCTTGGTCCTGTGTGGCTATACACACATACCCATTGAGTGGTAACCATCCACATGATGCTCAGCTCGGTCCCCTGCTCCTACATGTGGTTATCTCTGTGTGCTTCTCCTTCTAATGCTGGTATCTTCCTTCCTGAATCTCCTGACACTTGCTCATGTTGGCCAACTTGCTGAGGCATGCTGATCCAGCTGATCCCAATTGATCCTTGTGAGATTAACCTGGAACCCAGAGTTTGGTTGATCTCATAAATCATATGCACTACCAGCCTGATTAGATTTGTCAATTCCCAATGATTTGGTGCCAATCAATTTGGCACACCCTTCATATGTTGATCCACTGATCCTGTGACATTACCATGAATGCTGTTGGTCAATTTGGTGCACCCTTCATATGCTGGCCCGCTGGCCCTGTGACATCTTCCTTGTTCTTTGTTATCCTCTTGTGGCATTGGCAATAGGAGTATCTTTGGACCAGTGCTGGTGAGGTCTGTTGTATGAGTGTGGTATTACTGTTCCCACTGAACTCTGTAGTAGCAGACTGGTTCTTACCAATCTTGATGAGTTCTGCCATAGAGCCATTGGTCCTACTGATCTCACTGAACTCTGTTGGAACCCCCTTTTCCCCAATTCACGATCATTGTGCATGGTCTCTTCATATGAATCCATTTCTTCCTGCGCATCCATCTGGCCCTGTGACACCGGGTCTTTTGCGCAGACCCTAACTGCAGGCCCCAAGATCTTCTGCGCAGACCCTGTGACACTAGGTTCGTGTCCGTCTTGATCTTGAGTACCCAATGGGTATTGACAGGTTTCACACCAGGTGGGGGTCAGCAACCTCCCATGTACCCATTGCTTCCAGGCCATCCAATTCTTTTTGCATGGCTTCTTCCCAGAGTCCTCTGTCCAGTCCAGCTAGTGCTTTGTGAACTGTTGGGTCCAGATTCTTCTTATCCCCAACACCTGTTGTTGTAAGTCCAAACATGCTGTTGTCTTCCCAAGTTTCAGGGTTCGGTAGACCTTTGAATGGAATCATTGCACCTTCTTCCATGATCTCTTCTTCCTCTGTTTTGGCAATTGTTTCAATGCTCATGTATTTGTCCATTGGTTCCTGATCTGTCTCATCAAATAGGGTTTCTTCTGTGTATCCTAAATCATGGAAATCTTCTTCACCTGCCAGCGCTGGAGGGGTCTGTACATCCATTGGTTGCTGTTCTGTATGATTTGTCCAGCATTTGGATTCCAGGAATCTTGCTGAGTTACTCCAAAAGATGTTTGGATTGTAGTCCGGGCTGTAGAATACATCCTTTTTGTTCTCGACTGTATCCTAAGAATATAGGGTCTATGGTCAAGCTCCCTTCACACAGGTGCATGCTTACTGCAATGCTTACTTTATTTCAATAGGTTGAAGCTACAAATAAGAACATATATATATGCATTGAGACTGTCTATCACGAACCGGTTTGACGGTTGCGACGACGACGACGAGGGCGCGATTCGAGAGGCTGAGGAGACTACCAGACTTCGGAAGGAAAGTAGATGTTCAGTTGATTGAGAGTGTGACTTATGATCTCTTTTCCCTTAAGGAAAAGAGCTGAGAAGAAGGAAGGAGCAAACTATGAGATTGAAAGTATAAGTCTCGATGCGACGAGTTTAAGACTCTGGTACAGTGAAATGAATCACCAATGTTTGATCTAAAGGGGGTATCAAAGTTTTGGCGTTTTTAAAAACCCGGGTTTTTTCAAGAGCGCATTTTTCAAAAAAACGCAAAAGCTTACATAAGCTCTGCAAAGGGAAAAAAAAAACCGAATTTTCAAAAACGCAGCTCAGGAGGCATGTTTGCGAAAATGCGGTTTTTTTATCACTCCACATCTTCTCTCCTTTCCTCACTCTCATTGCACTTTTGCTCACTCCCTCTTCCTTGCACTCATTCAACATGACCTCCTCCACTGATGATTCTCATGACATCTCTGCAGAGTTGTTATGCCAGTCCACTACACAATCTGACAGGCACTCTCTCTTCTGCTGTTCAATACAACTCTTCTCACCACCTTATGAAACATTACATTGAGTGCATTGTGTGACGAGGAAAGCAAGATATAAGCAAGCAATGGGTGATAGCAACAAGAGCAGGACAAGTATCATATGCTCACTGTTAGGTTACATCTCTTATTGGCTGTATAATTTATGTTTCATTTGATTACTGTTAGGTTACACCTCCTTTTGGCCATATGATTCATGCTTCCTATGCTTACTTTTAGGTTACATATTTTATCGGCCGTATGATTTCATCGTGTTTTTGGAAACCTGCTTTTCCTTGGGGGGGGGGGTTCAAATTCCCTCCAAAAACGCGCTCTCGAAAAAACCCGCGTTTTTAAAATCGCAAAAACTTTGATACCCCCTTAAGATAATTTTGAGAGGGGTCATGACCGGGTCACGACACCGTCTTCTGAGGGTGCTGCGGATGAGTCGAATGTTACTCCTGCAGAGAGCTTCTAAACCATTACTATGTCATCCTTCATGTGTTTTGCACTTCTGAGTCAGCTCGCGAGTAAGCGGCTTGTGTTTTCACAAGCTTTGCCAATCGTGAGCTTCGGCAATTGCGGGCTTCGGTGATTGCAAGCTTCGGTAATTGGATACTCTGGATATACTCTGACGTATCTTCAACTGGTGTCTCTACTTTTCAACTACAAATGGATTCCAGCCTTTTAAGTTTGCTTGCTTGCTGCGAAGCTGGTTCGTGTCACTTCTTCTTTGCTCTGCTTCCCTCGGAATTCGACCTCGCCTTATCCTGTCGAGGTGACCTTGTTTACCCTTCGTATCCCGCCCATATCTCTTGCGAACGAGTCTTGCTTCCACACGCCTAGAATCACCTTACTTGCTCCCTTCGCGGCTCGCTCCTCTACCCCGGCGCACCATCGCTTGCTCTGTGCCTTGGCAAGCAAGGTGAACGTTACCACGGCTCGACATCTTCGCAGCCTTGTCCAAGATGGCAACTACTACCACCGCAGGATCGCGAGACTCGCCCTCACCGCCTATTTCCAACGATGAGGCCCTTCGTCGACTCGGCATGAAGCAAGGCTCCTCTTCTTCCTCCTCCTCGTCTCCGTCATCGTTCAGTGCAGGATACAAGATGGCACCCGGCGCATTGACCTCTTCGTTCGGTTTCGGAGACTATGCGCGATTCTTCGCCTCCGGTGCGCTATGTGCCACTATCACTCACGGTGCCATGACACCCATCGATGTCGTCAAGACTCGAATCCAGCTCGAACCAAAGGGCTCAAAAGAGACTATGCTTTCCATGGGCCGTAAGATCGTCGCCTCCGAAGGTCCAGCTGGTCTTCTCACTGGCTTCGGCCCCACTGCTGTCGGTTACCTGATTCAAGGTGGTGCCAAGTTTGCTGGCTACGAGTTCTTCAAGAAGAAGGGTGTTGATCTTGCCGGCAGCCACGAAACCGCTCAACAGTACCGTCAAGTCATCTACCTCGGTGGTGCCGCTGCTGCTGAAGTCATTGCGACCACTCTCCTGACACCTCTCGAGGCAGCACGTATCCGCATGGTCTCCGAACGAGGTTACGCCAAGGGTCTTGTCTCAGCCGTCACTCGTATGGGTGCTGAGGAGGGTCTCCGAGGCTTCTATGCTGGTTACGCTCCCATCCTCTGCAAACAGGTTCCTTACGCCATCGGCCAGTTCGTTACTAACGAATGGGCTCACACCGTTGCTGACTCCACCATCTCTAAGGAGGACCGCGCTAAGTACGGCAAGGCCGGTGAAGTCACCATCCAGCTTGGATGTGGTATGATTGCTGGTGTTGCAGCTGCTGTCCTATCTCATCCCGCCGATACTCTTCTCAGCAAGATCAACAAGGGCGGAGGAGGACAGGGTTCCGCAATGACCAAGCTCATCCGTCTTGCAGGCGAGACCGGTCCCGTTGGTATCTGGGCTGGTCTCGGCACCAGGGTACTTATGACAGCGTTCCTAGTCAGTGGTCAGTTCCTTCTCTACGCTCAAGTCGGTCAGCTGCTTGGCAAGCCGCCTGGTATCGAGATCCGCTCCGATGCCGAAAAGAAGCAATGATCTGCTGCTATCACTCTTCACAACCGTTCCTTCTGCTGCTGAACTGTATTATAGACACATCCGATCGCAACTCATCGGTTTCACTCATACCATCATCGTGAACAATGGCTTCCTTTGGAGTATTGAGCAAGCTCAAGCTGAGCTGCGAGATGAGGACCGTGCCAGTGAATTCTGCAAAGGGTCTGCTCGGCAAATTCGAAGAATTGGATTTTGAACACAGCCTATGCACGGATCAGCAACCCGAAACGCTTCCTTCTTGGTCCTGCAAGCTTCTTCCAGACAACACCACCTTCCAACACTTCTCTTTTATCTCGATCCGGACCGCCATCATCGACACCAGAAGCGTGGCTTGCTTCGAGAAAGTCTCAGCGCTGCAAGTGTGCCACGGAGATGAGCACAGCAACCAGCAAGGATGCTGGTTCGCCTGTTCCACCAGGCGCTGGGGCCGGTTCGCTAAAGACCAACAAGCTGAACAAGATCTCCTCTGCCCGCTTCCTTCTCCTCACCTTGCTGTTTCACGTCGTCTACATCTCGGCTATCTTTGACATCTACTTCACCTCGCCTGTCGTTCATCCTGAGCCACGATTCAGCGCCAGGTCCACTTTACATCCTGAGGGCACCTCCAAGCACATCGCAGCGCCGGCGAAGCGACTCGTGCTCATAGTCGGTGATGGTCTCAGAGCAGATACATTGTTCAAGCAGCATAAAGCTGAGCTTCTGCCCCCCTGGTCAACGACTCGCGATGCAAACTTCGGCCAAGATGGCTCATCGGGCTCGTGGGCTTCCTTCGCAAAGGATCCTCTCCAACAGCCGTATCCTTATACACTCGCGCTCAACTCAAACAAAGACATCGGTCAGTCGGCGAAGGGTGCTATACATGTGCCAACAATAGCTTTTGCAGCACCATTCCTCCGCAGCGTATCTCGCAATCGAGGCGTATGGGGCCTCAGTCACACGCGTGTCCCCACAGAGAGCCGTCCAGGTCACGTTGCCATGATCGCTGGCATGTACGAAGATGTCAGCGCCGTCACAAAAGGATGGAAGCTCAACCCAATTGCTTTCGACTCAATCCTTAATCAGTCCAGCCATTCGTTTGCCTTTGGCTCGCCGGACATTGTGCCCATGTTCGCAGTGGGTGCGGCAGCTGATCGTGTCGACACGTGGACATACAACGAAGAAGACGAGGACTTCACCAAAGATGCTACACACCTCGATCTCTGGGTGCTTGACCGCTTCAAAGAGCTGCTCGAAAGAGCCAAATATGACGAGCAGCTCAGCAGCAAGATGCGACAGCCCGGCACTGTCTTCTTCCTCCATCTTCTTGGCCTCGACACCACTGGTCACTTCTACCGTCCGCTCTCGCCAGAGTATGTTGGCAACACCATTGTCGTTGATGCGATTGCACGAGAGGTTGAAAATTTGATGGACGACTTCTTTCAAGACGACGGTAAGACTGCATACGTCTTCACAGCGGATCATGGTATGAGTCTGAAGGGCAATCACGGAGATGGCGACCCTCACAACACACGGACACCACTGGTTGCTTGGGGCGCAGGAGTCCATGGTCCACGAGCCGCCACTCCACAGCAGAAGCAGCTGGCGAGATCAGAGCAGGAGAAGGACTCTTACTTCACCAACTGGCATCTGGACGATATGGCACGCGTTGATGTCGATCAAGCCGACATCACACCATTCATGGCCACACTCCTCGGTGTACCTGTTCCGGCTAACTCTGAAGGCCGCTTGCGCCTGGATCTCGTTGATCTGCCGGAAGAGCACAAGGCTCGAGCTCTGTCTGCAAACGCACAACAGGTTCTCGAGACCTATCGGGTCAAACACAGCAACCGTGCTCGCCGCATGGTACGCTTCGTGCCTTTTGCACCGCTTTCGCAGGATGCCGACGAATCCAAACCCGGAGAAAAGAGGGTCATTGCGATACTGACCAGCATTGAACAAGGCAAATACGAAGAAGCTGTCGATCTTAGCAACACGCTCATCGACGACGCTATTGAGGGTGCACGCTATCTTCAGACATATGACTGGTTGCTGCTGTGCTCGATCGTCACGATCGGATACCTCGGATCTATGGTTTATGCTTTCTCCTTTCTACTTCGCAACCACATGCTCCCTGAAAGCGCCATCTCGGCATCTCCAGCTGCTGCATCTTCGACCGCAAGGCATCGACCCAACGCGCTGAAGCTCGTAGTAGCGCCAATATCCGGGGCAGTGTTCGCTCTATTTGCAGCACAAGAGATGCCATTCTCATACTACCTCTATGCAGCGCTGGCGTTCTTGTTTTGGGGCCGGGTCGTTGATGATCTGCCGCTGTTTGCCGCTGCTTATCGTCAGACCACCGGCTCAAAGGGTGGGTTCTCAGTGAAAAAAGCAGTCTTGGCCTTATGGGCGAGCCTTGCAATGTTGGAGCTGATGGCGATTGGATATCTGCATCGAGCGGCTTGGTTCGTCGGTTTCATCCTGCTCGGCTTCGCATGGCCAGCAGTCGGGTTGAGTGCAGACTTCAAGTCGGACAACGAAGGTCTTGTGCTCATCTGGGGCCTGTCTTGCCTCGCGACGGGTCTGTTCACGATTGGCGACGTCAACAAGGAAGAAAACATTACATTGCTTACGTTGAGCGCCGTCGTCTTCCTGGCAGCGGGAGGTCTGATTCTTTCCAAACCACAACTCTTCTTCCCACCATCACACAACAACAACTCGAACGAAGATGCTCACGTGGAGCGGATCCAAGAGGCGTATGCTGCTCACCTCTGGCACACCCTGCAAACTCTTCGCGTCCAGCTTCTTGTGCTTATCATCACTGCGCTCACCACTGCCATCTCAGCTAGATCCTTGCAGCTCAAACAAGGACTCCCCTTCGCGACGCAAATCTTGGCATGGATCTGCCTGACAGTCTGTCTTGTCTTTCCCTTCATCTACGGTTTTTGTCGCCCCATCCCGCTGAAAGGTAGCGGAGATAGCAAGTCAGCGGCAGTAGTCAAGCAGCCGAGCAGCCAGCGACTAGCAATCGTAGTATTTGCATTTGCACCAGTGTTTGTTCTGCTCTCGCTGCGAGACGAGGTGCTTTTCTTCGGATGCTACACTGCAACATTATTAGTGTGGGCCAAGCTGGAAGGGTCTCTCCACGAATCGCGATCACAGTCAAGCAGTCAGGAAGGAAGCAACGGCAAGAGAGTGTTGCAACTTGCTGAGCTCAGGATCAGCCTGTTCTACCTCTTCTTCCTTCACATTGGCTTTTTCGGCACAGGCAATGTGGCCTCTATTTCATCCTTTTACCTTTCACCCGTCTACCGGCTCGTTCCGATCTTCAACCCGTTCCTCATGGCGACGTTGCTGCTCCTCAAAATCCTCGTTCCTTTCCTCATTCTCAATGCTGTTTTCTCGCTTATGGCGGCAACGCCACCCCTCCCATTGACGGAGACAACACCCAAGTCGATCGATCGAGGATTGAAGTTGATGGGCGAAACAGCTCCTGGTGGGCTCGGACTTGATTCGGCACTCAGCTTGGTGTTTGGTGCAGGAATTGCGGCAGATGTGCTGGCGCTGAACTTCTTGTTTGCAGTCAAGAGCGAGGGAAGCTGGCTGGAGATTGGGCAGACTATCACTCACTTTGTTATGGCGAATCTGCTGCAGATCTTCATGCTTGCGCTTGCGGCGGCGAGTTCGGCCATTATCGGACGAGCATAAGGCCTTACCAACGACAAATTGCTCCAGAACAAAGCGGTAGAGCATGGTTTGAGGCAGCTGCTTCAAGTGTTACCTTTCGGTACAGCCGCAACAGCATCAGTCAGGGCATGCAAGACGTGAATGCGTGGGAATGAAATCGGATGCGCCGAACAAAACTTAGAGCTTCTTTAATCCACTTGTTTTGCGCAGTCTCATTCTGCTCGCCGTCAATGTGTGTCTTGTCTGCTGCAGAGAGTTTGTCTTTGTCGCAAGTCTGAAATGTGTGGATATGTGTCAACGAACTCATCAAGATCTTCAGGAACGCTCTACGCGTCGGGAGTCGGCCTGGCCTTCTCTGGTGTGTGTGTGTGTGTGTGTGTGTGTGTGTGTGTTGCTCGCGCTCAGACCTTCTTCCTGACTGCGCGAAATTTGAGAGTGCATTCAATTCATTTCTCTTGACCTTTTTACTTTCAAGCCAGACCCTGACCGGCCTTTTTTCGGCCACTCGACCATCGCTTCTCTCATCACCTTCCTTCATTCTCTGCCTAAGAGAGCTCAGACTCAGCCACGATACACCAGCTAGCGCCGATCGACCCGTTCTTGGCTCTCTGACTTCAAACACAGTAGCAAACGAACCCTCAATTACTTTCTCGATCTTGACCTTTCTATCGGCTCCATACCGTCACATACCTTTCCAGTCTCCCCTCCAAATCCTCTTGGAAGATAAGCCCAAGCTGCGAACTCTGAAACCCGCCCGAAACACTTCTGGATCCGACCCCGCCAAGCTCTTCTTGACCTATTCGGCACCTCAGATCCTGTCTACAACCCACCTTCTCTGCGAAGACGCTCACTCGGCGCGACGACTGCTTCTTCGACCAACACGAGGCAAGCACACTCTATACTCTTGTCCAATTGTGTCCGACAAAAGCTGACGGCGAGTCCGTTACACTCCAGCACTCCCGTTAGTTCGGCCACCAGCTGCGTTTAGCACCGGCTGGGCGGATGTGCGAGTGATTCCTCATGTCTCCACCTCATCTGCCATACACGACATCGGACGAAGATGAGCCGCGATATCCCCTGCGCTCGCTCAAGCGTCCGATTTCACGGCCAGCTTCCGACAGCGAGATGGACGAACTTCAGTCGGACGCAGATGATGATCTCCGCCCAACTTCAAGACCGCCACCGAGGGCACCCCCATCTCGTTCACTTGCCAAGAAAGCGGAAAGACGAGAGATTGATAGAAAGCGCAGGAAGGAGAAGAAGCGCAGGAAGGAGAAGAAGCGCAGGCTAAAACGTCAGCGCCGTCAGGCAGAGGCGAAAGCTGCCGCCGAGGAGGCTGCCAAGCAGGACAGCGACGGCGCCTCTTCCTCACATAGCGTCGTTCAAGAAAACTCTTCAGCACCTCGTTCCACCATCTCAGGCCCATCTCGCCATCAGAATGGCACAGAGCCGATGCTTGTCTCAGACAGCGATGACGATGACGCACCTCTAGGGCCGCTTATTGTCCGAAGCTCACCCTCCCAGGCTGAGCAGCCAAACACAGAGCCGACACAACCTGCAGACATTATAAGCGAAGACGAGGTTGAAGCCCTTGCTGCACAATCTTTGCCCACTCAAGTTAATGCAGCGAGATCAAGCTCTGTGCCTGTCGCGGTCGAGCCTCAGCATGATGAGGCTCCATCTCAGCGCGGCGCATCTGCTCGCCCTCAAGACACCAACGGGTCAGGTGAAGCTGGGGACCCCATCCAATTTGCAAGCTCCGACGCCCGGCTTCAGCTCATGGACGACGCTGAATACGATGACACCGTCTCTGACGTTAGCTCGGTCTCCTATAGCGATTCGGAGGAGTATCAGGAGGGCGAGTACTTCTATACCAGCTCAGAGGGCTCTCTGCACAACTCGGATAGCGAGGAGGGGCTCGGCGCGTGGACAAATTGGGATAGGCAGAAATGGCAGGGCAATACAGCACACCTTGACAAGGCCTACGACGGCAACTTTGACGTCAAGGCAGTTCTGCGTCATCGTCGCAACCCCCGTCGAGGCTTTATCGAGTATCGCACCGTCTGGGCCGGTTATCCCATTTATTCGACAACCTGGGAACCAGAGTCCCATTTCAACAGCCCAGTCACGATGCGAGAGTATTGGGAACGTCAAGGAGGGCGGCCTGCCGATGTCCCGATCGAACTCAACGAGTACTCTGCTCACGACTCCGACACAGATAATGCGGTGATGCGCCGTCCACGACAGCGTGCGCACGAGGCCAAGAAGAGGAAGCGACGGGACATCCGACGCGACAAAGTTCAATTGCGCGAGTACCTGGCCTCGCTGGATAAGGATCGGGCAAAGGCCAAAGCGAAGGAAGAGGCGAGATACGAGAAGTTCCGCCGAGCGAATCGTGTGGAGCTCGACACCGAGCCAGTGCAGGAGAAGGGCACCAGTCGCAGCTATATCAAACGCATGGAGAAGCTCCAGGCGAAGAAGTGGCAACGGAAAGCAGCAGGCCAAGGGGCTGAGGGTGGTCCGCCGCGGTACAGCAAGACACAGGCTGACCGCATCGTGTCCGACGTGTCCATGAAGGGACGGGGTGGAGCGAGCTCTAGCACCATCTCTGCTCGCACCCGCGTTTCCCAGCTCGACGACAGCATCCCGGAGAACGACGAAGGTCAAATGGTCTTCCGACGTTCGGGTCCCAGCTCTGGACCTGGCTACCCCGGCCTCGGCCCTGCGTCTTTGGCGCCCATTCAGAACTCTGGAGGTGTGCGCTACACCACATCCTCTGCTTCAGGGTCGGGTGCCGGCGCGCAACCACCCCAGACGCGCCCGCCTCCAGGCAGCTTCAAGGGTGCGCATCGACGCGAGCCCAAAGTGCAACTCAAGAATGACTTTGGCGAATTCCTGAACCGCTTGCATAGCGGCAGCGGTAGCAGGGATCGTCAGACCATCGATCCTGCTGCGGGACCTCTGCAAACCCCAACGGACGCTGTAGGCCGGCCAATCACTGCGCCGCGAAGGCCCTCTGAGGCGCGCAAGCCAAACTTGCTCGTTCTGCAGCCCGTCAAGGATTTCAAAGGCGGTAGTCGAGCCCCTTCTGCTGCGTCACCTGCGCCTGCTAGATACACAGGTAGCTCCGCGTCCTCAGAAGCCGGTGACAACGAACCTTTCAACATCCCAGAGATGAGTGCGGTGCGGAGTCAATTCAACCCGCACCAACCCGCTCCGGAGTCGGAGGACGAGGCGAGGAAAGAAAGGCTTCCACAGACCTCCATCACATTGCCCAAGCGAAGCAGTATGGCACAAACGTCAGCGACAGAGAACCCTCGTCGTCGTGCTCGCTTCGCAGCAGAGCAGCCTAAAGAGACTCCACAAGCATTGTGGTCGCCTCCGCACGACAACGGTTACCTTTCACCTTATGACCCGACGTCCGGCTGGGACACAGCACCGAATACGGAGCCTGCGCCTTTAAACGTAACTCCTCGATCGCCACTCGAAAGAGATGTTCACCGTCGAAGCATTGAAGGACCGCAAGGCAAAGCTCCGCAGCGTCTTGCGTGGCACGGATGGCTAGAATTTGTTGCAGGACACAGTGTCATCGAGCTGGAGGGTGCGCTGCGTGCAACAGAGGCCGTGTCGTCCGATCGGATTAAGGCGCTCGGCTTGGCAGTCAGCGGAACGTCTCTGCGTTTCGATAAGGTCTTGCCTTTGTCCTGGCTGAGAGACATTCTGGCGGGACACAGCATCGCCAGTGAAGAAGCCATGCTGCTCGAAGCACATGGTCCAGACGCACAGCAGGTTCGCTCTTCTCTTGATCAGGTCTCCGAACAGGTGAAAGACTTCGACGTCGCTCTGCTTGCGTACGCCGGAGAGAAGCCACCTTCTTACGACTTTGCCAGCGGCGAGAGTGTACCGAAAGGTCGACTCGAGTACTTCGCTGCATTCTCGGGCAAGTACAACATCGATTATATCACAGGTATTCCTCCCGCCCTGCGAAATGTCGCCAACCATCCATATACCCTCTGCATGATGCCACTGCAACTCGAGCACCACCCGGCGCCATCTCAACTCTTCTCGATGCAGCACCCGCCGCCCTTGGAATCTTCCGTTGGCAACATCTTTGATAGCTCTCTTTGCAAGAAGACGATCGAAGATCTCAAGATAGGTCGCAACGACATTCGAAAGGTCAAGCGAGCGGCGCAGCGGTACCGCATCAGTCCTCGCCTGTACGAGGGAATCCGGAGCAGGTACAATGTTATCTTCCTAGGACGAAACCCGCCGAGCTACGAGAAGAGCATCCTGTATTACATGGTCCGCATCTTTGAAGGTGGAGCGCGCCTGTCTCTCGATACTGACAAGGATGCGAAGCTATTGAAGGATCCCAAAATCGGCGTCAACGTCTTCGTCCGGCGCGCTGCTGTCGACGAGATTCTCAATACTGACGAGCAGCTCACACTAGTCCTAGCAGGCTATCTCAGGCGGTTCAAACGACAGCCACGGTGCAAGTTTTGGACATTTGGCTTTTCACCTGAGGACCCCGACGAGCGTGTCCGCGAGATCTTCCCTGGTCACGACGGTCTTGTGACATTCAGCATGTCAGCCATCCTCGCAGATCTCCTGCGAGCATCGACCGAGGAAAAGGACAAGGAAGATAAGGAAGAGGGCCAGTGGACGCAGACCGACAACGAAAAGACCGCCCCTCCTCCCGTCCTCTGTCAAGCGGCATACCACGTCGCAGACAACTGGCGAGTCCGACTCCATCCGTGGATCCGTCCTTGTTTTAGGCTTCTCGCTGACCAACTCGAGCCCGCCTGTCGATCTCTGAACTTGCTCCAAGAAGACGACGAGTTCCCCATCGAGTTGATGCTTGAGCTCGACACCAAGCTCGAGGTGCTTTACACATCCGCGCTTGTGGAAGAATGGACCGGCGATGTCATCAACGGACTGCCATTCGACGAGCCGACCGAAGTGCCCGACAAGCCAGAGGAGCTCATTAAGAAGCTGGACGCCGAAGTGTTTGCTACTATCCGCAAGAGTCAGCTACGCACGATCTCTGATACAAGATTCCATGTCATGGTGTCATGCAGCGGAGTGGAGGAGAAGAGGTCAGAGGAAGAAACTGCAGGAGTCGAAGTGATTAGCATCGAGGAGTTCAGCGGCAACAGGTGTCGAGAGTTGGCAAAGCTGCCTGGCAATTGAGTCTGTATCGATGCTTTCCGTCATTTGTATTCTGTATTGCATGTAAGCGTGTACTCCACGCAATGAACTTCACACACATCTGCTGTCATCCGGAAGTGTATTGGTACGATATGGTGCGCATTTGATGATAATGGTGTGTTGAGTGGCGGAAGGTGTTCGATGCGTGTGGAGTCGATTCAAGGTTTTGAGGTTGGACCCTGAGATGCGAACGCGCACTTCGCGCACAGACTCAGCTCCTGATTTCAGTTCGAGTAACTTAATTGAAGATAACAATTAATACACGGCATTATCGGGGTCACGATCAGACTTCCTTTACAACAGCTGTATGTTCTATGTAATGCTTAGCTTTCATAGTGTGAACCTAAATGACAAACACATATATATACTCCATTCACCACTCTAGTCCTATCCGAGATGGGACATGTCACTTCATTCATACTCCTATGTTGCTATGATACTGAGTGCCACTGAGCTGTCGCCATGACAACAATCATGTATCTCATTGTGCTTCTCGCTTAAGTAAGCCTCCTGTGCCTTGGTGTCTCAGCCGTGACACATGCATCTTGCTTGAGTTGCCAATGCATCTTCAACTCCCCCCTTTGGTGGGATCTCCAGCCCTATCATCCTAGCCAATCATGAGGTATTGAGACCCTGTAAAGGTTTTGTCAAGACATCTGCAACATTGTTTGCTGTCCCGACATGTTTGATTACCACATTGCCCTCTTGCATGTGATTGTGGATGAAGTGATACCATGTGTCGATGTGCTTTAACTTCGAATGTTTGGCTGGATCTTTACTCACCTGCATGCACCCCTGGCTATCAGTGTATAGTATGGGCTGAACATCTGTGATCTCCAAATCCCAGAGCAAATATGAGAAGAACAATGCTTCTCGCACCACTTCAGAAGCGGCAATGAACTCTGCTTCAACTGCTGACAATGCTACACATTTTTGAATGTGAGACTTCCAACTCACTGGACATCCATACACATATGTTATTGACCCCGAGGTGCTCCTTCATCCATTTGTGGGGTTGGATGCCCAGTTTGTGTTGGTATACATCATTACCGGTGTATCTGAGTGCTCATTTGCCTCCCCTCCTAAGTGTAACTGATATCCATTCATCTGGTTCAGGTACTTTACCATGTGTATGGCTGCCTTCCATGCACTGTCGATTGGGATTGACATGTATCATGATAATACACCAACAGCAAAGGCAATATCTGGTCAGGCTGTGTTGGAGACCCATAATAGTTGGCCAACCAACTCTTGATACTTCTTTGCTTGCTGAGTATCACATCTCTCACCTCTGGCAATGTTCACTATGCTCAGCATAGGTACCCAAGATTTCTTGTTTGCTCCTCCTAACCATTTGTTCACCATTTCTTTGATGTATGCCATTAGACCCAGAGATATCTTCCTCTGTCTTCTATCACATGTGATCTTGATACCCAGAAATTCTTTGATTCTTCCATTGTCTTGCATTTCCCATTTGTCCATGATCTCTCGCTTAGTGCAGTCTACTTCATCACAACTGGGTGATGTTATCAGCATGTTGTCCACATATGCTGTAATGATTGTGATCTTGTTGCCCATCCCTCTTGAGTATAGGCATGGTGCACTTGGCATGCAATGAAATCTGATCATCTGGAGATGTGAGTCTAACTCAATGTTCCATTCTCAGCCCGATTGCTTCAGACTGTACAGTCCTTTCACTACCTTCAATGCTTTTCCAGGTGGTACTTTGATTCCTACTGGGGGCTTTAGATATACATCATGGTGTATAGTAGAGTTCAGGTACACTTGTTTTATGTCAATAGAGTCTATTTCCCAGTCTCATATTGCTGCAACGGTGATCACCCCTCAAATGGATTGGATGGGCACTACTGGTGCGAAGACCTCTGTGTAGTTGATGCCCTCGCATTGGGTGAAACCTTGTGCCATGAGCCGGGCTTTGAACTTTGTCAGCATGAGGTTCACATCAGTTTTGATCTTGAGTACCCAACATGTGTTGATGGTGTTTGCACCCTTCGGGAGGTTGGTGATCTCCCATGTGCCCATCACTTCTAATCCATCCAGCTCCTTTCACATGGCTTCCTCCCAGTGCTTTCTGTCTTCTCCATTCATTGCTTCATGTATGGTTGGGTCCAGGTTCTTTCTCCATTCCAGTTGCATCGCTATGAGTCTGAAGGATTTACTGTCAATCTGGGCTTCAGCGATTGATCCTTGTTCCATCACCTCTGCCATTCCTCTGCTTAATCTTTCTTCCAAATCTGACTCCATATCCATGTATTCTTGTAGTGGCCCTTCATCTGTTTCATCGAATATATTTTCTTTGTTATATCCTAGATCTTCAAAATTCTCTTCTGTCATCATCGCTGGAGGTGCCTTTGTGTCAACCAGTCACCACTCTGTTCTGTCTGACCAGCACTTTGATTCCATGAATTTTGCTGAATTGCTCCAGAACATGTTCGGATTATAGTCTGGACTGTAGAATAGCCAGCCCTTTCTCTCTAGACTGTATCCCAAGAAAATGGATGTGACAGCTCGTTGGTCCAGTTTCTTGTTGTCCCATTTGACTTTGGGTATGTTTACCCATGCCAGACAACCAAACACTTGTAGAAGTCTTAAAGCTCACTCTGGCAACTTGCCGAACATGGCTTGATAAGGGAATTCATTATCAATGCTCAGAGTGAGGTTTATTTTGAATGCTGCAGCTCTGATCACATACAGCCAGATCTTCTTCAGTAGTCTCCTCTGCATTAGCAATGTCCTTGTCTTCTCTCCAAGGGTCCTGTTCATTCTCTCTACCCATCCATTTTGTTTACTGTTGTACCCTACAGTGGTTTGCCACTCTATGCCCTTTTCTAGTGACCATTCCAATGCATCATTGCTTCTCCATTCAGTTCCTTGATCGGATCAGATTGCTTTTAGCTTCCGATCCATCTGTGTTTCCAGGAATGAAACAATCCTTTTGAGTTGTGTAAACACATGACTCTTTCATGTCAATGGCTGTGCATACACATACTTGCTATGATCATTGACCAGCACTAACATGCATGTGTACTCCATCACATGGGACGAATCTATTATTAGATTGACATGGATAAGATCCAGGGGCCCTATGGCTCTTTTGCCACTACCTTGCCCCATTTGAGCACTTGTGCTCTTGGATCATACACACTGCTCACATGTCAGAGCAGTGTTTGGATCCAATTCCATGGTATGCTTATCCTTTAACTTGCTCGTGATCACCTTAGCTTTATCCCTCCCTGGGTGTCCAAGATGCTCATGCCATAGTTGTTGCTTTGAAACTTTCAGCTCATTCTCAATATGCTCGAACTCCTCATCAATGCCTTCAAACAATGGTATTAATGTGGCCATTGTGCTTTCTTGCCATGTATTGCCTCAGAACTCCAAAAGTCCTCACTTGTGATTCTTTGCAATCTTGAGTGACATGCTGTTTGTTAGAAGAATTTGACCACCAGTTGTGTCCAATATCACTCATGCTCCTTCATCCATTAATGAATTCATTGACAGAAGGTTAACATTAAGGTGCTTCACATATAATACATTTTGTAGGGAGATTTCCCTGTAATCTGTTGATATGCTTGCATCTCCTATAGCTGCTGCTTCCAAGACCTCACTTCCAGCAGTAATTATCTGCTTTCGGCAAGTTCTCAGATGGATGAGCATGCTATAGTCGTTCACCATATGATAACTTGCCCCCAAGTCCAAGATCCAATGAGTTGTCTCTTTTGTGTTCAGGGGGTCTTGCCACTTCAATGGGAGGGTGAGGGAGCACCATGCTTCCTATTTAGGTTTAGCAAGGTGGGAGTCTTTGGGGATGGTGACCAAGGTGTCACATTGGCTAATACCATGTCCAGGTCACTTGCAGATCCAGCATTGGATTTGGCATGGTCTGCCTGTGTTCCTCAAGCTCGCATGGCTGTTGTCAGCTTCAGCTTCAGTCTCTCTGGTCCATTCATTTTGATCATCGTTGCCAGCGGTTCTAGTGCTGGCTTGTCAGGGGTTGATCTTTTGCATGGGGACACTCGTGACAGTGGTCTGCCAGTTGCTTAGTGTGGTGGTGAGGGTGTTGAAATCAATTTGATGGATGGTGGCAACCATCTCCTTATACACCAGATGCCAGATCATGCATTTCTGCAGAGCCGAGAACAATGTATCATTGGCAAATGGTTTGCCGAGGAGGCTGCTTTCAGTCTGTATGGACTGGATCTCTTGAATTAGCTTTCTGGCATCCAAGTGAAACATCTTTGTATCATTGAGCTGCGAGATGAGCACAAGTCTGTGAGACATCTTGGTGGCTTCGTTCATGAGACTGTTTTCGATCTTTCTCCATACTTGATTGAAAGTAAGGTACTCCTTGATTACATCTAGAACAAGGTAATTTACATTGTGTTCTCTGGTAGTGTTGATTGTTCCATGCAGGGCATTAATTAAAGCATCATCGAGGGAGCAGCTCCATTTTGGGTGCTTCTTGTTGTAGGTTCCCTTGAGATGTTTCATTGCATGGGGCATGGATTGGAGGAAAGATTTCATGTGAGTGCTCCAGCTATAATAGCTGCATGATGTGAGCTTTGGCACGGGTTCAAGGAGTTTTGCTAGGGTGCAAAAGTTATATCACTTGTCGCCATCATCGAAGTTGGAGTCAGAATCAGTGTCTTTGTTGGCTTCCTTGTCAATGACCTCCAGCTTGTTCTTGTTCATGGCATCGTTGTCTACCCGAACCTGGGTGTTCTTGCCTTTTCTGCTTCCTTTGATCCTTATTTTGGTGTCTTCTACCATTGTTGTCAATGAGTTTTGGTTGGCTCGGTGATAGCTTCCTCAGACTCTTAATCAATTGAAGATAACAATTAATACATGGCATTATTGGGGTCACGATCAGACTCCCTTTACAACAGCTGTATGTTCTATGTAATGCTTAGCTTTCATAGTGTGAACCTAAATGACAAACACATATATATACTCCATTTGCTGCTCTAGTCCTATCCAAGATGGGACATGTCACTTCATTTGTACTCCTATGTTGCTATGATACTGAGTGCCACTGAGCTGTCGCCATGACAACAATCATGTATCTCATTGTGCTTCTCGCTTAAGTAAGCCTCCTGTGCCTTGGTGTCTCAGCCGTGACACGTGCATCTTGCTTGAGTTGCCGACGCATCTTCAACTAACTTCAATTGAAATATAGCAGAACAGCCACCAAGCTCACAAGCGACTCAGGTCGCAGTCGACACACTACAGCGATTTCGAAGTCAGTATCGCCAACCTCGCCCTATCAACATCACGGTAGCGAAAACAACATGTTCTCCCTTTCCAAGCACTCTTTCTGCCACGCCAAGGTTGCGAAGCACATAGCTCTCAAAGGTCTGACGACAACGGCAATCTCATCGTAGTTCAATGTTCAAATAATAGCTCGCAGGTCAAGAAGGACGTTGCGCCTCGTCTGCACTTTATTGGCATAGCAACCATCTGGACACAGTCGCAGGGGCACTCATAGCCTTGGAGCATAACGAAGGAAACTTGCTTCACCATCATGGACCGCGACTTTTACTCCTTCGTCCGCTTGTCGGACCTCGACCTCAACCTCACCTTCCGCATATCCTCGCTGCAAGGCACACTCGACCGCATCTCTCGCACACAGCTCCTGGAGAAGCCAGAAGCACGACACTGGGGTACACAACATAGCAAGTTCCCGGACCTCATCGTGGAATGCCGACTTTTTTCCGACAATAAGCCTCTCAGCGTGCCAGTCAAAACAGCCTACAAACCCTTTCGCAACAAACATCAGTGGAACGAGTGGATCACACTACCCTACAAACTTTGCGACCTTCCACTTGGCGCTCAGCTCACCTTTACCATCTACGATGTCGCATCTAGCAACACAACACGTGTCATCGGAGGAACGACCCTGCCGCTGTTCAGCAAGAAAGGCACGCTCAAGTCTGCTCAGCATCGTTTATTCGTATGGAAGGGAGTCAAGGGCGATGGGAGTGTAGAGACTGCTACTCCAAGTAAAGTCGGCGAGATGAAAGATGAGATGGGAAGACTGGAGAAATTGATCAAGCGGCATGAAAGAGGTGATCTGCCTCGGGTGGATTGGCTTGATAAGCTGGCGTATCGTCAGGTGGAGAAGGTGCATAAGCTTGAGAGCCAATCTAGCAACAGGCTGTTCTTGTATCTCGACTTGCCGAGGTTTGAGCTTCCAATTGTGTTTTGCGAGGCAGAGTCGATCTTGCCGTCAGCAGATGCTTCAAACGGACTCGCATCTCTGTCAAACGCCATGATTGGGCCTAGCTCTGGAGCGTCGATTGGTGGCGAGAGAGCAGCAGGTCACGAGCTCGGTGGTCCTGGAAGCGTTGTCTCGACGGCTTCGAACAACCTAAGTTCAGCGGCAGCAGCAGCAGCGGCTGCAGCGGCTGCACTCTCGACAGCAGATCCAAACCGCATCACCTCTTCACTCTTCACCATCTTTGACCCTGAAATCATGCGATCGAATCCAGTCGAAGCAAAACATCGTCGACTTGTTCGATCGCACCGATCAGGTCCACTCGACCGCGAGCTCAAACCGTCAGCAGAAGTTCGAGACGAACTCAATGAGATCCTCTCATACCCACCAACGCGAGTTCTCACACCAGCAGAGATGGATCGAGTCTGGTCGTTCCGTTTCTATCTCACACGCGATCCAAAGGGTCTCACGAAATTCCTGAAATCGGTTGTATGGACTGATCAGGGTGAGGCGAAGCAAGCTACGGAGGTACTTTTGCCAATGTGGACTGAGCCTGGTCTCGATGATGCGCTCGAGCTGCTCGGACCTACATTCAAGGATCCTCGTGTAAGGTCGTATGCTGTGCGTCAGCTGGAGAGAGCAGAGGACGAAGAGCTGATCTTGTATTTGTTACAGCTGGTACAAGCTCTAAAGTTCGAGAAACCTGTAACACATAGCTCGGGAGGTCAGGCTGGATCTGCAAGTGGTGACCGTGAGAGCGAGTCTCGTCGACTATCTGCTACTCGCCCACCAGCCAAGTCACCTTCCAACTCATTGACAGTGGATGGCGCAGAGGAAGACAGCAGCGGTCTCGCCGATTTCCTCATCTGCAGAGGTGTCGCCAGCCCCTTACTGGGCAACAATCTATATTGGTATCTCGAGGTCGAATGCGAAGATCCGAAGACAGGAACGCTGTTCAAGGCAGTCAAGCGGAGGTTTTTGGACCGTCTTGGTTCGCTTCCCAGCGGTGCAGAGAGAAGGGAGACGATAACAAGGCAGGCGACCTTGCTTGCTGTGCTTTCGAGACGCGCCAAGGAGCTTAGGTCGAACAGGGACGCGAGGCCAAAGAAGATCGAAAAACTCAGAGCACTTATTGCTGATCCGAAGAATGGATTGAATCGGTTTGACCCTCCGCTAATGCTGCCGTTGGATGCTTCGATCTCGGTGACAGGTATCGTAGCGGATAAGAGCTCGATCTTCAAAAGTAATCTCTTCCCGCTCAGGCTTGAGTTCACCACTGTGGTCAACACCGCAGTGAAACCGAGTGATGGCGAAGACGTGGAAGCAAGTGGACATTTGCCGCACAGTATCACAGCAAGCCTGATTGAGGATGACGAAGAAGGGTCCCTCCTCAATGACGAGTCTCGCCCAGGCGGAAGCAGCAAAGACAAGGATGACAAGAAAGCGGGCGAAGTAGGCAACTACACTTTGATCTTCAAAAACGGTGATGACTTGCGACAAGATCAACTTGTCATCCAGCTCTTCTCCCTGATGGATCGACTTTTGCGAAACGAAAATCTCGATCTCAAAATGACCCCCTACCGTGTCCTAGCAACGGGCAGCATCGACGGTATGGTGCAGTTCGTCGACTCTCTCTCCATCGCAGCCATCCTTTCCGCTCATCAAAACTCCCTCCTCAACTTCCTCCGTGCTCACCATCCCCAACCGACTTCACTGTCGACTTACGGCGTTGACCCAGGGGTATTCGAAACATTCATCCGCTCCTGTGCCGGCTACTGTGTCGTCACCTACCTCCTAGGCGTGGGAGATCGGCATCTCGACAACCTCCTTCTTTCTTCCGACGGACACTTCTTCCACGTCGATTTCGGTTACATTCTGGGTCGAGATCCAAAACCGTTCCCTCCACCAGTAAAAGTTTGTAAGGAAATGGTCGATGCTATGGGCGGCACACAGTCTCCGCACTATGCGAGGTTCAAGGCGTTCTGCTACACCGCCTTCACAAATTTGAGAAAGAACGCAAATCTGATTCTGAATCTGGTAACTTTGATGGTGGATGCGAATATTCCAGATATCAGGTCGGAGCCGGACAAAGCGGTACTCAAAGTGCAGGATAAGTTCTTGTTGCATTTGAGCGAGGATGAGGCGATCAAGGAGTTTGAAGGGTTGTTGAACGAGACGAGTTACCTGTCGACTATGTTTGATAGGTTGCATGATATGGCGCAGTATTTCAGGCAGTAGGCTTACCTCACGGCATCTTTCTTAGCAATGGTACAAGAACAAGCTCATGTTCAAGTGTGTGATTGATCGTGTGCTCGTACAAATACAATGTGACTGAGTCAAGGGTCGAGTAACATGGTGAGGATAGCGATCATGAGGAGCGCTGTGCAAGCCTCATCGAAGCAGGTGCTCTTGGTGGTTGAACATTGCCAAAAGGCGGGGCACCTGCTGGCTGTGCTATCGGCGTTTGGACCGGTGCCACCTGCTGCGCTTGCACCAGCGCTGGTGGTGGTGGAGGAGGCTGATGAACCCAACTCAACTTCTCATCCTCTAAGATATCTTCTACATCATCATCGTTGAAGTCACTAGTCTCTTCCCACATCTGATTGAAATCCAGATCTTGTGTGTTCCAAACCCCATCACCGTCCGCGTCTTTTTCCTCCACCTTATTTGATGGTCGTTGTACCCTGGTCAAATGTGTTGAATCTAACTGCTCTGGACGGGTCCCGAACAAAGATTGATGGGTGAAAGCTGTCGGGGGCAGGATCCAAGATCTTTCTCGGAGACGCTTGTGTCGTTCTCGATCTTCCTCTATCCTCCGTTGCATGTCGTTCGGCGGAAGCAGTGTAAGATTCCTCCTTTCTGGGGACAAGGCATACAAGCTCGCTTTCCTCACCTCCAACATCGTTTCCAAATCCTCAAACGTACTCCTATCCAGAACAAGTCTAGCTTTCCAAGCAGCAAGGATCTTTTCCACCGCTGGCACATTCAACAAGGCATCCCATCTCCCCTCTGGTATTGCTAGATCGAACAATGCGTATAGATCCCGTTCAAGATGACGACGAAAGAGTGACCGGATGGTGGGGGAGAGTGTCTCGTCGGTAAATATGCTATCTATGAGGAAGAGAAGGTTGATGCGGCGATTGATGGAACCGGACTTGCATTCGTCCATGATGCATTCCCATAATTCGGAGTGCATGGAGGGACCATATTCGACGATGGTTGAGAGGGCTTTTTGAATGGTTGGGAGAGATGCGTTGACTCGGTGGAGTGTTGAGACAAAGTGCAGGCGGACCTGAAAGGGGTCGGCTGACATTGTGGCGAATTCTCGCTGCGGAGTCCGGCGAAACGAGCGCTGGTGAGCTGAGGTGGCGGGTCGTAAGGATGGTAACAAGGGGAATGTCGTGAGAAGGTTGCTTTGTGAAAAATCGCTCGGATATCGGAGATGTGGAGCGGACAGAGAGCTGTGTGCGTGCGTGCATCTTTTGTAGGGACGCGCTGTGGAGAACAACACTTAGCTTTCCGCAACTCACACCAAAACTTAGGAATTGTCTCGGATGCTTCCATAGTAAGCCATCCCTATCTCAAGAGCGTATCTTACTTCGAACAGGTCGCTCGACTGGAAAAGGCTCGACTGGAAAAGGCTCGATTCAAGATGACAACGAGTCAACATCTCCAGCTGGAATTCGCACAGCGCGACATTTCCTTCCAATACGCACAGCTCTGCTTGTCATCCAATTGCCCATCTGGCATCTATGTCCAGCTCGATGACGACGACACACATCGTAAGTGCCTCAATCTCATCTTTTCTTTGTCTGGCAACTCACTATATTGACACGAAGCTTCACTCTCCCACGATTGTATCGTCTTTTAGTATGGCATGCAGTGATCTTTGTCCAGCACAGCCCATTCAACGGCGGCGTCTTTCGATTCGACATCGTCTTCCCCCCAACCTACCCTTCCGCAACCCCACAAGTCTTCTTTCCTCCCACCCTCCTCCACCCTTTAGTCGACCCCGACACAGGCCGCCTCCTCCTAAGCTCCAGATTCCGGGCCGCTTGGAAGCCACGTCAAGACTTTGTCTTTCATATTCTCCACTTCGTCAAATCCGCTTTTCAGGAAGAAACACTCGAATCACTGCGGGAAGGAGTCGTTGCAAACCCTGAAGTGTTAAGAATGTTCAGAACGCATAGGACACTGTTCAATAAGCTGGCGCTGCAGTCAGTTGCACTGTCGACAGCTCCTTCGAGCTTGTACGATGTTAGTGGGGGGAGTGGTTTTCCGAATCCTAGTATTGGGTTGAATAGAGCAGTTCCTGTCAAGCCAACTGTGGTAGATAAGGTGGGAAGTAGACCGATTAAAGCCGAGGAAGCGAATGGGATACTGTTTCGGAAGCTGGATGATGAAGAGATGGCAGTTCTGCGGAGGGACATTTTTGGCGATAAACAAACACACAGCGAGACAGCAGAATAGTCTTTGATGAAAGTCCACGAAGCGTGTCCTGATCTAGCAATATACCCCAAGCATCAAATCACATTGACAAAACATGTGTGATGGTGAGAGAGCCTTGGTGACAGAGAGACAAGATCATGCTCTTGAGTGTGAAGGCAAAATCATGCTGAAATTGACGATCCAATGACGACGCTAAAGGGCGACGCAAAGCCGACCTGATCGGAGATCAGGCAGGGCCGATCCGATCAGGTGACCGATTTGATCAGAGATCAAGGATAACTGGTCTGGCTAGGGATCAGGTACAACCAAGCCCCGCTTGTTGTCAGGCTGGATCATTAACTATAGCAACTCCCACATTTGGCATGTGCTGCTCTCATGTATATATATCAAGCTGGGAGTGCTAGGCTTTCGCCATGTTCACTTAGTCAATTGAGTATATTTGTTTCTGTCTAAAACTAGCAGTGACATCGTACTTAGACTCTACCCGATCGTCAGTTATCGGGACTCAGTTGAAGTTGCACCGGAACGACAAACATGCAAGAGAGCCGAGCCACCGACAGGCCGAGGATCATGCATGCATAATAATTTCAGTGGCAACCAATCAGGACATGTTTAGAGAGAGGAATGCTGAGACTAAGGAGGAAAACGCTGAGGCTCCTCATGACACACCTAGTTTACGGGGTGTGGATAGCCATTCTCATGAACAAAGCAAAGGTATATATATCCTCACATTACTGTAGTCTTAGTTGATCTGAATCCAAGCATTGCATCTACCATACACCAGTGCGAAAGGAGCTAGAATGTAGCCCGGACGAAGAGGTGTATCGCATAACTTCAACTAAACTTCAACAAATCAAAGATGCGAGTATGGAAGAAGAAGAAGGAAAAAAAAAAAAGAAAAAAAAAGAAAAAAAAAAGAAAAGAAAAACTGCAGCACCTAGGATTCCCGCGTGGTCCCCCACCGCAGTACTGACTAGGCGATACCTTGCTTAACTTCGCAGATCGGACGGGATGCGGTGCTTTCAAGGTTCTATGGCCGCAGATATATATGAAACATTCTAAAAAATACATATACCCAGCTATAATTCCGACAGGTTTGTGGCAGGCTGTGGAACGGCGACATGCGCCCTTATCCGCGGACAAGAATTAGCAGCGCCTTCTTTGGAGATGCCCGTGCCCTCTGAGAAAGATTGGCGAACTTTGTCTCCTCCATTTAAAGGAAGCTGTGACCATGCCGAGCCGTTGAACCACGGTAACAACACCTTTCGTGACTCGAGAAGATGTCCACCCCGCGATGAAAAAGATTCTGCCCCTTTGATATGATGGCAGATTGAGGCAGTGCCGACTATCTCTCTCCCGGTTGTGCGGCAGTGTTTCTTTCCGGCCGCCGATTCGAATCACTTCAGAAACAGATACAGAGACGTTGAGCGATTAGCCATAACGGTAGAATCATGGTGTTGATCCTGTTTCAAAGTTTTGTACCGCCCATTTCTTCGATTAAGCGCTCGAGCGCATCGGCGCTGATCGTGCCGAAAAGCTGAGTTGCATTTCGCTTTCTTCTTCTCACTTTGGAACGGCAAGAGAGGCTCCAATCTCAGCCGCCTTTTGTATAGCCGTTGCAGGTGTACACGAGCAACTCTGGCACCCTTACACCGTACCAACATAGCCGAGCGCATGCTTTGTTATCAACCTGCGCCTTGTGACTCCTTGTAGTTGACCCAGTTCGAGCCTTCTGCATCCCTCCTCCCTCGTCACCATCATTTACTCATCGCTCCGTCGTCCCCACCACCAGCTGGATTTATTGACGCAGTCTCGAGGCATGACGGACTGACATGGATACAACACAACCGCTGCTGCATGAGCAGCCGTCTCGACATCTATCCTACTGGTCAACACCGCTTATCTTTGCTGCCTACCTGCCAGTTGCAGTCGTACTTGCCGTTATTGTCTCGCAGATATCTCCAAGGTCCCCAAGCTCCTCACCTTCTTTGCTCGCCCGGGTCTTCACACCTTTCGTTACCCCAGAGGATGTTCAAGAGTACGACCGCATCGAAGCTGAGGCACGCGAGAACGACAAGCATGTTCAGGCTAGCACTAGTATTGCCACTGATGGCGCCAACGGTCGCACGCAAAACGGATACGGTCCTGTAGATGATCGAAGCAAGGACAAGACTGTCGTGCGGACCTCGGCTTCCGGTGACAGTGCAAGGGACAGCGAGATATCACCTCTGCTTCCGCGTCGAGCAGGGTCTGGAGATGACAGCGACGTTGCGCAATGTCTTGCAAGGCAGCCACGTGCTGTACAAGTCGGACTATCCCTGATCAACATCTCGCACTTGCTGGCATGGGTCGCTGCACTAGTCTTTGCTTTCCTCAGTAGTCACTCTGCGGATTGCATCGGTGCAGAGGCTGGCTTCCAGAACGCCTTAGGCCTTCGATTGGTAGCCGCAATGCAGATCGTCGGCTGGGCATACGCATCTTCCTCATCCACCTTCTTCCCATCGCCTACTCCGCCCTACGCCATTCTTATCTTTTATGGAACACAACTTGCCGGGTCGGCTGTGTCAGCCTATCATTCGCTCTTCAGCGTACCTCATGCACCACTCTCACCACCCCACCGAAGTCAGCTTGCGCCTCCCATCTTCAGCCTGGTCTCAATGGGTCTCACATTGGTGGGTGTCGCACTCATTATGGGCTTGCCTTTGCAAGTCTACGACCGTAACCCGCAGCACGACCGCAATGGCTACCCTCCGCCCCTCGAAGATTACTGTACCCTGTGGCAGTGGGTCAGCTTCTCCTGGCTCAACCCTATCATCAGCCTGGCCCAGACTCGTCCGCTCGAAGAATCCGATGTCTCACAGCTCAGCAAGCTCTCCAAGTCCCAGGTGCTTCGGACCAAGATGCGACGGGTTCAGCGCATCGATACCGAAAGATACGAGCACGAAAAGGCTCGAGCAGAAGCACAGACAGCCAATGCCACCGCCGAAGAGCGCGAGAAGGCACTCGCGAAAGCGGAGAAGGAAAAACCCAACATCCTGCGTCAGATCATCTGGATCAACTCCAGAGATCTTGCACTAGATTTCATCCTGACTATCGTCTCGTACACTTTGGCCTATGCAAGTCCCTTCTTCTTACGCCAGATTCTCGGTGCACTGCAAAGCCGAGAAGAAGAGCCTGTGCAAGTCTTCGGTGCAGCTCAGCATCTATCAAGCGTTCCTGCCCCGTCCGGATTTTCGGCTTTCACGACTTCCCTTCAAGGCAGCATGCACTCTTACGTCGCTCCGGTGACGAACATTGTCACCTTCGACAAGTACGATGCCATCGACCCTGCCAAGAAGCGTGCCTTCTTGTATGCCGTATTCGCTCTACTTGCTTCTGTCATCAAGACTCAGACCGACCTGCAGCATCTGTACTTCAGTCGACGTGCTGGTGTTCGCATCAAGTCAGAGCTTACATTGGCCATCTACGACAAAGCCTTGCGCCGCAAAGACATCTCTGGCTCTCTTCAGAGCACTACCTCGACTGCCGATGCGCAGCAAGCCACTGACGATACTGCTAAGCCTCACGGTAAAGACGAAACGTCGGCCAAGAAAGAAACGAAAAAGATGCAAGACGATGACAAGAGCAGCGCAAGCGTCGGCAAAGTCGTCAACCTCATGTCGACGGATGCCAATTCCATTTCCATGACGGTCACAGCTATCTACATGGCCTACTCTGCGCCTGTAGAGCTTATTATCGCCACCACATTCCTGTACAAGCTTCTTGGATGGTCCGCATTCGTCGGCGCTGGCCCCGCTCTGATCCTCATGCCGATGCAGCAGCGATTCACCATGATGTCGTTTGCCAACAACAAAGAGCTTCTCAAGACGAGAGATAAGCGTATCACCGTGCTCAATGAGCTCATCCTTTCCATTCGATTCATCAAGTTCTTCGCATGGGAACGCGGATGGTCGGAACGAGTCTTGCGTGCTCGACAAGCCGAAATCAAGTGGCTCGTTCGAGGTGTATGGATCATGGCTGGTTTGTTCCTGTCCTTTGCCCTGATTCCGATTACTTTCACTGTCTCTGCGTTCACCTCGTACACGCTGATTCAGGGGAAGCAGCTCGATGTTGCTACCGGCTTCACTGCAATTGCTCTCTTTGCAATGCTCAGGAACCCGCTCAACATCTTGCCGATGGTGATCAACATGATCTTCCAGGCGAAGGTATCGATGGATCGCATCGACGCCTTCTTGCATGAGGACGAAGTGCCTGATTGGGTCGTCAAGAACCGCAACGCGCATACAGAGCAGAACGCTGGGAAGGACGACGCTGAGGATCGCACTATTGTTCTTGACGGCGCCACACTTCGTTGGCAAGGTTCCAAGCCGGTCGAAAAGTCGACCAAAGCGGCTAAGCCCTCACTGCTCTCGAAGCTCAAGCTTTGGAAGAAAGGTGCAATGAAGGCACCAAAACAGGCAGCCAGCAATGAAGTCCGAGACGGCGAAGAAGGGAACAAGCCTGAGCCGTTCCAACTCACTGCAATCGACTTCCGCCCGCCTCGTGGCAAGATCACCTTAATATGTGGTCCCACTGGCTCTGGAAAGTCCTCGTTGCTCTCGGGTATCCTCGGCGAGATGGAACTGCTCGACGGCACCATCTCGTTGCCGAAGCGCCCACTGTCTTTGCTCAGCGGTGGTGTCACCTACTGCTCTCAGACTGCCTGGCTCGAGACCATGAGCATCAGGGATAACATTGTGTTTGGGCAGTACTTTGACCAACAACGATACGACCATGTACTAGAGTGCTGCTGCCTCAAGCCAGATCTCAAGACCTTCCCAGATGGCGATCAGACCGAGATCGGAGAAAACGGCGTTTCCCTCTCCGGTGGTCAGAAGGCGCGAGTTGCACTTGCACGTGCCGTTTACTCGAGATCACCCATTCTGCTCCTTGACGATGTGCTTGCCGCTGTAGACTCGCACACTGCCAAGAAGCTTGTTGACGATTGCTTGTGCGGCGATCTGCTCAGAGGCCGCACCGTCGTTCTGGTCACGCATCACGTCGAAGCTGTCTTGCCGCACGTTGCGCAGGTTGTCATGCTTGAGGAAGGTCACATTCGGGCTAGTGGCACTGCAGGTGAACTCAAGGCAGAAGGCCTTCTCTCGGCGCTTGTGCAAGATTCATTCGCCAAAAGTCCCGACAGCAAAGGCAAGGAGGCGGCAAAAGACCAGCTATTAGAGGAAGAAGCAAAAGGCGCTGCTGTGGAAGCCAAGGTTCAATCCCAAGCAGAAGGACCCACGGACGGGAAAGCTGACACGGCAAGTGCCGGAGCGACAACGGCACGGGGCAAACTCGTGCAAGCAGAAGGCAAGTCAACGGGCAAAGTCAAACGAGAGATCTACGTGACGTATCTCTCCGCTTTCGGATGGTTGCCCGTCTTCATCGTCCTCTTCGCCATCATGTGGGCACGATCCTTCGATGTTTTGGAAAAGTACTGGCTGTCTTACTGGGGCAACGCTTACCTGTGTCATCCGGGCGATCACGACCACATTCAACATCGACTGCCAGATCCCAAGAACAACGTCGTACCTTACCTCGGCATCTATGGCTTCATCTCGCTATTTGGCTATTTTGGCACGATCTTGGCAGTACTTGTGACGGGTGTCTATGGTATCACAGCGGGCAACAAGCTCTTTGAAAGAATGCTGCATACTGTCGTGCGGTCCCCTACAAGGTTCTTTGATCAGACGCCAACAGGTCGGATCTTGAATCGATTCACAAAGGATGTCGAAACGGTCGACAGCACGTTAGCTGGCAACATTCGACAGCTGGTCGCCTTCACTGGTGCCTCGATCCTTTCTTTCACTACGATGGCGGTGACAGTGCCGAGTTTCGTTCCCCTGCTAGTGCTGTTCGCTTACGTGTACTATCGAACGGCTCAAGCGTACATCAGTGCTGCGCGTGACCTTCGTCGACTTGAGTCGGTCACTCGATCGCCAATCTTCCAGTCCTTTTCTGAAGTGCTTAATGGTATTGCCACAGTACGAGCGTATGGTGCGCAAGAGCGATTCTTAGAAACGCTTTTCCGACGCCTCGACGCCACACAGAGCTGCTACAACCTCTTCTGGATGGCCAATCGATGGCTCATGCTCCGATTTGACCTCTTGGGTGCCTTGATCGTCTTTGGCGCCTCGGTGCTGGCGCTTGCAGGTGGTATTGACGCAGGATGGGCAGGTATCGCGATCACACAAGCACAAACTTTCGTGCTGGCCATGTATTGGCTCTGCCGTTGCTGGACTGGGTTCGAGATGGATCTCAACTCTGTCGAAAGGATGCACGAGTATCTGGGGCTGCCACAAGAACCTCCTGCGATCATTGAGGGGAGTCGACCGCCGCCTAACTGGCCTTCCAAGATCGACAGCAAGGGGATTCAGGTCAATGGTCTTGTTCTCAAGTATGCACCTGATCTTGATCCTGTTCTGCGAGGTGTTAATTTCAACATTGCTGCTGGCGAGAAAGTTGGGTTGGTTGGCAGGACAGGATCAGGCAAGAGTACGCTTGCGCTTGCTTTCTTCCGCTTTGTCGAGTACGAGCAGGGATCGATTGTGATTGACGGTATCGACATCAGTCAGATTGGTCTCGAGGATCTGAGGAGTCGACTGACGATCATTCCGCAAGATCCGGTGCTGTTCAGTGGTACAATTCGTGACAACTTGGATCCGTTCAATGAGCGTACAGACGAAGAGTGTTTGCTGGCGCTTCGCCGAGTCAACCTCAGAACATCTCCCATTCAGACTGCCGCACCAAGTGTTCTTCCCAGTCGCGCGGCTTCCATCCACGAGACGTCACCAGAAGTCAACGCCTCTTCATCCTCGTCCACCGCCGTCAATTCTGTTTTCCCTGCTGCACATGTCTCAAGCATGACACTCTTCACCCTCGACACCAAAGTCTCGGAAGGAGGCAGCAACTTCTCTCAAGGTCAACGACAGCTCATCTCGATGGCCCGAGCTCTACTACGCTCCACTTCGATCATCTTCATGGACGAAGCAACGGCGTCGGTCGACTTTGAGACCGATACGCAGATCCAGCGTACCCTGCGAGCGCCGTTGGGTGCTGATACAAGACACAAGACTACGATTATCACGATCGCGCATAGGTTGAAGACGATCATTGACTACGACAGGATCTTGGTGATGGACAAAGGCGTCATTGCTGAGAACGGTTCACCTGGAGAGCTGTTGCAGAAGAAAGGGATCTTCTCTGAGATGTGTAAGAAAACTGGAGAGTACGAGGAGTTGGAGTTAATTGCTAGACATGCTGCTGAGCAACGGTCGGCCCCTGCATAGATTACACATAGGTTTGCCCTAGGTTGCTCAATACAATTTGGTGGATCTCGTATGAAGTGTATCTAATTGAAAGTGTGAGTCCCGTCTGGACTCCATCGCACGAAACAAAACCGAAAATGTATATACCTAACACGAACAAACTAAGTGGATTGCAGGCAAAGACCCGTGAGGTCCTTGAAGCTCGACAAGGAGGCTCCCGGCCCGCCATAACAAGGGCCGGTCGAGCGCAGAAACGAGCGGCAAGGGAGGGTGTACAGGAAGGGCAAAGAATCGACGAACCAGGCTGCTAATAGTACGCCTGGCTTTGGTGGAGATGATGGTGTTGAAGTTTGAAGACGTTTGGGTCCCGATACTGGCGATCGGGGAGAGTCTAAGTACGATGTCACTGCTAGTTTATAGACAGAAACAAATATACTCAATTGACTGAAGGAATGTGGCGAGAGCCTAGTGCTCTCGGCTTGATATATATACACTAGCGTGGCAACCGCCAAAGGTGGGAGTATCCTACTTAATGATCAATCATGGCAACGAGCGGGACTGTGTTGCACCCGATCTCTGGTGAGATCGATCATCTAATCGGATCGGCTCTGCCTGATCTCCGATCAGATCGGCCCCGCGCTATCCTTTGGCGTCGCACTGGATCGCAATCTCCAGCAGATGGTAGCGTCTCCGCTCCGCTCTTCACAAAGCGGAACAATTTTTCGATTGTTGAGTCCAGCCCAGACGTGCACGCCTTCATGACTGATCACGTGATGCAGAGTGTGAGTGTGTGTGTGTGGCTCAATGAGTTAAGATTCAGTAGATGAAATCCTCGGGACGCGGAAGTGTAGCTGTGCGTGCTTGAAGCGCGGTACTGAAAATTCGAGCCTTGGGAACGCAGTGATTGGAAATGTGATTCACAACGCGAAAGGAGCGAGACGTAGTCGAGGTTCCCCTTTCTCGAGAGCAACACTTGGGATAAGCGTCACTTGCTTTCCGCTCTCCATCAAACTCCTACTCAATAACCTCGGCTCAGCTCAACACCACATCGCGCACACTTCAATACTTGTATCACATCACCGGGCCTGCATTACGCTTTCATCTCCCCACCGACCCGCTCGTCGCGGCTTCTATAAGGGGTTGATAGATCGGATTGGCTAAGCTGCCTCCGCATTGCAGATCTTCCGCAATCCACCAGGACTAATGCCGTTGAGCGCATCTGGAGCTCACATGACCATTTGAGCCACGTCATTCGCCCACAAGCCGGACTGGGGACACGGAGCATGTCGGTGTCATGCCCAGCTCTGTTACCTCTCCGTCTACAGTAATGACGCAACATCCTCCTGCGGCACACGCTAGCTCATCACGAGACCACTCTACTGTCGGACAATCACTCGCTGATCTATACAACGCTCGCCATGCCGAGGAACGCGGCGGTCCCTCGACTTCGAAGGCCATCACCAGCAATTCGCTAGCCGATCTATATAACAAGCGACACGAGGACGAATGTCGCAAGAAGCAGACGTCTTCGAGCTCCTTCGTAGACCTTTACAACCAGGTGTACGAGCACGAGCAGCAGTATGAGGACAAAATTCTGGTGCAGGAATCAAGTTTCTCCGGAACCGGGCATTTGGCCATCGCTGGTCCGTCGAGAAGCTCGACAGCTGGTGTCTCCAAAAACCTAGCACCACCCCAAGCGCTCTTTATCAATGACAGTGACGAGGATACACCAGAGCCACCGAGTCTGCTCCCGAGCGAGCCGGACAACGGAGACGAGGAAGACAAGAATGATGATGATGAGATCGCCTTTCGATCGCCTCCCATGACCGACAGCCGAGATGGAAGTCGCTCGCGGAGCGAATCGATGCTCCCTGTTGGTCCCCAAGTTGTTTATGTCGCACGAACCTCGGTACCGCGCAGAGGTGCGCTTGGTGACTCAGCAACACGGTTAACCATGGACAGCGACGACGGCTCGGACGCGCCAGGTACGCCAGAACCAGAGCTTCCCACCGCATCGAGGACACGCTCAAATGCTCCTCTGGCGCGGCCACATCCTAGCCCATCGAAACCCATCGTACAGTCAAGCTCGAGTCGAAATACCGACCTGGAATCAGAGCATTCATCAGGTCCCTTTGGACCGCACAACCACAAAGGCAAAGCAGTGCAGCGACTCTTGGAGAGCACGCAGGAAGATGATTCACTCAACTCTTTGCTCATATCCGGCTCAGCACCGCCTAGAGAGGATCGTGCCGCATTGGCACGTGTCTTTCAGCCAGATGCAGGATCGTCGGAAGCCCAGGACGTCCATAATTCGAACACCTGGCCTTCTGACGACATCGTCATTATCAGTGACTCTGAACAGGACGGGACTTCCACACGACAAATTTCCCCTCAACACTCTGAAGAGGATCGTTTGAGGGCATTGGCTAGTAGAAGTGGTTCTGAAGGATTGGACTCAATTGGAAGGAACACTGTAGTCGTGCTACCATCTTCAGCTCGACGGACAGAGAAATTGGCAGAGGATCGCAGCTCCGTGGAGGCGTCGGCATCTGGATCTGCTGAGCGATCCCAGCTGTCTCAGCGTCGGCATTCGACGGGAGCTCAAGGAGCGCAAATGAGACCGGTACTAAACGCAGGCGCAGACTCGGATGTAGAATCGGACACTCCTATCGTTACCGACGCAAGGATCGTAGAAGTGCGAGCGACCGACTCAAGCGCAAAAGCGACGCCAGGCAATGCGTTCGATAGCGACTTTCAACGTCGCTACCCAAAACGAGCGCGCAACGTTGCGGACTACAATGTCAAACGCATCTTCGAGAGGTATGAACGTGCGCAGAGTGCAGACGCTGCACCACCTCCGCCGTCAAAACCAAAGAAGCAGCCACTGCCAGTGGTGAATGCATCCCCGGCATTCTTCGATGCACTGCGCTCGAAGACAGCAAACAAAGTGCCTGGTGGCAGCGTTCCTTCTTCTTTTGTCGACTTTCTCCAAGGAAAAATCAATTCGGGAGCCGCAACAGCGGCCCTCCGTGCTGCTGCCTTGTCCGGCAGCGCTGTAACCATGCCACCCAAGTTCACGGAGGCCGAAGCGAAGGCCGTCGCCGACAAGCCGATCCCCTCAACTGCACTCTGGAACGTCTCAATCCGCACAGACGACCGTGCAAGTCTGTGGCAGCTGAAGCCCAGCACTCGTCGCTGGCTTGGTGTCACGAATCCAGGTCACAGCGACCCGAATGCCGACGGAGCTACCACACCCACTCTCCCTGCAGGTGAGAAGGGTCCAGCGCTCAACCTCAAACTGCGGGACATCATCGCTTCTCATACAGGTCCGCCCCCGAACCCAGCAGACCTCCGCGACGATCTCCAAAGGTTCGAAGGCGCAGGTCTCATTGGTCGTCCCAAGGATGCAGAATACTTAGAAAGCGCATCCCGTCGCCTTCGTCTCGGTCGCGCCTACAAGCTTCCTCTCCCCGATACGCTAAGCGCTTTTGTCGATATGGAACACAAAGAATGGGTTCGAGCGGAAGAAGACTTGCCCGAGATGGCTCGCCTGGCTGAAGACTGGAAAGCGCGGGAAGAGGGCAAGATTACGGTAGAAGTCGAAAACAGCGATTGCATTCAGTCACACTACGACCATGCTGGACGGAAGACGGTTTCGCGGATCAGACCTGAGACGGGAGGTGAGATTAGGATGTACTTTGATCTCAAGCAAAGCGAAGCGGCGGGGCCGCAGGAAGAGTCACAGAACTACAGGATCGTCAGGAGGGAGTCGCCAAGGAAGTCTCCCTCGTTATCGCGACTTTCTTCGTCGCAAGTGGCAAGAGATCCGAGTGATGCGGAAGCTGATTCGGATGTCGAGATGAGGTCTGGTGAGGATGGGACTCCATCACCGACCGCAGGCCCAAGCAGGTTGGGTATGGGTGCGGACGAGTCCATGGCAGAGAGATCTGAATCTCCGGTATCTGTGATGGAGGTCGACGCTCCAGCATCACCTTCAAAGCGCACCGAAGCAGTACTTGCTGTTTCTGCGGCGGAACCGAAGACTCGACCGGCAATCGCTCTAGCCGCTGCAAAAATCTCCAAGTCACTACCCAACGCTGTGCGAGCCTCATCACCCAAGAGCAAGCCCCAGCCTTCCAAATCATCAGCACCGCCAAAAAACCCCGCAGCTATACAGCCAAAACCAAAAATAGCGACAGCCTCAAAAGGCACCGCACGCAATCTCCTCTCCTACCTCTCCACCCAAATCTCAGCCCCACAGCCTGCAAAGCCTGCAAAGGTCAGCAAATCTGTCCCCGCACCCGCAACTACTTCGACATCAGTCAAGTCTTCCACTATCAAGCCCACCGTCTCTGCTTCAGCCAAAGCGGAAGGCAAAGCTCGAGCCCGCGACATAATCGATTTGGACGATTTCGAGTTCTTCCCACACTCATCCCTTGGGTCGGGTAGCCAGGTCTTTGTTGATCTGACTCACTCTTCGAGTGCTTCGGAAAGCATTGCTGAACGGCCATTAAGCAAGAAAGTTCGGTCATCTTCACCCGTTGTCTCCACGTCTAGTAAGAGGGCTGCCAAAGTAGAACGGCTTCAGGTGGAAGAAGAGGAGGAAGAGGTAAGTTTCTGGAACACAGAAGATGAAGCTGAACTGAACGCCGAACTGAGGACTAACGGTGTAACAGTTGGATTGCCAGCAACGCCGACCAAAGCGAAGGGGAAGACAGTGAAAAGAAAGCATGCAGCCAATCGGATGCGGGCTGATAGCGACTCGGACTCTCCTTCCCCCGCTCTCGCTCCTGCTGCTGTGGCGCGGAAGGCGTTAAAGACAATGCATCCTTCAACAGCAGCTCAGGTCGCAGCAACAGCCTTCCGCTCACCAAACAAAGCCGGCGCCAGCAGCAGCAGCAAATGCGTTGGCGGGGAAGAAGTGGAACTACCAGCTGCAACTCCATCCCCGACCAGGAACGGATGGAAAGGCATCACCGGCTGGTACAGCGACACGCGAGACGCTTTTAGTCCTACGCCTGATGATCGACCCCGGAAAGGGGACAAGGAGAAACAGGCAAGACTTGATCAGATTCTGCAGAGGCGAGGGAAGGAGGGTAAACACAAGCATCGATAATAGCTTCTCACTGCTCAATGCAATGCATGCAATTTTACCGCAGCTCAGACATCCGTGTGTTGTTATGGAAGGTGACTGTGACATTTCGCCAGACCAAAGTGAGGATTATGACGTGATGGGATGAAAGAGAAAAGGATAAACTAGTCACGAGGGTCGCCGATAGAAGCATCACTCTTCCGCCTCTTACTTGAGCGTACGTTGTTCTCTTCCTCCCCTTCTTGGAGCTGTGCTTTCTCTTCTTTCTCCTTGTCTTCCCCCATCCCAGAGGCAGTTGCACTGGCATTTTTGATTGATGCAATGTCGGATGCAGAAGAAGTGCTGCTGGTGCTGGTGGTTGTGGTGGAAGTAAGCGCATGAACCGAGTTTGTGGGATTATCGATTTCGTCCACTTCTCCATCCGGTACTCCAAGTGGCTCTGATGTCCCTGTCGCTGCTGGTGCGCTAGGCGGTGTTGCAACCTTTTCATCCTGAGCTGCAACAGCGTCCACAGCAGACGAAACTGAAGATTGAGTCGCATCAACAGCAGCAGCTACACTCCCCACATCCGAACTCTTCCCCTCTAGGGGTGTCTCCTCCGTCTTTGATTCTTCCATTGCCACATCCTCCAGCTGTACCTTCTTATCTTCCTCCTCCGCATTTGCTACAATAGGAGATTTGGAGGTGGGAATGGGAGCAACATCAATCACCTCTTTCGGCGTCTCGTTTGTGGCATGCGTTCTATCCGCCCCACCTAACTCTAAATCTGGAATCTGCTGCGCCTCCTCTCCATCGCCTCCAGCTGCGGTATTGGGATGGGTGAGATTTCTGTTTTCGTCCCTAACAATAAAAGGTATTGGCGAGAAAAGTGGCTCGGTAGTACTTGCGATGCTTGAACTCCTACTCCTACCGCCCACCGACCCGGCTGAGGAGGAGGGCGATAAACCGTCCATTCGATCCATTTCAATATCGCTCATCTCTTCCACCCCTGCTTGCTGTGCTGTATCAACGCCGTTCATCCCTACCGGGCCTTGAACTGGGCTTATTGGGAAAGCGTCTCTTGTCGCGGTGACCGAGAGACAGCGTTTCACAGCACCGATCCATTTCTTCGCGGAATTGTAGTGCGTAGTAGGCGAAACAACAAGTTCGGCAAGACGTTGGATTGTAAATGGTGGTTGGAGATCAAAGTCGTCCAGCATGCTTAATAGGGTGTTTAGTGCAGAGTTGACCTCCGCAGGCGAAAGGGGCGAAATGGTGGCGGTGGTGGAGGAGCATGGACGTTTGGAGGGATAGAAGTTCTGCGTGTTTGCTGGGGAGACGTACGGTACTCGAGCCGAAGAAGTGGATCCATTCGCCTGTGCTTCCGTTCCTTTCTCCGACTCTTCTTCCACCGCTGCGGAAGCCGCTTGCATAGCCACCTCTCCAAAGCCACTACCTTCAGTGCAGAGCGGTATCAACTTTGCCGCGGGGTGCAGCTCCATCCCCCCCTCGCGGCCGAATTCTTCTTCGAGGCAAAACTTGATTCGGTACTTGATCGCATCTTTTAATTCTACCCAGTCATAACTCCCGCTTGAAATCTCGGGCTGGGTGTTAGTGGAAGGAGGAGTAGTCGTAGAGGATGAGGATGTTGGTTGGTCGTCGTGGGAGAATTCGTCTGTGAGAGCTATGTGTTGGAGTTGAGTTAGGTGTTGGGGTTTGAATTCGAATGAGGGTGGTAGGGTGGGTTGGGTGTCGGTTGTCATTTTGGCGCTTGGAGAGCCGAGACAGGATCGGCTCTACCAATGGCGGTTTTTGATTGTGGAGCGAGAGCTTTGACAAGACGGATCAGGTTTCTGCGTAGCTGGGTGTCGAGGAAGTGCGATGCGGAAGATTCGAATAGCGGAAGCTTCGCGAAGGCTTGCGATGCCAAAAGCTCCAACTTTGCTGGAATTGCAGCTACGACCAATCAAGCGCCAAAACACTTCTTGCTGTCTGTTGCGTTGCGCTAGCTGGAGTCATTCGATAGCCGATGCGATGAGACGGGTTGAGTGGTTTCGAATACGGTAGAAGATGATGATGATGGAGTCAAGAAGAGGTGGAGAAGAGCTCTGAGTTCGGATGTCGGCAAACTTACCCCACCCTAGACGTGCAGCTACAGTCGAGGCGAGTGGGTTTGCGGAAAATTTCAACACAAAAAAAAACTCTCTTTTCAATTTCGGCAGGAGGACCCTTTGCACTCAACGCGACGTTGAACCCTGAAGCGCGACTACTCGGCCGGTTGCTCCTCCCCGAAGCACAGCAATTGGGCATGGTATAGGGATGGTTGACTACAGAGGTCGTCCCTTTCGTGACAGGTGCTCGGTCTAGGCGATGGCTTTCGCTGGGATTCGACACCGGCCTCGAGAAAGGGATGGGATAGTGGTCGGTACCTTTCCTGCAATGCTATTTTGGACTGAAATGGTGGAGGAAACGTCTCATGGGTTTGAAATGTACAGTCTCGCAGTGGCATTCAGGATGTTGTGTGGTCGAGGCTGAAGGCCGGACGAAAATGCTACTGCAAACTCACTTCAGACGTACCACAAGCATCATAATTAGACGAAGCATTGTCTGCAAAGTGAAGAAAAGTAAAAGTCCAGGATAACGAGCCGTACTGTAGGCGACCCTGTAAACTAAGTAGCACTTCGTGCTATATGAAGCAAAGTATGGGGGGAGGGGGAGGGCCTAGTTGAGAACAACAGCTTGTCTGATATCCCTCGAGCTAGCACCAATGACAACCTTCAACTTCCCATCTGGCTGCAACCACTGATTCTTCTCGTTGCACCAAGTTGAGGCATCGTACTGACTCAAGTGGAACTTGACCTCCTTGGTCTGGTACTTCTCGACATATTCACGACCGAAACCTCTCAGCACCTTAGGAGGTTCACCAGCTGAACGGGGGAACTCCAGATAAGCCTGCCATACTTCGTGGCCGTCCCAGTTGCCCGAGTTTGTCAAAGAGAATGTGACCTCATACTTGGGTTGGAACAACCAGTCTGGTAGACCGGATGAAGCGTTTGAAGAGCCCCACCAGCTGTTGTCTGCCCAGCCGACACGTTGAGTCCAGGCACCTGAGTAGTCGAATTTGGTGTAGGAGAGACCGAACCCGAATTCGTAGCGAGGTTCGATGTTTTTGTTGTCGAAATGACGGTAGTCGATGTTGAGGGCTTCGGTGTAGTTGACTTGAGGTGTGACGGTGTCGTTGTAGTAGAGCACGTCAGCAGAGTAGTCGGTGCGCTTCTTGCCGATAGTGTAAGGGAGACGACCACTGGGGTTGAAGTCACCATACAACACATCAACGAGAGCCCGACCACTCTCACTACCAGGCAAGTTGGCCCAGACAATAGCAGTAACGTTGGGGTTCTCGGCAAAGCTCTCCATGTCAACGGCACCAACAGAGTGAATGATAACAACAGTGTTGTTGTTCACAGCAGTCACGTTGCGGATGAGCTGCTCGCCCTGGTTCCACAGGGTCAAGTTGTTACGGTCACCTTCGTTACGGTCGACGGTGATGTAACCTTCACCACTTCCTGCAGAGACGAAAACAAGAGCGACGTCGGTCATGTTGGCAATCTTGACGCTCTGTTTCAGGTTGAAATCGTCAAAGTTCCACTGCATGTCGGTACGATCCTCACGTGCACGAGCCTGAATAGCCTCGTAAGGAGAGAAAAAGTAGGAATAATCGGTAGATCCCGAACCCCATCCTTGACCAAGAGTCCCGTAGGGCAAACCACCGTTCTGTGCGCGATCAGGCCAATAGTTGGCACCCTGGTAAAGCGGACCAGCATCAGAACCAACAACAGCCATAGTGCGAGGCTTCTTGATGGGCAAAGCATTGCGGTGGTTCTTGAGCAAGACAGTACCAGCTTTAGCTACCTCGCGAGCAACCTTGTAATGATCAGCAGTGGCGTCAACAAACTGATTTGTGGCAGGATCCTTCTTGTCGAAGAAGTTGAAGTTGGGCTTAGGGTAGCCCTGATCCTGACCAAGCAAGAACCAACCAGCAAGAATACGAGTGGCCATATCATCGAGACGAGTCGTAGCAACCGAGCCGTTGTTGACTGCAGAGGTCAGATTGCCTCCCCAAAGCGAACCTTCCTGGAGACTACAGCACAAGACGTCTCCGGGCATCGTCATGTCAAGCCCAGCATTGGCCGAAGCAACACCTGCATGTTGAGCACCCCAGTCCGACATGACGTAACCTGGGAAGTGCATCTCGGTCTTGAGACGGTTGTTGAGAAGTTCTGAGTTCTGACAAGCCCATGAGTTGTTGACAAGGTTGTAAGAGCACATGACCGAAGCGGCACCAGCCTGAATACCTCGAAGGAAGGGGTGCTGGTAGAGCTCGCGCTCAGTACGGGAGTCGATGTTGGAGCTACCCTCATTTCGGAAGTGTTCCTGCTCGTTGAGGATGTAGTGCTTGAGATTGGCCTGAACACCAGCGTCCTGTGCTCCTAGCACCGAGTAGTGAGAGCCTTCACCGCTCAGGTATGGATCAGCACCAAAGCCTTCCCAAGATCGACCGCCTTGGGGGCTACGAGCAAGGTTCATCATGGGACCGAGCCAGATGTTGGCACCTTTGGTCTTGAATTCTTGACCCATGGCATAGGCACGCTTGTAGAAGAGATCACGGTCGAAGGTGGCAGCGGCAGTGATGGCGTCGGGGAACGAGGTGACGCGGTCGATACCTCGAACGCCGGCGGGGCCGTCCATGAGACAGAGACCGGGGAAACCAACACGAGGGATGGGCGAGATGTTGCCGACGCATGGACCTCGCTGCCATCCTGAACCTGTTGTGAGGATCACCTTTTCGGTCTGGTTGAACTGCTGGAGGTATGCACGTGCCTTGCTGATGGCATCCTTCCACTTCTGCGATGTTCCCTGAGTTGAAGGTGTTGGGTAGAAGGGTGGCGAGTATGGAAGGGAGTCGTCTCCAAGGAATGGAACATTGGGCACGGTTTGGTAACCGGGCCCGTTCTGACCGGCACCTCCGATACCTTGCTGTCTACGCTGAAGGAATTGAGCCGGACCGTCCTGGTCCCTTTCAGAGAAGAGTGTTTGGTAGTCTGGTTGGGGCGAGATGCTTGCGAGACTGGAGGCTGCGCAGGCCAAAAGAGCCAAAGGTATGGCGGCGGAGAGCTTCATGATTACCCTATCCTTCGTCCAGTGTGAGCGGAGATGATGAGGTTGAAGATGAAGGGAGAGGGGAGATGAGGAATGTAGAAAGGAGGATGGTGATGGCGAGATGGAAACTTTCGAGGAAGACGGTCTTGGGGACACTAGAACGGTTAGCGGCGCGGAACAGGGTCAACACGCAGAGTGAGGTGAGGAAAGAATTCGCCGACGTCTAGAGGCTATAGCGGCGGTGGGATAGTGGTCTACTGCATGCAATGTGGGTGATGAAATGCTTTGACCGCCAAGAGAATCTTCTTTGGTGATTGCGTAGCTTCACAAACTTATGGACCGGTTGCAATTGACCGACAAAGCGCAAAGCGGACTGCCGAAAGCTGGGAAAGAGAATTCCTTTGCTGGGAGCAAAAGCGTAAGCTTCGTCTTGGCAAGGTGGTATGCCCCTGCCCCGATCTCGGCCAGGGGTGTGTGAAGCATGCGGAAGGAATTGACGGATGTGAACAGCAACTGCCAGAGGCGCAAATCATGTAAATCTTGTTGGCGAGGGCCAAGAAAGGTGAGGGGTAGGACAAGGGAGAGCAAGATCGTGTGTGTCATGGCACAGCCATGAATGGAAGCGAGACCTAAAAGAGGGGCCGAAGTGCGGTCCGAGCATGAGTAGAACAGTATGGTGATGGCTCTCGCTTGCTCGTTCGACGCGGTCTGCGTGTCTCTCTCTCTTGTCTTTTGCTTAGCCGTAGGACCACCAAACTTACACATTCCACAACACGGCTTCTGGCTCCGACGCCATGAGTGCGCCATACCCTGATCAACCTTGGCGTTTCCTCAGAAGCTAGGGTTGATTTTACCTTAGTATGCTTTGCTAGGTTGCTCTAACTCCCGCGCAGGAAAATCTGGTCAACTTTAGCGGGAGAGCTTACTCTAAAACGGCGTCGCAAGTAAGTTAGACGGTGGTGTGTGCACACTTGCAATTGCGTCTTGACCGCCACTCGGCTATGGCACTTGGTTTTCTGAACTCTCCAGTGAAAACGAGTGAGCAAGTTGCGACGCCGTTTTTCAATTATGTTGGCCTGCTGCCGTGTCCGTGTCCGTGTCGTGTCTGGTGGAGAGCGGGCGTCATGAGTAAAGTTTAGTCGTTAGTTGTGAGCGAGTGAAAGCAAAAGCGGAGAGTTGGAATTTCTGGTCGATTTTCTCTCCGAGAAGCGATCTACGGTTTCGATTTTCAACTCAGATGCGCAGAATTGCAGTCTGGGGGCCGAAGGTTGAGATACGTCAAAAACAAGATCCCAATGACGGGCACTTGGCAACCACTACAAACGGTCCATTAGGATCGCCTCGGGAGCCATTCCAATCGAGATGTGCTTTGCTGTTGAAAACAAGCTTGCGATCGTCTGTTAGGCCAGTTTGTCGTCTCAGCTTGGCTTTCCTATTGCGAGTGACGGAGAAACGTCGGGTAGAAGTGGTGTAGGTCACCGTTGAAGGACCGCTGAAGACTTCGACTCGTCATCTGCAATCGGCTTTCTCAGTTGGCTTGGCTTGGCTTGGGGTGAGCTCGCAGTTGACATCGCTTAGACGGAGCCCCACTTTGAGAAAGCAACTGACTTCTATAATCCCATTGGCGAGCTGCATCAAATCTCCCTCGAAATTCGTGAGAGTCTCCTGCTGGTGACTCATGATTATGTAACACGGACTTACTTATCAGCAAGCAGGTTTGCTGTGAGATTGGCTTTGGCAACTTGGTGGAGAAGCCCGCTCGAATTGACAGTATCGAAGCGGTATGATCGTAGATGGCTGCAGCCACTTTTTGTTGCCTTCGATGCTCTCGAGCCGTCACATCTTACTTCCGTCCCTCGTTCGATTCTAGGCAAAGGTTGGAAGATGTTGCAAGAAAGGTTGTATGATAATGCAAGCACCGTCAAAACGATCATCGCATGCAGCTCCTTGCAATCGTGGACAAAGATGATGATGACCACCTTGATCGCGCTCTCGGTAGCTTGTGATGCGGACACCGAACAGATCCCGAAGCCTGCTCTTTTCAAATCCATTGTCATAGAAACAGTGAGTGTTGAAACCACTGCTCGCCCTCATGGACCATCGCTGCTCTCAAATGACAACCACAACGAGCAGCCGTTGTATGGAGCCGCAAACGGACATCGATCTTATGACTTCTTTGCGGGACGATATCAACCTAGCACCATCTGCATCTGGTGGTCGCCCGATGTGCTCGCTGCATCATACTATTGGACTAGCCACCAACATAGAAAGCGGACTCCCATCGGCGGTGTTAGGCAGGTCAAGATCGGAAGACACCCGATTCCTGTCGGAAGTCACGGAACCTTAGATCAACGGTGAGTTATCACCCTTGACAACGAGTGAAAATTGTTGGAAACGGAGACTGAAAAATTGAGGGAAAAGGAATGTTAAGTTGCCTAACTCGAGTGCGCGTTGGTCACTTGCCTCTTCGCTCACCATTGAAAAACGCGCACGTATCCATTCGCACGATAAACAATGGTTCCCTGCTCTTTGGGTCCGCGCCCTTAAAAAAACAAAAAAAAAAAAAAAAAAAAAAAAAAAAAGGCGCCTCCATCATACTGTACCTAGCGAATCCAAATGTTGGAACGTGGCAACATTCTAATTGGTGTAAGTTTTGCTCTAGTGCGTTTGATGTTGCCGATTTTTTCCACGCTAAAATGACATCCGAGCCTTGTCACGCCCCCGCCCCATCCGCTGCACAGTCACAAAAATCAGCGCGCCTATCCAATTGTGCGCCCGCCTCCAGCCAACCACATCGACAGCACTCCTTCATCGTTCATTGCATTGCACAACGATGGTGCATCTTCGGCAACAACGCAAACTCCGCACTGGATCTGTGGTCATCATTTGTTCTAATCGACCGGCGAGTGCGGTTCTTCTGCTTCTGATGTGTGACCCAATCAGTTGCCGGTCGTTCGACAACCATTTCGCGCTAAAGAAGCCGCGGAAATGTGTCTCATTTTTGCATCCATCATGGCAAGTAGTGTCAGTGCGCGTCCTTTCTGTCAACGAGCTGCCTATAAGAGCGTATTGTTTACCCGTGTCCATGCTCCGTCGAACGTCCGTCTTAATGAACCATGCAGAAGACAGCTGGTCAACCATGCAAGCTCGTCTGTGCACTCAAAGATCTATCCGAGTTTGTCGTTGACGTCCTTGTCCCCCTTCTTCGCCGTATCCTCCCTCTAACTCCCTGTTGGTCCACGAGCTTAGATGGGAAAATATCTTGTTTGCCTTTCCCAACCAAACGTCACTCTTACCCCTACCCGGTGTGCGGCTCCGCAGAGGACTTTCGACGCCCTACCACCGCTCGCCGTAACATTGAGCTGATCCCCTCGCAACATTTCACTTCTTCCTCTCGCTGCGGTTGGAATGACAGCAACACGTTGCTGAAATTTAACCGTAGGACAAAAGGCTTGCCGAGGCTAGTAGCTTCTTCTTCAACCCAGCCGAACACATTCTGTTTCATTAAATCCCCGTCCCTGCTGTCCAGCGCATGCACTTCTGTCTCCGATTCCTGCGCGTTGGTGGCCATCATCCTCGGCGATGCGATGTGGCTTTCCCAACGGCGTCCGGCGAGCTAATCTGATTGCACCTGCAAAGCTCATCCATCTGTGGCTGTTTCATTGCAACTTAGCTCGTTTCATTCTCTGCCGAGTTTCCCCAGCTTACGCCCTCGCTTAGCTTCATTCTCCATCGAATTGTGCTCTCCAACGTGGTCCTTTCTAGAGTGTTCTGCTGTTTTTCTGCTGCTGATCGACTTTGTTCAGATCAGCAAGCGCTTCTCGTTGTCGGTCATACCGGTATCTGATCTGTTGCCGGTAACAGCACGACTTCCGGCTCCAATTACCGAAACACTAGGACACTGCCTGAACCAACGCAGAAACACCTTTGTTTCCACTGCTGTTTCTTTGGCAGCTGGCTGCTGCTATCGATGAATCTGCATGAGAGCTTACCTGCTCTTCCTGTCTCGCACATACATGGCCGCACAGCAGACCACGTTTCCGATTTGCGTAGATGTCCAACCATAGCAGCCAACTTGAGACATCCCAGACGATTCAGACGTACTGGGATCCTGATGAGCATAAAAGGGGGGCATCTGTTGTGCACATCTCCTCATTCCCAAGACCAGAACCGCACTTCAACCTCTCTCCCCTTCACACAAGCAGCCCGAACTAAACCAACCCAAAATCCCCCTACACACTCACTCAAAATGTTTGCCAAATCCACCTTCATCAGCCTCCTCCTCGCCGCCGCTGGCGCTGTCTAGGCCTTCCCCCTCGTCGAAAGAGCCGGTTGCTCCTCCTACACCGTCATCGACACCCGTGGTACCGGTGAACTCCAAGGCCCATCCGCCGGCTTCCGCACCATGAACCAAAAAATCCTCTCCGCCGTCCGTGGTGGTGTCGAGTACGACACAATCTATCCTGCCGGTTTCGACCAGAACTCCGCCCAAGGTACCGCCAGCATCGTCGCCAAGGTCAAAAACACCCTCGCTTCCAACCCAAACGCGTGCTTCATCCTTGAAGGTTACTCTCAGGGTGCTGCTGCTACTTGCAACGCTCTCCCCCAACTCACGGGTGCTGCTTTCGACGCTGTTAAGGGTGTCATTCTGATCGGTAACCCTGAACACAAGCCTAACCTCGCTTGCAACGTTGACGGTAACGGTGGTAAGACGACTTCCAGCGCTAGGGGTCTCGAGGCTGCTTTCTCGCAGGGTGTGCCTTCGAACTGGGTGTCGAAGACGATTGATTTCTGTATTAACGGTGATGGTGTTTGCGATATTAGCTCGGGCTTAGGTATTACTGCTCAGCACTTGCAGTACCCCTTCAACTCTTACGTCCAGAACACGGGTGCTAGCTTCGCTATCAAGGCTCTTCAGGGATAATTTCACGGGGATCCTGAAACTCTCTCCTTCCCTCAATTTTCTCATCCTCGACATACCTTTGTCTTTCTTTGCCACCCTTAAACACTTTTTCACTCGCATCGTTTAGTATTGCGTTCTTATATAATTTTGTGGATCACTGTCTCAATCCCCTGTCATTCGTTCCCTCAGATGTCATTTGTTCTTTGCTCATGTGCAATTCACTCGTTATCCTCAATTCAGTGCTGAAGATGACGATCCAGCAGGTCTAATCGGGGATAGGATAGATCTAATCGAATCGAGAATCGGACAGAGCCGATCGGAGAGAGAGGTTGGATGCTATTGGGTCCCGCTCGTTGTTGTACACTGTCATTGAGGGTGATACTCCCACATATGGGATGTACCAGCACTTTGTATATATGTCAGGCAGAGAGCTCGAGGCTCTCGCCATGTTCTCTTCTTAGTCAATTGAGTATATTTGTTTCTGTCTACAAACTAACAGTGACATCGTACTCAGACTCTACCCGATCACTAGCATCGGGACCGAAACGACTTCAGTTTTTATCATGTTGAGCATTGTAGTAATTAATGGTGATACCAGAAAATGTGGGACAGTTTGTGCGTGAGCCCCCTTTTTTCCTCTTTTTTGAGCCTGCTTTTCAGGATGGACCCTTCTTTCGCCCCCAGCCATGCCTCCACATTTCGATGCTTGGATGCCAATTTTAGCGCACAGACACTCAACTCAGCCTTCCTTCGTCAACCTCCCGCCTTGTCTAGGTCCAATCTGCACCACCACCATCTAAGCCATATACCCAGGATTCGTCAGAATGGATCACAACAATCCAGCTCCAACCTCAAGCATCACAGCACCGACAAAGAGCGGCTTTCATCAAGCAGCGTCTTTCGTTGAACGCGCGCTTAGTTTCCGCTCCAACACTCAGCGGTCAACTTCTTCTTCTTCTGTTCCGGGGCAAGAGGCTTCTTCCTCAGCACAGCACAAACCTGCAAGACCAGCAATTGGCGCTCCACTGGAAGCAGCTGATCTGAAGGAGATGGAAAGTTTCCCGAACATCACCCAAGACCAAATCGAGCGCTTGCTTCCCGGGGAGGAGTTGGAGCAGGCCAGACAATGGATACTGGCGGCACTGCAAGAGATGCATTTGAATTATGATCTTGATCCGAAGCTGCTAGGTGAACGGAACGAAGTGAATAAGGGTCATGCTTTGCTTGCGCTTCTTCTTTCCAGGATTATCGTTCAAGCGACAGAAGCAGGCGAAGGGCATGAGCGAGGGGAAGGCCACCTCTCGGGCGCTGTACCTGATCAAGAATCCAGCTCGAAACCCAATGCCGCTTCATCCGACCAAAGTGCAAAACCAAAATCAGCGGTAGCAGCCCCAACAAGAGCATACGAAACACACGACCTACTCAAAGCAATCGACAAAAAAGACGTCGAAACTATCCTCGCCATTCGCGATGCAAACTTCGACCTCCTTCTCGATCTCTCCCAGGGCGGTGGGCCCACCGCTAAGAACACCCCAGCGGCATCACAAGCAGGTGGATCAACCAACACTCCCCTAGGCTACGCCATCTCCCTCGGCAAAGGGTGGGAAAGTATATCCATCGTCCTCATCGGTGCTCTTTCTAAGTTCGTCAACCAACTCCCTGATGATGAATACGAATTCGAAAACGCCCCTTCGAACACTATTGGGTCTACGCTTGTCAAAGTCAAAAAGCCAAAAAAACTTCAACTCGACCCACGGATAATGGCACGTCTACGCAAGATTCGGGTCAATTTGAAGCTTGCTATTGATCATAGCATTTTCCAGGACCAAACGAGTCTATTGGCTTCGTATTTGCAAGTGTTGGTGATGTCGGAAGGTTCACCATTCTTGCATGCTGCGATTGAAGATGTTGCGCATTGCCTGGGGGTCAGGTTTGGGTTGAATAGTGATGGAGGAGCAGATCCGGTTGTGAGGGCGAGAGGACAGGTGATGCAGTTCGTTAGTGAGAGTTTGAAGCATAAGAGTGATAAAGTGGCTACGGTGAAGGATTACATTGCGAATGCTGTGGGGGATTTACTTCTAATGGCGATCTGGGAGAGGGTGCGCCTCAGTAAAGGGCAGTTAGAGAGGGTAAAGGAGGGGTTGGGTGAAGGGGAAACGGGCGAGGTTGGGGATTTGGCGAATCCACTACCGATGTATTTCTTTGCTAGGGATGATAGAGTGGCAAGTCATTACGTGGCGAGGATTGGGAAGTTGCAGCATGTGAGTGATGGGCTAAGTGGTGGGGGAAAGGGACCTCCGGCGGGGTTGGTGAAATTGGGGATGAAGGTGGCAGAAGCTTTGCAGGAGGGGGCTAGGAGGAAGACTAGTTATGAGAGGTTGGAGTTGATTGGGGGGGTGTTGAGTGGTGCGGCGGGGAAGAAGAGTTCAAAATCATGATTGGTCAGTAGCAGTTCAATAATCAAGGGTCGTTCATGCTCACAGTCTCTTATCGGTGTTCAACGTGTGATTGATGGCTGAGTCTATCATCAAACACCTCTTCGTGTTCCCTGACTAGCAACGGCCTTGGCCAGATCTCTATCCCTCTCTTCGTCCTTCCTCTTCTCCCTTCTCCTCTGCTGCTCAATCAACTGTTTCACCACTTCCATCTCTTCCTCTATCTCCTGCTTAAGCTCAACCAGCTCCAGCTTCGTCTGGATGAGCACCCTCGAATCGGCATTCAAACTCGCCTTTTCCGCATCCAAGGCTACCTCGCATAGATTCGACCAATCCATGTGTCTTCTACATTTGCGTTTGGCCGTCACACAAATCAGCTTCGCTCCTGCATCTGCATCTCGTGAATCGTCGAGCACTCCATCTAGCGGCTTCTCATACGCAAGAATAGTTCGCCCAGGCTCACTGTGAGCCCAAGCATCGAACGCCGCATCGTCCCAATGCAATCGTTGGTCGTATCCGCAGCGCAGGCCGCCGACTTCGGGTGTGGATTTCGACTTTTTGCTAGAGCCTTTCTTTTTCTTCGACTTTTTAGGGGAAGGGTCGTCGGGCATTTCTTCGTCTTCTTCCCCTGGGTCTGGAGTGTCGTTGGCTTGAATGGTGGATCCGATGGGCGGGAGTGTGGGGACTCGGTCAGAGACGAGATGGAGGAGGGTGCTGCGGAGGTCGAGACGATCGAGACGGGCATTAATGCGGGATTTGTCGATGTCCACGGCATAAAGTTGGGTTGTGATCATTGTGTGTTGTTCGGTGAGGGAGATGAGGTTTATTCCTGATGATGTTGCTTTAGAAGATGAGGATGGGTGGGAGGGTGAAGAAGGTTCTGGTGCTGCGTCATTCTTTGCTGCTGGTGATGGTATGGGCGAGGGTGAGGGTTGAGTTGCGGCACCGTTGACCTGAGGCTGCGCTATGCCGTTTGGAGCACCATTCACCATTGCCGCGCCTGTCTCTTCATCCTTCTTGACCATCAGCGCAAATGCCCCAGCAACACCCAGCCTCTGCACCGGCCAATCACCATCCCCCATCCCCTTCACCTCCTTCTCCCACTCTGTACCCACACCTTCCTCCCTCACCGTAAATCCCTCCGTCCTCTTCGCCAACCTCACCCTTCGATCAGTCTCCCAAATCTCCACCCCACCTTTACTCTTCGCCACCTTCATCAACCCAAACCTCGCCTCTAGTGCCAACACTCCGCATCTATCCGAGCAATAATTACTAAATGGAGTCCTCGCTGCATGTCTACACTCTCCTCTCGTACATGCTTTCTTATACGTAGTCTCCTCACCTGTGACCTGATAACATGGTGGACAGATAAACCGGTCTACCAACTCAACATCAGCTTCGTTCATAGACATGCAGCGGTAGTGGTACCATTGTTCGCAACGATCACACATGATCATGCCTCCTTCGACGTCGTCTTGTCTTTTCTGGCATACGCAGTATAGGGTGTTGTCCACATCTTCTTCCTCTTCGGTTGGGGGGAGGAATGGGGGTGTTTCTTCGAACTTGGGCTTGGTGCGGCTTGAAGAAGATTCAGGATGTGAGGAAGACGAGGAGGTGACTTTCCTGGTGGTAGAAGAGGACTTTTTGCTCTTGCTGGAGCTAGTGGCGGAGGTGGATTCTTTCCTGGTTGTGGAGGCGGTCTTCTTCTTCTTTGCTGGTGGAGGATGTGATGGTTCTCGTGATGGCGTCGCTGGCGCTGGTGAGACTGTGGGCAGGCGTGTGCCAGGATCAGGTTTGATGGTTATTGCATCTTCGGTTGACGTTGGTTGCGCTTTCGGTGTTGGTGCAGGCGAAGGCCTTGGTGTCTCCTGCTCCACTTTCACTGCCGGAGTGTCCCTGTCCCAGGCATCAGCTGCTCCTTCTGTGACGCTACTAGAAGCCTGATTTGCACGGTTGCTCGAAGTGGTCTCTGCAATTGTTGTTGTTGGATTTTTCAGTGTCGTATCGCGAGACAGAGAGCGGTCCAGCAGCGCTGACTTAGCTCGCTTCTTTGGCGGCGTGAGATCCACCTCCGTGCTTGTCGATGTGGAAGCTGTGTTGACTTCTGCATCTGGTTCTGCCTTGATGGCCAGCTCCTCGCCAGCTTGCATCTTTAAGAGCAGCCTCAGCCAGCTGTAGGTGGCCCAGATCGGTGTGGTGAGATGGTGGCGAGGGTTGATGAGAAGGAACGGTCGATGTCGTGTTGCAAAAGGGCTCCAGCTACAGATTCGAAACTTTTCAGGGTCCAAGATGCCAACACTCAATGCGCTAAGCTGCACCGCGCCTTTTGCCGAGTTCCGAAATTTGATGCTTACACCGTCAAATACTGCGTGGGCCAAGCAGAACACACATTCGTTTGCGTATACACAATCTCTCTCTGTCAACGACATTTGACAAAACAAAGCCAAAAGACAGGTATGGTATTGCTATTGCTTTAAACTGATGTGGTATGAAGAGACAGTGATCAGATTCATGGGAGTCTGCTCGGTGGAGGACGGAAAAAGAGGTTGTCGATGCTAACAGTACTAGCATCCCACAGTGTAGGTTGAAGATGTGCTTCCCTCGATACCGTCGAATCGCCTGTGCTGAAGCGCTCGAAATGACGTGAGGCTACAGCTGGAAATCCGGCAGGCTGCATCATTGCAAGCCCTGCCGGACCTTGGTCAACAGGCGCCACGCTGCTTGTCTCGACATGCTCTGCGAGTTCGCGAACGGTGATGCCACCATTCACAGTACTGTCACGCGACGGCTGCGCAGTCTGCCAGCTTTGCACTCTTCCCGTCTGACTGGAGCTGCTCGAGTCGCTGCTGCTTACGGAGGCATTGGAAGGCGAGGGGCGAGAGGTTTTCAGGCCTGGAATGGACTGACCACCGTTCTCCTGCGCTGTTGCTGTCTTGTGCTTTCCTCTCCAGTATCCAGCGTCATCGGGTTGCATAGCTCCGGTTGGGACCAGATCATCCTGCAGAATGGTAGAAGCTCCAGGATTGATCCAGGCATGACGAATTCGGGCCTCACTAAGGTCTCGCTTCGCATGGAAGCCAGCTGAGACTTCCTGCCTCACTGCAGAATAAGGATGGTCGCCGAGCTGAGCCTTGAGGTCGTTCAGCGTCAGAGGTGGCCTGTAGCCTGTCAATGGCGCACGATGGGTGGCGTGCACCTCCGTTCGGGTGATCGCTTGAGCTACTGGTGGAGTCATCACCCGTAGTGCTCCGAGCTTGACATGTGCGCCGTTGTTAGATCCTTGAATCGGTATAGGAGACTTGCCGATGATGACAGTCTCGTTCGACACTAGTTTTCGTTCTCTTCCGAATGACCTGACCGTATCGACCGTTGCATGCGAGGGTGTCTTCCTATGCATGCTAGGCTCAGAACTACGCTGCGAAGTAGGTAGCAGACAGCTACTTGGCTTTGGTGTTTCAGCAGCGGCGCTGCGTCCACGAGCCCTGCCAGTCAGGCTCGCAAAGCGTGCTGCTAGGGCTCGGACCGGATTAGGACGTTGCATCGCGCCTTCAAGGCAAAGATCAGGGGTACTGATTGACATGTTGTGGTTGCTGTAGGTACGTCTGCGCTTTGATTGGACGATCAAGAAGGTCTGCTCCGTGCCATCTTCGTTCCACACGCGATGCACTCTGATGGGATTCACATTGGCGTCGTGGGTATTGTCGGATGCAGACCCATTGACGCGCCTTCTGTCTAACTCCTCGGACGATGGGTCGGTCAAGCAGGGACTGAGGCGGTCACGGAGTGGAATCGCATTCGCACCGAGGCTGTTCCGATACTCTTCACGCCAGGCCTGTCGCTCTTCCTCCAACTCACGGTTGCGCTGTAAGAGTTCGGATGCGTCCAGAAGCTCAATTGAGTCCTCACTGGCGCGACCAGCATCATTCTGCGGCGAGGCGGCTGGCGTTGGCGTAGGAGGAGTTGGTATAGGAGGCAACGGCTTAGTGGGAGGAAGTCTTGATGACGGCAATGCTGCGTCTTTGGGAGGCACTGGCGGCGGTATGCTTTCATGCAGGACAATGCGTGCATCCTTGCTTGGAAATTGTCGGAGCTGAGTACGCTCGCTTGGAAGCTGCAGCCGATCAAAGTGTCCGGTCGTCGATGCATCCAGTGTTGATTTGGGCACGACGTGAAGCCGATCGGCCTCACTAGCTGCCACATTGCGCTGCCAGAACCGTTCTGGGGCGGCGTAGACCCTCTCGACGACAATGGCAGGGGTCGAGCCGAGACTGCGGGACCTTAAGCGTGGCCGAGGCAGCATGATTGCCTCGCAGCTATTGTAGGGCTCTAGATAGCGAGGACCGTAGACGAGCTCAGCAGTCAAGGATGGTACACGATATTTCGATTGAGAATGCTGATCGTGCTCTTGACTGTTATGAGCAGGAGGTCTTTGCGGCAGCCCTCCTTGCGCCTGAGGAGAGGACTCTGAGAGCAAGGTTGGCCGAGACCGAGATGCGTCAAGATAGGTCGAATATTGATTGGAGCTGATGTTGTCGTCGAATTTGACTCTGTCGTGGTGGTAAGGCCTGCCTCCAATTCTCATTGCTGCGTCCTGTGCGGCCGATGAAATGGGATTCTCGATGCCCAACACGGAAGAAGGTCGCGAAGGATGGCAACTGTTCCCAACAGACGTGGGATGTGTCTGTACAGTGGTAGCAAGACTCGGACCGCGGCTATGAGTAAAGTTAGTGGAAGAAGCGCGATGCACTGAACTCGAGTGTGAGTGGCCGTAGCCACTGGCTGCGGAAGATGGTCTGGAAGGATGAGGGAAACTTGCTGAGATGTAGCTTGACCACGGTTGATCTCTGGAACCCTCGAAATGAAGCGCTGGGCTTGGGACTAGAGCCGGTGGCGATGTATACTGTATCTCTGCACCGTCGAGCAGGCCAGAAGGAAGGGATGAGTGATGCGATGCGGTGCCGTGATTTCGCAGTGAGCAAGGCACCGAACCAAGCGAAGGTGACAAGCTAGAAGTCGAGGCAGACCTTGCACGGTGTAAATTGTGACGGTAGGAGGTTGGCAGCCCTGACTCGATGCGTGGTCGGTGGAAGCTTGTGTGGTTATGGTGCCCTGTGCCCGCTACTGTGATCAATCGCTGCGAAAGAGCCGCTTTCTCTTCGTTCCGTGCTTTATGAGCTAGAGCAGAGGGATCGAATGGTTTTAGCTGCTCAAGTGGATCGCTGACTGTGCTTTCGGAACTGCCGGTCCCATTGACATTGCCCAGAGGCCGCTGCAAATCTGCAGCCCCTGTGACTGGAACATTTGCTTCATCGGCACGACGCTTTGGAGGAGACGGCTCCTTCCGATCGAAGGACAAATACTTTGGCCTTGGGTTGGAGAAGGGGCAATCGTCTGAAGCCGAGTGCAGCCGATCATTGTAGCTTGGCCTTGTTTCCTGCAGAAAGATGTGCCTCGGCGGCGGTGTTGGGAATGAGGAAGCTTGAGGCGTTCTGATTTCACCATCAGAGGCAGTATCGGAGAGCCTCCGATCATTTACGCTGACAAAATCGATCGAGGTCGCAAGTGACAGGGACGAAGTCCAATCTCCCGGCATTCTCTGTGCTGCGCTTGCAGTGGAGCGCGTGGCAGGGCGGCACCTGATCAACAGCTTTCTACCTTGGTCCAATCCAACGTAAGAGAAGCTTCAACGGGGCTGCCGGGAAGTTTTCTGGAGAGTGCCAGCTCCTTTAAGGATGTGTAGGAAGTGTGATATAAGCTGAGCCTAAAGTAAAGCTCGACAGAGTGTTTGGCAGCTTGCAGAGTAGCACTTCATGCCTAGCATGTTGTGGTCGTCGCCGCTGGTCGTGTGCTGATGCGATAGGGTGAAGATGCTGAAGCCAAGCGTGAGAATGTAGGGTGTTGTTGTGTGGGAAGGACAGGGACCGAGCGATCCTGTCTGCTCGACCTGCAACGCAAATGAGGTGGGCGCGGTAGTTCCAGGCGGGTGGTTGCGTATTGCTCAAGCGAGGCGACAACAGCGAAATGAGATGCCAAGGGGCTGCTTGCAGATAGAAGCTTTGTGTTCCTGTCTCTCTTCAGATTCAATTCTTGATACGGTACAGCACTCGAAGGATGACAATTGCTGCCTGGTCTCCCACCTTCTTTTCGAGATAGAAACAAGGACGAGCTAGATGGTGTGATGAAGCTGCAATCAGTACTCCATCCCAGCTACGAGTGATGTGATTGCGTGCGAGAAGCCCATGTTTGTTCTCGAATGCGGAAGGGCGATAGCGATGGACGAGGATGTGATTGTACAAGTCCAAGTCTCAAGCCTGAATGGACTGGGCCAGAAGGGAGAGGGAATCGCGTGTGTCAAGCCGAAGCATGAGCTGGAAGACTCAGGGGCCCCCGCGTAGCCGCCAGTTGGCGTAGCGTCAAAGGTGTTGTCACGCTTATCTGCAAAGCTGTGCTGTTTGTTCCGCGTACCTTCAGCTCTTTTAGGTCTCTTGTGCGATGCGAATGCTGCAATGCTGCAATGCTGCAAGCGTTCACAAGATTGATATCTTTCTCCTTGGAAACAAGAGGATCCAAGCGGGTGATGGAAGCGAGATTCTATGCTTCACCTGTGCAGCGTTGCACTAGACTAATGCACGGCAACGGGGTTCCTGACGAGGCTCAAGCTTAGCCAGTAGCCCTCGCAGCCGGTCAAGGCAGTCTCTGTTGCTGAGAGGCATGGCGTGACCACAGCGCTCCGCATCTGAGTCAGCCTTAGAGAATCATCACTTGGACCAACTAAAAGGGCTACTGGACAGCCATTTGGCCCTAGTCGTCTAGCCTGCCGAAGGCCTGGTTGTGGCCAGACTAGGCTACTATGGGCGGTCAAGAACATGATCGAATCCGCTCGTGGCTCACAGAGTCAGAGTCGCCACCAAATGGAGCAAGCAAAAGCCACCAATTGGAGAAGAACATAGTGTGGCGGCCTCTCCTCTTCATCTTGCATGAGGCATGGATATGCATGCATCCCCAACAGCGATCTTATTGTTGGAAGTGCACAAGCCACTCAGCAAAAGGCAAGGATTCTGACGAGCTAGTCGTCTGACCAACAATTGGACCCGCGGCATGACATTGCAGAATCGCGAGCTGTCTCAGTGGTACTTCAAAGAACATCTTCCTGTCTAGCGCCTGCCAACGGGCAGATCTAGAAGCGGTCGTGATCGGGAAGCACGTCTCAGAAGATTATTGATCGTCATCGTCGACCACCTGAAGATGATGCAGGTACTTGAGAGTTGGCAACTCCCATCTATCTCATGAATTGTGCATCACTGCACCGTCAGAGTCGTCCATGACAAGTCGCTGTGCAAGGCGGACTCCACATTTCAGTACCTTGTCTCGGTTTCGCCTTCGGCTAAGACGTCAAACATCGAAAATTTGTTCGTTGGCATGTCTAACAACCTTCGGACCCTGAACACGGATCTGCATCCAAAGGCCAACCTTGCTTTAAGTGTCCCTCGCAAGATGGGGAATAGAATGTATTCAAGATCTGACGAAGCAGAAATCATGGCAACTGAAGTGTTCTTGCTTAGTATGATGGTCAAATCAAAATATTCGAGATTATCTTGTGCTATTGCTCAATGACGACAACGACCCGAATGAGGGGTATCCGGCTAAATTAGAAAATTACCCGATTGTCCTCAAACTTACACACAGGGTCTGTACAAGAGCAGTCTGCATTCGTGTCACGCAGGCAGCCACGGGCGAACCTCGTTGTTATGAAGGAGGACAACCGTGCCCTAGCCTTTCGAACCCTTTCATCAAGAGGGGCCGCGACACCATACTTGGCGATGAATTGACCCTGGCCGTCTTATCACAGCAAGGGATCTGAAAGCAATGTGACTATGAAGCGCCCTTCTCGTCTAGTGCTTCTGGTGAAAGAGCAAGGAAGGGCTTCAAAGCTCACACAGGCAAGCCCTGAGCTAGTTGTCAAGTTGAAATATCCTTTTTGAACCGTCACAAGAAGCTCTCAATGTTATCAGCCGCCACATTATTGATCTACAGGGCTCTTCGGGGCTCGAGCGTGCGCCTTCTCATCTGCACTTCATATGTGCTCGAGTCCTGTCGAACATGAAGAACGATCAAAGGCCCACGTATGATCCCTCACACCTCATTCCTTCCGTGTGCTTCTGAAAGGCTCTTTCAGCGGCTAAGCTTTGACTATGGACAACGCAGCGCACAGCTGGACTGTTGTATTGCTGGCATTGCAATCAGTCTGATCATTCCGTCCTACTCTACCGCTCATCATGCGCTCCGAGACTTGCGTAGCTCAGGCATCTGTCTCTTCCCACCTTTCGTCACCGATTATCCTTCACCTCCTTGTACACTCCCACCACTTCATTGTAGTCTTCAAGCTTGCTTTTCTTCTCTTCAGGCTTGCTTTTCTTCTCTTCACCATACTCATACTGGCATCTAAGCCTTACATTTCGCCTCAAGACCTCACAACGTTTTCAGTGCTACACACCGTTCGAACAGTGTACAATGGATCTGCTTTCGAGCGAGCCCGGCAAAACACTTCATCGCGTGCCTCACGCAAGCACGAGCAGCGACACCAGCTTTGTCGCCTTCATAATGCAGAGTGAGATTCACTTGCTATTCTTTAGAGCACGCTCTTGCGCATTGCTGACATGTTCATCCAACTACCTTGGTTCTGATACCTACAGTTTCCCAAGGCCGATCCCGAAGCAGGACTCAGGATACAATCTATTCATGTGCTTCATCCTTCAATGAGGGTGCAGTCATCTCTACGTCTGACAGAAAGTCGGACTCATCTCCCTGTGGCATTGTTACTCCTGTGCAGCCTTCACATCAGTTACCATCAGATTCCACATCGCCTCTAGGCGTGCTGATCGACAACAGCAAGCCACCGCCGCGTCCTCCTCGTGCTTTTCGACCGCCTAAACAAGATTCGGCTCCTTCTCCTACCAGAACTCATCGGAGACTTGCGCTTCCATCACGGCATTATTGCTACGATCCGTTCTCAGGATTTGAAGTGCCAGACTCCTCTATCGACTCAACCCTAAGTCGTAGCCGAGCTGACAGCATCGACCTCGATCCTGACATGTACGAAGTGATAGCCAAGCAGCACAAAGCTGGTTCTACGTATCCTATACAGACAGTAGAGTCGTACGACAATGACGACTTTGCGAAACCACTCGCCTGGTTGGTGCTGGATAACGATACTGCAACGTACGACACAAGCCTCTCAGCGCTCGATGCGAGCTCGCTCCATCAGATACCCAAGTGTCCGCCGAGACGGGCGAAGGGGGCCTTGACTGCGTCCACATCCTACGCTTCTCTAGTGTCAGCATTCAGCACCAGCAGCAAGACAATCGATGCGAGTGAGAATGACAAGCTTCGAACACAACCTCGTGCCTCTAGCTTCATGGCAAGCAAAATGTTTATTACCTCGGCGTTGCGAAAGCTGAGTGTAAACGCGTCCTCACTATCAGGCATTTCGAGCCAGGATAGCAATCTCACAATGAGATCGTTATGGAAACGCAGAACAAGTCAATCATTTGTTTCTCAACCCTCCGCACTTGCTTCGTCGGTCAGCGTCACACACGGCTCCGACGACTCTGATAGCGACTCTGAGTTGGAGGCAGTTATTCCAAAGATGGCCTTTGATGCGACACTACCATCCACCTCTGCTGCAAGCAGTCCTCGATCTACAGTATCTGTTTTGCGGCAAATGACGGACAAGGCAGGCAAGGAAGATGTTACCACCTTGCCAATAGCAACCGAACCCATTCCTGAGTCAGTACGGCAGGGTCATCTCAGCTTGCCTTTTTATCATCGAGGTCTGCGCAAAAAGATGTACCCTCCGCGGGTGCGGTATGAGGTGTTTCCAGCCACCACTAAGCCACCTGTTCGATGGCAATCTCCTCCTGCTTCGCTGAGCCCTCGACTCTTTGCTGCAACACATTTGCCTTCCTCTTCTGGACCCAGACCAGCTTTTGATGGTTCGCGAAGCCGCTTGCTCTGATGCACCGCTTCCTTTTGATTCGTGCGTGATATCCAGAGATGTGCCAACATCTCGAGCACTGTGGCATCTCTAGTCTGCTCCCTTGCTTCGTCTTCTTGAAGCACGTAGCGTGCTCTTGTTTCGACTACTCCACACCCATTCGACTATGTACTTACATTCTGCCCCTTTAATCGCTGTATGTCGATACTTCATCTTCTCAAGACATCGCATCGTGTATTTTTGATTCGTTTTGCAATCCCAGAGCTTCATCAGACCCAGCCGTCGACTCAGACTGCAGCAGCGTAGATCGCGTGCTATAGTAATGAGCACGATATAGGAACCTGCTGTTCAAGAGTGCGATCTCTGAATTGACAAGCAGCCATCGAGCAATGCAACAAATTCAAATCTGGAATTTTTCACGCTACAACGCAAGCGCTTCTCCGCACTGCTTTCCTATCATGCCTGCGTGTTGCTTGAAATGAATCGTGTGTTTGAAGGAGCCCGATTCAAAGCCGTCGTTGAAAAGAGGCTATTTTTGAGATGCTTCTTTTGGGGGAGAGGGTCGCGTCTTCCTGCCGGTTGAATCGGTTAAGGGAGAAACACACACTGGCTTTCAAGCTTCAAACGGACCAACGGCTTGCACTTTTACCGGAGAGCTTGGATCCATTCAATGGAAAGTAAATTCAGAAAAGTGCACCGTGCTGGATTTCACAACACCGGCGCCTCTTCCTACTTTCACCTCTTGACCCTACCATCTCCGCAACATTAGCACCCATCTCTTTGAGCTTCCTCATAACGGCCTATTGCCAAGTAGCATACTGCCTACACAAGCACTCGTGTTCTTCTGCTACTAGGCGACACGCACCGAAGCATCGCACCATCGGAACCTAGCATTGCCTCGGACTCGAAACGCAACCTCGCGACCCACCCTTTCAAGCTTACTTCAACACAGATCCCAGACGCCACGATGTCGAAACCCACAACAGCAGCTGCTGGGCTAAGGCGGCCATCTCGCATGCCCAACCCAACCGACAAGGTTCTCGGCTGCTTCTCCAACATCGAGCCATCCCCACGTCTCGATCACATGATTCGCTACCTCTCAACATGGTCTGGAACAGATAAAGCGCTCATGCTTACCCAGTACTCCTCCAAACTCGTGATCATCCTCCTCAACCTCCAGTACGCTTTGCGGCTGCGCATGCTCGGCATTCGCTCTACCAAATCATCCTCAGCAGCGCAAAGGATCCAAAAGCTGAGCTCGCTCATCAGCGACGCCAGAGTGCTCTACCGTATCTGGGGTATTTTGCCCATCATCAAGTGGATGATAGGTCTCGAAAGGTCTCCTCCTCCCACACGAATGCTGCACAACATCGAGCGAATTCAAGGATGGTCCATGTTGGCTTACTGCCCTATGGAAGCGGTTGCGTATCTGGGCAGTCACGGGATTTTGCCTGTCTCGGCGGCGATTCAGAACGCGTTCTGGTTGTGGGGATCGCGTTTCTGGGCTCTTTACGTCGCGCTCCAGCTGCTGCATCTCGTGGAGGACAACAGATTGCTCAGACTGAGAGCTAAGGCGTTAGAGCGATCGCGTGGTCATCCCACCCCCAACAAGATTCAACTCAACTCCAACGGGCAACTCACACTTCAGTCAGAAAAGCCGGGCTCGACTACAACTACACAGGAGCAAGTCATCACTCGCAGAATGTGGGACGAGTTGGATGATAGGAAATCAGCCATTCTCAATGAGTTGTGGGTCAACCTTGGGTATTTGCCATTGACGATTCACTGGTCTTGTGCAAAGGGGTTGATTGGGGAAGGGTGGGTTGGCCTTTTCGGTACGATTGCGGCTATGGCTGGTTTGCGGTCGGGATGGAAGAACTCGGCTGTTCCACCTGTGCCTCTTCCTGCTGCTTCTTAGTTGATCGCCGAAGACTGTACTCAGCTAGCTTAAGGAATCCCACTCATAGACGCAAGTCCGGATTCAAGGTCTGCTGTGTGTGTGCAATTATCATTGAGAAAGCGAAGGGTATCATGTGATTACAGTATAGGGTCTCGGCTAAGATACACGCTAGGGACGCCGTGTGCTTGGCGGGATTCTGGGATTGGACGCGCTAGCGTGCACGTTATTGAGAATCAACGTAGGGCGTGCTGCTGAACTGGAGCCTGCCCCATTCGACTGACTTGCATGCGGTCTGCTCTGTCCAGTGTTGGCCGCCCGCCTCGGTCGTACTGGTTCATCCCATTCCGCCTCTGCTCCGTTCCGAGCTCGTCGTGATGTAATGGTGTTATTGCCTGAAGACCCACGAGTAAAGTTTATACTTCTCATCTTGTCTTTGTTCGCCTGCAGCTGAGCTAGCTTCTCGTCCAAATGCTCTTTCTCCTGTCGTTTTGATATCGCAACAGGATCCCCTTCGATCAATTCTTCCTCGCGGAAAGGGAACATACTCCTCCATTCACCATTGTACCTGCCTGTATCTAGCGATGGGAGGTTTGACGATGTTTCATCGATACCGAGATGATTGACGAGTTGAGAGTATACATGTGGGTTCTTGAAAGATCGATTCTGCATCAGCACTTGGTTGAAATGGACTCCTTCGGATTTGAGCTTGTGGTATCGCTCGACGTTTGCTTGGACTGTGGGATTGATGGGGACCGTACCGTGCTCGTTTAAGCCCTTAGAGAGGAATTCGCCACTTTCGTACGACGTTCCCCAATATGGACGTGGCTCAAACCATGTGCCTCCTCCAGGTTCTTGCGGTGGTGGTCCTAGCAGTGGGAGGTCTCGGAGAAGCTCAAGATCATCGATGTCGAGCAAGTTATAGATATCCATCTCTTGGGTCACCACTTTATCTGTTCCACGCACTTTGCTTCGAGGTAGGGCTGAAGTTGGCAAAAATGAGTTGTCCCTCCATACGGCTAAGCACTGGTCGCTGATCGAGTCTTTCTCCGGCTTTTTTGGATGAATGGTTTTGGAGAGTCCTGCTTCTGCGTGTTGTTCGTTTTGTAGTGTCCGTGGCTGTGACGCTGCAGCCACATTCCTTGTTGATGCTTCGCTCATCGTTCTCAGTGAAGGAGTCATGCTGGATCAGCCAAAGGCTGGGATGATGAGCGGAACACAGAAAGACGAAAACGTTGGTGTTGGTTTCGGTGTGGGTAAAGAGTGGAGGTGCGCGCATGCTAAATTTGTTAGACCGACACATTTTTGGCTGAATCACGTGAGCAGGATGCTTCGGAAGAAAAGTTGGGATCATGTTGACAGCTCCTCAATCTTCTTATCTCCATCTCAACCATCACCACCTCTTTGACAGCGACTCGATAAGTCCTGATCACGCATTTCATTCGGCAGACTTTGGCATCGACAACGCTGATCTTTCCGCATCCGTTTTCGCACACATATTCAAAGATGTTCGGCACAACATCAAAGCTCCTATCGAGCTTCGCCAAGCCCGCATTTGGCTCTGTCCGCTCACCCTCCACACTTCTCACAAGCACATTCAGCGCAGCACGATCCTTCTCATCATCCAATATCGCACAGAAGAGCCCACGGACAAAACACCTCGCACAGCATGGGAGCGGCGGCAAGCCAAAGTCACACTCGGGTACAAAGAAGAGATGGACGCCGTTGGGTGGAGGTAGCGGAAAGGCATACCAGCTTACTTTCAAGCGTGGTATGGCGGGGAAGGCGCATTTGAACTCGGGTATGGCAAGGGATAGGCTCAACAACCTTGGCGGTACCGTGCTGAGCCCAAGAGGAAGGATCAACAGGACGTTGAGGAGGTTGTTGGGTCCAAGCCTTTGATTTTAGTCAGAGCTTTGGTTCAGTGTGGTGACCTGAGCGGGCTATAGGAGGGCATATCTTAGACACCCGACATGCTTTGTCATCCTCTAGGAAGGCAGTGAAGGGGGCGATACCCGCTATGAAGGCCTGCGTAGACCGCAGCAGGAGACATAAATTTGAGGTCCACGCTTGTCCAGCCTCTTGGAATTTTCGAGGAGATTATGTGTTGCTCATCGACGTATCTTCTTCCACAAGCTCGGCACCGCCTTTCCGTGGCGGACCCTCTTGCTACAATCACACGAGCACCGCTACACCACACGCCTGGCCTCTCTCAAGCCACACTTGCTTTCTTGGACAGTCGTCCACCTCAAGTTTCGCATCAACGAACACTCGCTTCCGCGCCACCTAATCTCTTTCCGCATCACACATGTACATTAGTTGCTACCATCAGCATCAATCTAAACATTACATAACAGGTAGACAACGATTTTATCATATCTTTAGCGTACCGCGTGTAGGGCTGTCTGGAAGGAAGAGCAGCCTTGTCTTGTTGGACAGAAGGAGCGGAAAGAGAAGGCGTGTGTTGAAGGTTGCGGACAAAAATGTTGCAGGCTTCCATCCCGTGTCAAAAAGGAGCGATATGAAAGCATGATAAGAAGCTTGAGCTGATGTGAAAGTAGCTGCTTAACTCCGCATCCTGACGGAAGTTCAGTGTGTGTCAACACGCATAGCCTGCTTTTTCCAGCAGGAGTTGAGGCTTGACAGGCTTGGGTTGCGGAACAACATGAGTGCGGAACCTGAATTTCAGCCCCACTGTCTGTGATCACACTGTATAGCTAGCTGCCTGTCTCAGTGTGACTGCGGCAAGCTTGCTTCCGCACTCTTTCCGCAGCTCTTGACGTGGAAGATGAGAAGAGTTCGCAAAAGCTGCGGAAGATCGTGGAGTCCAGCAGGCCGTACAGCGAAGAGATAAACCGAACCTTGCGGAAAGATGTTGCTACGAAAAGCATATATACCAGGCCCCCTGTCCCCTCCAACACCCCCCAACCCAACCCCACACACCAACTCCTCATAACACCACAACCACACAAAACTCTCCTGCCCGACACCACTCGAGCCTTCATACTATACCAGCAATCCAGTACTCAAGCGACATAGCACGAACACGACCCCCGCTCCACCTTGAAAACCGCTCCTCCTCCTTTGACACCGTTCCCCTTCCAGCTCATCACTCCAGCCTCGAATTCTCATCTTTATGACAGCCAGCATCCACAGCTCCTGATCCACGCGACACCCACATATCTCCGATTTCCAGTGGTCCCTTACGACTACTGTCCGGTGTTGAGTATGTTGTCGCTTCGTGTAGCTTATGGTTCGGACGAGCTGGTTTTAGGTTCTTAGACAACTGAGAAGAGGGGTGTGTTAACATGACTATCTACACAGACGAGTGCGACTATTTATGTATGCCGGAACTAAGTGAGACACGCTGGTCGAGGAGCCCCGAGCTCCTCGACCCCTATGTCGATCCGGGGGTGCATCGATGAGGAGGTCCGTCCCCTCGACCCCTGTATCGGGACATCGGCATGTCGTCGCCGATACGAGTTCAAGTCGACCTCCAACATCCGGCACGCTTTCTAGACTCGTTCAGGTCAAATCAAATCGCAAAACAAAGCATCTACTTCTCTTCATCATGATCTTTGACGAAATCAATATTGACCTACACTTCGTCTTCGAGGGTGAACTCGACTCTCCAAATGTCTCGCACATCTTTAACAACTATCGTCATGCAGCCCTCCAACACCGTCCAGGTAATCACACAGTCGTGGGGGCCTTCTTCCTCAGTGAGCTGAAGCGCCGGCTCCCCTCATACCAGTCGGGTCCACAGGGACAGAACGTTGTAATGACGGCCGAGCATACATGCGAGAGTCGTCGTTTCATGGTACATGTTTGGCGCAGCCGAAGTCTGCTAGAAGGCACTTGGGGTCAGGACTCGCCACAAGACGATCAGATCGTTGTTCGGGCATTGCGCGAGGGCTCTCCTGGACAGAATGCGGGAATTCTCTTCGAAAGCCGTCCCACCATGATGCCCTCGGGTAAGCAGTTTGAGTGGGTCGATTCCGGTCTCATCTACGAGTTTCCACCTAGCGACATATCTGTCATGGTGAGGAGGCCATCCATACAGCAGACACTCACGGCTATCTTCAAGAATGTCAGGTCCCACAGCTTCGTGTTTCAATCTACTGGTGTTCCCATCTTCAGCCCTGTGCTTGATGCCGCATCCAACCCTCGTCAGATCATTGCTGGAGGCGACGACGAACTCCGCCTAAACCAATTTATTCAGGCTTTCATCGACAAGACTCGTCTTTACAACATCCCAGGCCAAGCTTCGAGCTTCAATGCTCAGCCCCCGCTGCCTAACTCCAGTAGCGATGCTCCTCCCTGCTCTCAGAACACATTCGTGACTCTCAACCAGGGGACTGCCGCTCAACGCGACCACATTATTCGTCGTAACTTTAACGCAAGCTCCCCAGCTCCGACGGTCGCTCCAGGGCAGGATCAAACCAACTCGGCTGAAGAAATTGTGAACGTCTCGTCCGCTTCCAGCACAACTTCCAAAGACACTCCGCCTCTCCGATCTCCTCCCCTGACCCACCGTGCCTGGAATACAATCACCAAAGTCGCCTCCTCCTTCACAAGATCTCGCCCTCAGTCTGAGCACAGCCGTGCCTCACCCGTTGCTCCGGAGAACTCGCTGTTCACCGAGCTGCGAACAGTAGGAGAGACGGCCCCTACCCAAATCACAGGGACTCGAACCTGATCTCCTTGCAAGAGCGAAACGGACGTAGTGAACCACGAGAATCCAGGCACCCTCGTCAAGGTCATCACAACTCTTCTGGATGATGTCACCCCCCCCCAATGGAGGAGAATCACTATGTCGATGCTAGCAATCAGACTGATTCGGAAGACGAGGGCTCCAAGAAGGGAGAGAAGGAGGCTAAAGCTTGTCGCACAGTTGGTGAGGGCGTAAGAATAGATGGGACAGGTGCGGTGTTGGTTGAGCGAGACGCTCAGACGGAACAATCGGGCGGTCAGACTCAGGTTATTGGCGTTAGCTGCCCTAGACAGGTGACGGAAGGTGATGCGCATGGTCAAGCGGGTGATGCAATGCAGCCTCTTGTCCTGTCCGTTGGCTCTAGCTTCCCTCCTCAAGAGTCTATCCACTCTACTGAGGTTGAAGTGCCCAGCGACCCGGCTGCAGTAGCAGCTGCTCAAGCACTCTCCATTGGACAAACAACTGTTGGTGTCGACAGGGTTGACAATGATATCGAGATGACAGATGTACAAGCTGCCTCCAGCAAGCCCACCAATGCCAGCACGCAAGCTCCTAGCACGCGTGGGGACGATCAGGCCTCTGCGCAGCTTCAGGTGGGTGCTCCGGACTCAGACATTCAGGCTCAGGGCACAGCACAAGCTCCTGTAGCGATCGACGAGGACAAGGAGAACGAGCGACCAACTCAGGACAACGCCACCGCAGCGCCGGTTCCTACCGACGACAATGTGCAATTCTTCTCTTTGTCCCGCGCTGAAGAGCAGAACGGCACATTTGCGGAGACTGGAGTTCGACGAGAAAGCAGGACTGACCGCTCGATGTCAGAGATGCCTCTGGTTGAGGTCCTTGCCAGTGTGGAGCGCAACACAGATGCCGAGACTGCTTCTGCACTTGGAGCAATGATTCGCTCAGGCTCGAATATATTTGGCGGTCACTCGTTGCGCAGCCGTTCTCCGACACCATCGGGGTTGTTGTACTCTGCGTACACTTCATCAGATCAGCGACTGCACCAGCTTCTCGACTACCTACTGAACCTGGTTCAGAACGACAAGATGCAGGGCAATTTACTATGCAAGCGCCTGCTCGCGATGCGCGAGGAGTTTGCACAGGAGTTCGAGCAGGCAAAAAAGCAGTTTGAGGCCAGACTCGCCAATAACAACGAGGCGATGTATAACGCGCGCATCTCGCAAAGCCTCAAGAAAGACACCATGCGCCTTCTGAAAAGCGAGATGGCTATACCTTGTGTGTTTGTACGTCCACCATGTGGACAAGACCGGAGCATGCTATCCAATCAACGAGGCTGGAGTATGCAGGGGTAGGGCCCAGGCTCCTGTCTCCTCGGCGTCGGGCATTCGATATGCCTATACCTTATCGTGATAATCGGCTTGATGCGAGCCGATATACCACACAGGCCTACAGTATCAAGGTCAACGACCTCCTCCGTCCCATGCTTATTCGACACAAGCACTCAGGTAGTCAGGTAGGATCAATCCGAGGCGTCGCACACGCTGGCACCCCTGCCGCTGCACAGGCAGGTGTGAGCGGATGGCTCAGCAATCTCTCGTGCAGTCGAGCTGGTACTCCAGCCTCCACTTCACCTCGATCCGTTGTTGACAGTGTCCACATGCCAACACCCCCCGCCTGCCCCTCGCACCTGGCTCCTTCCCGTCCTCACCCGTCGTCATTGACGGTGAGACCACCCAGCGTCAACGCACACCCTCTACTCGCGCCGGCAGCACCGTCGGGAGGGATCGCTCCGCGCGTGCCGGTTCAGTCGTTAGCAGCATTAGCAACGCCACCCAGATCAAACGCCTTCGAGCCACTTGGGAACCGACAAACGTAGCTCCTGTCGCTGGTGACAAAGTCCACGAACTCATTGATGACAGCGATGATGTTGATGACGACGACACCCTCTTCTTGAGGTCGCGCACGCGAGCTTCGTTGGTTACTACCTTTACTGAGTTGCACGACTAGACATAAAAAGAGCGGATAATTACATAGAGGGAACGACGCATCGGTAAGAGAAGGAAAGAAACAATATATGAGGCGTTCGGAGTATCGGACGCATAGACGCGCGGAAGGTAGAAATGTTTAGAAGGCTAGGAGGTTAGGAACCTAAAGGAAGCTCAAAATGGAGCATAGAAGGGACACCCCCAGGATACAAAGGCATGCGCAGAAGAGCGCAAAGTAGCAGGGTGGGTGGGGAGGGATGTAAGCTTTAGACGGATGTACAAGCTACATACTGCTACCGTACAACAAACGAAGAAAAAGCTGTCGCGTGGACTCTGATAGAAGAAAAGGCAAAGAAACGGGCTAAAGTTACTTAGTCAGAGAGAGAGACGATATAGGCCCAACAGACTGCCGAGGCGAGAAGGGCAGTTCATACACCAATACCCGTTGCAAACGATGCTCAATGCATCGATCCCTCAATACCACGCCTCCAAGGGCCGCAAGATGCGCACACGCGAACATCATTCACGCTGCGATTCTGTGGTGGCGCACCACCTCAATACACTCCAAATCTCGCATCACACCCCTCCCATCACCATTGCAGCCCTCCGCTGCCTCATCACCACACTTCTCGCCACTCACATGCGCACATGTTCACGGCTCTTAAAGCCATCATTCGCAATCAATCCATTCTCCCTCCCCCAACAGACGAAAGTGTGTGCTCCAAGACCGTTGTGTGTGTATGAATGAGATTGCTAGAGGGTATGATAGTGATATACAGCAAGCAAGGTGTTCTTTCGGGAAGGATCCTCTCCTTCCCCTTCTCTAGTTGGGCCTCCTCAAACTAGACCTAAGATCATCAGGTAAAGTCTGACAAAGTTTATCCAACTGCATCATCAACTTTTTCTTCTGATTCAACAGTCTTTTCTCCGTCGTTGTAGCGTTGCCTGCTGAGGTCAAGAGACATGTGGGGGTGTTCCTACCCGATCCTGCCTCGCTTCCCTGCTTTCCCTTCACATTCCCACTCGAAATTGGGGTCGGCTTGTCAGTCCTCCACCTGCTTCCCGGGCCAGGCTCGGTGGGAGCAGTTAACTGAACATCCACCAATCTGATCTCTTCCACCAATCTGCCATAGAGATCTATCGTCTCTATCTCGCCTCTGCTGTGTCCAAAGGCTGTGACATCGCCCTGCATCAACGAAGCGATGTATCGTCTTCTTTGCTCCTCCTCTGCTGCTGCGACCCTCGAATGCAACCAGAGGGAGAAGTTGGGACATTTAAGGAAGTCTAGGTATAAGCCTTGTCTGACACTCGCACCGGTAGGAAGCGATCGTGAGCGAATAGCCAAAGGAGTGCCGTGAGCTTTGAGAGATGCTAGGAAATCGACCGTGTTAAAAGGTCGAATTTTCGGCACCTCCGAAGGCGAGCTCAAATCAAAGCTCGCAGGTACCAAAGAGGCAACGTATCGGTTGAGAGGCGAGAGGAATCTCTCCGTAAGATCAGCAAAGTATCTCCTCATAGTAACGTTTGCTGCTGATACCGCTGCTTGTACTGCTACATCATCGCCTCCGGCTTTAGCGGCTGAGCTAGCGAGGTCCTGCAGACGTTTCAGAAGCTGTCTATCTTTGCTAATCCTACGTTTGCGTTTAGTAGTGAACCCAGGGATATGGTCCGGTCCACCACCGCCTGCGCCGTGACCTCCACCAATTCCACCTCCGATAAGTGTTCCTCCACCAAATTTTTTCCCCCCACCAATACCACTTCCGCCATTGCCACCGGAACTATGTTTGATCTGTATTAGCTTCACTGCCGCCTTCCCGACCCTCAGCATATGAGGCCAATGACTGCAAGCGGTGGCAAAGAATGGGTTGGTAGCTGCGATCAATGTCCCCGCCTGAGGTTTGTTCTTGGTCACTAGCGTGCGGAAATCGTAATCGTGGATATGGAAGTAAGGTCTAAAGTCTCCAGCGTAGGGAATTGGTCGGATTAGGTCGAGCATGTGCCACACCGTTTCACTAGCAATCTTTGGTTCTGGTGCAATAACCAGAACCGGTTCAGCGAGAAGTACGCATTCCCACAATAACCACAGATCCCCTAACGCCTCTTTGAAAGTCTCGAACAACGACGTCGCCGGAATAGACGCCAACAGCGGCCCCTCCGGTCCAATCAGTGGCTCGGGCAACTCTCTATTCCCATTGCCACCTCCCGCCGAAGCCTGCCTACTCCGAGCCCGAATAGTCATTGTAGCAGCTGCATTCCTAAACCCACCGTTACCAGACCCAGTCGATGAGGTCAAGAGCGAAGTCAACATCGGCGCCAATTCCGCATTCGGCGAGTTCTGCGGTTGCTGCCCAAATGGTATCGCTGCCGTCATGATCGATCCTAACAATGGCAGCGTCAGAATTGTACCCGGTTGAGGGGGAGGCCAGGCCATAACATCGTTTGCGAACGCTTCGAACATCGACATCCCATGCTCGAAGTATAGCGGGCCTAATCGGGCGACTACTTCGCTGAAGAGCCCGACGAGGGGGAGATGGGAGAGAATGACAACAGATTTCTGGAAATAACCACGACGATTGGTGGGGTCGCGTTTTTGACGGAAGAAGACGTAACCGTAGATGTAGCTGCTGCTGGTGCTGTTGGTTGCTCCGGTGCGTTTAGGGGCGAGGATGCCGGTGGAGGTTGTGGTGGGCACGGTGGATGTAGAGCTGCTGGTGGGTTGGAGGATGGAGCTACCTGCCGGTGAGGCGTTGGAGGTGATCGCACTGCCGGGTTGGGCAGCAGAAGAGTTTCTGGTGGCGGTGGCAGCTTCGCCTTCGTCGTCCGCAGAAGCAGCTGAGCTCATGGAGTGCGTGCTGCTGTGTCGGTCATGTGAGAAATGGCGTGCCATCGAACAAGATCCTGAGCTTGAAAAGAGCTTCTGCGTCAACCTCTCATGGAATGACGTAGTCGGGGGCATTGTTCCCATCGCGAATGCATTCTGCAAGTTCGCATCTGATGCTTGCCTCGACAACCCTTGCGAGCTGGTCGTAGACGACGCCGAAGAGTCCCTGAAACCTGAAGTTGACGGCGAACTTGGCGATGTCTGCACAGAAAGACTGTCCGCTCCACTACCTCTCTTGCCTGCCTTCTGCCCGTGTGCCTTTGCAAACGCATTCTGCAATGCAGCCTTGTTCATCGATGGTCGTGGCGTCTCTTCATCCAAAGAATTTGGTGTTGTCGACTGTTGCAGCGCTGCATCGTTCAGACTCTTGATAGTCGGAGGTTCCGACCCAGACGAGCCTAACGGCACCTCACGCACACGCCAGGAGAATACTAACGAACCATCATCAAAGATCGACGTGTCCGGGAAAGAGGAGAATGCAATGTTGTCCCGCTCTTCCCTACTGATACCAAGAGGAGGGTATAGGAACTCAAGATCGGGACCGAGCTCGAGGTCGAAGTTGACACAGCCGACGGATAGGACCCAACGCTGCATTGCTTCTCGGTCGAGGTTGAGTGGGGTACTGGTTGGTGCTGTCGATGCTGTACCTTGAGATGATCCTGCTTTTGTCGATGTCAGTGGAATGGGAGCGAGCGCTGCTTTTTTGCTGCTCGAAGTTGGTCTGGATGATGCTTTCCTGCTGAACGGGTGCGCAGCTGAAGCAGACGCGGGCGCGGTGCTGCTCTTCTGAGTGCTGGTAGCGGAACTTGCTGGGTCGAATTGGAATGTGGCGGTTCTCGGAGACGGAGCGTGGGATGAAGTTCTTCTACTGGGAATGGGGTTTCGACCTGTATGGCTGGACTCTGAAGTTCTTGGCGAGTCAAGATCGAGAAAGCTTGTCATTGATGGAGAAGAAGGACCAACACCAGAAGTACCGTATGCATCCACACCGAGATCCCCATGCCCTGTGCCGACGGACTGTCGCTTCGATGCGTCACGGAAAGAAGCGTTGCGCGGCGGTGCCAATGGTCCACGCTCACCCACAGGGAGGCGATTTTGCAACGCTGGCACACCAGATCTTCGACTACGTCGAGAAGTGCGTGCTGCCACAGAACTGTTGCGCGCTCGCTCCGAGTCATGCCCAACGAGAGAAGTGGTAGAGTTGGTGTCTAAGTCTGCATCGAGCTCCTGCTCTACGCTCATAGCCTGTTGGTTGGCAGAGAGAGTCGAGGTGAGTGAGCGCGAGGTTGGCAATCGTGCTTGAATGATGGTGGAGTTGGAGGCGATGCTTTGCTGAGATACCGATGCTGGTGGTGGGTTCGAAGCGGGCAGTGGTGGCTGCGATGACTCTGCTAGTGCTGCTACTGCTGCCAATAATGTGGCTGAGGTGGCAGGTAGACCTCTCCTGGCAGACTCGGACGCTGGGCTCTCCGCGGCCGAGTTGTAGATGGAGCTGGAAGAAGAGATGCTATTGTTCGCAAGGTGCTGACTCTCACGGTCCGAGGTGGCCCGAGGAGAGGTCGATGAAAGGACGCTGCCTTCAGAGGTGCAATCTTGCAAGAGTTCGTCTTGCAAGGAAAGTGCGCCAAATCGAGATGAAGTGGCAGATGGAGTGAGGCTGGACGCAGGGTCGGATGCGGGCATGTTGGTGTTGTTATTGCTCTGCATTCGCACGCATTCATCGGAAACTGCTTCGGGTATTGCCTGACTTGAAATGGGCTTTCTTCGTACTGTTTGACGAGGAGTCAATGAATCGGTTGGGATGGATGAGAAAGCTGCTGGCGTAGGACTCGGGTAGGTGGGGACGGCGCTGAGGTCAGAGGCTCGACCGCACGTTTCATATTGATTGTCGAAAGAGGCGGACGGTGAGCGGGACTCCATCGCGAACAAGCCTAGGTCGCCATCACCTGTATTCGACGTAGACGGCGTGCCGCGAGAGCTAGACATGGCTTGAGTATACAGCGAGCCAGCAGGTCCGGATTCCCTGGGCAGCGTATGAGCAGTTGGCTGCTTAAGCGTGCAAGTTTGGCGTCAGAGTCTTTCGTGTTGGTTGAAAGGTACCTGTGCGGCGCATCCCAGTTTGGCGTCAGAATCTTTCGTGTTGGTTGAAAGGTACCTGTGCGGCGCATCCCAGTTTGGCGTCAGAATCTTTCGTGTTGGTTGAAAGGTACCTGTGCGGCGCAATGGGATGCAAGTACGGGCTGCAGTGGCCTAAAGGGGGGGGTCTCGAAAGGACACCGTGCACTTTGAGAACATTCGTGGATGACGTGGTTTACGCTCACGTTTCCGGATGTCGAGCGACAATGCGCGTCCGAGCGTAGTTTGTGATGCCAGAACAGAAGTCTAGGCACTGTGCGAGATTCCAGATGGGCGCGTGTCTAATGAAGGCAGTCTCGCAGCGATAGATGAACAATGTATCTCGGACTTCAAGCGGATGTATCGCCCGATCCTTTCGAGAACGTCTGTGGATGCGTCTTTGACTGTGTCGAGAGGAAGGTTATACGAGAAGCAATAGCCAGCCTCTGTAAGAAGTGATCTGGGAGGAGGAGGAGGACGAGGAGGATGAAATGAAAGCAAGAAGGAAAGATGATGAGACAATTGCGGTCTGGATGCGGGCTTAGTCGGTGTGTGGATGGGAATGCGGAAGAGCGTTGGCTCGATTTTGAAAGTGCTGCCAAATCACTTTTTTGGACGTGGTGGAGGAAAAGCGGATCCTGAAAATCATAAAATGTCAAACCGCGCAAACGGCGTATGACACTCCCACAAAGACGAGGAGGGTCGGATCGACAGGGCAGCTGACAGCGCTTCGTCCAGACACAGGATCTTGCATTGCTTCCTCTGGCTGCCCGAAGCCTTGAACAGCGTGCGCGAGATAGCTGCCTTCGCTTGTGGCGAGGGTGACTGAAACAAGTGCATCAGGCTGAGTTGATCCTCAGCTGTGGCTCGCCTCATGTATGTTCTTAGATCTCGGATTTTTCTCTTGCACCTGAAAGCGGCGAGCGTGTAGAGCATGTTTTAACGAGCACAGGCGAGACGGCGGCGCCCTTCGAACAAAGTTGTTACATCGTCAGCACCAAACAATCCAGCGCGAGCGAGCAGGGATGCTGTCTCAAGCCCTGGACAAATTGCTAGACGACAAGCAGCTGCTCGAATGCAATTGACTTCGGCCTCAGGGTTGAATTGCACACTTCAATTCAGACACGAACACCAAGGTATTGAAGCAACAAGAGCATGGATCTTTTTGTGATTGCCAAGTCTCTTTTTGGGGTGTGTGAAGAGTACTAGTGATGTACAAGTGATTGCATTGTTGAGCGCACACGACGGTGCATGCATATATGTGATTGTTTTGGTGGAATGCGAGCACCGAGATGCAAGCACATAGATGACAAGATCAGACACATGGCTGATCCACCAAGCCATGCGGTGATGAAAAGAGGGAGGGAAGGATGCAAGCGAAACCGAGAACACGACAAAACAACAGATCCATTCCTTTGAGAAAAGCAAAAGACCTGATTGCTGATACGCATTTAACGGTACGATTTCTGGCGACGAGCACGGGCACCGCGACCACCGAACTTCTTGGGCTCCGATCGTCGGGTGTCGGCGATCAAAAGAGTGCGGTCGTAGGCGACAAAGAGCTGACGGAGCTCAAGGGCCGAGGCAGCATCGTAGTACTTGGCGTAGTAGGCAACGAGCGACTTGGCGATAGCCTGGCGGATGGCGTAGATCTGCGAGGTGTGACCACCACCGGAGACACGGAGACGGATGTCGACAGTGCTGTAACATTGAAAGTGCGAAGGGAACGAAGGGGGAAAAGCGTTAGTCGTCTTGATTTGTGGGTGCGAGAAGTGATCCAATCGAAACGGACAGCTGCAGCAACACCTAGAATGCTGAACCTTCACAGGGCCATCCCCAGTTGTAGTTGCCGGTACATCATGACAAACTGCGAGATAGATCCGTTACACAGCTCGACGATGCTAACGGATCCTCGCGCTTCTCTCCTTTATCACGACATCGTCTACTTGATCTAAAATCAATGAGCAACGACGCTCCTTGTATTCTCCTCCGTCCTTCCTGGCAGGAAATCAGCGTCTGGACTTGGATCTTTCTGCGTGAACATCTTTAAGATGTTGTGTCTAGCCTGCACCGAAAAGACGAGGTGACGCTTCTGACAGTGATGCGACGTTGGCCCTGTCGTTAACTTCAGTCTGCCTTTGCGAATCTCTGCTGCTCCGAGATGAGATCTTGATCGACTCTGCTTGCAACTGCCTGTCGCCTCTGCTGTCCATCGCGATATCTGCTGCCTGCGTCCTTGCTAATGCTTGCTCCAGTCTCCGTGTTTCTCGCTGTACTATGTGCTGAATGCTGGTGCGATGTATCTTCCTGCTGGCCGTCGAATGACGCCGGGCTTTCGTCGGATACTTACGAGAACTTGTCCTCACCAACGACGAGGACGGGCTCGAAAACCTTCCATCGGAGGACCTCAGGCTGAACGAGAGAGATGGGCTGGCCATTGAGGCGGATGAGACCCTTACCCTCCTTGCAGTGGGCGACGGCGGTGGCCGTCTTCTTCTTGCCGAAGCAGGAAACGGAATGAGAATGAGTGGACATGATGACTATTGAGTAGTAAAGGTTGCGAGATGGGTCGAATTAAGCGGTGATGCGGGTTGGTTGTGATGAAGTGATCAGTTGTTTGCGAGACGAAAAGTGCAAATGTCGAGTTGAGGTGCAAGAGTTCGAAAGTGAAGGTTGATTCGCGAGATACACAAGATGTAAAAGATGGGGCGAACGGTGAAACGGCGTGCGTGCAGAGAAGATCGTGATGCGTGCGTACGTGTGATGATTGGTGTCGGACGTGATTGTCGATGCGATTCAAGGTAATACCAAGTCGATTTCGAGTGTTGTGTAGTGTGGTGGGAGGAGCAGCAATGAACAGCGACGTAGGAGGTCAGCGGCTGTGTCTATAACTGTAGAAATTGTCGTCTATGATGCGTCGACGATGTTGATGCAATGTTGCGACAGCGATTACCTACCTTCTTGATGATGCGGAGAGGTGGAAGAAGAAGGTATCATTTGGCATCGACACTTGACCAACCTATCGAACGACGACAGCCTAAGCACACACGCACACACACTGAGGACACAGCGCTGCCAGTTGCAGACGACCATCATTGCTTTGAGTCTCTCACCATCGAAGGCGTCGACATGCAATTTCGAACTTCACTTCTCTGCCTCTTTCCTGCCTTATCCACAAGGCCGTTCGATTCGAGACTGATATTCTGCCTGGTGTTGAGGTCGGCCGACATCACGTGTAGGTACAGACAAAAAAATTATCTCTGAATTTCGCTGTGAATGCAATACCCTAACATTGAGAGGTGCATCAATTACCGATGCTCGGTAGGGACTAACGAATCGCCGATGAGTGCAGCGCTGATCACACGGCTGAACGGATTGCAATTTTCGACAGTCTTTTCAAAAGAAGTGGATTTTTTGTGATCTTTGATCAGCTGCTGGAAGTTGGCTGTCAAATTCGGTGTTCGACATTATCAACCTCTTGTCACCATCATCGGCACTCCGCAATACCCAGCATCTCCACCCAACCCGCTATATCGAATCCTCAACTGCCAAAGTCTAGGCAAATTCATCCGTAAACCTCCGCATCATGGCTTCATTGCCGTCTTCCAAAGCGTTGCCATCGCTTGCCTCGCTGCGATCAGCCCTCCAGTCGATTAGTACACAACCCATCGCTGCTCGAGCTGCAATCCGCTCAGCTTTCACGCAAGCTTCCAGCTATGCTTCTACTTCTTCCATGCACACTTCGACAATCCGCTACGACCAGTCAGCCCCGTTAAACGCCTCCAGCTCCTCTTCTTCGTCATCAGCACCTGCGGCACCACCCTCCGCCTCGTCATCAACAGAACAACAACAGCAAGGTCTCCATGCCTCTGAGTTTGACTTCGACAGCGAATCCTACGAGATACCTCCTTTCGATGAGGGCGATCTCGTCGCTGTACCCAACAAAGAACCCATCGTCCACGTCAAGCTCTCTAAGCTTCACAAGGGTTCGTCTACTACCAAATCTTCATCCTCCAAAGCATACGTTCCACTCTCAGCACATGTATTCGACGCACCAGCCCGTCGTGATGTCATTCACAGTGCTGTCGTGTACTACCTTGACGCACAACGCTCCGGTACCGCCTCCACCAAAGGTCGATCCGATGTTCGCGGTTCCATGAGGAAGCTTCGCCCACAGAAAGGTTCCGGTCAGGCACGTCTCGGTACCATGTCCAACCCTATTCTCCGTGGTGGTGCTGTCGCACACGGTCCTCGCCCTCGTGATCACTCCACCAAGCTGCCACGTCGTGTTCGTGAACTTGCCCTTCGCTCCGCCCTCTCTTCCAAGTGGAGGCAAGGCGATCTGCACGTTGTCGACAACTTTGACTGGATCGCTCCACCTAGCTCCACCGGTCCCCTTGCTCGTCTTCTCGGCTCGAAAGGCTGGTCCGACGCTCTCTTCCTCACCGCTCCACGCCACCCTGAACCTTCCATTCGCTCGTTGATCAAAGATGACCGCCCATCATCGTCTGACCCCGTCTACGACGAACAGCAAAGACTAGACCACCAACAAGCGATCCGCAACTTTATTCTCGCTTCCAACAACCTTCCGCGCGTCGAGCTGATCAAGTTGGATGCTTTGACCGAAGAGTACAGGGACAACATTGCAAAGACCAGCAGCGACAAGAAGAAGCCTGGTGAGCTCCACGCTTACGAGGTTCTTCGAAGACACAAGGTCATTTGCGACCTCGGCGCCGTTGAGTGGCTCGAGGAGAAGCTTGGTGGCGCTATTTTCCACGAGCAGGCTGGGCTGGACAGCATTGCAGAGAGCTTGGAACAGCAGCAGCAGCAACAAAACACCGAAGCAGCAGCATTGTCGGAAGTCGCTCAGCCCGAAGCAGCAGCATTGTCGGAAGTCGTCCAGCCCGAAGCAGCAGCATTGTCGGAAGTCGCTCAGCCCGAAGCAGCAGCATCGTCGGAAGTTGTCCAGCCCGAAGCAGCAGCATTGTCGGAAGTCGCTCAGCCCGAAGCAGCAGCATTGTCGGAAGTCGTCCAGCCCGAAGCAGCAGCATTGTCGGAAGTCGCTCAGCCCGAAGCAGCAGCATCGTCGGAAGTTGTCCAGCCCGAAGCAGCCGCATCGTCGGAAGTCGTCCAGCCCGAAGCAGCAGCATCGTCGGAAGTCGCTCAGCCCGAAGCAGCAGCATCGTCGGAAGTCGTCCAGCCCGAAGCAGCAGCATTGTCGGAAGTCGCTCAGCCCGAAGCAGCAGCATTGTCGGAAGTCGTCCAGCCCGAAGCAGCAGCATTGTCGGAAGTCGCTCAGCCCGAAGCAGCAGCATTGTCGGAAGTCGTCCAGCCCGAAGCAGCAGCATTGTCGGAAGTCGCTCAGCCCGAAGCAGCAGCATTGTCGGAAGTCGTCCAGCCCGAAGCAGCAGCATCGTCGGAAGTCGCTCAGCCCGAAGCCGAGGCGACGACCCCCGTCACTCCATCGCCCGCTGCCCAGTCAGCTTCATCAGCTTAAAGAGTGTCGATCACCTCAGACGTTCACTGTACAGCACTGTAGTCATAAATCACACACAGGTAACTCAATTACTCGGCACCTGCCCTCGAGCACAGCATTCTTCACACAGACTGTTTGCAGATGGGCACCTTGAAAGGCATGCATCGATGAAAGATTAAGCGACTGATAATGCTGCAACTACAAATGTGTGCGTTGTGACTTCTTGAGGCCAAGAAATGCTCGCTCCATACCTGCACCTGGCTCACACCACATTCATGCCTGGATTGTCTTGCCCCGCTCTAAATCACGTCAGGACACCGAGATTTCGCCAGGCGTTAATAAGTCGTCCAGATTCTCCATGCCCTCCATTTCATCCATATCGTCCATCATGTCATCGTCGTCGTCCCCATCATCGAAACCGCCGTCATCGAACTGCTCTTCAAAAGCCAAATCGCGCTCCACCACGTCCAACTCCTCTTCCGTCAGTCGGTTGACCCAGGCAGGCGTCTGCCCTCCCCACCAATTTACACGTTGGGCCAACGACGCTCGACGCTGTTGCGATTTCCTCTTCTCTTCCTTAATGTCGAAGCCAAGGATGAGGGCTACTTCGGCCATGGTAAGACTCGTGTTGTCTGAGTCACGAGCAGCGCCAACAGATGCGGCTACCGATGATTTAATGGAGCGCTCCCGCAAGTTGGATGTCGATGCCTTAGACTGCATGTTTGCCGAATCTTCAATCTTGACTCTGGCCGTCGTAGAGGCTTCGGCTTGGCCCGAGCCGACATTATCAGGTTGGCTTGTTGAGGCTAAGGCCGATGCGGTAGCAGTGGATGTGCTTGCCACTTCGTTGTCTGTGCCGGTCACGGTGGTCTCTCTGGCAGGGTCGGCGTGGGCAGCGAGCGCCATACCTCGTCTTGAGCGCTCGTCAGCGATGCGCATGACCGCATCCTCGATGGTATCCTTCATTTTGACGCGAATGATGGCGGTAACTCGTCGCTGACCGATTCGAAGGATTCGCCCGATTGCCTGTGCCTCCAGAGCAGCATCCAGAGCTGGTTCCAAGAGGTAAGCCAGATCGCAAGACGTGAGGGTGAGTCCTGCTGCACCAGCACTGGCTCTGAAAGGGACGAGGATTACATTGACATCATCGTCGTCACGGATCGCTCTGAGCGCCTCTGCCTGGGTGGCCTCGTTGCCGCCAAAGACCACTGCTGAGATGCCGTTCTGCACCAAAGCGTCACGCACAAAGGCAAGCATCTTTGGCCAATGCGAGAAGATGACGGCCTTGTGCGTAGTGTCTTCTCGGAGCCGCTTTTTGAGGTCCGAGATCAAACCCGAGATCTTGCCACTCCAATCGCCGATGACCCCGCTGTCACCTTCGCTCGACATGGACCTGCCTCGCTCCATCACTCGCGTGACTCGACCCGGATGAAACTTGAGCCGGCATGACGGGCAGCGGGGTCGGTGATAGTCGGTCCACACGTTGGAAGGCCCGTGAGAACTGTTTTTGCAGATGGTCTCAATGCAGTCGATGCAGAATGAGTGGTAGCAAGGCAGAACGCCGATCTGCTCCTTGGTGTCGTAGCAAATCTGGCACTCGGCCGGAGGCGCTTGAATACTAGAGTCAGCACTCGTGTTAGCGGGACCGTTTGCATCGCCGGTTTGCTGAGCTTCGCTGGCTTGGACTTCGACAAGCTTCTGTCTGAGGAAGGCGACCTCGTGCTCTTTGCTTGGCAGATTGGATTGCTGCTGAGCGAGCTTGGTGTGAATCCTTTCAAGACGCTCCTTCGGCTTGTAGAGCCAGACACGAGAAATCTTGCGCTGCGAAGCATTGCCGCGGAGACGCGACTTCTTGAGCAAGCCGGGTTGCTGTGCGGTGTCTTTTCGTTGTTTCTTTTTGGAAGGTTCGCTGAACCCTTTGCTTTTGCGTTCTGCTTCGATCTGCGTCATGAGCTCGTCCTCATCCATGTCTTCGACGCTGGCGTCCTGGACGACCAAGTGGAAGCGTGGATCTTTGAGATCCACTGTCTTGTCGTAAGCGTTCTTGAACTCCTTCTCGAAGAAGGTACGACTAGGTCGCTCGGGATCCCAACGCGCTGGAAGCTCAATCTCAGCCGAGCTTGAGTTTTCCTGCTGACCCGATGCAGAAACAGAGTGCTTCTGCAAAAGTTGTCGCAGCCAGTAGTGAGCCTCCTCCCACGTCAAATTGACCCTGGAGGCAGAGTCTGTGCCGCCCCAAGCCTGCTCGTCTTCATTGTTCGCTGGAGATGGAGAGCTCGAAGCTCCGGCGTTGGCGTTGGCGACAGTGCCGAGATTGAAGTTGGAATCGTCCTGCTGCCCTACATCGTCTGGCATGACCTTATCGGTATCAGTACCTGCTTCTGCTTCGGTCTCGTCCCTGCCTTGCTGCACACTTTCGGCCGATGAGACCTGCGCACGTTGCTGATCATCGAGAGCTATGTTGGTGATTCGCAAAGCTGCATTGAGCACTTTGCATATCTCGTCGGAGTCCTGCAGCACCCTTCGACCTCCACGCCACTTGCGCTTGTCCACCTCGGCGTCGTAAAAGTCGTGCCCCCACACAAGCTGCAGTGCGCTGGTGACGACTTGCATGCGGATATTGTCAAGCTCGGATTGAGCCTGCTGACAGAACTGTCGGAAGAGCTCAGCGAAGGAGAGTCGCGAATAGTTGTTGCTGAACATGAGCTGTTCTGCGATCTGAGGATGGCTGAGCAACTGGCGGAGACTGACCAGGAAGGTCGGTTGAGGAACAGTGGCTGCACCCTGCACTGCCCTCTTTGCGTATGTCTCTCGATATTTGTTCACCTCCTTGTCATAGAAGAGCTTCTCGACGTGCTTCAGATCGATCTCGAGGACTTCGCTATTGCAGGGTGGCAGTGTGATCTCTTCCTCGACGTGTGCTTGGGTGTGTCTCCAGACGAAGCGCGGCAAGATGGAGCGCAAACGACGAATACCTTCGACGCAACCCTGAGTAAAAGGATCCTGTAGGATGTCACGGAAGAAGCGAGGAGCTGCAAACGGATCGTGGTCGAGGAAGGCAAAGATACCTTGAATGTCGCGGATACCTTTGGTGACAGGCGTGCCCGTCACCATCCAGCAATTGCTTCTCCAGAGCTCGTGGACCATCTCTGTTGCCTTGCCCGAGGCTCCGGCGACAATTTGCGCTTCGTCGAGAAGGATGCGCCAGAACAACACTTCCAGCAAAGGCGTTCGAACCTGGGTCCCAGTTCTAGGGACACGCTTGCTTTCGGCAAGCTGGAAGGCTAGCTCCTCATACGTGGCGACGATGATCTCCGGCTGTGTGAGTCTTTCCTTCGCCATTGCGCGAACATCGTCGCGTAACGATTCGGTGTCCCAAGCAAAGTCTGCGTGCCTGTAACGCACGACGCCCGGTTGCTGTTCGGGATCGTCGTCTGAGTCGATAGCTTTGCCCCTCGAGATAGCGGTGCTAGTGGTGATGCGACTGCGGAAGTGCTTGCGAATCTCGTCCATCCACTGCTCAACCAGTGCCGCCGGACAGACGACCAAGGTTGCTCTAGAAATAAATGGACGCTCAGATGGATCCATGTCGGCGACCATGCGGGCACTACGCGACATGTCATATGAGAGAAGGTCCGCGTGATCGGGACGAGGATGAGCTGCGATGAGTGACAAGCTCTCGATCGTCTTTCCAAGACCCATCGCTTCGCAGAGAGCACCACCAGGCTCGCTTGGACGGCATGTGAATCGACGGAAACTCAACATACCAGAGACATGGTCAAAGTAGAAGGTCACATGGACCGGGTCGATGAAGGGCTCTCGCTTTAGCATGGAGATACCCTCACCGATGCCTGTGTCGGCGTCCTCGCTCTTGACGGTGTTCGCCTGATCGTTTGCTGTTCCAGCAGAACCGGCGGCAGCCTGCGCGGCTTTGACGTTGACGTTGCGCCGAGATCGAGAAAGACCGCGCTGCATGGCATCAACAAGTGCCAGGCGCTCAGCCTCGAACTGCAAACGTTTGCGCGTGATAAGACTGGCGTCCTTGCTTCGTAGCGGGAACCAATTTGGCATCAGATGGCCAACTTCCTCGTCTAAAACTGTCTCTCGCTTGATCATCCACGCCACGCAGCGGGCTTGGTATCCGAGCAGCGGCGTTGGGATGATATCGGCTGGTGGATGGACCATCGGACCGTTGGGGGGCGGACGGCATGCCTCGAGAAGACTGGCAATGTTGGTGTCGAGAGGCAAGAGCCTGTCCGACGTCGGATCTCCGAGCTTTGGATCCGACCCCGAGATCTGAGCTCCCAAGGAAAGTGCGTTTGGCTTCAAACGGACAGGCTCTGGTCGGGCGTAGTCATTATTGCAATGGGGACAAGAGCATTCGCGCTGCTCCTCGTTACCATAAATGCTGTAGGTTCTTCGAGGACCGCTGGAAGCCTTTTTGCGTTTCTTGTTCGAGGATTTACTGGGTGATGGCAAGTCGACTGAGTCGATCTTGTCGAGCACGAGATGGCGGGCAAGCGTCGATTGTTTCGACGGCAGGTCATAGTAGGAGGCGTTGTGATCCCAATAGGTATGGGCGTGCATGTCGATTTCGATAAAGCTGTGCGGCCAATCAACGATGGCGGGGATCGCAAGACGGAGCGCGCGGGCTAGACCCAGCGAGCCCTCCGCGCCGGAGTCTTTGAGATCGTCGTTGGAGGCCACAAAGCCGTCGACAGCTGAGCTCCCAAGACCGTATTGCAGCGCTGCGGGCTCAAGGCCGACTTGAACGCTCAACACGCCGAGTAAGCGGGTTGAGGGGATCTCTCGTCTTTGCATCATTCCGCGCTGTGCCGCCACGATTCGTTCCTCGTTGTCCAGCTCCCATTTGCTTTTTGGAGGGTCAATGACAGTCGAAGCCGAGCGTCCGGTGCGTTGTTCGAAGGCGTCCGGACCGAGCACCTCCGTCCCTGGTGGAAGAAAGGGCGGTGCAAGCGTCACTTCTCCGTAGAGCTGAATCCACTCTTTGCTCACCAGGCTGGGATCCATATGAGCTAGCGGATGAGCGGTGTCCTTGAAACATGAGGGGACGATGTACCCGAGAAGCAGAGTGTCCAAGTCGTCTTCGTCTTCGTCTTTGTCTCCCTGATCATCGTCGTTGCCGGACAGAAAAGAGAAGCCAGCCGAGAAAACAACTTCAGTCTTGACTCGCTGTTTGGTTTTGAACTGAGCAGGCTTTTCAGGCACGTAGTCGGGAGGAGCCAAGGCGACGACCGCATAAGCCTGGAGCCGCTTGACGGAATCCGAGCTGAACGTACGGCCAGCTGCATCGCGAGGCAAGAACAAGTCGTTGTTGGTAATGAGCTGAGGGACGAACTCGACTTCAAGATGTATGCAGTCTGGTGATTTGGTCTTGCCTTTGCGGCTCTTGGAATTGGCGTTGTTCGTGTTATGCTGTGCCTCTTTGGTTGGTGGATATGGAGCAGTAGCCTTGCTGGGAGCCGCCGAGGCTTTGATTGTCAAGGCTTTCCCGCGAGCTGGCCGCCGGGGCATATTGTCATAGCTAGCATCGCTTGAGCTTTCTTCTTGCTTAAGCGTGGAGTTTGCTCGATCAAAAGAGGCCTGGTCTTGCTCTTCAGCTTTTCGACAAAGGTCCGGGAACCACTGCTGCAACGTTTGTCTCAAGCTTTCGTAGGGGGCAGGGTTGAATGCGGATACTTTGGAACCGTAAGGAGTGTCGAGTTCGAGAGGAAGGTCAAAGTCGTAGAGCGGAATGGTTGACACATCGCCATGGTGCAAAGAGGCCGGTACCGAGCTCTCCGACGCTTGAGGCTTATCAGCAGAGGTTTCGGCCTTGGAACGTTCCACCTTGACAGCGGAAGACCTCGAAGGAGCAGCGGACTTGCTCGGTCCTTGCTTGCCCTTGCGGGTTGGAGCTTTGGCGGCGAAAGCGGTTGCTGGCGACGATGATGCTCTCTTGCTGGCTTCGCTCGCCTTTCGACGGGTCTGGGCCACCATCGCTGATGATGAGCTCGCCAGCTAGCTTCAGCTGGGCGAAAACCAGATTAGAGAAAAGTGAGAGGAATGGAGAAGTGGCGTTGAAGGTTTTGTTCTTTGATCGAAGAAGGTGAGAGATGGAGATGGTGGAAGTTGTGGTGATGGTGGCGGTTCGAGATGAAGCGGAAAGGTGCGGAAGACGCGGTGGCTGAGTTGTTGCGGGGCCTGTGAGTGAGAGAGGGTCTGTTCGCAGCCAGCGAGCAAACGTGGGCTGCAACAGAGGGAAGCAGTTCAGCTACAGTGACTTAGCAGCTGCTATTGTTGTGATTATAGGAGGGTGGGTGTGATCACAGCGAAGAAGAGATCCGAGCGTCGAGAAGTGGACACGCTCACGGCCGACGAACCTTGTTTTGCGTGCTCGAGCTTACACTCCTTCGACTTTACCGTCTGCTTGCGCCACTAGTCTTGCTTCTATAAGGAGGTTCATGTAAGTCGCCCTTCGCGCCCTGCTGTGGTCACAACGTTCTTGTTTCACACCGATACTGAAAGCTGACATAATCCCCCTTGTCGGCTTCTCGGCTTCGTCAAAAACGGTTTGTTTCCCTCCAATTCCGTCGATTTTCGGGATCTTGCCGACTTCAAGAAGCCCTTTAGAACTTGTATGCGGCAGTCTTATGCTTCTTGAACTCTGACATGAAAGGAAACAAGTGGGCTGAAGGGAAAAAAAAAAAAAAAAAAAAAAAAAAAAAAAAAAAAAAGGCTGATTGACAACCGTCGGATGGCCCGAGAAGAAGCTTCCGAAAACTGAGCTCAGGGTCCAACGCTTGCCGCACAGTTTGCTGCTCCGCCACTGCGCGCATGTGGGTGTGGGTGTGCGGAGATCTGGACACCTGCCAGGCACCTAATCAATTCTTCTCTCCAGCCCTTTGTTCAACGCTGTCCCTCGATCACCTTTGGGTTTTCTTTGCCTCTGCTTTCAAAGCTGTTTCACTTGAATATACGATAATAAATGTTCTCAAACTTCTGGCTCCTATCAGACTGTGCGAGAGATCCTAAAGACTTTGAGAAATGCAATGCCTTGTTACAGCCTAACATCAGGCACATATGCCTCCACATGTTGCACATCAACGGCGCGTGCCTCAGGGTCAAAATTTCGCTCGGCTTTCGGAAACCCCTTTTAGCCTAGAAAGCCTTTTTCCTGCCTGAGTTTTGTATCAAGATTCTCCGCTGCAGAAAAAAAGAAAGTCAGCTCTGAGCATGCAACACCTTTCATTTTCCACTCGAATCTTCGGTCCACATGCAACCAACAACATCTTCTTGATTCGACGAACCATTACTGTCGACCGCAGCGGCATACAGGATGTCCAGCCGGGAACCAATTCGGGGCTCCGGTCGAGGCCGCGGCCGAGGTCGAGGGCGTGGCTCCCTCAGCTCAGGCTCACGCGGAAGAGGGACTTTTGCACAGCATCGACAACCTCGAGATTCAGGCTACGGCAACCGACAGCATAGATCCAGCAACACCAACGGTAGTGATGTTCTGACGGCGAGTATCCCTCGCGGCTCGCTCTGCTGTGACTATGTGGAAGGGAATTCGCCGTCCACATCGGCAGCCCCGTCGTCTGAGCCATATCGATGCCCTTTCCGAACACATTCTTCACTCGCACTCATGCTACACAAGGCGGATCGTCACCTGATTTATCCGGAAGGAGGCATCGAAGGGTTCAAGCGGCATGACCCGATGCTCATTGCCGAAGAGAGGGAACAGCAGCGTCGAATGCGTCAGAATCAGAGGCGCAATCCTCATCCTCTCCCGAGCAAACCTTCGCAGAATTGTGCTTCCAAGCAATCACATGACCGCAACGACGACAGCAGCGATAGTGACAACGCAGGGTCTGATAGCGATTCAGGTTCGACCACTTCCGACGATGACGACAAAAACAGCGCTTCCGACGCAGGTGAAGTTGCTGCAGCACAAGCCAAGACGGACGAAGCCAACCAAAAGACGCGAGCGCTCGACGGGCCTGCCGATGCCACGATTTCAGGTCTCAACATTCAGCTCAACTCACCCGAGCTGATCGCCGAATGGATCAATCAGCGCAAGAAGAGATGGCCGACGCAAGACGTTGTGAAGCAGAAACTCAAGGAGAAGGAAGAGAGGCAACGCAGGAGTGAAGCGATTTACGGTCCTCGTCCGCAGCCGTACGGCAAGCGTCCACGAGAGGAGGCTGCATCCGCGACAAGGCCTCTGGAAAGCACGCAAAATTCAGCCACAGCAATCGATGAAGCTGCTTCTGCGAAGAGGCTGAAGGCTGACAGCACAGCGGACGAGACTGGTGCAAAGGAAGGAAGCAGTGTTGACCCTGTCGGTCCGGCCGAAATTGCAGCAGAAGAAGATGGAAGCGACTCGGATGACGATGCGCCCGAAGAGGTGTCCTCGAAGGTACCCGCTCTAGCCTTGGAAGAAGAAGCACCAGCATCCACCAGCGGTGCTGCACAAGACAACAGACAGGATCGCCGCCCCATCTGCACCCACTTTTGGCAAGGTCGATGCAACTATGGTGATCGATGCAAGAAGCGTCACGACACAGCTTGCGACTCGTCTGCGTCGAGCCTTTCAGGACACCAACAGCAACACCGCCAGCTACTGAACGGACCGGCCCGCAGGTCTCATCCTCGACCGCCTCCTGTCAACCCATTTGATCAGCCAGACCTTCTGCGACAACTGCTCAGAAACGAGATCGAGAAGCACGTTGATGCCGTGGGACAGGCGATCAGATTCATTGTGGACAATGACATGCTACTGCACGTAGAGACGGAAGAGGCGCAGGCTGAAGAGCAGAGAAAGAGGCGGCAGAAAATTCAAGTGCTGCCCTCAAGCAATGAGAGCACCTGCAATACAGCGGATGCTACAAGTGGAGCGGAGAAGCTCGAAGAAGCTACTTCACCAGCGCTGCCGGAAGAGCCCGGTCTCTGCGAACCACTGATCAAGGGCGCAATGGCAGTCGTCGAGTCCTCAGCTTCTGACGCAAAGCGAGCCTCACTCTATCGTCCACCTTCACCCACACTCCGACCCCTCTCCGAGCTCCAATACCCACCTGAGCCAGATCCACTCATCTTCCTCGACCCTCTGCGTCGTGACGATCCAAAACCACTCATGCCCTCACAACTCATTCGCATTGCCAAAGACTCCGTCTTGCGCTCCATCCTTACCCCTTCGACACCTCTGCATCCGAACGGTCACAAACCAGCTTCGCTTGAACGCGCCATCGTTTCGCTCGATGCACTTCCCTCCGATCTCTACCGTAATGCGGCTATCGAGATGATTCTCGGCATTGCTTCTTCCAACACTTCCAGCTCGAATCCAGCTGGAGGATTAGTGGTGACTTGCAAAGATGGCAGGAGAAAGGTAAGCGAGACGGATCTGTTCAGGATGGGATTGAGAGTGGGAGGAGATGAGGTGTTGGCGATCAAGAAGCTGGCTGACCGATTGAGCGTGCTGTTGGACTCGAGTCTGCAGTTGGACGAGGTAGGAGAGGCGGATTGGGCGCTGTTGAGCCGCGAGCGAAGGGATGAGATGCGCAAGCTGCATTATGAGAGGGAAGCCGATAGATTGGATAGATTGCGCAAGCTCGGCATTGATGTATGACGACTCGCACAGTCCAAGCATATCACTCACTCACAGCAGACACAATACACGTTCTTATAAGCACACGTCGGGGACTCTGAACAAGTATAGTTGATTGCAGCATCGCGCTTTCGCCAGTATAACGAATGCGACGCTCAAGCCTTGATGGAGCGATACTTGTCGGTCGCCTTTACAAGCTTGTCTGTGATGCCAGGCTCCTTAGCTGAGTGACCAGCGTCCGGCACCATGTGGAATTCAGCCTCAGGCCAGACCTTGTGCAACTCCCATGCAGTGGTTGCCGGGCAGACCACATCGTATCTGCCCTGCACAATCGTCGCTGGGATGTGCCTTATCTTGTCGACGTTCTCCTTCTTGAGCAGCTGGCCGTCCTTCATCCAGCCTTCGTTGATGAAGTAGTGATTCTCGATTCTTGCAAAGGCCAACGCCCAGTTGTCCTCTTCGCCCTTGGCGAGATTGTTCTCATCAATGTAGAGCTTGGACGTTGAGTTCTCCCAAGTGCTCCATCTGCGAGCGGCGTCTAGACGGACAGCAGAGTTGTCGGAGGTGAGACGCTTGTGGTAGGCGGTGATGAAGTCGTTGCGCTCGGCTTCGGGGATGCCGTCGCGGTAAAGCTCCCATTGTTCGGGGAAGAGGTGGGATGCACCGTTTTGGTAGAAAAATTGAAGCTCGGACTTGCGCAATGTGAAGATACCACGGAGGATCAGGGCGCTGACGCGGTCAGGATGGGACTGAGCATAGGCGAGGGAGAGCGTAGAGCCCCAAGAGCCACCAAAGACGTGCCACTTGGAGATGCCGTGCTTCTCGCGAAGTGCTTCAATGTCGGAGACGAGATGCCAGGTAGTGTTGTCAACCAAGTCAGCGTGAGGGGTGCTCTTGCCTGCACCACGCTGGTCGAACGAGAGAATACGGTAGTGAGAAGGGTCGAACCATCGTCGTTCCTCGGACCAGATTCCTCCACCAGGTCCGCCGTGAAGGCAGACGATGGGGTAGCCGTCCTTGTTACCGCTCCATTCGTAGTAGATGGTGTGACGATCATCCACTTTGAGTTTACCGGTTTCGAAGGGTTCGATGGCAGGGTATGGCTGGCGCAATGAGTCTTTGTAGCCGCAGAGCGAGCGAGCGGCCTCCGAGTAGTCGACGACATCAGCAGCGTGCAGGCCGAGCTTGGTCTTGTTGTCTGAAGCTGACATGTTTACGGTGAAGCTGTGAAAGAATACCTTCTTGGGAAAAAAGAGGAAAGCTCGAGCGAGCGCTGGTCTAGCCTGAAGGCTTCGTCTTTTAAGAAGTGTCCAAGTTGATATGGTGCGACCTAGTTGAGTCCCCTGTTGACGGAGAGGACGAAGCGCAAAGGTCATTGACGTCTAGAAAGAGGACAGGAGAGACTCTGATTCCTTGACCGGCGGCTCAGCTTTGATCTACACACTACGCTGACTGGGTTGTGACTCTTCCCGACCACAACACACATCTTGCGCAAGCCTTAATCTCGGAAGAGAGTCTTCTTTCACACCTCTAATTTTGACAAGTTGGCTCGACCACCAAAGCAAGGCCAGGTCTAGTTTCCCAAGCAGCTCTGATTTTGGAATCATTTGTTACATCGCACAAACGCAAAGTCAAGAATTCGAGATAGGCTCGATCGCAGTGGCATCACAGATGCCGTCTGTTGATACATCAACAGTACTAGCAGCTTATGGCTTGATATCGACACAATCCTCTAGGCTGCTCAGGTGGAGGTAGAACAAGAGGAAAGAGCAGTAGAAGAGGAGCAGAAGTGTAAGCGAACTACTATCTATCGTCCATCATTGACGTTTGAAAAAACATCTTCGGCTGATAGCGAAAGAAGGCCCCCACGCCGAAGGTATCTAGTCTTCGGTGTCCCTTAGGACGGTTGATCTTCGCTCGATTATTATGCCAAAAGACGCATTGCTCGCGAGCGAGCCTTCTTCTTTTGGGATAAGGAATTCAAGCGGGGTCGAAGCTGGGTAGCAACGATAGGGAAGGCAAGGGAGGGGTTTGGAGGCAATGAAGGAGAATACGGAAAGGAAAGAACACAGGACGACACAATACGATAGATGTAGCGCAAGTGCCGAAACGACCTTTGCGCGATGAGGGAACTAGGTATGTTGATTTAGTTGTACAGATGTAGATGCTGGAGATCGTGATACTGTTATTGGACTGCTGATTGGATTCATCGAGAAATCCGGGTATGCTGGTAATACAATGTGTCATGGACGAAGCCGGACGCGTTGAAACGAGACGAGCTGAAATGCTGCGGACGAGGTCACTGATGGAGATGAGGAAAGCTAAGCTTTCTTGGCTCGCTTGGATTCGGACTCCTGGATCTTCTTCTCCTTGATCTGGCGGTAAGCCTTGATGGCCTTCTGGCGCTCTTCTTCAAGGATGCGTTGCCTAGCCATGCTAGGCTCTAGGACAGGATCAGCACCTGCAGCGAGCTTGCGTTTCTTGCTGTTAGCGGGTGAAGCAGTAGCAGTAGCAAGCTTCTCAGGTACCCGACCCTTATGACGGGCCATTTCTGCCTGCTTGACCTTGCGTTCAGCTTCGTCCTCGTCGTTGCCGGTGATCTTGGCGATCAACTTGGCCTTCCTCGTCTTGGCTTGTACCGACTCGCCACGCGGCGCGTGTGTAAGGGTGGGGGGAGCTTGTACGACGTCGTTGACTTTCTTAACCTGACTGGCTTTGGCAAAGTTCTTGATCTCGCCGGTCTGCTGGATTGCCTGTCGTTGTCGTTTGAGATCGAGCTTGGAAGGTTGGCTGGCTTCCAGTGCTGCTGCTTTGTCCGCTTTGGCCTTGCGTGCCGACTGCTCCTGTTCAGCATCCTCCGGATCGGCGTCTGGGTCGATGCCAGCCTTGCGAAGCTTCCTGCGTTCACGCTTGCGAGCATTGATGGCTGACCGAGACGCAGAACGGAACGAGGCATGGATATCGGAAGCCATGGCTTGCTCTACACGAGCATTGAAATCGCGCATCTTCTCGCCTGGTCGAATGGTGAGTTCAGTTGCAGCCTCTTGCTCCGAGGCTTTCGCTTTGCCCTTTGCTTTGGTGAGCGCATGCTGCTCGACTTTCTTCTTTGCTTGAAGCTTTGCGCGATATGCTTCTTGCATTTTGCCGCCTTGCAAGATGCGCATGGCACCCTTGGGCATCTCGGAGAAGAAGCCGTCATCGGAGCTGGGAGCCAAATCCTTGCCGATCGAGAAGCGCTTGGCCACTCGATCGGAGTGCTTTGCTCTCTTATGAGGCATGTTCGGTTGTACTGATACAGCCTAGCTCGCTCTAAGTTGACGAGCAAAGCGTTGGCAATGTTTTGATGACTAGGTATAAGGGGTGGGTCGCCAGAAGAAGAGGCACGAGAGAGCTGTGCGCAACTTCTTGCTGATTTGCCGAAAATTTTCGCATGGTTGCAGATGGACACTTTCTTCTCTCTTCTCATCAGCCTGCGGCAGATCAGAAATGCAACGAAAATTACTGTAGTTACAGCGTTTTATCGGAATTCGGACATTTCTCTGTTCAGGGAAGCGAGACTCGTCAAGCCGAAAACAGCTTAGAGTCGGCCGGGTCTGTGAGGCTCTCACAGCATCTTGACACAGAGTCATTGTGCTTGGTCTGAGGCAGACAATCGTCGCTGAGCTCTTGAGGAGGGAAGTGCAGGCAAGTCGTCATCTTTTCTTTTCTTTTCTTTTCTTTTCTTTTCTTTGATGATAGGAAAGAGCATGTGGCCTTGGTTGGCTGTCGATAAGAGGATCGCTTGACCTTCCTCTAAAGGGAATTGGACCTGCCTCTAAAGGTAATCGAGCATGATTGGACTGGTTTTCCACAAGACCCTTTCTTTTGTTCTCGCTCTGATCTGCGTCTTAATTTGCCCCGGGTTTCGAGTCAAGCCGTCTTGTCCGCTTCCTTTTGGTGTGTCGGTCAAGTGGACACTGGAAGAAAGGCAAGCGGGCCTCCACGACTGGTCTCAAACCTGCATGGGAGTGCGATTTGAGAGGAGCTTCTGCTTGCCACTTTCGAATGCTGCTGTGCATGTGTGTGGCATAACTTATACGCTGACTTCATTCGACCACACCAAGGCTTCAGCTTGACCGCGAAGTTAACTATCTCCTTCTTCGCCTCCATCATCCAAGAATCAACCTGGTCATCGAACTATCTGGACTTGCGAAGATGATGGCATCACGTCCCGTATCAGCCGTCTCGTCGGTCCTTAGGACGGCTTCTCGCAGTGGTGTCGCTTCTTCATGGCAGCAACTTCCTCGTCACCTCGCTGCCCGTGCTGCGCAAGACTCGCTGAGCGTCAGCAGCATGCGACAACTTCACTCCACCTCTATGCGTGCCGCTGATGCCAAGAGCGAAGCTATGAGCTCTCCGACGACTCCTCTCACCGACTCGCACTCCAAGACGGGCTTGTACAATTTTCATGTCAAGAACGGCGGCAAGATGGTACCTTTCGGCGGCTATCTCATGCCTCTCACCTACGGCGAAGTTGGTCAAGTAGCATCGCACCACCATGTCCGAACTCACGCAGGCCTCTTCGATGTGGGTCACATGGTTCAGCACAGATTCAAGGGCCCTGGAGCGCTCAAGTTCCTTCAGCACCTTACACCGGCTTCGCTCACTTCTATGCCCGCTTTCAGCTCGACGCTCTCGGTCCTCCTCTCCGAGCAAGGTGGGATTCTGGATGACTTGATCATCACCAAGCACTCTGACGGCAGCTTCTACGTGGTCACCAACGCAGGTTGCCGTACAGAGGATCTGGCCTGGTTCAAGAAGCACCTCGATGCGTGGAAGGGCGACCAGGTGCATCACGAAGTCATGGACGGTTGGGGACTGCTCGCTCTTCAGGGTCCCACCGCTGCCAAGGTGCTCGAGAAGCTGGCGGGTAGCTTTGACCTCAACACACTCACCTTCGGCAAGAGCGCATTTGTGCCCCTAAACATCAATAGCCAGCAGGTCGAATGCCACGTCGCTCGAGCCGGTTACACAGGTGAGGATGGGTTCGAAATCTCGATTCCTCCCGCATCGACAGAGCAGGTTGCCGAAGCATTGTTGGCAGACGGTGAGGTACAGCTTGCCGGATTGGCAGCACGAGACAGCTTGCGTCTCGAAGCTGGTATGTGTCTCTACGGACACGATCTGGATGCAACGGTCAGCCCGATTGAGGCCGCGCTCGCATGGTGTGTTGGCAAGGATCGACGAGCGGACGCTGACTTCTTGGGAGCAGAGCGTGTGCTCAAGGAGCTCAGGGAGGGACCACCCCGTCGACGTGTTGGTCTCTTTGTCGAAGGAGGCATTGCTCGAGAGGGTGCCGAGATCTTCTCGCCTGAAGGCAAGGTGGTCGGTCGTGTCACATCCGGTATCCCAAGCCCAACGCTCGGCAAGAACATCGCGATGGCATTGGTGGAGAATGGTCAGCACAAGAAAGGCACCAAGCTCAAGGTCGAGATCCGAAAGAAGCTGCGTGATGCCCAAGTGGCCAAGATGCCGTTTGTCGAGAACAAGTTCTTCCGAGGTTAAAGGGAATTCCACGCACTGCATGTTCAACACTGGCCAATAAGTTAACGGCCACCTCTCTCTCTCTCTCTTTCTCTTTCTCTCTCTCTCCCTCTCTCTCTCACACACACACTTTTGGCTTGTTCAACCACGGACTGTAACATCGTTGAAAGGGCTTCATGTGAATTGATCACATCAGACAGAATGTCATCGCACTTAGAATAGCAGAGAGTGAGATGAAACTTGCTGGAAGAGAGTCCGTGCTGCCGAACGGTAAGTTTGACGGTTTGAAATGTTCATGAGAAGCCTGATTCAGAACAAGTGCCAAGTAACAGAAGGATATACGGAATGAATGGCTCGAGCGATAAGGCAGCTCTGTTTGGCTGTGCTGGAAAGTGTGGGACAGAAGAAAGTTCTCGTTGATTCATCACGCCGCTGGTTTCTGCTGTGCCAAAATTAACGTAGCGCCGCGCAGCTTCGCGTCAAGCCTATTGTCAAGCCATGATGCGATATTAGTCACACTGACATCTCAATCTGCAGCATCGATATCTCACTGCTCGACTACGACTCAGCGAAAACAGTCACACCCCCCAATTCCATCAGACTTTCCGCACACATCGCCCTCATCCATCACCACCATCTAACATCGTAGACACTCCCGACTCGACTCGGCTCATCCGACCTCCTTTTGGGTCAAGCTTTTACCACGCGGAATTTTTCAGCTGCCCATACAAGCTAAGCAATAATGGCCTCGTCTTCGACACAGCAGCAGGCAACTTCGCCCAAGAGCGATCCTGTCACCGCTGCTCAGCAAAATTCAATCGAGGGCCTCTGCAAAGCCGCACCACAGGTTGAAGGCGCCAGTCTCATCGTTGTCTCCAACCGTCTTCCCGTCACAATCAAGGTCGACCCTTCCGTTCCAGGCGGCTACACCTTCTCCCTGTCTTCAGGCGGTCTCGTCTCAGCGCTTTCAGGATGCAAAAAGTCCATGAACTTCACCTGGATTGGATGGCCCGGTCTTTCGGTTCCTCCCAAGGACGAAGAGTACATCGAGAAGCGTCTCCGCGAAGAATACAGCTGTCAGCCCGTGTGGATCTCAGACGAGATCGCAGACCGTCACTACAATGGCTTCTCCAACTCGATCCTCTGGCCCCTCTTCCACTACCATCCCGGAGAGATGAACTTTGACGAGACCAACTGGCTTGCTTATCGAGAGGCCAACTTGCGTTTTGCCGAGAAGATCCGCAGCATTGTACGACAGGGTGATATGGTCTGGGTGCAGGATTACCACCTTATGCTTCTGCCACTCATGCTCAGGACGCTTATCGAGGGAAGTGAGCAGCAGGGTCCAACATCACAACGTGAGCTCGAGCATGTTGGTCATGGTGTTGATGGTACGCTCCAACTCCAGGATGATGACCCACTTGCAGCACCTGCAACAGATCGATACGACTCTATCCGAGGCGCTCGACCCAGTACACCACCCGAGGACAACAAAGATGACTACACTGGTCGAGGTGATGCCGCACGCAGCACAACTGCAACTGGCCGTGGTCTCGGCACCAGCGATGGCTCCAGCGGTCGAGGCTCTATCAAGATTGGCTTCTTCCTCCACACTCCCTTCCCATCTTCAGAGATCTACCGTATCCTTCCAGTTCGACGAGAAATTCTCCTTGGTATCTTGCACTGCGACCTCATCGGATTCCACACCTACGATTACGCCCGACACTTCCTTTCGTCCTGCACACGAATTCTCGGTCTTCCCACTATGCCCAACGGTGCCGAGTTCGAGGGTCGTTACGTTCACGTAGGAACGTACCCGATTGGTATCGAGCCCAACCAATTCGAAGAGGGACTCGAGCGCGACAGCGTCAAAGAGCGAATTAAAAGCTTACAAAGGCGCTTTGAGGGCGTCAAGATCATTGTTGGTGTTGATCGACTCGACTACATCAAGGGTGTTCCTCAGAAGCTTCATGCCCTCGAGACATTTTTGCAGGATCACCCTGAGTGGGTTGGCAAGGTCGTCCTCGTCCAAGTCGCCGTACCGTCGCGACAAGATGTCGAAGAGTATCAGAACTTGCGCGCCACAGTCAACGAGGCAGTTGGCCGCATCAACGGGCGCTTCGGTACTGTCGAATCCATGCCCATCCACTTCCTCCACCGATCGGTCAGCTTCGACGAGCTCTGTGCGCTGTACGCTATCAGTGATGCATGTCTCGTCACCTCGACTCGTGATGGTATGAACCTCGTCTCTTACGAGTACATTGCATGTCAGCAAGAACGAGCAGGTGTCATGATCCTCTCCGAGTTTGCTGGTGCTGCCCAGTCTTTGAATGGTTCGCTCATCTGCAATCCTTGGGACGCCTTCGCTGTGTCGGATGCCATTTACGAGGCTCTTACAATGCCAACCAACGTGAGGAGGGAGAACTTCGAAAAGCTCAGCAGATACGTCAAGAAGCACACAGCTAGCTGGTGGGGTCTTAGCTTTGTCAATGATCTGAAGAAGATCAAGGTCGATGATAGTGGTGCCGAGTCAAGACCTCGAAGCTAGTCGACTTTCTTCAGTCTGGTTTGTACAATCGATAGTAGCATTGCAATAGTGATAGTTTGTTCGTGAATGGCCTGTGAGATCTTGTGAGAACCAGCGACTTCCCGAGCATCTGCAGGCCTGAGGTTGAACGGAGTCGTATTCGCTTGACAGTGCAACTCTCAACTGTCCAAGCGGCCTCCTGTGAACAGGACCGCTGGGAACAGCAGGGTCGATTCTTGCCCAAGACGAAAGTAACGCATCGGGGCTAACAAAGCTTTGAAACGACAGCGTCTCTGAGGTCGAGGATGCCCTCCTGCTTCTTCGACACAAGAACGGCAGTATTATCGCAAACGCAGACCCGAGAATCGTGTACATACGTGTACTCCTGGCATCACTCTCCACAGCTTTCCGAGCTGACGTGCGAGCAGCTCGCGGTGATCAAGACGCCCACTCTCGAACGTGAAGTCCGTTGCTCGACGGACACGTCTCACTTGTCAATTGTTCGACAGAGACTTACCCCGACGCCGTTACTCTGAGACGACGGGTTCCAAGTTCGCCTCGTCATGGAGGCAACAGGGACAGCTGGAAGCTGATGGTCTCATTGCATATCTCTGTCTGTCAACGAAAGAAAATGTCAAAATGTTAGTAAACACGCTATCACGTTCTGAATAATCAACAGGAGCAATGATGCCATAGATTCGAACAAGGACATAGACTAAGGTATGAAAACAGCGGCAAATGAACTATCAGCATCCATCTCGGCGGCTTAGGACAGGACACGACCGAGCAGTGGCGTTACAGTCTCCAAATCATGCCCTGGAACGACCAACCCGCCAGTCGTCTTCTCCAATCGTTGCAACCTTTGGTTCGAGTTGAACCATGCCGGATGGTCTCTAGCCAGCCAACCTTGCGGGATACCAGGTTTGTAGTTCTCCATGACGTGGGCATGGTTGCTGACAAAGAGGAACGTGCCGTCGTTCTCCAGATTGATCTGCATACCGATCAGACCATCGGTGTGACCGGGAAGATGGTGCAGAGTGATCCCTTGAGCAAAATCGATTGTGCGATCATCGAACGTCTTCCAATTAAGCTCATCTAGGCTTAGGTACCAGCTTAAGTACACTCCAGCGTCTGCCTTTGTAGCTACGCTGAATAAGGCACTCTTAAGCTCCCTTTCATGTACCCAGATGGGGACGTCGGTCTTGCGGAAGTGCTCAAGACCTCCGGCATGGTCTAAGTGGAGATGGCCGATGATGACCTGCTTGACGTCCTTGATGTTGTTACCTGTCTTGACGATCGCGGCCTCGAGCTCATGTTCGGGCTCATACCTGCTTCTGGCGAAGATGTCATTGAGGGGGGCGCCCCAGACCTCTGTTGTGAGAGGAAAGATATTGCACGGAGGCAAGAGGCGTCATCAGAATCAGCAGGAAGGCGTCTAGACTGGAAGAAGCGATCAAAACTTACCCGGGTAGTTCTTACCGCAACCAGTCTCCCACAGAATGAGGCCCTCGGTGGGATGTTCGATGAGGACAGAATACATAATGAGGTCTCGACGTTCGGGCTCAGCGGGTCCCTTTGGGTTGCTCATGGTTGAGGTGTTGCCTCCGCGCTTGAACCAACCGGCATCGGCTTGAAGGTAGCCAAGGCAGATGACATGAGCCTTGGTACCCTTCGGGGCTTTGTTGAGGACATGAGGGAGGACGACGCCGTCGCGTGTCTGGTGCTGGCTGAACGACATTGCCGATGAGTGCGTCGAAAGGTTGAGATGATCAGGATGAGGGCCAAGAAGCTGCTACGTGGGGTCGCGAATATTTGGTGGGATGGAACAACAGCAAGGCGCGTTGAGGTGCTGGAGGAGGCTGTGATGGTCTCTTATTATATTCAACCGCCGAGTGTCGAGCGACATGCCCGGGGAGGTCTACACTCAGCTGGCTTTGCGCAAAAGCAGCTACCTTGAAGGTGGGAGTGTGTTCTTGTGTCGCATTCTTGGGCCGGGGAAACACACGAAAAGGAAGCCCACTCCAGGGCTGCAGGGCGAACATTGTAGCAAGCATAAAGTGTGGGTCCTAGCCTGTAATCGAGCACAGACCAGACCTTAGGGATGACAAACTCATCCCGTTGGACGAAGGACGAAGGAAAGTGCGGGGGAGACCATGACACTTCGCTCGTCCCAGCGTCTTTCGGTGCGAGGCTTCCGCTCTTCCTTGTGTGCGCGCTTAAGGTGGCTTCTGTTGTCTACAGCACTCCGACACAAAAGCCGCTCGTCATTCAGGGTCCGACCGAGTTGCTCACAAGGCCTCGCGGCTTGCTGCTTTTTTCAGATGGCTCACATCTCAGCACGACCTTTTGAGATTTTCACCTCACAAACGAAGGGACCGAGCAGATGCTAAGATATTTGAAAGCTGCGTTCTACTGTTGGCAACTAGAAAGAGCAACCCGATCTACAGTCAAGCAATGATGTCGTGTGTGTGTGTGTTGTACGACGTCTGCCGGTTGAACCTTTGACATTTCAAAAATCGCAGCATTGGCCCGTGCTGTCTTTCCGGGTAAAAATGAGCGTAAAAAAAAGTGACACAAAAAGAAGCAGGTCGAGCCTCTTTCGATGCCATCCTAAAGACTGCAGCTTTCCCTGCATTCTTCGGAGTTGGAGGGAAGCAAACCGTTCTTGACAAAGCCGAGGAGCCGACAAGGGGGATTATCGCATCGGCAAGGCTCGCTTGACCAGCCTATCGGAAATCGAGGCTAGAAAGCCATCCATTCGTATTAGCGTTCAGGGGCGTTGTCATTTGACTTGATGCAGAACCTTCATCGTGGATCGCAAAGTGGTGACCCGATCGACAGTTCGGGAGAGTGTTATCTGTTACACCGACACTTTCCACATTTTCTTCTTCTTTCGATCTGAAACCGCAGGTTCTGAAGAGCAACAAGGGTTCCGGCTTGGAAACAATGACCCGTAATGCTCAGAGCACACCCTTGGATTGCTCGACAACAGCCAAGATTGTCTCGTCGGCCAAAGGGATGATCACGTAGATAGAGACGGCAACGTCACGGTGTTGCTTTTCAAAACAATTCGTTCAAGACTAGGTGCAGGAAGGGCAGTAAAAACGAGATGCGAGCCGACGACTAACACAGCGCTCGGTCAGCTCTGCTGAAGATGACGATCCAGTGTGACGCCAAAGGACGACGCGAAGCCGATCTGATCGGAGATCAGGCAGGGCCGATCCGGTCAGAGGACCGACTCAATCAGAGATCGAGGATAACCGGTCTCAAGTCCCGCTCGTTGTCAGGCTGGATCATTAACTATAGCAACTCCCACATTCGGCATGTGCCACCCATATGTATATATATCAAGCTGGGAGCGCTAGGCTCTCGCCATGTTCACTTAGTCAATCGAGTATATTTGTTTCTGTCTATAACTAGCAGTGACATCGTAGTCAGACTCGACCCGATCGCCAGTTATCGGGACTAAACTTCAACAAGCTCTAGCAACGCCTTGATCGCAACCATACGCTACAAACTATGGAAAGGAGACTAAGAGGAAGAGGAAATGTAGGGGCATTAGGTGACTGAGCCATCGCCATGGAGAATGAGGGTGCCTACAAGAGGACAACCCGGCAAGTCAGCCAAAGATGCACCGTTGGTCTAGGTATATCCTTATTAGAATCCTACCAGCCAGAGACCATCGCCCACAGACCTTTTCAGGACTGACACGGCGTAGGCATCCGACTGGCTTCTCTCCAGTTCTCTTCCCGAAGGAGGATAATAGATGGCGAGGAGGACTCTATGAGGGGATATCCAGATACTTTGTTAAACGATGAAGAAGAGAAGGAAGATACAGCTCGGAGCTCTAAGAAGCTTTTGTACTTTCTTCGCAACCCCCGAAAAAATTGTGAGTCTCGACTGCGCTGAGACTTTTTTTATTTCTTCTTTTTTTTTTTTTTTTTTTTTATTTTTTAAAATTTCCTTTTTTCAGAAAACAAATGTTAGAGCTACAGTTAAAAACATGGAAATGAATGTTTTGACCTACAGCAGGAAGTCAAAGTGACGAAGGATCGGGCAAGATCGATCTAGAACGTAATCGGGAAAGCAGATCTGATCATGAATCAAGCGGAGCTGATCTGACTAGAGATCGGATACGACACAGTCCCGCTCGTTGTCAAGCTGGGTCATGAGATAGCATACTCCCACGTTAGGTATGAGCCTCACAAATGTATATATATCAAGCTGAGAACACTAGGTTCTCACCACGTTCATTAGTCAATCGAGTATACATGTTTCTGCCCTAAAGTAGTAGTGACATCGTACTCGGACTCTCCCCGATCGCCAGTTATCGGGACCAAACGTCTTCAAACTTCAACAAGCTGGTGTCAGAAAGAGAAGCGCGAAGAGAAGCCACGGCTGAGCCTTTTTGGTGTGTGTTTTCTTTTGATGCTCAGCTGCTTCGCTTGTTGCAACTCTCTGGAATTTGAGATTTTCGGAATCAACTGTCCGTTCGTCCAAAGCAACCCTTTGCTGGTGGCTACCTCTTAGCCACACTTCGACAACACCATCAAAGCCTTGGCCTAACGTCTCACCTCCTCACCTCTTTCGCAAGCGGCTTGAAGCATCCATATTACCCCGGCATCTCCGTCGATCGCATCGTCTGCTTGCTCGCGCTCACCATCGAATAGAGCCTTCTGTCGTCGATTGCCGAATGCAGCCACGACCGTAGAGATAGCCAGGTGCCTCTCCCTCAACACCTGCGAGACACTGTTGCCAAGTCAAACGAGGCAACTCCGCCTTTCAGTTCGGGCGTTTGGGTCTAGAGGGATAGACCAGCGCCCTGCCAACAAGCTAGATGCCCGCCGCGGCCTCTCGGCCCAGCGATGGGCCACCGTTGCCCGAAGCTATGAGTCCGGCGCCATCGCATCCTCTCTCCACGACAGCATCACCAGCAACAGTAGCAATGGCAGTATCAACCTCATCCTCAGCGCTGGCCTCATCGTCGACACCAGGACGACAAAGTCCAAAAGCACGCCCACGGGCATTGAATAACCAACACCATCCGTATCGTATAGAGCTTCTCGATCTTACTCCCGTCTCTGTCTCGCTGCTATGGTCCATTCGCCCTCCGCCTCTCAGTGCTATCCCACTAGAAGTGGTTAACTCGCAGCTGCGCAAGCGTGTCAAACCGCGCTCAGGCAACAGCAACAATCGCAGCTCCTCGCCAAACCGTACTTCTGCTAGAGCCACCGCTGTGTCACCTTCACCGACGTCGGCAACCGCAGCGGCAGCATCAAAGTCATCCAGGGCATCGCCATCAGCAGGGGCATCTGCTCCATCTTCTGATCGTAATGCGTCCAACGCAAGCAATGCTCCAGAGAACCCCATCTCCAAGCTCACAGAGGGTCTTGTTGCAACCCGCAGTCTCAACCGCAAAGTCACCAAAATTCGTCTTCGCGCGCCTCCCACTGTCGCAGCTCAGCCTAGGAGAAGCTCGCATAGCTCAGCACCATCCGACTCCGCTCACAATTCGGCCAACGACGACGAAGCCTGGCCCTCTGACGATGGAGCAACGGCCGTGGAAGACGAAGCTGGTTCTGCTTCTGACGCCTCTGATTCTGACTATGAAGGAGCACCCGACGCACGTCATCACGTCACAAGCGTCTTCAAGGACCGTGTTTCAGTCACTGTCAATGGTCACGACTGGTCGCACGTCTTGATGGGTGAGCGTGGCTCACATGAGGCAATCGTCGTCATCTTTGCACTCGAGCCCGAATCTGACTATGATATCCAGTTCCTCGTCAAGGGTGGTCAGGATGGTGCACACGATATCTTTCGTGCCTCGTTGCGCACTCGAGCCGAGCGCGACTCCTCGCGGTCCACCGATTCCCCTCCCACCATCCGATCCGCTTCCCCCTCACCACTCAGTCGTCTCGCCGCTCCCATACCCGAGCTCGCTGCCGTCGGGCCTGCCCCGCGGCGTCTCGCAGTCCTTCAATCCGAGCTCGATGCCAGCGAAGCTTTGAAAGCTTCTTTGATTGCCGATATGAAGAGGGCAAGGAAAGAGTCCTCAAAACAAGAGGCAGGTCTTCGACACGAAATTGACGCTGTCAAGCGAAGCATGGACCGTATGAGTGCCGTCGACCACCGCAGCCGGCAGAAGGTGCTTGCGCTGCAGGAGCTCATCAAGCAAACCACCATTCACACCAAGGAGATTCACGAGCAAGCCGAGGTCACAGAGAAGGAACAGCACGAATGGGAGGAGCAGGACGCCAAGCTTGAGGCTGACGTCGAGGCATTGCGGAAAGAAGTGGAAGCTGAAGAAGCAGCGACACAGGCCGAATGGGACAAGGATGAAGCAACTATTGCAGCGCTCGAGAAGGAGCTGCGATCGTTGGAAGCGACGGCTAAGTCCTTAGAAGCAGAAAGGGATGAGCTGCGGGACGACAAGCTCGCTTCAGTGCGAGCTGAGATCGAAAAGGTCAAGGAACAGGCCAAAGAGACGCTTAATCGACCTGTGGCTTCTCGACGAGGCGGTCCCGCCGCCGGAGCTTCCCAACGTGGAGGACACCGTCACGCGAGCGGCCCGCATGCCACTGCCAACGCATCAGGTGGAAAAGGCAAGCCTCATCAGGGGGGCAGAGGAGCCAAGGCAGTCAACTTTGGCAATCGTGCCGTCTCAGGTCCTGCTGGTCAATTTGGTGGACCTGGCGGCAACAACAGCAGTAACACAGGGTTTGCAGGCGCTTCGCGAGGATTCATGCAGAGCTTTGGTAAGGGTTTCCGTCGAGGCCAAAACCATAATCAACAGACGCAGAGCTTTGATGCCATGGCTGGTACTGGTTACACCTCAGGTGGACAAGGAGCTATGCTGCCACCAGGACAAGGGTACATGCCCGCTGGCATGCAGGATCCAGCCGCCATCGGTGCATATGGCGGCCAAGCGCCTTACGGCTCGCTCGATTCCTTCTATGGCCAGCTGCAACAACAAGGTTCGCAATTCCCATTTGGTGCGTCTGAAGCCAGTCAGGACGATCTCTATGACCCAACACTCGGCTTCGACCCTTACGACTCATCGATCGATGCCAGGAGGAGATCCAGTCTCCCACTGCCACAGATATCGTACAATCCGCCACAACAGGTGATGCAGTCGTCTTCCACATCGACGGCGCTGAATCCGGCTAACCCGGAGTTTGTGCCCTCGACCGGGTCGAATCATGCTTCGCCCGTGATCAGCAAGAACCCGTCTTTTTCGGGAGCGAAGGTGCCTGCTTCCACGACGACGACGACGACAAGTTCCGTTCCTTTGCCCGCTCACGCGGTCGTTGCAACCCAGTCGCCTCCGCCTGGCGTTGCCTCGGTCGAACACTCCCCAACATCTTCCTCGCGCTTCGCTTTCCCACTCGCACGTCACCTGCCCAACGCTGGCACAGGTGGTGCAGGTACATCCTCGCTTGCCACAAAGTCCAGCTCACCCGCGCTGGCCTCAGCTAACTTCGCAGCTCCGGGGTCGGCCAGTGGCAGTAACAATGTCCTCAATCTTCCTCTTGGGTCGGACCTCAATGCACTGCCCTCAGGCGTTGGCTCAAACCTGTTCTCGTCTCTGGGAGCGTCCGGGACGGCAAGTCCGTTCGCGCGGCACTCACCGTTGCTTCCACAAGGCATCGACGGCGCCTCATCCGGCGTCAACACATCATCCTTTGCAGGTGCATCTCCTCGATTTGCCGCGATGGGTCTCCACAGCCAAAGCCATCCGGTTGGATCGGGATCTGACGATCTCTCTGCACCGCCTTTCGGAGCTTCATCGAAGTTTGGACTGCTGGACTACGATCCGAGCTTGGACAACTTTGGTCCTGCCCCGGGCTACTCTAGCGGTCTTGGCGGTACTTCTTCTTCTTCAGGCGCCCATCCGAATGCAACAGCCGGTGTTGGGCTGCCTCCGTTTAGCACAAGCACGATGCAGTCAATTTTTGGCGCGAGCGACACGTGGTCTGCCCCGAACTCCAATTCGAGCTGGGGAATCACCTCGTCTCCGCCTCTAGGCAGTGCTTCTCCTGCCAATGCGGGGGGCACTGGAGGAGGAGATATATGGTCGGCTCCCACACTTCCCGGTGTCTCGTCAATACGAACTAAGTTTTCGCTGCAAGACCTAGCAGGCTCGACACCAGCACAAGGGTCACCATCGAACAATGGCGGTGGTGTTAACAGGGATGCAGGATTCGCTGCTTTCGGCGCAGGAGGCCGATTGGGAGGTTTGGCTGGGCTGGGCGCGATCGGTCAAGCGCCGGTAGGAGCGGCCGTGCCGAACAGGTCAAGTCCACTTGCGAGCCCTGTCGCTGCGACTCCCAGTCCAAAGGTTGCTACTCCTCGAGAGGAGAAAATGGAGGCAAAGAAGGAAACGGAGGAAACTCAAGAGTGATTCTTCGCTCGTAAAACAATGGACTCTTTTTTTGCATTTGTTGTACTTTTATTCACATCATCAATCATTCAACATTGTTAACGCTTCAAGCGATGTGACCACATTCAGTTGAAGATGCATCGGCATCGCCAACGCGTGATGTATTAAATAGGAGCACACAGGATCGGGGAATCGGGAAGGCATCAGGCGATGAGCAGGACAAGCAGAATGCGAAGCTAGTGGGAGCTAACGCAGCCTATGCACGAGGATTGACACCATGGTATGCAAGGAATGTGTTGATATGACAACACTTATGAAAGAAGGTACGTGGCACATGGGCATGACTCGACATAGGGAGCATGGTCAGGTGCCGAGAATATGTATATATGCCCTTAGCTTAGTCATCACCTCCTTATGAAAATTCAAGCCTTTTTACATAGAGCATCAGCAAAAGGAGTGTCTGACCGTGGCCTCCTGAGTGGTGTATCTAACTTCAACTGGCTCCCAACATGGGGCTCGAACCCACGACATTCAAATATGGCGGGAGATAACGACCGCCAAGCCAGCACGGGTGAAGCAGCCAAGAGGACAAGAAAAGGTAAAACGCCACAACGAGTACAAATCGACGAAGAGGCCACTGACGGTAACGAAACCGAGTATTTTGACAATGAGGATGAAGGAGGATCAGAATCGGACGACGATGACGACCGATACGATTACCACACCTTGGCCAAAATCTTAGAGACGGTTCCCAAGCTCACGTCACGCAACTACTATAGTTGGAGCACACTCATCAAGGCCAACCTCCGAGTAGTCCCTCATGCCACACGACACTTAGAGGGCACGTACGATAGAAACCACCTGAAATGGAACAGAACTTTTGACAACGCCCTAGTGGGTGTCCTACGAAGCACCTTAGACACCGAAGGAGAGTACAACGTCCTTTACCTCCTACTCGACATCAGCAAGAACCACCTGACCTGCCATCAAGCTTGGAAGAAGATCGAAAGGAGTCTTACCAGCGAGGCAGCCAGAGCCTCGCGACGGATAGCATTACTTGCCGAGCTCAATGAGACAAAGATGTTTCATGCTGATGCCCGTAAGCTAATCAAAGAGATCAGGGTCATACAGATGGAAACTAGCCTCCTAGGTGCCCCATTTAGTAATGATGCACTATATTCTGCGCTCCAGAGGTGCACGATTCGACACCCGGTCTACAAGGAGACAGTCGCCACGGTTCACCAGGTCAGCTTCGATGCTCTAGCAACGGCGTTGACTACATGCCAATCTGCAATAGAGAGTGTACCCGGTCAGAAAGTGGACCCATGTCAAGCAAGCGCTAGAATCGCTGAGGGAAACGAAGAGCAGGCCGAAGACACTGAGTCGGACACGGGCAGTACGAAAACCAAATCAAAGAGGATTCGTTGCTGGGTATGCAAGCGATATGGACATGGTGCCAACAAATGTGATGCTTCGGTAGCCATCCCCGAAAATTCCCCCCTCACCAAGACCAACTAGGAGGTCTGGTGCTCTTTCACCCCGAGTTGGCGGCAGCTCCCAAAGTCAGAAGGAACCACATGTTGGATCTTGGATTCGGGAGCGAGCTACCACATGGTTAATGACCACAGCATGCTCATCCATCCAAGAAATTGCAGAAAGCGCATGTATACCACTGGAAGCGAAGTGCTGGAGGCAACTGCTGTGGGAGATATCAACATAGCAACAGAACGTGGAGACGTTTACCTCCAAAATGTGTTGTATGTTAAAAGACTCAATATTAACCTGTTGTCAACCAACTCACTGACAGATGAGGGAGCACGTGTGACTTTAGACTCTACAGGCGGGCAAATACACCTAGCAAATGGTATGCTATTGAAAATAGCGAAAGATCGCGAGCGTGGACTACTAGAGTTCCGAGGCGACACATGGCGACAAAGCGCAATGACTACATCAACACCGCTGTTTGAGGGGGTTGATGAAGAGTTCGAGCTGGCCAATCGGAGACCAAAGATCTCCACAAGACAGCTCTGGCATGAACGTTTAGGACATCCAGGTCGAGACAAGTCCAGAGCGATTGTTGATAAATTGAAAGGCGAACCTGTAGCAGCATTGGATCCAGATACAGCTCTGATATGTGAGCAGTGTATACGGTCCAAAAGTACGGCCGCCCGGATGGGGCGAGGCAGTGGCGAAACAGCCGCAGGGCCCCTAGATCTCATCCACATCGATCTGATCATAGACTCATCCCGCGTGACAGAATACACGTGCACATTGGTGCTGGTTGACGACCATAGCAAGTATGTGCATGCACAACCACTCTTACGAAAGAGCCACGCATTCACACAACTCAAAAGAACAGTTTCGTTCCTAGAGACACAGACAGGCAGAAAGCTGAAAGCAATCCGATCTGATCAAGGAACTGAATGGAAGAGCAATGAAGCATTGGAATGGTCACTAGAAAAGGGCATAGAATGGCAAACTACTGTCGGTTACAACAGTAGGCAAAACGGACGAGTAGAACGGATGAACAGGAGCCTGGGTGAAAAGATGCGAACACTGTTGATGCAAAGGAGTTTACCAAAGAGCTTTTGGCCGCATGCCATACGAGCAGCAGCATTCAAGATCAACCTTACCCCCAACGTTGACAGAGAGTTTCCATATCAGCTCATGTTCAAGAGATCACCAAAATGATTCATCCGCCTCATGCGTGTATTCGGGTGCCTAGCTTGGGTGAATATTCCAAAAGCTAAGCGAAACAACAAGAAGCTGGACCAGCGAGCGGTTGCAGCCATATTCATAGGGTATAGCTTGGAAAGAAAGGGATGGCTATTCTATAGCCCTGATTACTCTCCGAACATTTTCTGGAGCAACTCGGCGAGGTTCATGGAGACACAGTGTTGGTCAGACCGATCAGAATGGCGACCAATGAGTATCCGACCCCCACCAGTCCCAACCATTGAAGAGGACCTTGATGATCTGGGATACACAGAGGAGAACCTATTTGATGAGAGAGAGCGAGAGCCTTTGGAAGAACACGTGGACATGGAACTAACCCTCGAAGAGGAGGGACTCGGAGGGCCACACTGTGACGATGAGAACCCTAACGGGATACCAGAGGAAGGGAGAACGACAAAGGAGAGGGAAGAGTATGCACCGGTGCCATCCGAGAAAAGGGGCCCATGGCCGAACTGGAGGCCAGCTAGAAACATGCGCAACCCGGAGACCTGGGTAAAGAAGAGTTACTTCGGGTTGACGGCAGCCAAGGTCAAGGAAGGAAAGGACAGCCTGAACCCAACTGTTCACGAGGTGCTGGCTGGAAAGGATAAGAGGTTCTGGGAAGAAGCAATGCGCAAGGAATTGGATGGGCTTGAAGCGATGGGAACGTGGGAAACGACCGACCTACTGCGGGGCATGAACACAGTCGACACACGATGGGTGCTCAAGATCAAGACTGATGCAAACCTGGTCCCCACAAAGTACAAAGCAAGATTGGTAGCGCGAGGGTTTACCCAGAGAGAGGGCTTAGACTACACAGAAATATTTGCGCCAGTGGCACCCATCCAGGCAATAAGGGGAGTGCTGGCCATCGCAGCCGTACGGGACTGGGAGATCGATTCCATCGACGTCAAACAGGCTTACCTCAATTCAAGCCTGCGTCATGATGTCTACCTAAAGCCACCAGTAGGAACCAGGGTACCTCCAGGAAAGGTATTGAAACTCATAAAAGGGCTCTATGGTCTAAAGCAATCAGGTCGGGAATGGAACATCGAGCTGGATACCCACCTCCAAAGTATCAGCTTCCACTGCATGCCGAGCACCCCATGCCTTTACTCAAGGGGAGCGGGCGACCAACTCACAGTCATCATGGCATATGTGGATGACATGCTGATCGCATCGCCGTGCAGAAGGGAGGTCGACCGTACCAAAGCCGAGATCATGGACAAGTGGGGAACAGAGGACAACAGACCTGTAGGAGAATTTCTTGGAATCAAAATCACTCGAGAGAGGAGACAAGGTAGGATCACACTCGACCTAAGTGCATACATTAAAAGCATGGTAAGTAAGTGGCTAGAAAGAACAAGTGAACGAACCTGGATACCAATGCGGAGTGTAACAGGAGTCGCTGGAGGAAACAAGTGCAACCCAGATCAGGCCAAACGATATCAAGAGCTAGTGGGGCAACTTTTATGGGTGTCCAACACAGTGAGACCAGACATCTCATTCGCAGTAGGAGCTTTGGCACGATATATGTCAGAACCGATCGACAGTGCTTGGAGTGCTGCGATACACTTGTTAAAGTATCTGAACCAGACGAGCGATTACTGCTTAAATTTAGGAGGAGTGCACAGGAGTCACGCAGACCAACCGGTGGTTACGTATACCGATGCAAATTGGGCTTCTGACCCTACAAATGGGCGTAGGAGTACGTCCGGAGCAATCACATATGTGTATGGATGTCCGGTTAGTTGGAAATCACATGTACAGAAATGCGTGGCATTATCGGCAGTGGAAGCAGAACTGGTCGCAGCCTCCGAAGCAGCAAGAGAAGCACTCTTCTTCTCACATTTACTCAGGGATCTAGGAGTATTCGGAGTCAAGCCAACGCTGCGCACTGATAGCCAGGGGTGCATACAAGTCAGTAAAGATCCAGCCAAACACTGGAAACTCAAACACATTGATACCAGATACTACTTTGTTAGGGATCATGTGCAAGATGGTGACATATCAATCGAGTTCGTCGGAACAGCCAACAATGTGGCTGACATACTCACGAAACCTCTCAAGGGACTCAACACAACAAGGATATCAAGAATGATAGGATTGGATATGCCGTTGAGGGGGGGAGTTGAAGATGCATCAGCATCGCCAACGCGTGATGTATTAAATAGGAGCACACAGGATCGGGGAATCGGGAAGGCATCAGGCGATGAGCAGGACAAGCAGAATGCGAAGCTAGTGGGAGCTAACGCAGCCTATGCACGAGGATTGACACCATGGTATGCAAGGAATGTGTTGATATGACAACACTTATGAAAGAAGGTACGTGGCACATGGGCATGACTCGACATAGGGAGCATGGTCAGGTGCCGAGAATATGTATATATGCCCTTAGCTTAGTCGTCACCTCCTTATGAAAATTCAAGCCTTTTTACATAGAGCATCAGCGAAAGGAGTGTCTGACCGTGGCCTCCTGAGTGGTGTATCTAACTTCAACTCATTCAGAACCAAGCGTGACCTGAGCTGGCTGACTGAGTAATGAAAAGCCCATTTCGGCGTCGTCGTCTCAGCTGCTTCAACTCGCTGATTCTAAATCAGCTGTCAGCTCGACTACGAATGCTCAGTTGTCACAAGAATTCCGACATCGTTACACAGACAAGCCCAGGCAATGAGTGTATCTTGGAAATGCGTGAATAGATTCGATCCCCATCACGATGGCTTCACCAGGGTGACAAGGTGTGAAGGGAAACTTTTTTGTGGTTGTTTAAGTTGCTATCAACTACCGAAATGTGTGTGCATTCTGCATGCATATATGTGTGCGTGTGGTGATGATGGTACAAGCGATGGCGAGATATCAAAGGTTGAAATGCGGTCAAGAAACTAAAACAAACGTCGGGATTGATTTAGTGACCAGCACGACGCTGCTCGGCAATAACGTTGGTGAGGGTCTCCATCTTGTTCTTGGCACGACGGAGGGTACCGACACGGCGCTTGATGAACTTGCGGGCACGCTTGTCCTTGGAGTTACGGATGAGCTCCATGGCGCGACGCTCGTAAGGAGCGAAGCCGGCAACCTCACGGACGACGGAGCGGATGACCTTGACGCGCTCGCCCTCACGACCCTTACGGTTGGAAGGGCGGGGAGCGAGAACACGGCGCTCGGTCTGGTAACCGCGGTTGACGCCCCAGACGAGACCTGAGAGAGCGAACAAACAAGCAATGGAAAGGATATGGGTCAGCAATGTGGTTCTGAGGAGTTCGAGTCGCTGGACGAAAGCATACGAAGCAGCAGCAGTTTAGCAGATGGCAGTGATTTAGTCGCTCGAGGCAGCAATTGGTTGAGAGATGTAATTGTGATGCGAGCTGCGAAGTGGGCGGAGAATGTAGTGCGTTCCTGGTGGTTGGCGGATGTGGACGAAGAGAAGATTGACAACCTAGCAGAGAACGTGACTGCCTAAGGGCGAAAGTTGAACAACATTGAAGACGGAGCCAGACCCGGCTGTCGGTGAACTCCCTCCATTGCGAAAGCAACAATGCAACGGGTGCGATGCACGCTTAGACAACAAGACCAGATGCACGACCAGGTGTTGTCCTTACCATAGTTGGTTTATGTTGCTGATGCTGCCATCTACCTGTCTGCCGAACACAATGTGCGTCCACTTTGCCTTGAGCCGACACCAAGAGTGTGGAGCAGGATTGACACTCAAGACCAAGCTCCTCTTACAACACCGTTCATGATCACCCTTCGTCGACGCTGGATGCAGATGGCAGATGTGTTCCTGGATTAGGTCAACTTTTCAACTAACACACCTCCAAGCAACTCCTCCACTGACGACTACTCGAAAGACTGAGACGCCTCGGGAAAGATCATCTGCGCATCGAGCTAGCCGAGCGACAATCACGTCGTGAGTGCATGTTGCGAAATGTGTCCCATAAAACTGTCCAGCTGTCCGTCGTGCAATCAGAATTCATGTCTGTTGTGCTGTCGCAATATTTTCAACGTGTCGATAGGTCATGCCAAAGTGTACGAAGTCGAGAGCGATAGTCGAAGAAATGCTGAATAAGTGCGATTTGCTGGTGTTGCTGACTGCTATTGAGGCGACTGAAAACTGCTACAGCTATTGCTGCCGGTAATGATGCTGCTGCTTCCGCTGTTGGTATGCTTATACGTCGATAGGTGATGAATACACACCAGTACGGGCCACGCCGGCCTTGTGAGCGGGGTTAGAGGAGTTTCCCATTGTGTCGATATGTGAAGAGGTTGATGATGATCTTGCTGGATGGAGGCGTAAAGAAGGTGTTCTGATTCTGATGGCGACGACAACCTTCAACTGACTGACTGGCTGATTGATTGACTGACTGACTGACTGACGGTCACCAGGCTTCGTTGGTTCTCACACGGGCTCTCACACCCACTTTTCGAGATTTCGAGTGTTTTGCTGAACTGAAACCTTCCCTGACCTCTGCTCTGTCCCGTACAGAAAGCCAGCGCTGTTTGCGATTCCGCGTTGTGCAAGCACTCAAATCAAGTCTCGGGCATTTAGTGAGTCTTTTTCGCACTGCCAGACCAAAAAATAATAACAAAAAATTGCCTCACACGTGCAGCCAGCTGTTCGGCCGACTTCAATTGCAGCTGTAAAAAAAAATTGATTGCTCTGTTATGCTTAGATAATTCAGGTTGGACGGACCGCGTCTTCTTCGCGTTCAGGGACCAAAGAAATCTCCACTTTTCCGAGATGCACACACACGCACACACACATCCATTCAGCAGGATCCGTGCACGGCAATACAACACCTCACTATGTCCCCATCATCGTCCCCACCACCACCACCACACCTTTCCATAATCAAGCTGATTCACCAATATGGCTGGTCTGGAAGAGATCACAGCACCACCAGCTCACGTCTCGGAAGAACAGCTGGCACAGCTACAGCAAAGCACGCCAGAATCATTCAACGAAATTCCACCAGTGCTCCGCCTACACTTGACTCGGACAAGCATCTATATCACTCCATCCCCATCATCACGGCCTGCATGCTTTGAGCAACTCAAGACCAGCTCGACTGAGATGTTGGAAGCCAATGGAGATGATAACGACGGGGAAGATGAAGCAGCAGAAGTATTTCAGTCATTAGGTGAACTGTGGCTGACAGAACGTGAGGTTGGCTTCCTCTCACCCAAGACCGGCACTGGCTTTCGGCTTGGCTACTCGAATGTAGCATTGCATGCCCTCACGCGTACTCGTCCGAGCTTTCTCCTATCCACAGTTCAGAACGGTGCTTCGTCGTCATCAACATCAACAAGTGACTTCCACGGCTGTCTGTATTGCCAGCTTGACCTGTCTCCCAACGCAGCCACAGCTCAGATGGGCGACGACGAGGATGAAGACGGAGAGTTCGTCGAAATGTACATCTTCACGCCGGACAGTGCTTCTCTCGATCAGCTCTTCGAAGTGCTATCCCACTGTGCTTCGCTACATCCATCTGGACCAGTGGAGGCTGACGGCGGGCATCCCTTTGCTGGCTTTGCACCGTTCGGCACAAGTGCATCTGGCATGCTACTAGGCGACGACGCTGACGACGACCAAGACGAAGCGGCTTTTGACGACGTCGAGGGCGACGAAGACCAAGAGCTAAGCGAGACTGGCAGGGTGAGAGCCGATTTCCAAACCCCCGATTCGCGCTACCGACCCTACTAAAGCAGCCGTCCATCAAGTCGTGCTCTTGCTGACCTCACCTGTTCCCCGCACTCTGCAATCTCGCTATCTCAACAGCGCAATCTCGCATATTTGAAAAGCGTCATGCAATGGCCCGACTTGGACGAGGCGGAGACACCTTCTCTTGTAGGCGGTGACCTCCCCTCGATTAGCATCAACCCAGGACATCAGTCGGCCGCAACCAACACGCTCATCTTATCGAACTTTCCAGTCGAGTTCTTCATTCCACACATCTGCTCTTTGTTACTGTCATTGCTCAACACGTACGGACCCATGGTGCGGTGGATACCGTTACCTTCTGTAGGGCACGCAGTGGTGATCTTCGAGGACTCGGATGGTGCTGCAATGGCCAAGGATGGGTTGGACCGCTTGGTGCTACCGTTTGAGGACAGCGACGTGCAAGGCGTCGAGAGAGCGTCGGATGAAGACGATGGCACGATTTTGCGAGCAATCTTTGGCCCAGTGACAGATCCGACAGCAGAGCCAGAGACACTGGCAGTCCCGACGACAGACAAGAACTTCTTGATCTCTCCTCCAGGCAGTCCGCCAGTAGGATGGGAGCCAATCCGAGAAGATCCGCCAAACCGCGACACACTGGCCGATGACCTGATGAAGGCGCTTGCAGATCTGCGTGATACAGGGAGTCACATCGAGTCCCATCAACCACGAGTCTGGGGCGAAGGTGGCACAGGATCGGACGAAGGCAAAGAAGAGCGCCGCAATGGAGGTGAGGGCACGCCCGAGGTGATCCTCGCACCGAGTACTGCTCCTGGGATGCGCGCCTTCCAGCTTGGATGGCTGCGAGGGGAGCAGGACATAGACACCAGCAAAGAGGACGAGCAGATTGAGTTGCCAGGTGTGACGGTGCAGTCATTTGATGGTAATGACGAAGGTCCAAATGGTTCGAACGCAGGTGCAAAGCTGTTCAACGGATTCAGCATCAGTTCTGTCAAAGCGACGGTGGATTCAATGCGTGGACCGATGCAACTTGGTGGGTCCAGCACTGGACTCGATGCGACCCAGGGGCTCGGTACAGAGCTGGGCGGTGGTACACGGCGCATCACACCTACCAGCCGTCCTCCGTTAAACAACGAAGGGTACTCAGATGCTGGATAATGAAAGATCCGCGACCCAGGACGACACCGCCGATGACAGCCTTGTACTTGCCTCAAAACCATCATACCCACCTTGCAAAACTACAATACACATGCAGCATACCAGATTCCTCTTGCGAGTGACGCTGTGATGATTGTACAGCACCTAAGAACAGATCGAGTCAGATCGCAACGAAGGGAAGAGAGATCCTTTGTATCGAGTCGAGTTGTCCCGCGGCGCAGTGTTGAACACCTTAACAACGAAATGCTTATGCTATTCAGCCGCGGGTTATCTTGAAGAGGGTGTGGAGAGTGAGGGTCCACACCAACACCAACAAATTTTTGGCTAAAATCCTCCGAACGTGCAGCAGCGAGGCACTTGAGGAGTATATCGGAGCCCTTGTGTTTGGGCGAACAAAAGAAGAAAAAAATCATTCTTGAGCTCGTCATTGCTGCAAGAAGCTGCGTGCCCGACGCTCAACTCAGACGATGTCGGTTCGATGGTACTGCAAACGACAAATCCGGCTCAACTCGACAGCCTCGATAAGATGTACTTTGCTGCGATCTGTGCGAGTGTAGGGGTAAATTAAAAAAATTAAAAAAATTAAAAAAAAAAAAAAAAAAAAAAAAAGGGGGAAAAAAAGAAAAGAAAAGCAAGCCCGACACCGTTCGCTTGGAGTAGGGGCGCACGATCCGCGGCTGAACCCTTCCGCTGTGTGAGAAGATCAAGAGTAGCGACCGTACCCTGCACGCGGTGCATTTGCTTCAAGAGATCAGCTTACTGTGGATGGTTTCAGCCCACCTGAGCGTTCGAGTGCGTCGCTGCTGTTGATAGTATAAGTAGACAGTGTCCTTTGCCTTCGCGCTGTCCATCTTTTCATCCACGACGTCAAACACCTTCCCGTTCCCACGAATCGTATACCCTTCGAGCTACTTGGACATACTGCTTGTTGCCTTGACCGCTCCATCTTTCGATCAAAATGGCACCCAAGCCTAACCCAGCAAGACCCGACACGGACCCTGTCCACGGTCAGACGGTCGAGAAGAAGCCTGCCAACCCCAATCCCACGCCCTCTTCCTCGTCAGGCCCTTCAGCTCGTGAGCGTCTTGCGTCACTCGCTTCGCACCTCCTTCCTGGCGGCAACACCGAATTCGACTATGTCATTGTCGGTGGTGGTACCGCTGGCGCTGTCCTTGCCAACCGCCTCACTGAGGACCACAACGTCTCAGTAGCTATCATCGAGGGCGGTCCTACCGATGTCGGTAACGACATGGTTCTCGACCTCAAGCGCTGGCTCGAGATGCTTGGTTCCGACCTCGATTATGATTACCCCACCGTGCCTCAGCCTCGAGGCAACTCGTTCATCCGTCACTCGCGTGCGCGTGTCCTTGGCGGTTGCTCTTCGCACAACACACTCATCTCTTTCCGACCTTTCAACGAGGACCTCGATGACTGGGCCAACAACTATGCTTGCCCTTCGTGGTCTGCCAGCACGGTGCAGCCTTACGGTGACCGTCTCAAGATGAACATTGTACCTGTCGCGCCGCAGCAGCGTAACCAGGTTGCTCGTGACTGGGTGCTCGCTTCGTCTCGCGCCACTGGCGCACCTGTGCTTGAGGACCTCAACGCTCACATTGTCCACCGCGGAGGCTTCCAGAAGGCAGTCGGATTCTTTGACATTGCTTACGACCCATACTCTGGTCAGCGAAGCAGTGCTTCCGTCGCTTATCTCCACCCTATCATGCCACACGGTCCTTACAAGCGTCACAACTTGCACCTCTTCCTCGAGACGTGGGCAAACCAGCTCGAATGCTCCCCTGAGGACTCAAGCAAGATCACTGGTGTCAAAGTCACCACCAAGCATGGTCTTAGCAAGACCCTCACTGCTCGTCGCGAAGTCATCCTATGCGCCGGTGCCATTGACACTCCTCGCTTGCTTCTCCACTCTGGTATCGGCTCCCGCAAAGACCTTGAGGCATTGGGCCTGCCATGCAAGCACGACATTCCCGGAGTAGGCGAGAACCTCACCGACCACCCCGAATCTATCGTTATGTGGGAAACCCGCGACACTCCCCCTGAGACCGTCATGTCCTCTGACGCCGGTCTCTTCCTCCGAGTCCTTCCTAGCGATGCTGAACCCAACCCACACCCCGGTCCCGATCTCATGTTCCACATCTACCAAGTCCCTTTCGCCGATAACACCGAACGTGTTGGCTATGAGCGACCGAAACACGCCATCTGTATGACTCCCAACATCTGCCGATCTCAAGCGCGCGGCAAAGTCTCTCTCGCCTCTGCCAACCCCAAAGACAAGCCTCTGCTCGATTTCAAATACTTCAAAGACAAGGACCACTACGATGAGCGTATCCTCATCGAAGGTGTGAAATGGGCGAGGAAGATTGCTGAACAGAGTCCTTTCAAGGAGCACCTCGTCAAGGAGGTTGCACCTGGACCAGCGATTCAGTCGGACAAAGATATCGGAGAGTACGCAAGAAAAGTTGCTCACACTGTTTACCATCCTGCAGGAACTTGCAGGATGGGCACTCCTTCGCAGCAGCACGGTGGAAACGGCAAGGATGCAAGTGTGGTGGTGGACGAGAAGGATTTGAGGATTGTCGGATTGAAAGGTGTCAGGGTTTGCGATGCAAGCGTGCTGCCAACACTGCCAACGATCAACCCTATGTTGACGATTTTGATGGTTGCTGAGAGAGCGGCTGAGTTGATCAGGGACGATGCCTGGGAGAACGGGCTTCGTAGGGCAAACTACCACTAGAGGCTTACTTGCACTTCAATACCCTTTCTCGTGTACAAAATGCAAATTTGCTCTGTCGTAACCTCACAAACATACCAAACAACACAGCCTGTTACGAGTGCAGTCCATGTGTGAGAAGTGTGACATTGCAAACGCGAAAGGAACGCTTTAGGAGCTGACAATCTATGTGGGAAGGAGATATTCTTTACGCCCGACTCAATTCATCCCCAAGCTTATAGTTCAACACCTTGTCCCAATCGATCTTCTGCCTCGTCAGCGGCAGTTGCCTCCTCAAAGCCTTGAACGCTCTCTCTGCCAATTCATCATAACTCTCTTCCAACCCCTTCTGCCATCCATCCTCGTGCGCAGCAATGACCTTGACAACCTCCTTTGCCAACTTCTCTGCATCATCTCCGTCTGAGGTGAGATGGAAAGTGCGAGGCTTAGCAGCATTCAGCTGCACATTGCCGTTTTCGAAGTAGTGTACTTGTACCGAGAGAGTTGAGGTGAGGGTAGGGGGTGAAACGGTGGGATCAAGGGTGTAGGAAGCGCGCCAGCGACCGGACCAGAAGTTGGAGAGGTTGAAACGGTTGCCGACGTGGTGGATTGCGAACGTAGTTTTGGCGGGGGGTGCGGCGGTTGTGGTAGAGGAGGTTTGAGTGTTGGTGCTGTTCTCGACGGCTTCAGATGCAGCAACTGCCTCTGCTGGGTCATCTTCTACCGCGTTCTCTTCCTCCTCCTTCTCTTCGGTGATTTCTTCTTTGGTGGCGGTGGTTTCATCATCCATCTTCTCATCAGCATCCTCGGTACCGATGGCAGCAGTGTTCTCCGCAGGCGTCTTTGCATCTTCGACAGCGGCCTTCTTGACCTTTTCCGCCAACTCATCCTCTTCTTCGGCCTTCACAGGTGCGCTTGAGATGGAGAAAACAGAGCTGACTCCATCCGGATACCTATCCTTGACGTACTCTTCTAGTGCCTTCTCTAACGCTTTCCTCTTCTCCTCCGCCTTCTCATCCGCAACTGTTAGGTCCTTCACATCGCTAATGGTCCTCTTGACATGGTCAAACAAGAACGTCTTGCCCAACTTGGGATGTACGTATCGCTTCACGCCTGCACCTGCATCAGAAGTGTTACCTGGCACGTGACCGGCTTGACAGATGATGACGGCTGCGTCGTTGGATGGCAGGGTAGCAGTGACAAGCTGTTGAGTATTGTATTCTTCGAGTGCTACTGCAGCGGCGGATTGCAGCTTAGCGTCGTCAATCTTGTCGGTAGCATTCGACTCGGCGTCGAAGAGGATGCCGCGAAGATCGTGGTAGACTTGCGATGTTTGGCCGGGAGGTGATTGGGTGAGGAGGGATAGGACCTCGTTGAGGCGGGATGAGTTGGCTGACATCCTGACGAATGGAAGCACAAAAAAGTCGAAGATCGGATTGAGGAGGTGGTTGAATGCGAACCGGGATGAAGATGCGAAAGGATGGGGATGATGTTTGGGTGGAGGCTTGTAGTGTGCGTGCCGATGCGTGTGTGCGATTCGGGGTAAAGCAGCGGTGTGCGCTTGGCAGGATGGTCTGTGCTGAGTCTTGGAATATCTCAGAATCGGGCAGCCCGATTATCTTGCCTTTCACTATCGAACGTCGGATCACTTCGGAACCACCTTCCGATGTTCGGTGTTCGGAAAGAGCCGAATCTGACCTTTCACACCCGGTGCGATCCTCGATGACGTGGCTGCAGTGGATAACGTGGCTGTAGTGGATGACGTGGCTGTAGTGGATGACGTGGCTGTAGTGGAAGAAGTGGCTGTAATGGAAGAAGTGGCTGTAGTGGATGACGTGGCTGTAGTGGATCAAGCCCATCTTTGAGGTGATGCCAACTAAGATTCCATTGTCTTGGCGATGGCCTGAGTAACTTGAGAGGCGTCTAAATGAAGATAACAATTAATATACGGCGTTATCGGGGTCACGATCAGACTCCCTTTACCACAGCCGTATGTTCTATGTAATGCTTGGTTTTCATGATGTGAGACTGAATGACAAACACATATATATACTCCATTCACTGCTCTGGTCCTATTCGAGGCAGGATGTGTCTCTTCATTTGTACTCCTGTGTTGCTATGATACCGGGTGCCACTGTGCTGTCACCATGACAACAATTACGTACCTCATTGTACTTCTCGCTTACGTGAGCCTCCCGTGTCTCAATGTCTCGGCCGTAACATGTGCATCTTACTTGAGATGCCGACGCATCTTCAACTCCCCCCTTCGGCAGGATCTCCAGTCCTATCATCCTAGCCAATCGTGAGGTGTTAAGACCCTGTAAGGGTTTTGTCAAGACATCTGCAACGTTGTTTGCCGTTCCGACATATTTGATTTCCACATCGCCCTCTTGTACATGATCGCGAACGAAATGATACTGTGTGTCGATGTGCTTTAACTTCCAATGTTTGGCTGGATCTTTACTCACCTGTATGCACCCCTGGCTATCTGTGTATAGTACGGGCCGAACGTCCGTGGTCTCCAAATCCCGGAGCAAATATGAGAAGAATAAGGTTTCTCGTACCGCTTCGGAAGCGGCGACAAACTCTGCTTCGACTGCCGACAATGCCACACACTTCTGAACGTGTGATTTCCAACTCACTGGACACCCATATACATATGTTATCGACCCTGAGGTGCTTCTTCGTCCATTTGTGGGGTCGGATGCCCAGTTTGCGTCGGTATACGTCGTTACCGGTGTATCCGAGTGCTCGTTTGTCTCCCCTCCTAGGTGCAACTGATATTCGTTCGTTTGGTTCAGGTACTTTACCACGTGGATGGCTGCCTTCCATGCACTGTCGATCGGGATCGACATATATCGCGCCAATACGCCGACGGCAAAGGCAATATCTGGTCGGGCTGTGTTGGAGACCCATAATAGTTGGCCGACCAATTCTTGATACTTCTTTGCTCGCTGAGGTTCACATCGCTCGCCTCCGGCAACGTTCGCTACACTCAGCATGGGTACCCAAGATTTCTCGTTTGCTCCTCCTAACCATTTGTTCACCATTTCCTTGATGTATGCCGTTAGACCCAGAGATATCCTCCTCCGTCTTCTATCACGTGTGATCTTGATACCCAGAAATTCTTTGACCCTTCCATTGTCTTGCGTCTCCCATTTGTCCATGATCTCTCGCTTTGCGCGATCTACTTCATCACGACTGGGTGATGTTATTAGCATGTCGTCCACGTATGCTGTGATGATCGTGATCTTGTCGCCTGTCCCTCTTGAGTATAGGCATGGTGCGCTCGGCATGCAATGGAATCCGATCATCCGGAGATGTGAGTCTAACTCAATGTTCCATTCTTGGCCCGATTGTTTCAGACCGTACAGTCCTTTCACTACCTTCAACACTTTTCCGGGTGGCATTTCGATTCCTACTGGGGGCTTGAGGTATACATCATGGTGTATAGTGGAGTTCAGGTACGCTTGCTTTACGTCGATAGAATCCATTTCCCAATCTCGTACTGCTGCGACAGCGATCACCCCTCGAATGGATTGGATGGGTGCTACTGGTGCGAAGACCTCTGTATAGTCGATGCCCTCGCGTTGAGTGAAACCTCGTGCCACGAGCCGGGCTTTGAACTTTGTCGGCACGAGGTTTGCATCGGTTTTGATCTTGAGTACCCAACGTGTGTCGACAGTATTTGCACCCTTTGGGAGGTTGACTATCTCCCATGTGCCCATCGCCTCCAATCCATCCAGCTCCTTTCGCATGGCCTCCTCCCAGTGTTTCCTGTCCTTTCCACTCATTGCTTCATGTATGGTTGGGTCCAGGTTCTTTCTCCATTCCGGTCGCGTCGCTACGAGTCCATAGAATTTGCTGTCAATTTGAGTTTCGGCGATTGGTCCTTGTTCCATCACCTCCGCTGTTCCTTCGCTTAATCTTTCTTCCGAATCTGTCTCCATATCCATGTATTCTCGTAGTGGCTCTTCATCTGTTTCGTCGAATATATTTTCCTTATTGTATCCTAGATCTTCGAAATTTTCCTCTGTCATCATCATTGGGGGTGCCTTTGTGTCAACCGGTCGCCACTCTGTTCTGTCTGACCAGCACTTTGATTCCATGAATTTTGCTGAGTTGCTCCAGAAGATGTTCGGATTGTAGTCCGGGCTGTAGAAGAGCCAGCCCTTCCTTTCTAGACTGTACCCTAAGAAAATGGATGGGACGGCTCGCTGGTCCAGTTTCTTGTTGTCCCGTTTAACTTTGGGTACGTTTACCCATGCCAGACAACCAAACACTCGTAGGAGCTTTAAAGCTCGTTCCGGCGACTTGCCAAACATCGCTTGATAAGGGAATTCATTATCAACGCTCGGAGTGAGGTTTATTTTGAACGCCGTGTCAGGGGTCTCGCGCCTGAAACCCAGGTCGGTCTGTCGAGATACTCGGTGACTATTAAACTGTGTGACAGCTATTGTCTCGGTATCGGTGACTATCAAGTTGTGCAGTGACAGCAGGTGGCGTTCGTTGTATATACTATCGTAGGTTTCGGCTGACCTCTGTGGACACTCCGTTCAGGGGTAGCTCGGCACGATCAATATCAATGTTATGATGACACCAAGGTCTGGTGTGAGTGTTGATGATGATGAGGTTGATGGTGTTGGTGATGAGATTGGTGATGTCGATGATAATGAGGTTGATGGTGTTGGTGATAAGGTTGGTGGCGTCGATGATAATGAGGTTGATGGTGTTGGTGATAAAGTTGGTGGCGTCAACACGAGTGTCCAGTGTGTTGACTTGATGCTTGAAGTGATCCCCGGACCGCAGTGGACTACTGCCTTCGGTTCTATCTATATCCGGACCGCTAACCTGCTATGGGCGCCTTCGGACGTCAGGTAGTGGTGATACAACACACACACTACGATGAGGAGCAACCTTGATAGATTGCTGCTATGCTGACTGAAACTAATGTATACTTATGCTGAAGTGATAACTAGTTATGGTGAGTAGAGTGGATGGGGATCCACTCGACCTATGATGATGAGAAAGCATGGTTATATACCTCTTCACAGCATCGCCAGCGATGCTGCTCCTGCTCTCTCTCTCCAGAGAGTACTTTCTTCATCGAGTACTGCTCAGGGGCCTCTCCTGCTTGGCACCCCTGTTCCTCTTGAGTGGTGTCGACTCCTTCGACACTGCTCCTCCTCCTCATGACCTGTGTCGACTCCTTCGACACTGCTCCTCCTCCTCTTGACCTGTGTCGACTTCCTGTCTCTCGAGCCCCTGAGTGGTAACCATCTGCATGCTCCTTGAGCTTGGTCCTCTTCGTGGCTGTGCCTGCTCCTTGAGCTTGGTCCTCCTCGTGGCTGTGCCTGCTCCTTGAGCTTGGTCCTCCTTGTGGCTGTGCCTGGTCCTCCTCGCATGTGGCTCGGTTCTCCTTTGCATGTGAATCCATAGGAGTCCGTGGTCTCCATGGAGACTGCACTACGACCATGCTCTCTACTGGTATCGACTAGGTCTTTGATACCTGTGCTCCTTCCATATGAACCCATGACCCTCCTGCTTCTTGAGCATCCAGGCCCATGACACTACCCCCCTCTTAAGAGCCGAGCTCCGTCGAGGCATGCTCTGGTCTGGTTCATGCTGACTCCTCCTCCTTGACAACATCGCCAACATCATCCTTCCTCCTTCTCTCGACGTCATCCTCCTTCCTCTTCCTCTCTCTACTCCTCCTGTTCTCTCCTCCTCTCTCCACTCTGTCTACTCACTTGTCCCCCCTCCGACTCCTCATACTCCTGGATGAGGTCGGGACAGTTGAGGTTCTCTACTGGTTCCCATGAAGCAGCTTCTTCTGAGTACCCTCTCCACAACACCTTGTACTCTGTAGTCCCATTGTGTGAACGCTTGTCGATGAGTGCTTCGACTTCGAAGTCGAGGTCCTCATCTGGAAGTGGTGGCATGGTGGGCTGTTCAGCACGTTGAGGAAGAGAACTTGTTCTTGCTGGCTCGAGCATGGAGACATGGAACACATCATGCACCCTAAGGTTTGCTGGCAATGTGATTCGGTAAGCTCGGCGTCCTACTCGTTCCTGAACTGGGTAGGGTCCTGCAAACCGGGTATCCAACTTGGGTGTGGGTCTCCGTGTCTTCCAGTTTCGGCGGTTGATATAGACCATATCACCCACCTTAAACTCAATGTCCTTGTGCTTCCTGTTATACTGGTCTACTGATCTACGTTGTGCCTCTCTGATCTGCTCCTGGAGGTACTTGCAACGCTCCTTTCCATCCATGAGGTACTCGAAGCGACCTGGATCATTGACTCCTAGTCGTTGAGGGATGTCAGGATGAGCTTTGGGGTTCCATCCATAGCATGCAAAGAATGGTGAGACACCAATGCTGTTGTGGACCGTGTTGTTGTATACAAAGGCCGCAGTGTCCAGCAGGTTGGCCCAGTCATTCTGCTCATAGTTGCAGTACATCCTGAGATATTGCTCTATGACCTGATTGACTCTCTCTGTCTGACCATCAGTTTGAGGATGGTAAGCCGTGCTAAGTGAGTGCTTCACACCCATTTGCTCTGCAAATGCCTTCCATGCTCCTGATATGAACTGCCTGCCTCGGTCCGAGACCATGTGATCTGGATATCCAAAGAGTCTAACCATGTGTCCATATAGCAATACTGCAGTCTGTTTGGCCGTGACTGTCTTATGGGTTGGAGCTAGTATGGCAAACTTGGTTAGCCTGTCGACAATGACTAAGATAGAGTCATAGGTCTTGGAGTCATACTTCTTCGATGTTGGTAGTCCTTCGATGAAGTCGAGGGATATGGAGCCCCAGGGCCTGTCTGGGGTTGCTAGTGGCTGTAGCAAACCATATGGACGATGACGAGGAGCTTTGTACCTAGCACATACAGGACAACTTGCTACATAGTCTGCAATCCAAGCTGTCATGTTTGGCCACCAGTAATGTCGTTGAGCTGCCTTGATGGTAGCATCTCTTCCTACGTGTCCAGCAGTGATACCATCATGGCATTGGGTCATCACCATGAATCGCAGATGCTCTACAGAGAGAGACTGTCCATCTACCTCTTTGGCACTCCTTGAGTGTCGGTTGTTGGTCCTCCCTGGCATGATCACCTTGGGGATAACCAACCTTCCTCCACTGTACCATAGGTCATCCTTGAGTTCGAAAGGCTTCTTCCTATGTATCTCCTGTAGCTCTTGGTCTAAAGGCTGGAAGATCTTGACCAGGTCTTTGAGACCTTTTGATGCTATGGACTCCATCGAGATCATGGGGGCCACTAGGAGCGAGTCATGGTCTGCTGTCTCCTTGAACACTCGAGGAGGCAGTAGTTGCCTCACATTGTGATCCTGCTCTTCACCGGCTGGTTGCATGTCTGTCCTTCTGGTGAGAGCATCGGGTTCACCACCTTTGTCTCCTGGTCGATACTGCAATATGAAGTCGAAGTCTGCTAGTAGTATTGCCCATCGAGCTTGTCGACCTGTGATGCGTCTCTGTGACTTGAAGTACTTGAGGGCTTCATGGTCAGTGAGGATGACCAGTTGGTTCGGTAGTCCAGCTAGCATGTGTCGCCACTGAGTGAGGCAGGCGACCACAGCTAGGAGCTCCTTATCATGGATCTCATAGTTCTTCTCGGCAGAAGACATCTTCCTAGAGTAGAAGGCCACTGGATGCCATCGTCCTTCATGCTCCTGCTTGAGTACTCCTGCTATAGCAAAGTCACTTGCATCAGTCTCCAACCTTGTTGGAAGGTGGTAGTCGAAGTGCTGAAGCACTCCTGCTGATGTGAAGGCCTGGATGAGCTTGTGGAAGGCCTGTTGGGCCTCCTCTGGTAGCTCGAACTTCTTGAACCGTTCTATAGGCTTTACCAGTGCTGTCAAGGGCTTGGCTATGCGAGCAAAGTGGGCTATGAACCTTCGATAGAAGTTGGCAAAACCCAGGAACCTCTGGATGTCATGGATTGACTCCGGCATTGGCCACTCCTTGACAGTGCGCACCTTTTCTGGGTCCATCTCTATGCCCGTTGGCTTGATGATGTACCCCAGGAACTCGACTGTCTTGGTGTGGAACTCACACTTCGACAGCTTAGCAAAGAGCCTGTTGCTCCTTAAGCGAGTGAGGACCTCGGTGACATGCTTCACATGTACCTCTTCAGTGTCACTGAAGATCAGGAAGTCATCTAAGTATACCACTACATATACTCCAATGATGTCTCGGAAGATGTCATTGATGAATGACTGGAAGTGAGCCGGAGCATTGGCTAGGCCAAAGGGCATCACTAGGTACTCATAGAGTCCCAACTGCGTGCCAAAAGCTGTCTTCCATTCATCTCCTTTAGCAATCCGGATGAGGTTGTATGCTGCTCTAAGGTCTAGCTTGGTATAGATCCTTGCCTTCCTGAGTAAGAACAGCTGCTCCTCGATGAGGGGCAATGGTGCCCTGTTCTTGACAGTGATCTCGTTGAGACCTCTGTAGTCCACACAGAGTCTGAGACCTCCATCCTTCTTTGGTACGAAGAGCACTGGTGATCGTGCCGGGCTCTTCGATGGTCTTATGAACCCCTTCTCGAGGTTCTCATCCAAGTATCTCCTCAACTCGGACATCTCCTTGGGTCCCTTAAGGTATAGGGGCCCTTGAGGTGGCTTACCTCCTTCTATCAACTCGAGGTGGAGATCATGCTCGGTATGATGGGGCAGCTTGTCTGCTTCCACCTCATCAAACACATCTCGCAGGTGTTGGTATGGCTTTGGTATGTCTGCAGCCGTCACCACCTTATCTACCTCCACCTCCATCTCGACTCCTTTGTCTGCGCCTGTAGGTACAAAACCAAAGGCCGGGAGTGATGATGGTGGCTCCTCTAACAGCATGAACCCTATGGGTCCATCTTCCAGAGCTGCTCGTAGTATGCGCTCTGCTGAGACAAACTCGTTACCATGAAGGGTTGGTCTCCTCATGGTTAGGTCCCCTGCTCTTGCTGCTTCAGGGGGTCTCCTAGGGGGTCGGTCCTGCTCCTGAGTCTTGAACTCCAGCTGGCCCGTATCCCATTGTATGGTGGGTTTGAGCCTCCGTAGCTCAGTGAACCCCAGGATGAGGTCATAGTCCGCAGTGTCGGCCACTGAAGCTTCGACCACACCCAGATTGTGTGTACCAATAGATACCTGCATGCTCGCAGAACTATTGATGGAGAGTTGGTGCCCGGTGACACCATGGATCGATCTTGTTTTTATGGGTTTTGTGGGTATTTGGTACTTACTAATGAAAGAATCTGAGACTATGGACAAACCAGCACCGGTATCAGCTAGTATCCGAGCAGGATGGTCTTGAACCATTCCAGAGAGCTCCAGTACTGCTTTGCCTCCACTGGTAGAGAAACATACTTGACAATCTTGATATATACAGAGTGATGGCGAGGAGGTTTGTAGAGCAATGCATGCCATCAGTGCATCACCCCACTGACGTTTCCCTCGTCGTCATCATCATCGTGCTCCTCCTCGTGATCGGGGTCCATGGGTTGCTGGTATGAGCTGAGGTCCATGGCCTCGGGGTCACCCGTCTCAGTGCTGCCTGTGGGGCCATCTCCTGAGTCGGTGGCCTCCTCGAAGGGGTCTGCTGTGGTGACCATAACCTTTGGTCCCATGGGTCGAGAGCTAAGAGGGTTTACCCTCCTGCTGGGGCAGTCTCTGGCCCAATGGCCGATACCCTTGCATACATGACAGGTGTTGATACCTGATGGAGCAGGGCTTCCTTGCTTCGAGGGTTGGGTGGGTTGATGAGGAAGGGGTCGGTTAGTTGGTCTGTTTAGGTTTTGTGTAGTTGCTTGTGTAGTTGCTTGTGCTGGTGATCGAGCTGGATAAGGTTGAGTGGGTTGTCGGATGGGGATCGAACTTTGATTTGGCCGAGACCCAGTTCTTAGTGGAGGTGACGTGGCATTTGGGAGTGAGTGTCTAGCCGAGGACTGCTGTAGTAGCATCCTCTGTCGATCGATCTCCTCAACCTCTCGATACCACTCCCATCTCTTCCCAGGTGGATTCCTCTCGAACTTCTCCTGTATGCTGCGAGTGAGACTACCTCTGAAGAGATCAATCACTAGCTCGTTGTCATCTAGGTTGACCTGTCCTTCCAAGTCTCTGAACCGCTCTACATGACGTGTGGCAGCACCAGGAGCATCACTTGTGAGTCTGAGAGCCAACAGCTTGTTGTATGCCTCCATCCTAGCATTGCGTGGGTTGAACTGCTCTGACAGTCGCTCTGTGAAGTAGTGCCAATCATTGAACAACCTTCCTTCTCTAGCTCTATCAATACGGAGTTTGGAGGTCCACCACTCTCTTGCTGTCCCTTCCAGTTGAGCACCCATGTGATTGATCATCCTAGACTGCTCATACACCTGGTTGAACTTAAACCATGCTTCGGCTTCTAGAATGAAGATCTCCATGTCTCGGGGGTTGAACTTTGGAAAGGGGGTGGCAATGGGCTTTGACCGGTTAAGCTCTGCCATGATGCTGGTATCCTCCTCGTGGTCCAGGGGGTAAGGGTCCGTCCTAGTCCTGCTGTAGGGGTCCAGCTTAGTCTTGACATATCTTGGCCCAGTAGGTGAAGCATACTTCTCATAGTTGATGTCCTCCTGCTCATCCAGGTTGAATGAGACTGATCGTCTTGGTCGTGGAGCTGGAGTAGGGGTATGTGGGTCTCCTATCATAGACTCATCTCCTCCTCCTGCTTGGTCTTCTGAGTGAGAGAGGTCCATTGTCTCCTCCCTGCTCAGTTGAGCTCGTTGTAATCGTTCCTCTCGATGACCCTGTCTGGTAAGCTCTAGCTGTGCTTCCAATAGAGTGAGTAGTCTATCGAGCTTATTGTTGAGGTCTGGGTCCGTCATGGTGATCGTGAGGAGCTGCTTGAACGATCCACTCTAATGTCAGGGGTCTCGCGCCTGAAACCCAGGTCGGTCTGTCGAGATACTCGGTGACTATTAAACTGTGTGACAGCTATTGTCTCGGTATCGGTGACTATCAAGTTGTGCAGTGACAGCAGGTGGCGTTCGTTGTATATACTATCGTAGGTTTCGGCTGACCTCTGTGGACACTCCGTTCAGGGGTAGCTCGGCACGATCAATATCAATGTTATGATGACACCAAGGTCTGGTGTGAGTGTTGATGATGATGAGGTTGATGGTGTTGGTGATGAGATTGGTGATGTCGATGATAATGAGGTTGATGGTGTTGGTGATAAGGTTGGTGGCGTCGATGATAATGAGGTTGATGGTGTTGGTGATAAAGTTGGTGGCGTCAACACGAGTGTCCAGTGTGTTGACTTGATGCTTGAAGTGATCCCCGGACCGCAGTGGACTACTGCCTTCGGTTCTATCTATATCCGGACCGCTAACCTGCTATGGGCGCCTTCGGACGTCAGGTAGTGGTGATACAACACACACACTACGATGAGGAGCAACCTTGATAGATTGCTGCTATGCTGACTGAAACTAATGTATACTTATGCTGAAGTGATAACTAGTTATGGTGAGTAGAGTGGATGGGGATCCACTCGACCTATGATGATGAGAAAGCATGGTTATATACCTCTTCACAGCATCGCCAGCGATGCTGCTCCTGCTCTCTCTCTCCAGAGAGTACTTTCTTCATCGAGTACTGCTCAGGGGCCTCTCCTGCTTGGCACCCCTGTTCCTCTTGAGTGGTGTCGACTCCTTCGACACTGCTCCTCCTCCTCATGACCTGTGTCGACTCCTTCGACACTGCTCCTCCTCCTCTTGACCTGTGTCGACTTCCTGTCTCTCGAGCCCCTGAGTGGTAACCATCTGCATGCTCCTTGAGCTTGGTCCTCTTCGTGGCTGTGCCTGCTCCTTGAGCTTGGTCCTCCTCGTGGCTGTGCCTGCTCCTTGAGCTTGGTCCTCCTTGTGGCTGTGCCTGGTCCTCCTCGCATGTGGCTCGGTTCTCCTTTGCATGTGAATCCATAGGAGTCCGTGGTCTCCATGGAGACTGCACTACGACCATGCTCTCTACTGGTATCGACTAGGTCTTTGATACCTGTGCTCCTTCCATATGAACCCATGACCCTCCTGCTTCTTGAGCATCCAGGCCCATGACACGCCGCAGCTCTGATCGCGTATGGCCAGAACTTCTTCGGTAGTCTCCTCTGCATTAGCAACGTTCTCATCTTCTCTCCAAGGGTCCTGTTCATTCTTTCTACCCGTCCATTTTGTTTGCTGTTGTACCCTACGGTGGTTTGCCACTCTATGCCCTTTTCTAACGACCATTCTAATGCATCATTGCTTTTCCATTCCGTTCCTTGATCGGATCGGATCGCTTTTAGCTTCCGATCCGTCTGTGTCTCCAGGAATGAAACAATCCTTTTGAGTTGCATAAAGGCATGACTCTTTCGTGTCAATGGCTGTGCATACACATACTTGCTATGATCGTCGACCAGCACCAACGTGCATGTGTACTCCGTCACGTGGGACGAGTCTATTATTAGATCGACGTGGATAAGATCCAGGGGCCCTACGGCTCTTTCGCTGCTACCTTTCCCCATCCGAGCGCTTGTGCTCTTGGATCGTACGCACTGCTCACACGTCAGAGCGGTGTTTGGATCCAATTTCATGGTATGCTTATCCTTTAACTTGGTTGTGATCGCCTTAGCTTTATCTCTTCCTGGGTGCCCGAGACGCTCATGCCATAGTTGTTGTTTTGAAACTTTCGGCTCATTCTCAATATGCTCGAACTCCTCATCAACACCTTCAAACAATGGTGCTGATGTGGCCATCGCACTTTCTTGCCATGTGTCGCCTCGGAACTCCAGAAGTCCTCGCTCGCGATTCTTTGCAATCTTAAGTGTCATGCCGTTTGTTAGAAAAATTTGGCCGCCGGTTGTGTCCAATATCACTCGTGCTCCTTCATCCGTTAATGAATTTGTTGACAGAAGGTTAACATTAAGGTGCTTTACATACAATACATTTTGCAGAGAGATTTCCCCGTAATCTGTTGATATGCTTGCATCTCCTATAGCTGCCGCTTCCAAGACCTCGCTTCCGGCGGTAATTATCCGCTTTCGGCAAGTTCTCGGGTGGATGAGCATGCTGTAGTCGTTCACCATATGGTAACTCGCCCCCGAGTCCAAGATCCAATGAGCTGTTTCTTTTGTGTTCGAGGGGTCCTGCCATTTCATTGGGAGGGTGAGGGAGCACCACGCTTCCTATTTAGGTTCAGCGAGGGGGGAGTCCTTGGGAATGGTAACCAAGGCGTCGCATTGACTGATACCATGTCCCGGTCGCTTGCAGACCCAGCATCGGATTCGGCATGACTTGCTTGCGTTCCTCGAGCTCGCGTGGCTGTTGTCGGCTTCGGCTTCGGTCTCTCCGGCCCGTTCGTTTTGATCGTTGTTGCCGGCGGTTCTAGCACTGGCTTGTCGAGGGTCGATCCTTTGTGCGGGGACGCTCTCGACAGCGGTCTGCCGGATGCTTAGTGCGGTGGCAAGGGCGTTGAAATCGATTTGATGGACGGTGGCAACCGTCTCCTTGTACACCGGATGCCGGATCGTGCATTTCTGCAGAGCCAAGAACAATGTATCATCGGCGAATGGTTTGCCGAGGAGGCTGCTTTCGGTTTGTATGGACCGGATCTCTTGAATTAGCTTTCTGGCGTCCGAGTTAAACATCTTTGTATCGTTGAGTTGCGAGATAAGCGCAAGTCTGTGAGACGTCTTGGTGGCTTCATTCGTGAGACTGTTTTCGATCTTTCTCCACACTTGGTTGAAAGTAAGGTACTCCTTGATTACATCTAGAACGAGGTAATTTACATTGTGTTCTCCGGTAGTGTCGATTGTTCCACGCAGGGCGTTGATTAAAGCATCGTCGAGGGAGCGGCTCCATTTCGGGTGTTTCTTGTCGTACGTTCCCTCGAGATGTTTCATCGCATGAGGCACGGATCGGAGGAAAGATTTCACGTGGGCGCTCCAGCTATGATAGTTTCGTGACGTGAGCTTTGGCACGGGTTCGAGGAGCTTTGCTAGGGTGCGAAAGTTATATCGCTTGTCACCATCATCAAAGTCGGAGTCGGAATCGGTGTCTTCGTCGGCTTCATCATTGATGGCCTCCGGCTCGTTCTCGCTCGTGGCATTATTATCGACCCGAACCTGGGTGTTCTTGCCTTTTCTGCCTCCTTTGGTCCTCGTTTCGGTGTCTTCTACCATGGTTGTCGGCGAGTTTCGGTTAGCTCGGTGATAGCTTCTTCAGACTCTTAATCAAATGAAGATAACAATTAATATACGGCGTTATCGGGGTCACGATCAGACTCCCTTTACCACAGCCGTATGTTCTATGTAATGCTTGGTTTTCATGATGTGAGACTGAATGACAAACACATATATATACTCCATTCACTGCTCTGGTCCTATTCGAGGCAGGATGTGTCTCTTCATTTGTACTCCTGTGTTGCTATGATACCGGGTGCCACTGTGCTGTCACCATGACAACAATTACGTACCTCATTGTACTTCTCGCTTACGTGAGCCTCCCGTGTCTCAATGTCTCGGCCGTAACATGTGCATCTTACTTGAGATGCCGACGCATCTTCAACTCGTCTGCTTTTCAAGATAGTCTTTTTTAGACTCGATTTCATGCATTTTCCCTTACGGTACAGTATTTTGGCCCTACCGCCGACCGCACGAACCTTCTCCTCCCTACCCTTCCTTCGAAAGCCTGACTACTGTATCTCGAACTCTATAAAACTTACCCCTCTCTTCCGCCCTGTCTACCCTCATCCTCACAACAATCGTCAACTCAAAGCTTGAACAGTACCAAAGTCAAGATGTCTAACCTCAACCTTCGCGTCGGCTACGTGCCCGAACATTTCGCTGCCCCCCTCCTCCAGCTCGCCGACACACCATGGGGTCAGCAAAACCTCAACCTTGTCTCCCAGCCCTCAGGCACCGGGCAGATGCTCACCTCGCTCGACGCCTCCAACTCAGAGGGCCAGCAGATCGATGTAGCCGTCGCTCTCACAGAAGCTCTCATCACCGGTATCGCCAAAGGCCGTGACGACTACAAGCTTGTTGGCTCCTATGTCCGCACTTCTCTCAACTGGGCCGTGATCACCGGCACCTCTTCCTACGCTGAGAAGTACAAATCGATCTCCGATCTCAAAGGCACCAAGATCGGTATCTCCCGAATCGGAAGTGGGTCTCAAATCATGGCTAGCGTCATGGCTCTCCAGCATGGCTGGAACACTTCTGCTGAGGGCCAAGGCGGCGAGATCGAGTTTAAAGTCAATGACTCGTTCCAAAACCTTCGCGATGGAGTGAATGGCAAAGAGCCGTACGATACGTCGTGCTTTATGTGGGAATGGTACACTACGAAGCCGTATGCTGATTCGGGGGAGGTTAGGTTCATTGGTTCGGTTCCCACTCCTTGGCCCTCCTGGACCATTGCCGCTTCGTCGAACACTGCGCTTAAATCTGACGATGGTCGATCGGGCAAGCTCAAAGAGTTCTTGGACAAGCTGCAGGAGAGTATCAAGCAGTTCGCGAACCCAGAGACTAGGAAGAATGGAGAAGCAAAGAAGTTTATTGTCAACCTTCACAAGTACAAGGAGGAAGATGTGGAGAGCTGGCTGCAGACGGTCAGATGGGCTGGTGAAGAGACTCCTAATCCGGAAGGGGTAAAGGTTCCTAGTGCCGGACAGAACACAGATACAAAAACAGTCTCGAAGGATGTCATCAAGGAGACGCTCGAGTTGTTGGAGAAGGCCGGAGTCGTCAAGGCTGATAAAGAGGCCAAGGTGTTCGTTGACAGCGAAAGCCGTCTTGTTGCTTGATCGTAGTCCGCTAAAATACTTCAAGAATATTCTATCAGAAGTAGGTAATCGCACCTCATTCGTACCTGCGCTTAATAAATCATATGCAATACACACACTTACGTGGAGCCCCGACGTTGTGTTGCAAATGAGATGATATATATTTCGAGACCAATCTAAGACAACGTTGAGCCGTGGTTATCTCCCCTGCTGAAGCTCCCTCTCAAAGCTCTCCGCCGGATCCTCCATAACGCAAGCCTCGCTCAACATTCCACTCCCATGTTCCGAGTTCGTTCCACCCTGAATAATCCCGGCACTAGCTCCCAACACCGAATATCCACCCGCCGGACCATCGGCATCAGTGGGACTACTCTTCTGAATGTCCTCCCTTGTCGGGATCGGCAGTGACTCTTGCCTCCTCGGTTGCTGCGCCAAGCTGGCCTGTCTCCTCACCTCACCTCTAAAGCTCCTGACTTCTTCCAAAATCAGCTGCTTCATCCCTTCCACCTCATCCACACTCTCAAACCCGAAATCGAAGCGTCGGGGGCAAGTCGGTTCATCAGCCGGATCATGCCAAACCGCCAAATAAGGATGCTGTAGTGCTTCCTCACAACTTATCCTCTTGGCGGGATCGAACTCCAGCATCCTCTCCAACAGATCCAGCGCTAGCGGGTTTGCCTGGGGATACAACCTCTGGAAAGGAATTCTCGGCTGATAAGGCAGAGATCGAATGTAATCTTGCGCTCTTGGCGAACCAACTCTCCTCAACGTCTCTTCACTTGGCGTGCCCAAATAGTGCAAGATCTGGTTCAACTGATCAACGTAGTCCCTACCCTTGAAGATGGGCCTACCACTCAACAGTTCCGCCAAAATACACCCTACCGACCAAATATCAATCGCCGTTGTATAATTCTGGAAACTCAACATAATCTCCGGTGCTCTATACCATCTAGTCGCCACATACTCTGTCATGAACCCTCCCGCACCAGCCTGTTTCGCGAGCTCTGGATCCGTTTCGAACCCTCTTGCGAGCCCAAAATCGCAGATCTTCAACTCGCAGTCCGCATTGACCAAAAGATTACCTGGCTTAAGATCACGATGAAGCACCGAAGCGAAATGGATATACTTCAATCCGCACAGAGTCTGGTAGATAAAGCTCTGGAAATGAGCATCTGACAGCGGTTGACCAGATCGAATGATGGCGTGGAGGTCAGCTTCCATGAGCTCTTCGTAGAGATAGACTTCGTTGAAGTTGGTAGGGTCGATGATGTCCATGTCGTAGAGACAGGTGATGTTTTTGTGACCGCGGAAGTGACGCAGAAGTTTGATTTCGCGAAGGGCACGTTTGGTGAGGATCTTTTTGGTGAATACGTTGGTGATTTTCTTGATAGCGACGGATTCGCCGGTGGAACGGTGGGTAGCGGCTGCTACACAGCCGTATGCGCCCTGGCCGAGGTCTTTTGTAATTTCGTAGGCATTGTCGATCAGGAAGGTCTGGTTGAGGACGCTGTAGGGCGTGCGTTGCGGATTGGATGGGAGGGCCGACATGTTGTAGATAGGATGCGCCGGTGCCGGTGCCGGTGCCGGTGCCGGTGCCTCTATTGGGATGCTTCTGGAGGTGCTGTAAAAGGGGAAATGAGTGAAGTTCTTGTGAGAAGAAGCTAATCTTGATTCGATAATATAAGATACCCTGAGGTTGACACCTGAGCTCCCGAGTCTCTAGAGAGTCTGATAAAGAGTGGGACTGGAAGATGAGCAAAGGCGGCTGGTTGACGTAAAGCGCGGCGGAGCAATGTTGGAAACCGCTGGTTGTTGCAAGGAAAGCAAGATGCGGGTGGGTCCGATGTACGATGATACTGCGGTTGCTCGAGGGTGCCACTTTGTGTGCTACCTTAGTGGGGCGTGTTATGTAGATACGTTATCGTCAAGCGGCGGAAGGGAGTTGAAGGAGGATGTGATGGTGGAGAAAGGAGTAGAGATAGTGGAGAAAGGAGTAGAGATAGTGATGATGAATGGGAAGGGATGCTAAGGATGAGGCGGCGGAGAAGAAGGCACGTGCATTTGGCAGTGTTGCGTGTGTGCGTTTTTCTGTGTGCCGAACGCTGACGGGTGTACAAAATTTCGGATTCCTTTTTAAAGCGCAAAACCGGCTGCTGCAACAACTGCTTATGCTGTTCCCACTCGTTCTTTGCTTGCATTAATCCATCAAGCATGCACTTGCTGATCACCCAGAAAACTAGTATAATGACAGCTACTGTGACTGGTATCCTTAGTGTAGATAAGATCGTTGATGAATGATTAACATGCAGAAAAAGAAAAAGAAAAAGAAAAAGAAAAAGAAAAAGTATTAAAAAAAAAAAAAAAAAAAAAAAAAAAAAAAAAGGTCATGGCGTCGGAACACAATCGACAGCCGCCATTTCGCAGTATAAAAAATTCAAACCGAGCCAACAATCGTTCGTGTATGCATAGCCTGGACTAACATCTGTCGCTTGACCTTCGAAGTGATACTTGCCCCTGCTCCGAGTCACAATAGCTTCAGCCTCGAGTCGATACCACCTTCGAAAGCATGGAACAGACGATGCTTCTCCTCCTCTGCAGGCTGTTGAGGCTCAATTGAAAGAGTTGCGGTTGGAAATGCTGGTAGCACAAGAAGTTGACAGCTGTGAAGGATCATCTTGCAGGCAGCGTTTACTTGGTTGGCGCATCTCCGCAAACCAACACTTCTCTACACAAGCTGTCAATGGCAGGATACGCACCACCACACGCAGGAACAAATACGCCACCACAATCAACCAAGAGCCCACGAGGCATCATCTCAAGAAGCGTCTGTCAATACAGTGCAGTATGACGTCGAAACGTGGGCCGTGGTGTTTGCCGCTACAGCTTTGGCAACTAGAAGCTCGGTCTGGTTGATGACGGGAAACTCTTGTTCCTTCTCGGTGTCGAAGAACGAATGAAATGGCCAAGTGAGCACAGCTTTCAGGACAGACCTTTCCTCTTTTCCGCTTTTGCTTACAGCCAAGGACTTCCGTCGACTCTGCTGTTCAACTTATCCGACCGCAGGCATCTGCACTTGCGCAAATCGCCGGACAACGTTGTTCCACTTCTTCTCAGCTCCAACAGAGTTAAACACACGCTCTTGATCATCGTACTAGAGCCTTGATGTCACTGACAAATACGCTTTCATGTTGCAGCGTTAGCCCTTTCGTTCGAGATGTTGATCCGCCGAGAGGCTGTGCTCGGTATTCGTTGGCCCGACCTCCGTCCTTAGCTGTCAGATGTTTCGAGTCACTATCATTGGCTGTGCTCCTGGAGGTCCACCCTGCTCCGTCTTCTGGTGGCAAAACCAAGACGGCGACTGATACGATGTGTTCTAGTTGTCAAAGCAAGATGACGATGAAAAGTTTAACAGAAGGATGTCAAGCCCTCCTGACTCACAAAATTAGATTTTTGGACTCCGGAAGTCGGCCATTTTTTTGAGAAGATCCGAGCCTGATTTTGAATTTGTTGGCTGCAGGGGGTGTTTGTTCAGCTCTTCCCGTTTGTGGTCGCACCCTTCGCTCCCTCACATCATCCTCTCTCTTCAGCTTCACCCGTCTTCATCCAGCTGACGAGGGCAGAACAGCGTAGCGGATAATGGCGTCGCTCAATGGGTCGCCTCAGAAGAAGCGGCTAAGAGAGAACGGCCTTGCTTCGCCCAGATCTCCCTCCACTTCTACCAACTCCTCGCCCACCAAGAAGAAGAAGAAGAGCAAGTACGCTAATGCTCCCTCCGCCTTTGCGCGCAACGGATCGAGTCCTTCCTCCAAGCAGCCCAATGGCACCAATGAGCCCAGCTCAAGCTCGGCATCCTACTCAGCGTCACCCTCACCCTCACGCAAAGAACGGCCTTCGGACCCCGCAGATGCTTCTTCTGTCTCAGCCAATGCCACAGCGTCAGCATGGATCAGAGACGCACTCAAGAACGTAAACCCTCGCATCATGGAATCTCGCACTGCACTACCCATCGTATCCGGCAAAGAAGCCATTGTCGACGCTGTTCGCAAGCACGACACTGTCGTCATCCTCGGCGAGACTGGTTCCGGTAAAACAACCCAAATCCCTCAGTTCCTTTTCGAAGCAGGCTTCGCACGTCGAGCACCCGTCCAGATGATCGGTATCACACAACCTCGTCGAGTCGCAGCAACATCGCTAGCACGTCGTGTCGCAGTTGAGATGGGCCAGCCTGACCCTGCTTTGCTCCCCAACCTCAAAGGCAAAGCCAGGAATGCAGCTGGTGGCTTAGTGGGATACAGCATTCGTTTCGAGGATCGCACTACACGCAACACACGAGTCAAGTTCATGACGGACGGTATGGTGCTGAGAGAGATGATTGGTGATGTGGCTGCCGTCGAGCCGAGTAAGGCAGCGGACGCGGTAGCATCAACTTCTTCCGCAGCTGCTTTGCGGTCAAACCTGCTGCTTAAGTACTCGGTTCTGATCATTGACGAAGCTCACGAGCGCACACTTCGAACAGATCAAGTGCTGGGCTTGGCGAAACGCATTCAGCGCGAACGCAAAGTGCTTCGTCAATCCTGGCTCGCTCGCAACAAACCGACCAACGAGCCAGAAGTGACCGAACTCAAGATCATTGTCATGTCTGCAACCCTTGACGCCGATCGCTTTGCAAATTTCTTCGCTACCCCTTCCACCGCTCTTGCAGCCAAAAGTACTGCTGCTGAACCCACCATCGCTGCTGCCTCAAACAGCAAACAAGATGTTCCGATCCTCTACGTTAAAGGCCGGCAACATGAAGTCTCAATGTATCACACCGAAGAACCAGCACAAGTATGGACCGACGCCGCACTCCGAACTGTCCTCCAAATCCACGTCTCCCGCCCGCCAGGAGACATCCTCGTCTTCATGACGGGTCAAGAAGAGATCGACACCCTCGCCCGCTCTCTCGAGCTCTACTCCTCCGAACTCCCCGCATGGGCCGAAGCAGAATCCAGACCACTCCCCATGTCCCTCATGATCGCCCCCCTCTACGCAGCTCTGGGTCCCAGCGCAAGTGCAAAAGTGTTCAGCCCATCCCCGCCTCGCACACGCAAAGTCGTTCTTGCAACCAACATTGCCGAAACATCCATCACTATCCCTGGCATCGTCTTCGTCGTAGACTGCGGTTTGGCGAAGGAAAAAGTCTACACACCTGGTACTGCCGTCGAAACCCTCCAGGTGCAAGAGATCAGTCAGTCAGCTGCGAGACAGAGAGCTGGTCGTGCAGGTCGTGAAAGCGCAGGTGAATGTTATCGTCTCTACACGCAGGAGACATTTAAGGGGCTTCCGTTGGCAGGGGTTCCAGAGATCGTCAGGACAGACTTGGCGGCCGCGGTGCTGCAGTTGTGTGCGATGGGGCAGGATCCGTATACGTTTGATTGGTTGGATCAACCTGATAGGAACGGATTGCAGGAATCGGTGTTGCAGTTGATTCAACTTGGTGCACTCGACATCAAAACTACCGCTCCTGTCAATGGAAGTGGTGGGGCTGAGGAAGGGAAGAAAAAGACCCCGACCGCAAAACTCGTGTTGACGGCGATTGGGAGTAAGATGGCGATGCTACCCGTTTCTCCCGCCTACTCCCGCTCGCTTATTGCTGCTGGGGAGAGAGGGCCAACGGTGGCTAGACAAGTGAGAGATTTGATTGCAATTCTTTCAAGCGACAGGTCGATTCTTGTTGACCCATCAGATCCCGAGAAGAGAGATGAGGCGAACAAGGCTAAGGCTACTTTCATGCATCCTTCTGGCGATCATGCTACGCTTCTCACCGTTCTCTATTCCTATCTCGCTGAGGCGGATGAAATTCGAAAGACGGCCAAAGCGAGGAAAGACAGCAAACTCGACACAAAGGCCATCGAAAAAGAAGGCCGAGAACAACTCAAAGCATGGTGTTCGAACCACTACGTACACGAAAAGGCAGTCAAGAACGTGCTTCATATTCGCAAGCAACTTCGCACAATCTGTCGTCAACAGAAGATCGTTTGTGATGACGATCTCCCCACCAACTCCTCTTCTACTAACGGCACCGCTCACAATGACTCCGATCCCGACTCTGAATCCGACTCTTCCACCTCCTCGACCACCGGTGGCGTTGACCAAGATGGGTTGTTCGTCACCCGAAAAACCACCTCTTCCTCCAGCTCGCTCTATCCCGACGCAGACTCAGAAGAAGATACCCATTTCACCGGACTGCGACAATCCCTTCTCGAAGGCCGAATTTCCAACGCAGCGCTCAAAAACCCTTCCACCCCTAACACATATAAACGCATCACCTCCTCCTCCCTCAGCAGCACAGGAAACACGTTTAAGATTCATCCTTCGTCAACACTGCACCCGTCCAAATTGGCGAGAGAGGGTGGGGTGAAGAAGATGGATGCGATCTTGTTTGAAGAATTGGTGTTAACTACTCAGACTTTCGCTAGGACTGTGAGTGTTATTGAGCCGGAATGGTTGCAGGAGTTTGCTCAGCGGAGGTGAGAGTAATGCGGGAGGGAAGCGAAGCAAGTATGGGTGGGATTAGGACCCGTTCGGGTGCGGAGCGAACGCATCAGGCGAGCAAAAGGCGATGATGTTGATCCCATACGTTCTCCATGCTATTTTTTATCCTCCCAAGAAGCTGTGACGCTGATTCCGTCTTCATGCGGAAGCGGACAAGCACTGCGCTGTACACATGCAATTCACGCAATCCCCCGCAATCGTCGTTCTGTGTCCGGTCCGTGTCTGAGCGGCAGCGGAATGATTCTTCCTCACGTAGATAGCGATGATGTTGATCCCACACATTCATCATTCGCTTCCCGGCGTGTTTGTGCAAAAGCGGACGAACATCTCAGATGCGTGGAAGGCAATCATGTTGATACCACACACTACCTCCCCCTTGTTTGTTGGCACGAAGGATCACTGCCAATCGCACGGAGAACATCACCTTTAAAACCAACTGGATATTATCACGAATGACATGAAACCTGAGACAGACTTTTCGACTACGGAAGCTGAAGAAAGGGTGACCCTACGATTGCGAACACCTCATGCTTACTCCAGGTCATCATAGATAATAGTCTTGACACTGAACTTAGTCCTATCAGCCGCATGTTCCACAGCCTCCTTTGCCTTTTCCAAAGGGAATCTGCTCGTGACGATCTGCTTCACATCGATCTTTCCGCTGCTAACCAACCTGATAGCTCTTGGCCAAGTGTCTCTGTACCTGAACAAGAACTTGAGTGTGATCTCGTTCGTCGACAGATGCATGAAGGGAATCTGTTGGTAGCTTGCACCGACACCAATGACGAATACTAGACCGCTGGCAGCGGTAGCGTACGAGGCAGTTTGGACGGAAGATTCGATACCAGTGCATTCCATTGTGATTGCTGGTTGCACATCTTTTTGACCCTCGGCGATGTGCTTTCCGGAAGCGCGGGAGAAGACTTTGCAGATTTCGGTAGCTGATTCGAGGGGGCTAAGCTTAGGGTCGACCTTGTAAGTGAATGTACCAGGAACAATCTTCTGGGCAAAATCGAGTCTGTCCTGGACGACATCAGTGATGACGATGGGCGTAGCTCCTGCTGCTGATGCACAGAGCAACTGGACAATACCAATAGGTCCTGCACCAGTGATCAATACCGGAGTACCCAACGAAATCTCTGCCTGCAAAGTTGCCTGAAGGGTGACGGAAAGGGGTTCGAGCAGAGCAATCTCTTCATAAGACATGTTGTCAGGAACCTTGTGCAACCATCCTGCCGGATGTTCGTGGTAGCGTTTGAGGGTGCCATCCTTGGGTGGGACGGAATAGAAGTCGACGGTGGGGCAAAGGTTGTACTTGCCGGTACGACAGTAGTCGCAAGTGGCCTTGAAACAGGGGACTCCGGGTTCGATAGCGACACGGTCACCAGGAGCGACGTTGTCGACTCCTTCACCGACGGCAATGACGATACCACCGGATTCATGACCAAGAGCGCATTGGTTTTCGATCTTCCAGGGTCCAAGACCAGCGTGTTTCCAGAAGTGGACGTCGGAACCACAGACACCGGTGGCACGGACATGGACGAGGGCCATACCGGGGCCAGGGGCGGAGGGAGCGGATTTGATCAGCTCGAGCTCTTTCTTGTGGGTAGCCCTGCGAGAAGAGGAGAAGGTGAATCAAGAGGAGAAATGTCAGTTCATGATGACGTATGAAAATGAATGGATGTCCTCGCCGCTACAGAGCTTTCCACTGCTGACGCCAGATGACTACAAGCAGCGACAGCGCTGTTCGGTGTCATGCGAAGATTGCTGGACTTACATAAGCATGAGGTTGTCTTTAAGAGCCGAAAGCTCCAAAGAGGAGGGCTTGGTGTCTGCGACTGGAGCCATCTCGAGAAAATCCTTTGAACAGAAGTGGTGCAGAAAGGAGGGAGGTGTACGATGTTGGCGATGATGAAGAGACACTTCTAGCTGCTTCAGACTTTATACTCGCCCGCGTAGCGACAGAGGGACGAGCGAAGGGAGACCCGGCACACATTTCTTCCAGCTGACCCTTTCGCAAAAGCAAGAGATCACTAAGACCACACAGCTGCGAGAACAACACACGCATGCTCGACTCGGACTCGGTCGCTGAGGCACATTTGCCACACCCAAGCTAGGGGAAGCAGGAAGAAAGAGAGATAGCCGAGGGAGAGCAGAAAACAAAGCTGGACCCCGCACAAGGCAAGGCAGAGAGGGAAAGAGACAGATGTCGTGTTCAACAGTCAGCTCTCGGGAAACTCCCTCTCCCTGTCAAAATAGTTGTGCGCGTGGCCGGTCAATTTGGTTGCCGGCTTCCCCGCCGTTGTGTAACGTTGAGCCAAAAAATTCGGATTTTGAGGCTTTTTCGAGCGGCGGCAATCTCAGTTGTGTTTGCTGCAGCTGCACATGTGCGTGCGTGTTGGACTGGGTTCGGCAATCTCAAAACATGCTCTCAGGAGCCAATGGATATATCTTAGGGCTGGACTGAGGCCTGTTTAACGGGTTTGCGCGTTCTTCTGGTCCGACTTTAAGCAATGGCGAGCAAGACGTAACACTGAAGATGATACTGGTATCGCCCTGAATCGACTCAAGGAGGTCACCGACACTTGAAGGCAGAGACCGTTTTAGCCTCATTTTGTCCAGCAAGGCGAGGACGACGTTGCTGGTCATTGGCCGTTGTGACGTTGGTATGAAGATACAAAGCTACTCATCGTCGAGCTCGGGATAGTGTCTGAAGATACCGTCCGAATAAGGCCTCCTCCTATCGCTATCTAAATATTCCTTCAACTCGCCCTTAATCTCGTCATACAGCTCGAAGACATGCTTGTACTCTCCACTGCTCCTGTGCTTGCCCAAGCACTTGGGGAAAGCGAACAACAACCCATCCAATACCTGAAACACAGCCAGATCAGCCACTGTCGTCTTACTTCCATACATCCTCTTCTTTCCAGAATCCTTCTTATCCACTCCAGCGCCATCTTTGCTCAACGCAACCTCAAAAAGCTGCAAGAACTTCGGAACTCGATTCGTCCTGAAATCAGCAGCCCTCTTCTTGGCCTCTTTCTTCTGATCCTCGTAAAGGCTAGAAACCGAGATGGGGTGATGCGTGTCGTGCGTTTCGGTGTTCATATCGAGGGCTGTAGCACAGAGCTGATAGATCTGAGCTACCGCAACATCTCGTTCGAGACCTTGTAGTTTGTCTGCATCGCCGAGAAGTCCGAGTCGAGGAGCAAGGAAGCTGAGCTGAGCTGGAACTTGACTAATGTAGTGCATCTTGTCCATGCTCTTGTCTCGAACGCCGAGGACGGGGACGGCAAAGTGGGGAGCTGCGATGCCCGGGACATCCTTGTTTGAGAGAAGTCGAAGGAGTTCAGGAATGTCACCGATGTCGTTGTACTTGGTCTTGGCGTGTTCGAAAGCCAGTCGGGTGAACTCGCCTCGACCCGGGATGCCTGGCCAGTAAAAGACGCTGTACTCTACTTCCTGCGACATTGTAGTGCTGTGAGCTTGCTATAGTGTAGGCTGCTGGTAGCGTACAGAGTCCATGAGACCGTAATCAGTCAGTCTTTATATAGACAGCTTCGGGGATAACGCATGGGCCAAGCGCACAAGTTGAAGATACGTCGAAGAATTTCCAGGGTTTATCCAGAATGCCGACAGGGCGAAGCTCGTAGAAGCGAAGGCGGCTTATTCACGAGCTGATTCAGGTATGTGGAATGCATGAAGGTTGACATGACAATGGCTCAGGAGCTCTGCAGAAGAGACACTCGACTCACCTAAGGCTGCTCGATGTTCTCAGAGACAATATGAAGATATATATACTCATGTTTGTAAGCATGATCGTGGCCTCAACGAAGTGGAGCATACATTTCAACTGCGCATGTTCCAGTTCAGGGTCGACGAAGAAGGTGTGGCAGCAACATATTCCCTGTTGCCGCGCTAATTCTCATCTGCTGGAAGATAGAACTCTGAACGACACCAATCGGGAGGTATTAGTCACAGTACGGCGTTCAAGCTTGTTGAGCTAAACACTATACTATATTGACATGAGGAAAGAACATAGCGGTAGCTCGAGCTCTCCGCTCACTATCTATATACATTCTGGTTTGTGGCTGTCTGTGAGAATATCCCACCTAATGACTGTCTATGACAACGGATGTGTCACTGTTGCCCTCGATCTTCATCGTGTGGGCCCGCCCGATTTCCGATCCGATTGACTCTCCCCGATCAGTCACCAGATCGCGTTCTGCTGGATCGTTATCTCCAGCATCATCATGGCTTTCATCCTTCGAGGCTTACCCCTCACGGTAGTTGTCTCGGTCTAACAATCCTTACCTGCTGCCGCCAAAGTGGAGGTTTTTGTCGGCATTAAAGGCGGCACAAAGCGCAATCTGTGTAAATTCTGGAAGGTTACGCGTTCCAGGCACAGCACAAAGAAGAGATCACGCAAATTCAAATTGCGCACAAGTACGCAGTGTGCGCGACCAGACACAACGTCGCATTGAATCAGCTTGTGCTCAGCCTCAACTCGAACCCTGATTCCATCTTGTGCCACCTCTCCTTCCAACTCCTTACCAACACCTACAGCCCACCTAGGAACGCCTCGGAAAGGCGCTCGCCATTATGAGCTTCCACTTCACTGGCGCAGGACGTACAAGAGCGCCTGTCACTCTCGGCGGCACATCCACCGTCTCTGCTGATCCAGCTGGCAGCGCACGAGCGCAACGTCTCGAACGTGAACAGCAACGACGCAAGCAGGTAGCATCAGTACGGATCCAGTCGCAGGCGCGTCGCATTCTTCAATCTCGTCAAGTCAGGGTACAATGGCAAGCACAGTCTAAGCAGTTGCTGGATCAGGTCGAGGCTAATGTTGGCTCTGCCAACGCTCCTCTTGACGACCTTATTCTCGCCACAAGAGCCCTGCTCGCCAGTCTTGGTCCTGCAACAAGAACATTAGATGAATCGGATGTTCAGCTCTACTTGCGTTGGATCAAGCTGGTCTCACAAACCATTGGCCAATTCCAGCTGGTGTTCCTTCCCTTCAAGCACGGGGCGCAAGAGTTTGTCGGCAGATGGCTGTCATTGCTTCGCTTGGCTTGCAAGCACTCGCTTCGCTTCCTTGCTTCCGCATCTGCCTCTCGTGCCTCACAACCATCTCCAGCATCTTCACAGTCGACACTTGATCTCGAGATCCTATCCTTCCTTGGCCTTCTCACCGGCGTAGACCCCCGTTCGCCTGCCAACTCTATCTCGCTGCACGGAAAGGACCACACTCTCGCCTCCTCACTCCTCGCTCTTCTTCTCGACTTCGGACTGCATCGAACTTTGCGCGACCACATCCTTTCCTTTACCATCCAGCAGAAAGCAGCTGCCCCTAGCCTTGCGCCTGCACTATCACTCTCTCTTGCACCTCTGCACACCTTCAAATCTGCTGCTCCTCCGACCTCATCCAAAGCTACAACGGCTGTAAAAGGCGTTTCTATGAATGATGCGATCGATATCGATGTTCATATGAACGATTCAGAAGGTCCGGGCTCCATTCGTGACAAGGCAATTCACTGCTTTGCTGTCGAGGTGATGACCATTCCTGCTCTCCGCAAGCGTTTACCAATCAGCTCAGTCACCGAGCTCGCCAAGGAGCTTCCCTTCAATAAAGTGCTGGAATGGATCACTTCGTACAAGCCTCAACACGCTAACGTGCCACGCGTGGAACGTAGCCAGCTTGCCTGGACGGGGACAAATGAGGCCGAGAAGGCTTTGTCGCAACCATACTTGCTCTCGAACCTACTGGCTTTCGGCTCTCAGCGTATTGCATTCTTCAAAGATGGTGCTAGTCTCGCCAAGTATTTGACTGCCCTCACCAATGCCCAAGACTGGCTGGACGGCTCTGTCTTTGACCCAGCAACGGCCAAACCAGGTGCAGTTGCACTCAACGGCGCTTTGAGCAAGTCGTCGGCCACGAAAGATGCTAGCCCGGAGGCTGCTGAGACATACGAGCGACTCCACATTCTCGTCTCAGATAAGCACCTTGCTACCATCCTTGCTCTCTCCAATCGATACCCGACCTCAACTCGTGGTCCCCTCTTCGCCTTCATCTGTGCAACACTGAGCGCATGGCCGCTCGACATGCGAGATCAAGCCCTTGACCGCCTCCTCTACTCCTCTGGGGCAGACTTGCAGGTACAGGCTGCGGCGAGGACACAGCAAGCAGAAAGGCCAGTGGGTCCTACTGGCACCGCCCTCGTTCGAGAGTTCTGGCGAGGCTACGTGCGTGGTAGTGGTCTTGCCCGCGCCCTTGCTTCAGCCCATGACAACATTAGGGCAAAGGAGATTCTTTCAACACTTTCCGACAAGGGCACCATTCAAGACTGGCCCGCGCTTATCTTGGTCCTGGAGATGCTCTCCAAGGTGCTGCTCACGCTTGGTGATGACGAATTCTATTCGACTTTCGACGAGTCTATAAATGGCCGCGGTGGCCACAATCGTGGGTGGCTTTCTCGAGATGAGATTCTCAGCATTAGCGGTCTTTTGCGCAACGTGGCATTCGCCATGTACTGGTTCGAAGGCAAGGCTCCGTTGACCAACCTTAACAACGATGAGTCTGAAGACGCTAACGAGCGACAACGCACACCGCGTGTGCCTGGTATGCGTATGACGTTATTGTCGCTCCGCACACTTGTGACTAAGCTTCTCAAGCAGCTTCACTCGCGTGACTCAAGGCATCGCTTTGCACCCGCCGACCATTGGCTTATGGTCAGCCATCTCGATCTCAACGACTTTATGCGCACTGTCGTACTCGAAGAAGAGCAACTCAGCAGCGAACAGCAGCAAGAAGAGCAACCTGAGCCTATCGAACAAAGCGCTCCGAACCTTGTTCCAACACGACCTTACAATCGAGTTGAGGCTGCCATGGACAGGCTACAGCAGCAAGCGCTTGCAATCGAACGTGGAGAGATGGAGTTCGATGAAAACTTGGAATATGTGCCAGTCCAGCCGCAACCTTTGGCCCGTCTGCAGCAACTTCGCAATCAGGGTGGAACGCGTGGACGCCATCTCACAGCGCTCAATCTTGCGTTCCTCTCTCCGCGTCTGGGGATCTTGAACAATGTCCCGTTCATGATCCCATTCGATGTGCGAGTGCAGATCTTCAGGCAGTTCGTCAACATCGACGCAGTGAAGAACGGAATCTATCGAGACCGATGGCAGCCGCGTCGTGCCGTTCGTATTCGCCGAGAACATGTTGCTCAGGATGGATTCGTAAATCTGGCTCCATTAGGGGCTGAGATCAAGAAGCCGCTCGAGATCCAGTTTATTGACAAGTTCGGTCAGGTCGAAGCGGGTATTGACGGCGGTGGACTGTTCAAGGAGTTCCTCACAGCTTTGGTGCGCGAGGCTTTCGATACCAACAGAGGATTGTGGAGAGCGACGGATGCTCAGGAGTTGTACCCGAACCCGCACACCTACGCTATATCGGGTGATCAACTCGAATGGTACACCTTCTTGGGCCGAGTCATTGGTAAAGCACTGTACGAAGGCATTCTTGTAGATGCCAAGTTCGCTGGATTCTTCTTGTCCAAGATGCTTGGCAAGCAATCCTATCTCGACGACTTGGGATCGATCGACAGTCTCGACAAGGAGCTCTACAAAGGTCTTATCTCGCTCAAGAACTATCAGGGCAACGTCGAAGATCTTTCCCTCAACTTCACCGTGACTGATGAAGAGTTCGGTGTCAGTATGACCCGCGAACTCATCCCTGAAGGCGCCAATATCCCGGTCACAAACCTCAACAGGATGGAATACATCTACCGCATATCGCACTACCGTCTTTCCACGCAGATCCAGCACCAGTGCAACGCCTTCTTTACCGGTTTGGCTGACATCATCAACCCTCGTTGGCTACGCAATTTCAACCGCGAAGAACTCTCGGTGCTCATCAGCGGTACGGATGAGCCTGTTGATATTGAGGATCTGCGAAAGCACACAGTGTTGGGCGGATACCACGAGCAGGATTTGACGGTACAGCACTTCTGGAAGGTACTGGAGGACTTTGATCAGCCGATGAGGAAGGCTTTCCTCAAGTTTGTTACTAGTTCGCCCAATCCTCCGTTATTAGGGTTCAGTCAGTTGAATCCGCTGTTTGCGATCAGGAAGGCAGGGGATGATACGAGTAGGTTGCCAACGGCAAGTACTTGTGTGAACATGTTGAAGTTGCCGGATTATGCGGATGAGAAGACGTGTAAGGAGAAGTTGAGGTATGCTATCCAGAGCGAGGCTGGTTTCGATCTTTCTTAAGCAGCACGAAGCGGAAGACACTCTTTTGTTGGAGATCTAAAGCTGTTCGCTTCTATAGATGATATGTTGTGTTTCCGATTGATCGGCCTGACTTTGAGAGTGTGTTACTGTTAGTGATGGTCGTGTAAGTGCGCAAAAGTCGCTCACATAAAGATGAGAAGATTGGAATTTCGGCTCTCGGAAAGCGAGGTTGCAGATATTCCACTTGCTCTTTTTGTGAGCACCGGTTGATGCTACCCTTTCACACCAGCCCGTCGACGTTTGAGTATCAGAACAACTTGACCACGGAAGAGGTTGCAGCGATGGCATCAGCCAGTACCAGCTCATACCGTCTAGCTGCTCGGCTGCAGCTGCGGTCTTCACAGCCAAGAGCGTTACTCTCCCGCACACCGTCTCGGATCCTTTCTTTCAGCGCTTCTTCTTCAGCATCTTGTTCCCGCACGCCTCTGTCCACTATCCGACATGCCAGCTCCTCTTCGCAACCCAATAAGCCCGGCAAAGGCCCCAGAAGTCAGGACGGATGGTCTCGTCACCGAGCACAATACAACTACGACCCTTTTACCCTCCATCCAGAAGAAAAGCACTACACCTACCCACTAGTCACTGCTGACGATCTCGCAGCTCGCAGCTCCTCCTCTTCTCGCACCGATGCCAAACCTGCCCCTAAGATCACAAATGGCCCAGGCGGTAGACCACGAGAAGTCCGCATGCTAGCAAGAGACTTCATTCATGATAGTCTGTACAATCCTAATTATGGGTATTTCACCAAACAGGCTGTGCTTCTTCCCGATCCTTCTCCCCCCTCCACCACCACCACCACCACCACTACCACCACCACCACCACCTCCTCCTCCTCCTCCGCCTCCGCAACAACGAAAAAAGGGGTGGTGAAAGAAGTAGCCGGCCAGCGCTACACCCAAGAAATGGGCCTGCTCCGCCCTTCCAACCCCGGTTTCGACTTTAACTCGATCAAAAACGAATCCGAGTTCATGCGTCTACTGGAAGAACGATACCATCTTTTCGAAGAACAAATTTCTATCCTCGTCCAAACCCACACTAATGCTACCGGTGCAGCCAAGAAAGAGCGAGAGTTACAAGAGTCGCTCCAAAACGAGCGCCGAGAGCGCCGACAACAACGAAAGAAACAAGAAGAGGGGAAGGTGGAAAAGGTGGCGGAATACTCAGCAGCAGGATTAGAAGCCGCCCAACGCAGAGGTCGAGCAATGGCAAGATCAGGAGAGGGAGTGCAAGAGAGCGATGTGCAGAGTATGGCTGCCAAACAAGTTTGGCATACCCCAACGCAGATCTTTCAGCCTTATTATGCTCATGCGTTAGCAAGGTACTTGGTTGCTGAGTATAAGTTGCATAATTATCCCTACGACGATCTTGTTATCTATGAATTGGGCGCTGGATCTGGCGCGCTAGCTCGTGGGATTCTGGATTACCTACAAGAACACGAACCAGAGGTGTACACTCGAACACGATACCGCATCATCGAAATCAGCCCTCGTTTGGCTGAAGAGCAGAAACGAAAGTTGTCGTCTCACTTGGGCAGGGTAGCAGTAGAGAACAGGGACGTGTTGGCTTGGGACGGAGGAGTGGTCCAAGAGCCATGTTTTGTGATTGCATTGGAAGTGTTTGATAATCTAGCACATGATGTGGTCAGGTTTGGAACCGAAGATATGCGTCCCTACCAAGCAGTCGTTTCGATAGATGACACAGGGGATATGCACGAACTTTTCGAACCGCTACAGGATCTCCTCATTAAGCGCTACCTGAATATCATCGGAGCTGGCACATTGCCCTACGCTTCATTGGGCAATAGCTGGACCCGGTTCGTACCAGACGGAGTGAGGAGTGTAATTGCAAAACACGCTCCTTTCTTTCCCAATTTGACCGATCCAGTCTTCATCCCGACCAACGCTCTTAGGCTGATCGAGAAGCTAAAGACGCATTTCCCTTCTCATCGGATCATTATGTCCGATTTCGACAGCCTTCCGGACTCTCTAGCCGGTATCAATGCGCCAGTGGTACAGACGAGGTACAAGGGGGCGATGATCCCCGTTACGACTTATTTAGTCTTGCAGGGATTCTTTGACATTTTCTTCCCCACCAACTTCGAGCATTTGAAGAAGACCTACAAGGCCGTGCTCAACGATTCTGCCAGGAGAGGAGGCGAAGGAGAGTTCTTTAGCTCGCATTTCAACCCATCAGCTTCCAGAGCAGGTGGGGGAAGGGAAAGAAACTTGAAAGTCTACTCGCACGCAGAGTTCTTGGAAAGGTATGCGGAAACGGAAAAGTTGCAACTCAGGGATGGAAGCAATCCGTTGCTGAGTTGGTATGCTAATGCTAGCTGGTTCCTTTCCTAGTCACACTCAGGAACAATCGCTGGAACAAGGGAATACAGACAGAACCATTTCCACAATCTTGAGTCTGACTGATTTGTGATCTTCGTGATTGATAAAGATAGTGTTCGTCACAAATGAAAATGGCTTTGAGCGCTTACACATCCTCCTCCCTCGCAGGTAAAGCCTGAACATACTCCTCTCTTCCTCTACTCCTCCACAGCCCCTCTCTCTCCTTCACCAACTCCTCCGCCCACCTCCTAATCCTAGGATGTGAAATATGCAGAACACTACCCTCCCAAAACCCTTGCAAATCATCAATCCCCCATCTCTTCTCATACTCCATCGCCTGCAGTCCCAACTCGAACCGATCCAAATCCTTCACCAATTTACTCTCCTTACTCTCCCTCGCTTCATATTCTTCCCACAGCGCTTCGATCCGCAAGCCTGCAGCAGAAGATCCGAGCAAATCGTGAACAAAGTACTGAATTGCTTCCTTTTCCCTCCGCATCTTTTCATGTTTGTTGACCCCATCGAGTGGAGTAAGATCCCCCACTTCCGCTTCAGCAAGATCATGTACAACGGCAAGCTGAACACATTTCCCCAAATCGACATCCGCCTCGGCAGGGCAAAGCAAAGAGAGAATGGCCATACGGTACATATGATCCGCAATGCTCTCTGGCGCAGGGACACGATGATGTAGCCAACCGGTGCGTTTGTTGGTTTTGAGTTGCTCAACGACGTGCATGAATTTAAGAACTTTGGCCCATCCTTCGTCTGTTTCCGGTTCTTCGCCTTCTTCGTAGAGTTGAAAGGAGGGGTCGGCTGGTACCTTAAACACTTCGAGTGGTTTGGGGGCTTGGGCGGGGTCGGATTCGAGGACGGTGGTAGCAGATGTGGGTGGGGGAGGGGTGACGTAGGGCGGTCGAGGTGAGCGTCGGCCAATGCTGGTGGGTGTAGCTGTGTCAGAGTTGGGTAGAGATGGGCCGACGGAGGCGTCTCGAGTAGCGTGCTCGCTGCTGCGGGTAACGGTTGGCTTGTTGAATGTGGTGATGGAAGGAGGGCCTAGACCAGTGTCCCTTGCAGGTACTGAAGAGGTGGTTGCAGCAGGTGCAAGAGCTGATTTGGGAGTCTCTGACCCCGCACTTGGTGCAGCTGCTGCGGAACCAGGCATATGGAATCCTCGAGTGATGACACTTCCAGGCAGCGCACCCTTCATATCCGCCTCCTTCACCGGCGCAGCTGCCTCCCGAACCATTGGCTGAGCACTCGCACTCGCACCAGCACCAGCACCAGCACTAACACTAACACTAGCCGGAGCATCTTCAGCATCAGGAATCGTTGCAAGCTTCTTCTGCGGTTCGGGCTCAAAGATGCTCTTCCTCAAAGCCTTCCTCAGCGAAGGAACCATCATCTTCTCTTTGTACGGCAACGAGGTCTTGGGCTCGGTCTCGAACCCACTCGTGTCATCCTTGAACGAACCATAACCCCACGTTCTGTTTCCAATCTCGACTCCACCTATTGAAGCGACAGGAATCGCAGCCGCTGTCCTAGCCGCCGAGTGCCTGTCAAACGCAGAGAACGCGTTGGTAGTGGAAGTCGAGTAATCGGGGTCGATCATGGTAGCCTCTCGCAAGGGACGTGGACCAATACCACTGCCTGCGGCGATGTACTGCGTAGGTGGAGCGACGGCCATTGGTGTTGAGCGGGACTTCTCCTTGTCTTTGGCATCTTCTGCATTTTGACCTATGTCGGAGGTGTCGCCGGAGCCGACCTTGCGCTTCCATAGGTCCCATTTTAGATTGTCCTCGTCGTTAAGCTTGTACTTGTACTTGCCCGCTCGGCGGGCTTTTGCTTCTTTCGGTGACCAAAGCGAGCGATGCGAAGGTGCGTTGGGAGCAAGAAGGCCTGAGAGGCGCACTTCGGTGTCGGCATCCTCCTTGGACATGTCGCTGATGCGGTTGCCAGACGAGGGTCTCTGGTGACGAGCACTGCCAGAGATGCTACCAGCAATTTGGCCGGATGCGCTGTCCGCTGTCTCTGCAGCCTGACGACTTTGTACAGACGTACTGGAGGGATGCTGAACGCTCATACGACGAGAAGAGCTGCGCAACGACCCAACAATGAATGGCTCCGATTCCGCATCGAGGTCCCTGTTTGACACTGAAGGCGGAGGCACAACAACGCGGCCATCCATCCTCAGCGAAGCAGGATCGAAGCCAGCATCATCAGCTCGAGCTCGAGCCAACGAAGATGCGAGCGTGTGCATAGCACTCTGATTGGCAGCAAGAGCACTGAAAGAAGCAGCTCCGAATCCAGGCGGAACTGCATCTTCATCGTCGCTCGACGAGCTGCGGAAGTCGTCCGAGAGAGAGCCTGAGCTGGGTCCGCATCGGTTGGTCGAGTGCTCCGTAGCCTCGTCCTCGAAGCCAGGAAGCGTGTCATCTGCCTGGCCTCTAGGTCGACCAGAAGCACCCGTCCTCAAACCAGACTGAGACATCTCCACCTTGTGTCGATCGTGATCTTCGGGAGAAGCCTGAGACTCATCCGCGTTCCCGTCTTCTTCCGCATCAGCATCCTCTGTCTCCTCGTCGATCTCAAAGACAGCATCAGCAGCCTCGTCCACCAGAACAAGGTTTGCACCAGAGATGCGAGTCGACCTAGGTCCATCATTCATCCGCTGAGCCGAAGCGTCAACGTCATCGTCTTCGCCATCCTCATCGTACTCGTCTGATGCAACATTGTGATCAACGCGATCTTCGGTCTCGGCAAAAGCAACTTTCTTGTCAGCTTTGCGAGAGCTTGGGCTGTCCTGACCACGGCCCTTACCAGAAGTGGAAGGATCCGACGGAGCGGCGGATGAGCGACCACAACCACTAGACTTGCTGTTCTCACCACTAGCTGCAGTGCTACGCGTGGCTGGCTTTAGAGGTTCGGCATTGGAAGGTGGTGGGTCCCGAGGTCGAAGCGTCACTTGAGCAGAAGGCTCAGCGACAGAATGAGGCGAGATGAGTTTGCCGCCCACAGACGGCGTATTTTCGTCCGCGTCTCGGCCGTCATCGATGTAAGCGAGCGCAGGTCGCTTGGTGAGTAAGGAAGAAGACAATGCAGATGCCGGGTTGAAGATGCTAAATTTCCCAGTGCGGCCACGACGACCTTCCTCGCGGATCTCGTTCTGAGCCGATCTGGCTGGCTCGGCGAACTGCTGTTGCTGCTGTGGTTTTTGCTGCTCAGTTGGGGCGACGCGAGGCTCTCGAAGCTCTCGCGACGAAGACCCACCACGTTGACGCGAAGGCTGACGTCCCCGACCTCTGTTATCCATCTCAGCCTCAACCTCTGCATTGGTGCTGCTTTCCCTAGTCCTGAACCCTTCTTGAGCTCCTTGTGCAGCGCCAGCCTGTGCAAGCCAAACACCCTCCTCTGAATCGGCGATCGAGTTGACAGCAGAGGTGGCATTGGAGTTGGCGGCAGAGGGCAGAGCCGAATGGTCGCCCTCTGGATATCGCTCCCGCAATCGACGCTTTCCCGCCCAGTCCTGCATCTGCGTGGGCAATTCGCGTCCTCGCATAGCAAAAGAGGCACTCAGTCCACCAAGGGATGAAGCCACGTTAGGCTGAGCCCCGCCGTTGGATTTTGAAGCGTTGCCGTTGCCGGTAGAAGGGGCGTACGTTGGACGTCGTTCGAAAGCGGAAGGTGGCAGGTCTGAGTACTCGTCATGGAGGCTGTCGCGGCGTCCGCTGCTCGGGACACTGCTTTGAGCTGTCGCGATCTCGCGAGGTGCAGCTGAGCCAGCCGGTCGACCTCTCGTGGCAGATGCGGTAGTCTGTGGCGTGGGAGTCGTTGCGTTCTGCCTCACACTGGCAAGGCTGACTGCTTGCTGTGCCGCAGATGATTGTTGCTGCTGGTCGTGCTGCTCCTTGAGTGCCTTCTCGATCAACGATGCAGTGGACCCCTTAGTGGCGCTGCTCTTGTTCTGCTTGGGCGCCTTAGTCACAGCTAGAAGTGATTCTGCCTCTTCCCTGAAACGCTTCTCGAGCAGCTCCATCTCGCGTCGCTTTTGACGAACAAGCTCAAACACCTCCGCTTCGGCCTTGGAGCGCATGTCTTTGAGCCTCTCGATAGCCACCGAGTCGAGCTGAGATGTTAGAGGGTTGGTAGGAAAGATAGGATTGGACGAAGACGTGTTTGATACAGGTGCCGGCGATGCAGTAATGCCAGGAGATAGTGGGGCGGCAGATGTGTAAAAAGGTGGTGCGCCGACACGAGGAGAGCTGGGAGGAGAAGTGATAAGATGCTGTGGAACGGGGGGCAGGACGTAGGTGAGGTTGCTGGTGTTGGAAGCATAGCTCGAGCGGCGGTTGCCTATCCCAGCACTGGGCCGTGTAGGAGTCGCATCACGAATATTGTCATAAGCAGGTTCAGTGGACCTATCACGAGATACTTCTTCGCGCGGTCCTGCGCTGCCTCGAGGAATCAGTACGTTGAAAGCGGGTGAGAAGGCATTGCTGCCTGCAACGTTGGAAGCTTGTTCTGGACTCAAAGCGTCTGGAAACATCCAGACCTTGCGGTCCAATGGTCGAACAAGCGGTTCGCTAGAGCGTGAAAAGTTCCTATCTGCTTTAGATGCCGATTCTCGCGATGGTGAACGATATTGCGTCGTCGAAGTGGGACTGACTGGACCTCCTGCTTCTTTCAAAGCTTCGGTAGCGCCATTAGCTGCGTTCGAGGGTGAAGCGTTGAAACCAAGTGCACGAGCAGGAGCAGGTGGGGCGGGCTTGCTCGCAGCGTATACAACAGTGTCGCAGTTCAAGCACTTGGCACAGGCGATGTTGGTGTTCTCAGCTAGGCTGACCGTTTCGCGGGAAGTGAGCGAGGGGAACTGGATCTGAATCGCATTGTTGGAGGAGAGCTCAGCAAGCCAGGGTGATCGATTGCCTGTGCTAGATGAGGATGGTGCAGAGCCTGGTGCTAGGGAGAGTCGAATGTTGAGGCAAGGACATGTCCATTCTCGTATCGAAGAAGAAGAAGAAGAAGAAGACGACGACTCTCGTGCCAAAGCAGCGGACAGTCCTGAGATGTTGTCAGTCAAGGCTCCCGAGCTCATGAAGGCGTCTGCCTGAGCTGGTGCGGAAGCGGACGACATTGCCGCAGCTGTTCCTCTGCCGATGCAGCTCTCCTACGCAAAGTTGGCGGTCAGAATGAACGGCCGAGGTCGCAACGCTGCGCGGTGAATAGAGACCTGCGTCGCGTTGCTTACAGAAGCTGCTTCGCTGCGGAAAGGTGGCGTATGATACGCCAATAGAGATACGGCTAAAGGAAGTGATGGCGGTGATAAAGAGGAAGCAGATTGTACCTATGAACAAGCAACAGCCTCTTGAGCCTTGGCGACGACAAATCCGAATCGCAGTGAAAATGAGAAATGAGGAGCGTGCATTCCAGGTGGGACTTAGCTGCGTTTCCTGCCTGCGAAATTTCACACAACAACAATTCCCAAAACTTCAGGCTGCTGACTCGTGTGCTGTAGGCGCGTGTTGTTGTGTTGCTTACCAAAGATGTGGTGTAGCTCTGACTCGAGTCTCCTCAACTGATGTCCCAACACACACACCAACTGCACCACCTTCGATCATCTGCACAAAGGCTCGATGGCGCATTTTCTGTCAGACTATCACACACTAGATCTAGACTGCTTGAAGCTTGATGGATCCCCAGTAGATCTTAAATGGTATATTCGAGAGATGCTATCAAATGGTAATAAGGGTGACGTGACAAAGGTGACATGAAAGGGGAAAGCGTTATCTTGATATCGTAAAAGTACATGGTAAGTAGAATTATGTATAAGGATCAAGGTCCGTCCACCTCTGCAAGCCTGAAACAAGGTTGAGAGGATGTGGGTCACTACCATCCCTTGTGGTGGAAACTGCCCCATTCCTCAGAGTAGCGCTTGGGCTTGGGCTCGCCACCGTTCCTCTGCTCGCTAGCAGAAGGTCCTGTGCTTGTAAGAGGTCGCAGAGCGTTGCCGTTGAGAACGTTGTCTCGACGGTGGCCAGCTGGATGCGCCTGCGGTTGATTCATGAGAGCCATGGGAGCACCGATGCCCATCATCCTTGATCGGCTCTGGCGTTCCCACAGCAAATTCTGTCGAAGCGACTCCGAGAGCTCATCGCGGAGCATGTTTCGGCGTGTGGTGCGTGGAGTCTGAGGAGCCGCTGCTTCCGGCAGGTTGAGCGAAGAGCGAGGACGCGAAATCGAGACGGGACCGTACATGCTAGTGCCGCTTTGTTGCTGCTGCGATGAGCTGTGATGGTGTGGCAGACCTTCGCTGTTAGAACGAGAACCCGAACCAAGCGCATCACGCTGTGTGCGCGAAGGTTGTTGGTCTGAGTGGCGTGTGGCCAGCGAGGGAGCCGACTGACGGTGCTGACTGTTGGCCAGGTTCGTCACCGAGGCTCGCGAGAAGATGGCAAAGTCTCGGTCATCAGGGCTCACCTCGAGTCGCAAAGAACGCGAGGATGCTTCCCTGTTCAGCTGCACATCGGCCTCAGACTCGTGTCGTCGTGGGTGTGCTTGAGAGTGCTGCTGCTCCGAGGCACCACTTGAAGTCGAGTTACGCTTCGAGTGTGTCTTCATGTTGGTCAAGGCGTGCAGACGGGCAAGTGCCAAACTGCCAGGACGATCGAACGAGGCGTTTGCTACGGGCGAGTCTGGGCTGCTGGCACTGCCATCCGAGTGGTGGCTTCCGCTGTTCTCACCGTGCTGATGGTGGTGGTGGTGGTGATGTTGCTCCTCATGCCTTGCTTTGCCGGCAGTCGATGAACGGGTGATGTGAGTGTCCAGCAAAGGCAGAGCAACGGCACTCTTGCTCGTCTTAAGGCCAGTCAAGCCTGTCAAGCCTGCATCACGGAGCGATCGAGGTGCATGGCTGCTGCTGTCAGTGCTGTCACGGTCTGCGCGCTGGCGACGTATGGTGGGAGGCGACCTTGCCGCCAAAGACATGGAAGGCTTCGTCCTCAAATCAGCTGCAGAAGCGTGTGGGCGACCGGCCAGCTGTCCAGGGGGAGAGTGCTGCTCGTCAGGGTGGAAGAGCGAGCTGAGCAAACCACGCACAGGTTGAGCGGGCGGGCTGGGACCGTTCGAGGTGATCTGGTGCGGTGCAAGCAGTCGAACATCGGCAGCCGACTTGGAACGGATGGGCTGCTTCTGGAACATGCTCTTGTGACGCTCCTCTTCCTCACGCTTGCGGCGCTCAGCCTCAGCAGCCTGACGCGCTCGGCGCTCTTGCTCCTCGGCTTCACTGTCGCTGGCCCACTCGTCGTCTTCGTCGCCCTCGCCTTCAACCTCGACGATCTCATCGGCATCCTTGCTCTTCCCGGCTGCGGTGCTTGTATGAGCAGAGGCTTTGTTTGCTTTGGCGGTTGTCGCTGCGGGCTTGCTAGCTTCGGCATGGTCACTCTCGTCTTCGTACTCTTCCGAGTCAGTCTCGTCACCACCCATGGTGAACTTGACCGGCGGCTTCTTTGCTGCTGACGCTGCTGCCTTGGCAGCCTGCGACTCAGCCGGGACTGGCTTTCGAGGCACAGCATGGGTCTGAGCTGGTTCGGGGGCAGCACGAGTCATGGCCAGACCAGAGAGTAGGTTGTGACGAGGAGCGGGGCGCGCAGGTGCACCAGCGATCCTATCCGAGCTCTTGCTGTGCTTGGCACCTCGGTGCAGACCGGTCGACGACTTAGATCCGTGGCCAGCGTGCAAGCCACCAGCGGACTGCCTTGGACGGATCTTGGCATCGCTGGTTCGACGCACACCAGCGCCGTGAGCTGCAGATCGCTGCGAAGTCTGGGTCGAGGTGCTTGAAGCTGATTCCGAACGGGTCATGCCAATGGAAGCGTGAAGCTCGTGGACGTTGCTGAAGGCCTCTCCAGCTTTTGGCGCTGGCGAGGATGTTTGCTGCTCGATCTGAGCCGTTTGCTTAAAGACAGATGCGGCAGGCGTTGGCTCAGGAAGACCGCAAAGGGGAGGCATGACTTGCTGCGTCGAAGCTGAGGCCGATGCCTTGTCACCATTCTCGATCTTATCCTCGCGGTCAGCAGCTTTGAATGTAGCTTTCTTGGCGGAAGGTTTGTTGACAGCATCGGAAAGCATGGTCTGCGAGCCACGCCTGGAGATGGCCCCGACGGTGGGGGCCAATGCAACAGGGATCTTGGTAGGCGACAGAGGACCGCAGGTCTCGGGTGCGTCGCAGTGATTTTGCGAGGCGCCGCGTGACATCGTCTTGGGCGAAGAGGCACAAGGTTCAAGGGAATGGCGCAGTTGCGATGCCAAGGCTGATTGCGAGATACTAGAGCTTTGGATAGGGCTCAGCTCTGCGGGCGCGCTGTTGTGCCCTGAGTGGTCGGCATCATTAGTGTAGCGGCTATGTGGAGCATCGAGTGCGTCAGTGCTTGAGCCCATGTGCGAATCGAGCCGGGGCATGCTGCCTTGCTTGCCACGAAGCGAAGCAAAGTTGTCAGCGCGACCTGTCAAGACCAAGTTCTCGAGGGCTGCTTGGAAGCTGAGCGGACGAGGACGGGAGGCGCCCTCTTGGTTACGCTGCTTGACGCGGGCCTTGCTGCCGAAGGCCGAGGAAGACGAAATGCCACGCTTGCGCCTCAATGTGTCGGCGTCGAGATCGTTGACATTGCTTCGTCGCGAAGCTGCGGTCATGGCACGGCTCGTTCGCTCTGCAATGGTGTCTGCAACCCTGTGCGACTGGTTGGCGCGCTGCGACGGGGGCGGTGCAGTGGCGTTAGAAGATGCTGGTGTGGATGGTCTGCTGCGTTCCGACCTAATTCTTCTCTTAACAGGGCTTGCCTTTGGTGCTCTTGGAGCAGCAGTAACTGCTGCTGATGATGATGATGTGGTCGCTGCGCGTGTGGAAGTGTCTTCAACCTCGCTATCGGTCGAGTATTCGGACTGGTTGCCATCTTCAGGGTCCGAAAGCGCGCTACCTGAACGAGCAGCTGCTGATGCTGCAAGACGTACTGGTTTATAGCTGCCGGTGATGCTGTTGGCGCGGCTGATCAAGGGTGTGTCGAGAGGTGTGAAGTCTGTAAGGTCCGAAAGCGAGGTATCTGGTGGGAGAATGTGAGCTTCGCGGAACCACAGACGCCATGAGAGGTTTTCAAGACGTCGACCAGATTCAAGCGATTCCTTGCACTTTGTGAAGACATTCCAGAGGTTGGCGAGCTGGTCGAGGTTGAGATCATTAAGCTTGAGGACGTTGTCCATGGACAGAGCCAAGACTGGATCTGGGAGCGAGGAAGGCATGCTGTCCAGGTTGTGCGGCAATGGAGCCGGCACAGAGGGAATGAGGGTACGGATAGAAGAAGAGGGAGAAGGAGAACAGGTGCTGAGTGTTGCACTGTGATGCATGTTACAGCGTCTGCTGCGCCATTCCTTGGCCGATACGAGATGTTGGTGTTGGCTGTGAGAGACGAAAGTCAAGAGCGTGAAAAAACAATGTCTGCCGCGATACGTGATGTTGCGGTGATCGATCTGGAGGCTGTGAGACAATGGCAGTTTGTTCGCAAAGAGAACTGTCGGCTGTGATGCAATTGGATGCGCCGAAAGAAAGCGGATTGAACGCGAGCCGGGAATGTGTTTTCGAGAGGTAATGCTGTGTTCAAGAGGTAATGCCGTGTTCAAGAGGTAATGCCGTATTCAACAGGCTGAATGGCACGGTTTCTGCTGCTGTGGTTGCAAAACGTCGGTAGCTGTGTTGGTGATGATGGAGTTGCTGGTAGCGAGGGAGGAGGTATAGACAGGAATGCGGAGGATGAGGATAAGGATTGGAGGCAGGGTAGAGGGATACAGTAGAGGATTGATGAGATTGACCGGTCCTGGACGAGTGACTGCGGAGAGGGTGAGATTGGCGGGTTGTCCTGGGTAAGTTACAGTTCAAAGACGGTCGTGGTTGGAAAAACCGAAGCGGAACAGATCCACGCTCAACTGCTGCTCATTTTCACACACTCTCCTGATGATCGGCAAAACGAAAAGGGTACGAGACCGTGGCTGAAGGTGAGCCAAACAGATACAGTATGTATATAAATATATAAAAAGAAAGGAAAAAAAAAAAAAAAAGGAGGAAATTTCATTCAAAATTGGCAAAAGAAAAGGGTCAAAAAGAGCTCGCTCAATTTCGGCTCTTGTCTAGCTGCAGATCGCGCTGGACGGGCTTCTGCAAGAGCCTGAGAGCCTGACAGTCACACTTGACCGGCTCAACTTTCGATTGCCGACGCGGCGTTGGGCGCGTGGGGCGCGTGGGGCGCGTGGGGCGATTAAGAAAAGGCCAAAAACAAAACTAAAAAAAGCTCCATTTTCCAAGGATAAATCGGAGCAAAGCACGGTCAACTCGCCGCTCCTGCCTTTTCACCAGCTTCGACCTCCGAACCCCTTTTTGGTCGGGGAGAGCGCGGGAAAAAGCGGAAAGAGCCTCACTGCCGCGACCAGCCCATCGGCTCGCTGCCCAAGCCTGCACTCAACGCACACTAGTCACCTCTCAATTGCAGAGTCAAAGTGGCTGTGTATGGTCAGTGCGGCCCCTATGGTGGCAACTTCACCATCGGTTGTACCTTCTCGGTTGGTGGGATGCTACAGGGAAAGGACAACATCTGGGAGAGCTCGTGGGTAGTAGGGAAAAAAAGAGAAAAAAAATGGGAATTTGAGTTTGTTTGCTTCCGATCGAGCCGTGGCCACTTTGCTATTGCTATGCTTCAATCGACTGGACTGAATTGAACAACCTGCTCATCTGAGAGAGGTCCAACCAGGCTTGTCTCACAGTCTCGGATTTCTCCCTTGTCCAACCTGTTCCAGCTTACGGTCAGCTAGACAGCCTGGCGTGACTTTGTCGGTCAAGCAAACAATGGATGATCTCAGAGATCCTGAACGACCGAACCAACGACGAGCGACCAACGGCCCGACCAATAACTAGCGACGAGATCTCGCTCTAGAGTTTCTCCAAGTACTGGCAGGCTTAAGCTGAAACAGATCGGACTTCGCGCTTTTCGCCGCTGCTGCAGCCACCTTGTCTTTTTTTGGAAGGACCGGCGAGAAGGGCGTGACTAATGTTTCGAGGCAGGCACTTGGCCAGTGTTATCTTCTCTGTCGGTGCTCGCTCGATGCTCGGTCGTGAAATTAGTTGCTGTTTCCCGCTCTCTGTCTGCGTTCCTGAGGAATGGCTCTGATTCCCACCTTATCCCACAACGGCCGAATTGAGGCTGCCTCTTCTCCCTTGCAGCATGAACGCCAGTCGCCGGACTTGAGGTTTCGCTCCACTCTGTTTCGGAACGCATCGGCCCAATTGCCCCGCAATATTTGCAAGATGTTCGGAAACAGCCGTTTCGCGTTTCGCCTTCAAAGAGACTTGCGTTTCTCATTTGTAGCAGACAAGCTCAGTCTCTGACCTGAAGGTTAAACATTTGCTCGTATGAACTGCAAATCTACTGTATTAAAAGTGTGTCAAGTGACTTGGTGCATAAGCGGCTATGACTCAGCTGTTGACATGACAGAACGGCGTCAGGCGAAGAGAGGAATGCAGTCAAAGGCCGATGACGTGAAATGAATCTAAATGCGTGCGACTGGCTCGCTTGTCCATTCCGACATCCATCATCGTCAGGGTCAGGTCACGCTCTCCACAGCATGGAGGTGATCTTGCAGCCTTTCATTTTCGGAATACTGATAGTTGAGGTCCTAGAGCAAACAAATGTGACTATGCACGACACAACAACTGGCTGTGTTATACTGTAGGTTCCCATCGTAATGAGAGAACAGATGAGATTGGTCAAAGTGACACACTCGTCTGACTTGCGGGACGATGCAGAAAAAGGGAAACAGCCGCGTTTACCGAAACAGTTTGGCTCTGGCCCATTGATCGGCTGGCATTTTTTTTCTTTTTTCTTTTTTCTTTTTTCTTTTTTCTTTTTCTTTTTCTTTCTTTCTTTCTTTTCTTTTTTTTCCCCCTCCTTTGCCCCGCATCTCACATTTCGAGGTATTAAACTCACACTAACATAAGGTCTCACGCTCAACCTTTCACCCTTCCGAAAACTACCGATACAGTGGTGTGCGCTTTTAACTTCCGAGGCTAACACTCATCGGTCATTCACAAAGATTGCATTCAGTCGAATGGCCTTTGTATCGCGTATCGGTGTTGACACCGCCATGGCGTCTCGATCCATCCATCTCGTTGCAGACCTAACCAAACAATGAACCACGATTCAAGTGGTGTTCGAACAGTGCTTCGAACTTGGGGGAGTCAGACGAGGCGTTGACATCAATACCCAGAAGCACCGCCGGTCTTTGTGACGATTTGCTTACCATTTACTGTATGTGACGTCGCCATTAACTTACCGTTTGACATGGGAGCAGTGTGGGGAATGAGCCGGAAATCCTTTGGAGCAATGCAGAAATCTTGTCTGAACTCCCGATGAATGTGATCGGGAGGATCTGTTTCTCGTTCCCTGTCGCCATGTTTGCGCGGTCCGAATGCAGCCCTCGCTCGAACAGGAAGTCGAAGCGTCGTTCGGCGTTGACACGGCAATCTATACGCCAGGGACAGCGCCCACACCGACGTCGATTGGGGCTTTTCCACCCCACGGCGAACATCCCTTTTGTCTTCTCACAGTAAGAGGGATGTGAGTGCATGCAACAATGAAGAAGACTGCTGCGCAAGGCCTCCGAAGAGAGTGAAGGTCGATCTGGCTTACATGCCTTCGCAAAGATTGACTGTATCTGATCGCAGTGGGCGTGCTAAGAAAACGAGTTCGCAACACTTGTAGACATCGAGCAACTCCTTTCGAGCTTCCTGCTTCTCGACCATCACCAAACCTCCTCCCAAAACCCGTCGACTCCCTCCTGTACACTCTACGAACATCTATCATGTCGCAATACCCATCCGCTCCACCCGGTCAGAAGACCTTCAAGCTCAACACTGGCGCCGAAATCCCCGTCGTTGGTTTGGGCACATGGCAATCAGCACCCGGCGAGGTCGCCAAGGCCGTCGAGAGTGCCATCAAGAGCGGATACCGTCACATTGGTAAGCTATCCTGCTGCTAGTTGCTCTTTGCTGCTGGTTTGATTCCTTCTTATCAATGTAAAGACAGACATTCTAACTCGTATTTGTTCCATCTACCTTTTGTCACCTTCCTCCTTGCTTACCGATTTCTGAATTCGCCACAGATGCCGCTTGGATCTACGGCAACGAGAACGAAGTAGGCCAAGGCATTCGGGCCTCTGGTGTCCCTCGATCAGAACTGTTCATCACAACCAAGGTTTGGTGCACTTACCACCGTCAGCCCGAAGCATGCCTAGACGAATCGCTCGAAAAGCTTGGTTTGGACTACGTCGACTTGCTTTTGGTCCACTGGCCCGTTCCCTTGATCAAGCGAGGTGATGAGAAGATCCCGCTCAACGAGGACGGCTCTCGTGCCATTGACCCCGAATGGACGCCCGAACAGACTTGGGAGCTCATGGAGAAGCTGCCCGCAACCGGCAAGACCAAGGCTATCGGCGTCTCCAACTGGAGCGTTCCATACCTGGAGAAGCTGCTCGCCAACGCAAAGATTGTACCCGCCGCCAACCAGGTTGAATTGCACCCCTTCCTTCCCCAGCACGACTTGGTCAAATTCTGCCAGAGCAAAGGTATCTTGATGCAGGCCTACTCTCCCCTTGGCTCTTCCGGTGGACCCGTTTTGCAGGATGAGCTTGTTCAATCGATCGCCAAGGCTCACGGCGCCGACCCTGCTCAGGTCGTCATCTCCTGGGCTGCACAGAGGGGTGTCGTTGCATTGCCAAAGAGTGTTACAGCAAGCCGAATCGAAACCAACGGCAAGCTTATCACCCTCAGTGATGACGAGATGCTCAAGCTCAACGAACTCCACAAGCAGGCTGGAAAGGCTGTCCGCCTTGTCAAGCCCAATGTAAGTTCCAGTGCCGGCTCGTAGACAACTTGCCAAGAGCTCGTAGACAACTTGCCAAGACTTCACCTTTGTCAAGAGATCGTTTTTTTACTGACTATATTACTCTCTCTTTCTGCTTTCCCCTTCTTGAAATCCATTTGCGATCATAGTGGGGTGTTGACCTCAAGTGGTAAGCGCTCGCTTGCTCCGTGGCAGGAAACAGCTATCCGACGAATTATAACTACTGTATCCTCTTGTAACGGGAGCGCCACCAATCGCAAAGTGAATAGAAAAGAAACGAAAAACGCTGTCTGAACGTCATCCTTCCAATCTCTGCCATTCCGGCAAAACTGTATGGCGAGCTCGCTCGAGAGTCTCGATAGCCTCTTTCGATCTGCTCGTTGTACCTATAGCATAGAAGCGACATTGTGGGAAAAGCATGCAATTCCCGTGATCCGCCGCTGCTCGGGGAAGGTCTGCTGCAGCGCGTCTTCGCGAGGTGCAGCATGTGGAGGTCTGTGTGACTGAAAGAAAAAGAGGTGAAATTCGTGTGATTTTACAGAGAGAAAAAAAAGAAAGAAAAAAAAAAAAAGAAAAAAGAAAAAGAAAAAAAAAAAAAAGAGACATCTTCCGCGGCTTAGACTTGCCCTTCGTCAATCGCTATCCAACAGCTTCTTGGTAAAGAGCTGATTTCCCCTGTATCTGTCGTTTAAGATGCCAGATCCAGAGTATGTTGCTGCAAAGCCTGTAGATGATGAGTTGCTCTGATGACTCGTTTGAGCATGACATGCCAAGAAGTGGAAAAGGGCGTGGGTGGGTGAATCAAGGGTTGATCTTGGACAGCTCAGCCGAAATCTCGATAAGCTGCTTTTTCGGACGTTCGGACCAAGTTACTTACACTTTCGAATGTCGACTCAGCAGCGCTTCTTGGCTGCTGTTGCTTGGACACCAACACTCCGCTGTCATCCAGCTTTTCGTCTTCCTTCTCCCCAACACCACTTCCGCATTCCCACTGCGAGACACGCACAACTCTTTCGCAGCATACCACCAACAAACTCGCTATCAACTCACGACTTCAGCAATCTCCAAGTGCGGAACGTGTCATCAGCAGTGTCGGCAACACTCTCTTGTTCACTATCCTGCTATTCTCGAAAGCCCGCTCATCTCTCCGCAGATCTAACTCCGCACTCACCGCAGATCACTTGCGATTTCTCATTCTCTGGGCCCGCAATCCGCTTCATCGCTCTCCACGGCCGACGACACATCATTCTTGCGGCCACTGAAGTCCATGGCGCAGCTTAAGAACCCACCAACTGCTACCACCACATAGCTGCTTCTGCTCCCTTTTCCGCAACACGCATGTCCTTCACACATCTTACACGGAGCGTTGGAAGAGGATCCTGACCATCTTGCGCATTCTCATCCGAGCCGTCTGGCCGGAATCATTCGTGCAAAGCCATGGCGGGCAATTTCTTTGAATCCGAGCAAGAACATCAAGCCATCGCATCGTTCCATGGGATACCAAGCTCAAGCCGTGCGCATGGAGAGCGCACGCAGCCTAGACGGCGAACACGCATTGACATACCAAAGCCCGGGAGCACTCCCTACGACACTTCTCCGCCCCGCCAAGCTACGTATGACAAAAGTCAAAGGCGGTCGGCACGCAAATCTTCCCACCTTCCAACTCGTGAACTCGACTTCAGAAATAACTTGCACGAAGAACCTGCAAACCGTGGCATTGGAGGAGTTTTCCTTGGCACAGCAAGGCGTTCCACCTACCTGTCCTCTGCTAAAAGTACACCGTCACCCAAACCTCCGTCACCACAGCTGCAACGAGGTACTCCATTAGATGGAGTCACGATCGAACTTGATGGTCCCGCCAATCCCGTCACTGGTTCAGGCAAAGGCAAAGCTCGCGATATGATTGCGTCACAAAGCCGCGTCACTCGTTCGACATCTCATCGCAGAGCTTCGCAAAAGGAACAGGAAGTCATCTCAGTCACCGACTCGGACGATGATCCTGTGGAGGCTGATTTCTCGATCGAGTCAAACCAGACAATTCAGCCACGTAAATCCCGGCGTCAATCTGGAAGCAGGGCACAGCAACCTGTTCGTCTTGAGAGCGCGCTTGAAGCCAAGGATCGGAGACGCCGGGAGGAGGCAGAGGCGCCTTCTGCCACAGATCCCAACAGGTTCTACTCGCGATCTACTCAAAAGCTCGTGAGCGGTCCGGTCCCACTGGAACAGCCAGATGATGAATTCAGGAAGTCAGCCTCGGGGCGCTCTGTTCTAGTTCATTCTAGTGAAAGTCCTGAGCAGCAAGTACGCCATCATTCGCTGGGAGATTCGAGCAGAAAAGTGTCAGCAGCAGGCCTGGTCAGCCGTATGAAGCCTAAAGCGAGCTCGTCCAATGCTCCGGCAGGGTCGCAAGAACACTCACCGAACGGCGTCGCATCCAGATCTCCGCCGCCACCAGCAAGCTCTTCAGAGACAGAGAAGCGTAGGTCGTCATCGTCCAGCTACTTTCCCGAGACGAATGGAACAACGCAAACACTCAAACGGAAGCGGACAGACACGACATATCGATCATCGAATCGGCGAGCGCCCACAGAACCTTTTTTGCCGATCGAAGTGCGCCTGCAAGCCATCGTCATCTCGGACATCTGGCGCTCCCGAGATGATGCACGTCCTGTGGCATTGTTCCAACAACATTCCCTGCACCTTCGACAGCATTCGGAAACCAGGCTGCAAATTCCATACAGCGACATCCGGCGCGTTGAAGCCAGCAATGAGACCGTCCAAACTCACGGAATCCTGAGCCTCACTTTAAGGCCTGAATCGCAAAGCGCCCGTCGCCTGCAGGAGGCTTTTTCCGACTTCGATCCTCGCGCTTCGGGTGATGCTTCCGCAGTCCATTTCATTGCCCGAGACGAAGATGTTGACTTGGGCGCCCACAAGACGGCCGTTAGTTGGATCCACCAGAAACTGAACGGACCGCACCTGGGCCACGTCGACTTTCATTGGTTGGTACAGTCCGCTGCCAAGATCAAAGTTGGCATTGTCGCCGGGATCAAGCAACTGCCTTGGCCTCAACCATCACAATCTCCCCGTTTGCCAGCAACATATCAGCCACTGTCGTCTCGAATGCCTGCACTACAACAGTCGTCCTCATCTCGATTGATCGAGCCAGCTACAGCATCAACTCCGACACCGGACAAATCCAGGCGGACTTTGATCTTGCCTGGCCAAGGTCGTGATCCAGTGGGCGAACAACGCCAGACAGCCCGTCCCAGCTCTGCGTCGGGTCCACAACGACAGCAAAAGAAGACTTTCGACATCCAGCCTGCATCTCCCAGGTCTGCAGCTGGAGTTACGGTTGACGTTGAGATGGCAGATGCACGTCCCGGCTCCAGAACATCGCCCCTTCCTGGCCTCACAGTCACAAAGAGTCGTCCTGCAGCAACGACGTCTGCTTTGGCGAAAGCCAAGCCCTCCCACGGCCTGAACCTGGCCCCACATACCCCCATTCTCCAGTACCCTTATGAAGGTATTGGCGCTGTGACGGTGCTGGTCTCCGACCTCGAGCGGCTTATGGATGGAGAGCTGCTGAACGACACCGTGATCGAGTTTGGTCTCAAGTTCATCCACGAAAACATTCAACATCGGGATCCAGACCTCGCAGACAGCATTTACATGTTCAACACCTTCTTCTACAAGCTGCTCAGTGCGACGACCGTCGAAAACAGCTACCGCAAGCTGCGAAAGTGGACCACCAAGGTGGATTTGTTCTCAAAAAAATACATCGTGGTGCCTATCAACGAAGACTACCACTGGTATTTGGCTTTGATCGTCAATCCTCACTTCATGTTGATGGAGCAGGATGGTGAGAATGACAGCGCTAGCGAGCAGGACAAGGAGGAAGTAGCATCTGCGCTGACAACAGCACCGAAGGCATCGCCGCCTCTGTCGACTGATCCTATCGCCACGTCCTCCGCAAGCCCAACTGCTACAGCCCGGGAAGATAATCCGGCAACGGTCGAAGATGCAAACTTCAAGCGACACCGTGAAGCAAGGACTGCTCCTAGCTCAGAACCAGGAACACCGCCATTGCCTCAATTGCAGCTTCCTCTACGATCATCTCAACCCGACCGAGACTCTAAGGCTGACTCAATGGATGTGGATGCAGCACCTGCGGGCGTCGGCCTAGCAGAAGGCGCCCCTGCTCCTGTGAACCTCAAACGGACATTCGTGATCACGTTTGATAGTCTCGGATCTAGGCACTCCAAGGTCAGGAACAAGCTGCACGAGTATCTCTGGCGAGAAGCCATAGACAAGAAACAGCTGTCCCTCGATGATCTCACAAAGAGGAAGGCTAAACAAGAAGCCGAGCAAGCAGCCAAACGCGAGGCCGAGAAGCCGCAGACTCGCGCCAAAGAGGCTGCGCAGAATGACCGCAATGGCGACGCTGCGCATAGTCCCATGGACGAGACAACGGACGGTCCCAATGACATCGAAACTGCTGACGAAAGCAAGGAACTTGGTGACGATGGTACTAGCGTTCGCAAGATCCAAGTTCAAGATACCCGTCAGCTCGATGCAGATGGCGATGCCAAGCAGATAGGTGAAGAAACATTGGCCAAGTCGCTGCCGATGACGGCATACATTCATGCGCAAGTGCCTACGCAGCTCAACTTTTGCGATTGCGGCATCTATCTGTTGCACTACGTCGATCGATTCTTCGATGACCCTGACAAGTTCCTCAAACTTGTTGTGACGGCGGCAGAAAAGAGAATTGCGGTGGGTAAGCAAGGCTCTGCAATACGTCAAAAACTGCGAGAGGAAGCCGAGAAGAGCTTCGAGTCGGAATGGCAAGCTGGCGAGGTCAGCGGGAAGCGAGAGTGGTGGCGTCATAGAGTTATCGACCTACGCGAAGGTTGGATGTCTTACCAGGACTCCAAGAAGGCAGCGGAAAAGGACGACAAGAAGAATGGAAAAGAACAAACGGCAAGTGGGCAGAGTAGTCAAGTGATCGAGAGTGGATCTCAGCAAAAGCATAACACGCAGCATTCAGACGCGGACGTAGTGTTGCCTCCAGCAGAAACACCAGCTGGTGCTATCGAGGAGTCGGAGAAGCGGATCGAAGGCAGAAAGGAAGCCGATGACAGCCAGCAACATGACGAAGACGCTCAAGCCCAGTCACTCGATTTGCAGCTGCCCCTTTTGCCAATCAACACTCAAGGCAGCGAACTTGGACGGAGCACAAGTGTCGATAATGTCGTCGCCTTCGCAGAGGCCCTGACGGGCAACGTTGATGCCGAGATGCGGAAGAGTATCCTCCAAGCTCAAAGGGAAGTCGAAGAGCCGATGCAGGCCTCAGAAGTAGGCAAACCTGTATCGCAATGGCTGCACAGGCTCATGCCTCCTTCGAATCATTCTGCAACTGCGAGTTTTCCGATCGCAGACCATGATATTGTTCTCCAGCCCACACCTTCTGGTCCACAACTCCCGCTAGCGCCTCTCGGACAGAGAGAAGAAATGCCAGGACCGCCGACTAATACTAGCTCTTCGAATGCCTCACCTCGGCGTGATCAGCCACAGCAGCAACAGCATCGGGCTTCTCCGCCACCACCTCCAAGCTTCGGGTCATCGATGCAGGGACCGTCGACAGGCACGGCTGGATCAACTGCCGAGCTACGCGAGATGCTGAAGCCGACCGAGACTTTCGGTAGCGGTATCTTGCATCCCACTCATCACAGGAAGCCACACGATAGTGTGGATGTAAGCAGCAACAGTGACAGCAGCGACGGAGGAGAAAGCAACTCGAGCGCTGATTTGGTCGACATTGTTGAGCCGTCACCTTCGCTTTCTTCCTCCGTGGCAGCTGATCAGGGTTGAAATTGGTCTCTACTATTCTCAGACCCTTTCTTGTACTTCAAGCTTAATGTTCAATCCATCACCTTCTGAGTGGGAAGATCTTCATGCCCTTATCATCATCACTCATCACACACAAGTATTGGTTTGCGAGCCGTGATGCGAGTCTTTATGAGTGTCTATTGAACCGTGATCAATGATAAGAAATTGTACATGTGCAAAAAAGTCTGAGTCGCTCAAGGCTCATCATCAGTGATGAAGACCTTGACTACACCTCGACCGTGTTCGGCATCCTTGCCATTTGCCAAAGTCTCGAAAGCCTTGACAGCGTCCTTGAGCGGGTAAGCGTGGGAGACCAAGTTCTCGATACCGCCCATCTTCTTTCCTGCGCCCTCGCCTTCATCTTGCTTCTGGCTCTCCTTTGCCTGAGCGTGCAATCCACCGCCTTGAGCGCGAAGGGTGCCACCAGCAAGAAGTCCAAGAGCGATGGGGTAGGTGTTTGCATAACGGAAGACACCAACAATGTCGACTTCGCGGAGGGAGGCAGAGCCGATGGGAAGGGTCTGGATGGGGTTACCCATTCCGATGAGGACCATCTTTCCTCCGGGCTTAGTGGCGAAGATACCGGTCTGAACGCAAGAAGGAACACCAGTGCATTCAAAGACAACGTCGAAGCCTTCGGAAAAAAGGTCGAGAGGGGCGGGCTGAACGGCGAATCCGGTATTCGATGAGGATGCAGGACCCTTTTGAAGAGCAGCGAGAAGTGCGGTAGCGGCAGTGGAAGCGGAAGAGATAGCTGCCTTGTCCTCTGCAGCCCTCTTTGCTAGTGCATCCTGACCCTCAACCTCAGGAACAGTGACAGGCGCACCACGAGGCAAGAGATAAGTAGCATCAGCCCAACCGTTGGCAGCAGCGAATCCAAGTCGTCCCTCATCGATGTCGACAGCAGCAACGAAGCTTGCTCCGCTCGCCTTGGCAGCGGCACAAGCCAACAGACCAACTGCACCAGCACCGTAGACCAAAACACTCTGGCCTGGTTGCAAAGCACTCCTCCTGATACCTTGTAGGACTACGCTCAATGGTTCGCAAAGAGCTGCAGAGGTGAGAGAGACGTTGGCAGGGAGCTTGTGTACGAGCCAAGAGGGCCAGTTCATGTACTTTTGTAGTGTGCCATCGAGGTGTGGGTAAGTCTTGGCCGAGGAAGCGAAACGCATCTGCTTGCAGAGGTTGTAGCGACCGTCGCGGCACTTGGGGCAAGAACCGCAGAAGCGACCAGCTTCAATGGCGACACGGTCACCGACGTTGAGAGAGAGCGAGGCGGGGACGTTTGGTCCGAGGGCGACGATTTCACCTGCAGATTCGTGTCCGAGGCACATGGAGTGTTGGAGCGCAAAGTCGCCGTTACAGCCGTGGAGGTAGTAGTGGAGATCGGAACCGCAGAGACCGGTAGCACGAACTCGGATCTGGACCTCATCGCCAGTAGGAGCAGCGTACTGTCGCTTCTCGATGCGAAGGTCCTTGGCGCCGTGAAGAACGGCAGATGTGTTCGGGCCAAACGACGAAGAAGCCGCGGCGGGGGCAGCAGTGGTGCCGTTCATGGTGTCAGCGCCGTTCTGCTTGGCGACGACAACAGGTGCAGAAGAGAATGTGACGGCGATAGGAGCCATGATTGCAAGTGTTGTATGCGTAATCGGCGAGAGAGAGTCGGTGGTCGTTGTCCGAGGTGGAGAAGGAATGACAAGGATGAGGATGAGGACGAGTTAGAAGAAGAAAGCAGAGTAGGAGAGTAGAAGAAAGCTTGGTTAGAAAAGATGATAATATGGACAGAGGAGGCCGAGACAGACGAGACTGTGGTAAGAGGCGCTAATGCGCAGCAAACAGAGTGCCTTTGCAGCAGATAAAGGCAGGCCTGGCCGAAACTCAATGTAGGAGCTGGAGTATCAAGCTTACAGCGAGTGCAGGAGGAGACAGGATGGAGAAGGGGCAATGCAATATTGGGCCCCCGGGGCGACAGAGGGCGGTGCGTATCGGACCGAGTCGTGAAGCTGGTGGAGGCGAGCCAGGAGGTAAGACTTACAAGAGGTATTTGCCGAGTATAAACCGGATAACCGGAACAGTAGAGTGGATCTAGTACTACAAAGTAGATAATGGCTTGCAGTCAAGATGAAAGCAGGACATCGAGAATGTCTACCGAAGGTCAAACGGAAGGAACAGCAGGAGGATGGGAAAGGGTGACCAGAGAATTGGCCTTTCCTAGCCTCCTTCTCATTCTCAAGAGGGCAGGCGGACAAACGCGGTCAACGCGGGGCAAAGGTGTCGTCGTCAGCCGAAGGTCATCCCCGGACACAAAGAACAAATAGCGACCTGCCCAGCCAAGCGGCCGGTGGCCGGAGCGGTGAATTGACGGCTTCCACTTCTAGAGAAGCTAAGTTCGTATCCGCCGGACCGTCCTTCCGGTCATTGAGAATTGGTGAGACGACATCCAAAGGCCCTCTTCAAGCACTGTTTACCCAAGTAGATGTAACAGATTAACCATCTTTACCAATTCGGGGGTTTTTATGCCTATATGTCCCATTGCCGATGATCCCCGATGTGATGATCGCGCCTGTGCTGCTGTTGACATGTCACACACTGCAAGCCTTTTCATAAACCACTCCTGTACACCCTGCCTTAACTACAGTACACTCGCTACTCATCTTGCAGCCACTCCCATCACCGCATCTCATTCTGTGTTTGCGGCTTGCAGCCAGAGAGTTGTAAGCAATTCTCTATGTCCCCTTTCGGCGCACATTGAAGATGTAGTAGATCTTGCTAAAACTAGAAAGTCGCCTCGCGATTGCACCCAAACCTGTCAAATGCCGTGCCGACTCATCCCCTCGACCTTGAGTATCCTTCCGATCCCTTCATGTCAGAGTGGCAATCATCCTCTAGGCCCTTATGCGATCGAAATCTGCCGAGCTTGGCAACCCTGCCGTCGAACTCGCAACCTGGAACAATTTAACTTCTCCGCAGCCCTACTTTACGCGGTCGGCTTCCGTCTACGCTCTTGCTCCGTTGTCCGATCTTGAGCTTCGTCGCTATGCTAACACCGTCGATGTCCGACCGCTCGTTACCTTATCGAGGAAAGGGGTTAGCAATGGTGTACATAGACGCAGCTTACTCGTTCCCACCGACCCTCTCTCTCGTCGGCCGCGGCCAGGCACATACTAAAGATGACGACCGCCCCTGCAGCCCGAGACATTGATCGCCCGCCAGACATTTCCGCAGCGAATCGAGATTCATTTATATACATACTTCGTACTTTTTTCGTCAGCATTTGCTTCCTTTCCTACCACACCTTGAGCCTCCCGTGCTTTCTCTTTTCTCTCTGTCTCGTCCTTGCAGTTCCTACGCCGTTCCGCCTTACGAACCTCCAAGCCTTTGATAGGCTCACTGTCATTGGTTCACCGATCGAGCTAAATATACCCACCCTTCGCATCTTTTTACCGCCAACTTCCCAACCAACTACCGCCTCTCTTTTCACCGGACCCACTACGTTGATTCCACTCAGTAGCTGATCCCTTCCCCACCTCCACACCTCGTGTGCCACAGCTTTGTTTCTTTTGTCAATTGCAGATCCCAGTATCTCTCGTCTCAGCAGCTCGTTGAGCAATCGCATCGCAACCTAACTTACTGTATAAATAGACATCTGAACGAACGGTAACTCAAGCAGACGCACTCACCCACACTTTCTCCTCCATCAGAACAGTCCCCTTGAACATACTTCCTCCTCCTCCCTCCGTCCAGCATAGACGAAGATAGATAATAGACAATGCTTGCCTTTAGACAGCTCTTATCGACCATCTCAGTCGCTCTGCTTGTTCTGCATGCGCAGCAGGCTTCACATGGCACAGTTTTCGCTCTTGCTCGTCCTGTTACAGGCAATGGTGTCAGCCCCGCCATTGGGAGCCTTGCTGCTCAGCATCAGGGCGCAGGTGCAAATAAAGACAACGATGCAACTGTCCATCCCGAAGCTGTGCCTAAGGCTCTCCAATCGCTTGCCAATGGCATCCAGACGCAGCAGGACGGTCAGAGCCCAGCCCTTGTCATGACTACCTCACACGGAGAGGGAGGACCCATCAAGATCAACGACGCTCAAGACTCTAAGGGTACTGACAACAAGAAGCCGAACTCTCCCAAAAAAAAAGTCCCCCCCATCGCCAAGAACGCCAACAATAATAAAGACACGGACAAGAAAGACAAAGAGCAGAAGAAGACATCCACCAACGAGTCGTCCAAAGCAGCTTGGACCCTTCTTCAGAAACCCCGTACACGCTTCTGCGCTCAGCCCGCCAACACGAATCACACCGCCGATGACATTGCACAACAGCTCGTCAATGCTGAACGAAAACGTCTTGCTGCCATCCGTTTGCAACGTACATCCGCTATGGGAGGTGCTACTGAACCACGACGCCTCACCGACACCAGAATCCTAGCCGAGGAGAGCAAAACAGTTGAAGTTGTCTGGCATGTTATTCATGCAGGTCGTGCAGGCAACCTGTCCGACGCCATGATCGCAGACCAAATTCAGACCCTGAACGAAGACTACAAGTCATACGGATTCCAGTTCAACCTCAGCAACACTAATCGCGTCGATAACGCTAGTTGGTTCCGCAATATCAATCCTGACGGTAATCTTCAGACCCAAATGAAGCGCTCGCTTCGAAAGGGTGGTGAGGGTACACTCAATCTGTACAGCGTTGACTTTAGTAGCGATCTACTGGGATATGCATCGTTCCCATGGGATGTACAGGATAATCTGGTGAACGATGGAGTGGTTTTCCACTACAACACTGTGCAGGGTGGTAGTGAGACAGCGTATAATCTGGGTAAGACGGCAGCGCACGAGGTGGGACACTGGTTGGGGCTGTATCATGTGTTCCAGGGTGGATGCGCTTCTCCTGGAGACTTTGTGGAAGATACGCCTCCACAGAGTGAGGCTACTAGCGGGTGTCCGACTAATCAGGATAGCTGTCCGGGTGGTGGTCTTGATTCCATTCACAAGTAAGTAGGCAAAAAGCCAATTGACGGCCATGCTGTGGGGACTTCCGCTCTTACTGACTTTGTCCCTTTCTACATCGTTCCATTCCCTGTGAGAAATCATCATTGCAGCTACATGGAGTAAGTTTACAACCATCCATCCAGCTGAATCTGTCGAGATACGCAGAGACTGACCGGACTTGACGATTGCTTCTGATTTGCAGCTACTCGAGTGACGCCTGCCTCACCGAGTTCACGGAAGGTCAAGCCGTTCGTATGGCTGCTCTTACTGGAAAATTCCGCAAGATCTAAACAGCGCCAACATACAAACATACATGCTTCATCTATGCTCTAATAATACATCACGATCACACGCATCTACACACTCGCCATTGTGCAAAAAGACTGGGAGAAGCGCTCGTCAGTGTCATGCTGTGTCACCACTTACCCGAATTCCTAAGGCCTCCGAGATCTCGGCCTTCTCCAGCCCACATTCTTTCAGCCTTGCCACTAGCTCTCCTAGATCCTCGATGACCTGGCATCCGGTTCTTACTTTCCCTCCCTCCTCTCCCCTATGTGTGTTGTCTGGGTGCCCTTTGGTGAGGGCGCAAGACAGCAGTGCATCATCCATTGCTGCCTTCCCATTTGGCGGCTTCCAATCCCACTTGTTGTGGATACGAAGCTGAATAGCATGCCACTGCAGCCCCTTGACCCTTCTTACCATCTCATCGACAGCACTTGCTTCGCCCTCAAAACAGAGATAGCCGGGCCATCCGACCCTGACGATGCCCCATATCCTCAGCTCTGGACACCAATTGTTGAAGTCCTTCAGCTTCGAAGGAGCTTTAAGATGGTGCGACCAGAAGAATGCTCGTGCGAGCTCGATTGATGGTGGCTCTGATGCCTTTGCCTCTTCCTCGGTGCTGGCTGTCGCGCCGGAATTGCCCGGTGCGGTGCTTGATTGGTGAGATTGAACGGGCAGATCAGCAACAAGTGTCTGGGCCACAGTCAAGAGGTCGAAAAAGAAAAGAGACTCGATGCCTTCTTCTGCCCACTGTTTTGATCGTTCCACCAGGCCATCTTTTACTTTGGCCACGGTTTCTGGAGATGTCGTCGGCGCAGAAACATTGAATGCAGCTTCTGTGCTACCTTGCGAAGAGAGGAGCGAGAATGAGAGTGCGATCTCTGGGGTCACTTGAACTTTGCCCGCAAGACCAGCTACGTCTGCTTCAGATACCGGGGTGACATCTTGCACGAAGCTGTTCCATTTCGTAGGTTGTTCAACGCTAGCTCCATCCCAAGACCATTCTGACAAACTAGAACAGGACTGAATTACCATGTCAAGGTCTTGTGCGACATCTTCTGGACTTGCGTAGTGCAGCTTGAGGAGGGGTGCCGATGTCATCGCTTCATCCCAGCCGAAGCTTCCCGGTCGTGCCTCGGGGTATCTTTAGAATGGAAGCTGTTGCCGGCGACGTTACCGGACCGTGGAAGAAGGGGAAAAGGGTGATCCTCATTCGCATTCTCATACGTCTAGAAGACGTCAAGCCGGCGGACTGTTGCGCCCAAAAACCTCCACTTCAACACTCAACACCGAAGGGAATGCTGTAGAAGGCTTGTTCTCATAGGGGGTTATGTATGCAAACATTGCTTCTGTCATGCATGTAAGGCACTCTGCCCGAGTGGTTAAGGGGTAAGTCTCGAAATCCAATGCTTTCGATCGTCACATTTGTGATGAGTAAACTTATAGGCTCTGCCTGCGCCGGTTCAAATCCGACGGGTGTCGACAAAACGATTTCTTTTTTGCCCTTTTGTTGGCCTCCACAAACGCAGAAGAATGAGGGACATGCCCTCTACTTTTTTCGAACAAGACTTATCAGATAATGGTCAAGCTATGGCGATTTTAAGATTTTCGAGATGGTGTCACCGACAGGCAATAACCATTTTGATAGCCATCAACACACAGCAATGACAACACTTCGCAACCTGAACACCCCTATAGACTTATCCAACCTGTCACCAAACCTATGGAACATGCTCCCAGTCAACCACACGAGCACCAACTGTAGCACAACTGAACCTTTAGAACAACTGAACCATTAAAACATTGATGGCATAGTGTCATCCCCTTCCTTTGAACTCAACCAATTTCTCAGACTTTCAAACCCTTGTTTTTGAAACAACATATGCCTAAAGCGTGGTGCTGGGGAGCCCTTGACACCGCCTTGGGCAAAACTGGCAACCCTATGACCCCCTATTCATTGAAGCTCTTCACCACCAGCGTCACCATATTGACCCCCAATCGGCCCAGGTGGCGATGAGCACACACTCCTGAGCCCCTGGGTGCCCAATGCGCCAGGCCTGCACAACCCAGCCTCGGAACCGACTTCATCAAAGGGGCCCAAACTTATGAACTTTCAAGTGTCAGCCCCAAAGACACTACCTGTCTATAGGTGATTGGATGTGTGGGCATTTTCCCACACTGCTAATACAACAAGAGGGCACACACGGTGGGAAAGGAATGGCACCAACGACTATCTGCCAACCAATTGACTAGCAGCCCTTGCTGAGCAGAACCATGAATACTCCTCATAACCTCCGTCTTTTCTCTGAACGTCTTTGCACTTTCTCTGCTCTACTTATCCTCTTCACCACTGTCCTGACCCTCTCCCCCTGACAAAACATCCCACTTGTCACAGGGTCTGCGCAGAAGGTCTTGCACAGAAAGATCTGAAGTAAGCATTGGGTGTCGACAATCTGATTGGGCTAGTTGTACCTATAATGCACGAGATTAACTGCAACCTGGGGTTTTGATTAATCTCACTGGGATTGATCAGAACAAACCTATTCAGTATGTTTTACCAGAAACATGCTGAACAAGGCCCCATTGGTACAGGATAGGTCAATCATTCACAAGGGAGCAATGGGAGGATAAGAAAAGGAGGTTTCCAACACTAGAAGGCAAGTGAGTCATACAGGAAGCAATCACATGCAAGGAAGGGGACCAAGCTCAGTATCACACAGTTGGTTACCACTCAGGGGGATGTGCTCACAGCCACATAGAGCCAGCCACAGGGGTGACCACATGATCAGGGAGCATGACAATAAGGTCTGGCACACAATCAAGGGATTCACATGATAAGGGATCAGAAGATGGTTGCCAGTTAGAAGGAGGGAAAGCTGTGTTAAGGAGACTGGGGATTAACCATGAGGAGGAGGAGCAGTGTCGAAGAGGTTGACACACATCACCAGGAGAAGAAGAACATGGAGGCAAGGGGGCAGTGTAGAACAAACCAACACACTGTCTGAGCAGCAGAAGAGCAGCATGTCAGAGGTCGCGTGCCTGAAACCCGATATCTGTAGTAGAAAGATAGCTACTACCACTCCTATTGACATCTGTGGTAAAAGGCCTTTATATTTATTCTTGCTCAAATCTGTTGTAAAAGCTGTCTATGACTTTTCTTGCTCCAATCTGTTGTAACTGATATCTATTGTGGATTTCAACTGACCACTGGGGACACTCCACTCAGAAGTAGCTCAGCATGATCAATTAACCAATAGATGCTATGTGATGACACCAAGGTCTGGTGCTGATGATGTTGTTGATGCCAACACAGGTGTCCAGTATGTTGACTGAGTAACTGAGTGATCCCCAGACCGCAGTGGACAACTGCCTTCAGTTCTAATGATCAAGAGTGCCAGACTGCAGTATGAACCACCTTCAGTGTTGATCGATATCTGGACTGCAGTTGATACCACCTTCAGATGATGTCAATGAGTGGTGATACAACACATGTGCTATGTTAGATGCAATGCCCTGCAATCGCAACTGTTGACAGAATACTAACTATACTTTCTGTGAAGCTATAACTAGTGATATAAGGTGTAGAGTGGATGGGGATTCACTCAACTCCTATGATGAGGAGCATAGCTATATAGTCAGTCCTGCAATGTCACCAGCGACATTGTTTCTGCTCTGGGAGTCCTCCTCCTCTTGCCTCAGTCCCGGCTGCCCTATGATGCTGCTCATCGGCGCCACTTTCCTTGTCTTCCTGCAGATGGACAGTCAGCATGCTGCTTCATAGTCAACAGGGGCCACTCCCACTTCATCTGAGCGGCGACTTGCACCCTCCTTCATCTTTCCCATCTGCCTGCTCATGAGTTCATCATCGAGTTGCCCCCCTGCTTCATCAGGGTGGCAACCCCAATGCCTTCAACATCTGACTTGTTGTGAGATCCATGAGATTGGCATCCTCTCGCCAGTTCCTGCAAGAACTGTTATATGATCACAATACTACAGATTCCAGTGGACTTCACTGTAGTATCCCGCTTGTACCAATGTGAGCAAGATCTGTCATAGAGCCCCTCTACTACAGATCTCACTGAACTCTGCTGTAAACTCTCGTTTTGCCCAATCCTGCGATTCCTGCACTCCTTCTCATATGGCTTCGGTCCTTCCTGCCTCCTGCACATCTGGTCCTATGACACAACATTGAAGGAATCGGCACACAGCTCAAGGAAAAGAGGAGTAGTGACAGAAGAAGTCGATAACCCTCTTCAGGAGGAGCAGGAGGGGTGTCGCAGGGCGACACCAAATAAACACATAAATACTCTTATTTCATCATAGCATACAAGTGGATCCTCATCCACTCTACTCTATACTTACTTACTCTTTACTCAGTTACAATAGCATCATTGCAATAGCAGGGCTTTGCAATGACCTCTTGATTGTGTGTGTTGCATCACCATCAGATGTCCACTGTAGGCAGTGTTACCTAACACTTGCAGTCCAGTCAATCACTGTAGGTGGTGTTGCTCAACATCTGTGGTCCAGTCAATCACTGAAGGTGGTGTCTAACACCAGCAGTCCAGTACCTCCTATCATCTGTAGGCAATAGCCTTATTGCAGCCCAGACAGCTACAAAGAACATCAAGCAGCAGCACTACAAACACTTGTGCTGTATCAGGGAGTGGTATCTTATATCAATCCCAATCAAAGTGTTATGGACATGCCACATAGCCTCTGAATGGAGTGTTCAAGGCAGTCAGCCAAAACCTACCAGAACTCAGCCGTCTGGTCACTGTCATAGGGCCGGATGCGCAGAAGCAGGAAGAACAGATGTCATATGAAGAGGAGCACAGGAATCATAGGATTGGGGAAAATAAGGGTTACAGCAGAGTTCATCAAGATCTGTAGTAGAAGTGGTTCTATGACAGATCTCATCCAAATTGGCACAAGCAGGATGTTACTATGAATCCTGATCGAGAGAGCCGGACCGCAGTGTCATGGGGCCGGATGCGCAGGAAGCAAGAAGACCCAAATTCATATGAAGAAGAGCACAGGAATCACAGGATCAGGCTAAGCAGGAGCTTACAGCAGAGTTCACCGAGATCTGTAGTAGAAACAGCTCTATGACAGATCCTGACCAATTCAGTATGAATGGGAAGTTATGGCAAAACCTGCTGGAATCTGTAGTATTGTGATTGCATGACAGATCCCGCATGGGAGGCACCAATCTCACAAATCTCACCACAAGACAGACATCAATACCATGGATGAGTGGCAAAGACATCTGGGTCTGCCATCAATGAAGCAGGGGACCTGCTTGGAAATGAACCCCAAGTGGGTAGATGGGAGGAATGAAAGGGGGTGCAAACTGCTGCTCAGATGAGGTGGAAATGGCCCCTGTCGATGATGAAACAATGTGAGGACTGTCCATCCACAAGTAGCAAGAGACACAGTGCTGGCGAGCAGCAGCACAGGATGGACAGAGGGGATGGGAATGACAAGGAGGAGGGGCAGTGTTGGAGAGGCATGCCAAAGCAAAGGCAGAGTCACAGGCGACACTGCGAGAATGGTTATATAGCATCACTCATTGTTACAGCTTGTCATGGGCCTGAATGCTCAAGAAGCAGGAGGGTCACTGGTTCATATGGAAGGAGCACAGGTATCGGAGATCTAGTCGATACCAGTAGAGGGCATGGTCATAGTGCAGTCTCCATGGAGACCATGGACTCCTACAGATTCACATGCAAAGGAGGACCAGGCCCATATGCAAGGAGGGCCAGGCACAGCCACAAAGAGGACCAAGCTCAAGGAGCATGCAGATGGTTACCACTCAGGGGCTTGAGAGACAAGAGTCAAAGGAGTCGACACCAGGTCCTGAGGAGGAGGAGCAGTGTCGAAGGAGTTGACACCGGGTCATGAGGAGGAGGAGCAGTGTCAAAGGAGTCGACACCACTCAGGAGGCACAGGGGTGCCAAACAAGCAGGATAGCAAGGAGGAGGAGCAGTGTTGCGCAGTGACAGCAGGTGGCGTTCGTTGTATATACTATCGTAGGTTTTGGCTGACCTCTGTGGACACTCTGTTCAGGGGTAGCTCGGCATGATCAATATCAATGCTTC